CTAGATAGATAAGAACCTATCTAGGGGATAGATTAAGAAATCCTAATCGCCTACCGCTTTACCCTTAATATTTGTTCCGAAGAAAGGAGGAAAACTACGTATAGTTATCGACTACAGACGACTAAATTTAATAACGATTAAGAACCGATATCCGCTACTAAATATCGAAGAAATAAAGAACCGACTTATAGGTTCTATATAGTATTCGAAGATCGACCTATAGGACGCCTTTTACGTAGTACGTATAGCACCCGGAGAAGAATAGAAGACAGCCTTTAGAACGCGCTTCGGACTATATTAATTCTAAGTTATACTAATAGGCTTAACAAATACGCTAGCAATATGCTAAGAAGTTATTAACGACGCTCTACGCGACGTCCTCGATATTATAGTAATCGCCTATATAGACGACGTGCTTATCTTTATAAATAGCTCTCGAGAACTACACGCTAGGTACGTCGGCGAAGTACTCGAACGCCTTAGCAATTTAGGCTTTAAGACTATACCCGAGAAGTATAAGTTCTTCTATAAAGAGGTCGACTTCTTAGGCTTTATCGTTAGAGTTAACGGCATTCGTATAGATCTAGAAAAGATTAAGTTAATTATAGAGTAGCCTACCCTAACGATAGTCCGAGATATTTAAGTATTCCTCGGACTAGCTAACTATAACCGGAAGTTTATTAAGGATTACTTAAGGATAGCTACCCCCTTAACTAACTTAACGAAAAAGGACATCTAATAGAACTAGACGACGATATAGGAGCAAGCTTTCTAGAAGCTAAAGGAAGTTAGTATATCCGTACTAACGCTCGCTATATTCGATCTAGAACGAGATATTATTATCGAAACCGATGCCTCCGACTTTGCTATTAGTACTTACCTTATATAGGAGTATAATAGAAATCGATACCTAATCGCGTACTTCTTAAGGAAGATAACGCTAGCGGAATAAAACTACGAGATCTATAATAAGGAACTACTTACGATCGTCGTAGTATTACGATACTAGAGAATATACTATAAAGGAGCTATAGGACTAACTATCTACTTAGATTATAAGAATCTATAATTCTTTATAACTACTAAAGATCTTTTAAGATAATAATATTAATAGTTAGAGCTACTTAAATAATATAAGTTTAATATTATTTATAATCTAGGAAAAGATAATAGGCGCGCCGATACGCTAAGTAGACGAAGCGACTATATAGAAGGCAACGAGCCTAAACTAAAGTAGGTACTAAAGGTTAATAAGGACGGAAGCCTTAGTATAAAGACTTAAGAGTTTAACTTAACTCTTCGGGTTCTACGGGACGACGACGAAGAATTCCTAGTCGAATATAGCAAATATAAAGTACCGCTACTTAAGGAAAACGACTATATTCGAGATTACTACGACGGAGAAGACTATAGTTACCTAGGTATTACTCGAACTATAGAACACATCCGACGAAACTTCGCCTTCCCGGATATAAGATAAAAGGTCTTAGAATATATTAAGAAGTATATTAATTATAATAAAAACAAGTCTTCGCGCTACGCGAAGTACGGCAACTTATAATTCTAGGAACTACCCGAAAAACTATAGAAAGAAGTTATAATAGACTTTATAACCGATCTTCCTAAGTTACCTAACCTAGTAATAGGAGTATACTACGACGGTATCCTAGTTATAGTCGATAGGCTAACTAAGTATATATACTTTATTCCCTATAGTAAGACGATTACGGCCCCGTAGTTAGGCTACCTTATACTCGATCGCCTTATACGCTACTACGGGATACTAAAGGTTTTTATTACCGATAGAGATACTAAGTTTATATCGAACTACTAGAAAATACTTGTCGCCGCAATTGGACTTAAATATAAGCTATCTATAGTATTCTATCCGGAAATAGACGGTTAAACCGAGAGAATAAACTAAAATCTCGAGCTATACCTTAGGTACTATATAAACCTAGCCTAACATAACTAGGTAGAAAAGCTACTAATAGCGTAGGTTGTACTTAATAATAATACCTCCGAGACTACTAGCGAGTCGCTATTCTACGCTAATTATAGTAAGGATCCGAACCTATTTATAGAACCGCGCGAAGGACTAGTATCCGAGGAAGCCTTAGTTAAGGCCTCCGAACTTAAGGACGTCTACGGCAAATTATAACAAAATATCTCTAAATCTTAGCGAGCTCTTATAAGAATAAGATTTAAAGCCTTAAAAACGGCGCCTTAGCTAAAGACGGGGGATAAGGTATATCTCCTAACGAAGAACCTAAAAACTAAGAGAGGAATAAAGAAACTAGATTATATAAAGGTCGGACTATTTCTAATCGCTAAGAAAAAAGGCGAACTTAACTACCGACTCGAACTACCTAAGGATACTAAAGTATACCCTATATTCTACGTCTCCCTCCTCGAACTAGCGTACCCGGATACCGCGCTTTAAATAATATTCTACTACGAGTCCTAAGAAAACTAAGAATAGGAAGTAGAAGAAATCCTAGAAAGAAAAGGTTAGAAATACCTAGTTAAATAGAAGGGATACCTAAACGAAGATAATATATAGGAACCTAAGACTTACCTTAAGAATTACTAGACCCTCCTACGGCAATATTACCGAAACTACCCTTAGGACTAAAGATAGATTCTCTACTAGGAAGAATCTAAAAAGTATCGTTATAGATTATAGATATCTCGGCCTACGACGCTACGAGAAGCTAGAAAATACCGTCTAACTCCTCTAGCGTTCTCTCTAGAACTAATAGATAATCGGAAGATATAGCTAAAGTACTAGGACCTTCGGAAGGTAGTAATTGTAGTTCCTTAAACTCCTTACTAATAGCCTTCTTCTCCCGCTCCTCCGTAACCTAAAGCTATTTCCTTAACCGATATATACGTATTATCGCCTCGGTTACGCTCTCTTTAGCCTCGTCGAGCTAACGCTTTAGTTTACGACGCTAAGTACGCAACCGTTCCTATTCGGTCTACGTAACGGTAACGTTATATCCTTACGCACCTTTTCGTATATACTCTAAACACGACCTATACTAAATATCTACTATATAGCGAGGACGCTCCTTATCCTTCGCGACTTTCGCGTTCTAATAGCAAGTATATAGAGAAGGTATCTCGCGACCTTCCTCTTCGATTCGTAGAGCTTATCGTTCGCGGCGTTCTTTTCGAGTTAGTAGCTCTCTACTTATAGTATTAGAAAAAGAGGAAGATAACTTATATTATAAGCTCGGGACGAAGCTTAGGTATAAGAGAGGGATAGTATTACGAATATATAATATAGGGTATAGAGAGAGAGAATAAGGACTAGTTATTTTAGCCTTAAAGGGAAGCGCTAAGAGCGCACCCGCGAATTACGTAACTAGCTAACTTTACTAAACCTTAGATAGATACGTAACTAGCTATCCGACTAGACGAGTAGTCTAGCGGACTAATAGCTAGTTAGAATACGAATCTCCTATATATATAGATAAGCCCTTTCCTATATAGATAGTTCGTATTTAACCTAAGTTACTAACCCGCCGAAAGGTTAAACCTTAGAGTAGTTACTTACCCGACCTATCGCTTAGAACTTACTCGTCTAACGAGCTCTAACCCCCTTGTACCGTAGGTATATAACACTAGCTAAGGCGCGTTTATTTACGCGATTACGATAACGGAATATCGGTAAATTAAGAAGAGTTGTTTATACTAACCTTACGCTTATTTCTATTATACGTAGGAGCTACAATAAGATAGTCTTAAGGTAGTTATAATAGAAGCAATTATTAAAGGAGTATAAAGAAGCGCGAAACTAATAGGCAAATACGGGATAGTAGAGTAGTTCCGCTATATTCTTAGTATAGATCTAGGAGGGCTACGAGATATACTAGCTTTATTAGGAAATACGCTAGCCGAATTAGGAAGGAGCTTTATATAAACTATAAAGTAAGACTACCCTTAACTATATTAACTAGTTAGCTAAAGGTTAAGGAGGGTTACTAGTTAACTAGTTAAGGTTTAAAGAGCGGTATAGTTAACTAGTTAAGGTATTAGGGTAGCTTAACTAGTTAACTATAAATATAGTTGGTTAACTAATGCGACCATTGCTTGCCACGCGGGACGCTGGTACTAATCTGCTCGTGAATGATCTACTTTGCCTCGATCGAGCAATCAGAACTATCACGTACGCAGCAGGCAACTACACTGGCGGAACAGCAGCTTACGAGCCTATCCGAGAGTCATTTGCAGAGGTGAATCGCACCAACAGAATCGCCTACTACGATGCTATGAACATAAAGCCCCGTGAGTGAATCTATCTTGTATGCTGATGTTCACCCGCCTGTGGCTGACATTATTGATGCCCACCAGAGAGTATTGCAGATAGCAATCGCATTTTCGCCGTCGTGAGCAACCCGATCGCTCCCGATATCACGGAGGCTGTCAATGGCCTGCTTGGCAAGAAAGCTTTGATCGATGCTGCTGGTCTTTCGAAAGAGACGGCCGACGGTCTGAATCTGATTTCGTACGACCATGACACTTTGAGCCTCGTGGCTGTGGCGCCCAAGCTGAACGTGGCCACCATTCCTGCCGCCTCGGTGGTGTGCCTTTAGCTCCGATCACGATGTAAGTATTGTGCAGGAACACACACATTACGGACGAGCCTTTGCGAGATCGGCTACATGTTCGGGATAGGGGATGAAGCTCGAACTCACACCAGCGTCTGGGGTCGGCCTTTTCAGCAACAACAAGCGGATATAAAATATTTTCGAAAATATCCACTCAACACATACGGCCATAGGTTGCAGAGAACAGAGGATCCCGTCCGCTCTCCTGTACTTAAGCTGCAAACCGGTAGAGTAGTAGTCAGGTCGGTGACGACTGGCGAATGCCTACTGCTGTATGTTTTGTTCCTTTTGTCAACCTCTACTTGTCCGATAGAAGAAATGCGTGGCGGAAGCATCCGACGTCCTCACAATTTCGTGATGATAAAAACACCCACTGCATTCTCGTTGTTATCGTAAAGTGGGACTCTTGGTTGAGGTAATCTTTGGTCAAGAACTGCTTGTCCTCTGCACAAGCCTGAGAACCTCGTATGACAAGGGAAGTCGACATCTTCGTGAGCAAGTAGAAGCTTTCCGGTGAGCACTCGAGAGCTTGAGATTGGCGCTTGAAGTCACAACTGTCATAGCGAAAGTACTTTGCGGACCGCAGCCATCAAATCATCTTCACTACCAGCCTTCCACGACTGACACCTCCATGCAACGAACCGATCTGGTCTAACCAACACGCAACCTGACTCACCCACACCACGCAGCTGCTCCCAGCGTATATACCTATCTTCCCACTCCTGTCGGAACCCGATCTGATATGCCACAATTGGTATCTGTAAGTTGTGCTGAACCTTTTGTACGGCAGATTTCCAACCATCTCCACCGATACCAGTGAACAGGGCAAATCTGCCGTGCCCGGCCAGGTCAATGATGGAAATCGCGTTCGAAGGTACGCTTTTGCTTAGCCATACATGCGGTAGGCGAGCGCCTGGAAATGTGGTAGGATGATAGTATTCCAGCGGATCAGTGTCAAAGCTCGGGCATTGGTCGTCTGATGCTGTGAGAACGGCACTCGATTGGTAGCGCTGATTCATCTCGATGCCGAGACCCTGCTCCTCACGGTGGATTAGTCGCAAGGCTTCTTGAAGAGCAGCGCGGCGTTGTTGACCAGGTTCAGAGTCCTCTGAGAGCTGGTTGAAAGCTGCCACTCGGGCTTCTGGGGTCTCCTCCATGTTGCCAAGTATCTGCCAGATCCTGCCGTGGTTGCGCAGTGATGCATTTGCCCTGTTGCAATCTCGTCGTCAGCAAAACATCCCACTCGATAGAGTTTCGGCTCTCACTGTGTGACAACATCGAGCCCGACAGGTTGTCGTTCATCGTTGTAAGTGTGTAGTAACTCGGGTCCGGCATATCCTGAACGCTCGACATTAGCAGGCGCGGCACTTTCCAGAGATGGCACACTTACCCTTCTCCACGTAAGCGACCTTCCATGCCAGATTGTATGCATCTTGGATGGACGTGTTGGAACCGAGACCATGGTTTGGTGGGTGTCTATGCACTGCATCGCCTAGACAAAAGATGTTTCCGTCAGAGTAGACATCAGCCGCAGTCTCGTTGATGACCCAAGTACTGATGCCTTTGATCTGGACATCTACAGAATCATCACCGATGAATTCTCGTATCCTCGGGACGTATTCCTCCGCGGAGCGGACTTCACGCTTCGCACCTGGAGCCGGAAAGATGATACAAAGCCATTCGTGCCACGGCTTGACCATACGAATGCAGCCGATCCAAGCAAAGTCGGGATGTACTTTGTCCATGGTCAGTAGCCAATGGAGATTGCCCATACGATTCTCCATCAAGTGATTCATGTCGGCTTCTATCAGAACGTTGATGGCAAAGCCTTGGCTCGGCTTCTTAATCATCGGCAGGTCAAGCTGTCTGACAACCTGACTACGGGCGCCATCCGCACCAAAGAGATACTTGCAGCGCACGTAGTACTCGTGTTTGCTGATCTGGTCTCGCAGCTTTACCCTGATCGGACTATGCTTGCCTTCTCGCTCAAACTTGATGAAAGAGGTGTCGAAACGAGCCTGAAAACCGTTGAGCGTAGCGTATCGTGTCAATACTGGCTCAAGTAATGTCTGCGGAAGATCCAGGGGCTCTGATGGAGATGCTAGGACATAGTCACCCTACTCTTTCAGCGTCAGTCGAGGTTATGATAGACCGGTCTCACCACTTACCTTCCGTGCTGGATCGTTACCCCAAGAGTAGATGCGTGCATACTCTTCGCCGGCGAAGCTGTTTGACCAGCGTGTGTGCATCATGCTGTCTGCTCCCGTGCCTATAGCATAGCATTCCCGATCGAGTCCAATGTCTCTTAGACAATCTATGACGATCAGCATACTACAACTTCGAGATGAGGTATCATATGAGAGTACCAAGCGTCGCCATGTTGGTGATGTGAGCTCGTGGCGTGTCCGCATTCCCACGATCTTGGCTGACCAACAAGCCCGTCAAGCCTGAAATCGGGTCAGTAAGTCCTTCATCGCTGCGCCAGCAATCATACTGGATACCATTCTGGGCTAAGAAACATGCCAGAGATCCACCAGCTGGACCTGTGCCGATGATGAGGCAATCAAAGTATGCTTCCCCGTCGGAGGTTCTGCTGTGGCTAGACATGCCCGACCCGTTCGATTGAGCTACCATTATGTTGTTGATCTCTGCGAGAGACAGTACACTGACAAGAAAGAGATGCCATCTTTCCGCTCCTACGATGAGATCTGGTATTGCTATAGATGGCCGTTGCCGCGAAGGGGACGATGTCTGGACCGTGTGGCGTCCTTCGTCCGGGACCCCAGGCGGAGGTGCTGTGCTGAGCTTGGCATGGGGTACCGAAAATCTCTGGACCTACCCCATCTTCGCATTAAGCACTCACTCATGGTGCAGTAGTAGCATGGCAGAGATGTGACTGGTTCAAGAAAATTAGCGCACAACTGTGAATCATGGCATGCCGTTACAAAAAAAACCAGCGGCGCCGCTTCCCAGCAGTTGCGATCGCCAATCACCCGAGCGCGGACAGACATGATGCTCCCACTCATTGGCAATCTGCAGACGACCGACACCATATCGTTCGCCTACGTCTACGAAGGAAATGTGACCATTCCTCCCCGCGAAGGACGCGGTATTGTGCGCTGCAATGTCTACCGCCCCAAGGATGAAGGTGGGATCAAATGGCCTGTGTTGGTGACATACGGTCCGTACGGCAAAAATATCCACTACTCCGTCTTTCATGCTTCCTCCTTTGCTGAAGTTCCGGAGGAGCATCACTCTCCACATTCTGCTTGGGAGACTCCTGACCCAGGCTACTGGACAAATCAGGGCTATGCTCTGGTTCGCGCGGATGGAGTAGGCCTTGGCCAGTCCCCTGGAGTACTCAATACTATGTCTCGAGACACCAGCCTGGCGTTCTCGGATTTCATAGAATGGGCTGCAGAGCAGACATGGTCTTCCGGGAAAGTCGGACTGCTGGGAATCAGCTATTATGCTGGCAGCCGGTGGCGCGTAGCTGCGCGCAAACCGAAAGGTCTAGCATGCATAATACCCTGGGAAGGCATGAGCGACTACTACCGAGATCGTTGTCGCCATGGCGGTATTCTGTCGAACACTTTTATAGACTTCTGGTGGAACCGGCAGGTCAGTCATTCGGGGCGCTAATCCAGGACTCCACTGACCATACGGAGGTAGTTGTGAATCAGTATGGTAGACCTGGTCGCGCAACACGAGGCTGGGGACCTGATACTATCGAGGGCAAGCTTTCTGAAAAACTTTTACTGGCCAACTGCCACGACCAGAACGTGGAGAACGCTCAGAACCACTTCCTGGATGACAACTACTATGCTTCACGAGACTATAATTTGGCCGACATTGACGTACCACTTCTTTCTGTCGGCAATTGGGGTGGTATCTACTGCACCTTTGAGGTAATATCGAAGGCTTCATCAATTCCAGCTCCCGCCAGAAGTACCTGCGGGTGATCACAGGACGCCATGATCTACCATGTTATTCTCCAGAGAACGTAGCGTTGCAGAAAGCTTCTTGGACGCCTTCCTGAAAGACGTGGATCCTGAGGGATGGGCGAACGGCCAACCAGGCAAGGTGGGCCACAGAGTTCGTGTTGGTGATGTGCGTTACAATGATACTTCAGCCGAGGATGCGTATCCGATGCGTCTCCATGAAGACTGGCCCGTACCCGGCACTCAGTACGTCAAGTACTATCTCACGGCCAACCGAGAGCTGCTCGAATCTGTTGGCAGCAACTCACATGAGAGCACTAGCATAAAGTACGATGCTCTCGGTTCCCTCAAGTCGCCGGAGTATGTACAGTTCACGAGCCAGCCTTTCATCTCAAAACGAGAATTTACCGGCCACGTTGTTGCGCATCTTAACGTGTCCTTGGAGGCTCGTACAACGGTTGACGGTCCAAGCGACATTGATCTTTTCGTCACACTTCGACATTTAGATCCACGGGGCAGGAAGATCCTATACACAGGTACTGTAGGAGATCCAGTACCCATAACAAAGGGCTGGCTACGCTGTAGCCTGCGAGCAGTGAAGACCACCAGCCCGAAACATACCTTCTGGCATCCCCACGGCGACTACTGCTCTGGCGATTATGCACCTCTGTTAGCAGGCAAAGTTTACGAGGTGGATGTGGATATATGGTCAACGAACGTGCTGATGCAGCCCGGTGACAGACTTATCTTGGAAGTTTCTTCTGGCGATACTCAAGGCGCTGGCCTGTTCGAACACAACTCCACAGTCGATCGCGATGAGATTACGTTTGCTGGTATCAACCACATTCACTTTGGTCCTTCGACAGAGAACTGGTTGCTGATGCCGCTGATTCCCGCATGACTTGCGTCTACGATTTCGGCGACAAAATGCACTCCACAACTACATAGCTCAATGGAATGAACACCGGATAGGGTGTCGTCACGCATGTTACAGCAGGACAACAAGTGATGTTCATTAGAGGCTGTGAAGAGTGATAATTACGATATCGGTATGCAGACACTACGACCTAGCAAGGAATCAGATACCCAATTTCAGGATCGTCCTAGTCTTGCAGTGACGAGCCAGACGAATGCAAGACCAGCGTATAAGAGAACCACCGAGCCGTTGCTCATGTTTCTCGAGAATCTGTTTGCTCTATCGTGAAATGCTAGTTCCTTGAAGGACCGATGCCTCCATAGTCATTTCTGAGCGCCACACCCCCAATTTCCAGACCCTCCGCATCCTGAAGGACGAAGACCATCCTCGACCTGAGATCCACTGTAAGCATGTTTGCAGGTCTACAAGAACTTGGAGACAAGGGCTGCTTACCATCCAGTCTGATGCTCTGGAGTTTTCCAGGCATGCATAGTTCCTCTCTGGATCGAGATATCCCCTCGTTTCATCAACCTAGTCTCGCCAGAACCAAGCACAAGCTCCACTTCGCCCGCAACAACGATGCCATAATCCAAGCTCAAAGACCGGTGCATGGCTGTGATTGATCCAGGCGCAAAGTTGCACACCCGAAGTACCGTTCCGCCAGGAATAACGATAGGAAGCTGCGGACCTGTATATGCTTTATCGTACTGGGTCAAATCCGAGTCCTGCTGCATCTGTACTGGATAGTCAAAGCTGGCGTATGCAAGGAAGAAGTCCATGTCATGATTAATGTCTTCATAGACAGCAGCGGAGTCTGTCGTGCTGAAGACGGAATTCCCATGCTCGTCATGGGCTGTAATGTATCGTTGCTGTGTTGGCAGGCCAGTCACGTTGGGCGAAGGGCGAGTATTCGGCATTGCGAAACAGTCCTATCGGTTGCTACTTTCCTCGCCTCCTTGCGAATCCCCTGCAGCAGGTTGCAATGAATTACAGCAGAAGTGAAGAAGAAAAGACATGTGGATGATACAATCAAGTAATGGAATGCTTGGGTTGGTGTGACCATCACCCTCTTGCTTCGGCACCCTCGTGCCCCTCCAGACCCGATGGGGTTACTATGCGAATTGAAAGACATTCGTGACCACCACACCATGCGCAGACCGTCTTCTGGGACCCGTACGCATGACAGCGGTAACTGGCCGGACGCTGCCGCGACCCACCCCATACCCCACGGCATCCACCCGGGGTCTCCATCAGGCTCGAGGAAGGTCTTTCGGGATGAACAAGGCTACTACAAACCTACAGCTGGGACAGCTGCGCGGGACAAAATTAGAGAGGTCCTCAAGAACTTGATCTGGCACTTCGTGGCAAAGAACTGTTGGACGAGATCCCTCACTACGCTGTACGACTGCAACGAGATCGTCATACTATTCTGGTAAACATGTGCAGCAAGCACGAAACAAGGGTACGACTGGCAGCGCCATCATATGTGATCTATGAGCACGCAGATTTGGCCGGTTTTCGGAAATTTGCTGTTGACTTCGGACTTGAGGAAGCCGGCTCTTCTCCAGACAAGAGCACGATCTACTATCGTGGCTACGGAGCTGATCCATTCGTCTATGTTGCACGGCAAGCACCTGACAACCAACCAAAAAGTTTCGTTGGAGCAGGGTTCCTCGCGCTGAGCTCAGATGACTTCGAAAGGGCGTTGCATAAAGATGGGGCAGAAGTTGTGGATGCTTTGAATTTTCCTGGTGGAGGACGCTGTGTACGCTTTCGTGACCCGAACGGCAATGTTCTCGAAGTCATCTCAAACCAAACTCGCCGAGATATCCCAGAATGTGGTCTGTCGAATCTGGTTGGGCGGCCCGCTATGAATGGAGCCCTTGACAAGCAAAGGCAAGGTACGCAGCCGATCGTTGTTTGGACGAATAAGTAGCGTCAAAAACTAACGCCCGCAGGTGAATTTACAAGAATGCAGCCTGGGCCAGCGAAGGTACACAAGCTTGGCCACTTCGGGTACAACACGAATAACTACGAGGCGACATTAGCCTGGTACCAAGACAACTTCAACTTCACGCCAACAGATATTCTTTATGCACCAGGCAAACAAGACCTCGAGGTGGCTATATTCATGCGAGTGGACAACGGCAAGACATACGTAGATCACCACTGTCTTCTGTTAGCTCGAGTTGAGAAAGAGACTCAGGTTCATCACTCCTCATTCGAAGTCGAAGACATTGATACTCAATTCATGGGACATCAGTGGCTGGAGGATAAAGGTCATGAGCTGGTTTGGGGTATTGGGCGGCATGTACACGGCTCACAGGTTTTCGACTACTGGTATGACTCAAGTCGTTTCGTAGTCGAGCACTACGCAGATGGGGATGTAGTCAACGAAGAAGCGCAGACCCTCAGAGCTGAGGCTGGGAATATGGCTGTTTGGGGGCCACCCGTCCCGGAAATCTGGCATGCGAAGAAGCAAGAACACGAGGTCGCTAGCAGAGTCGCTGCTGTCAGTGGCTAGTGGATAGCACAAGCATCTATTTCATCCAGTCTCAGTTGTGGGAACTTACCCGTTGCGCAATCCTGTAAGCGCATTGCCGGGTAAGGTGCCGTACTCATGTCGTACCACCACAGTGCTGCACAATAATGGGGGTCCAGGTGGTATTGAAGCAGAGGATACTTACGATCTTCTTGGTCCCGGAGCGCACTCGCTCTCGACCTCGTGTCCTGGCTGCGAATCTGACCCCAGCCGACCCCAGATGTGCCCCCGCATAGATATGTTTTGAGTTTGGAGCCAAGTCTCGAGGTAGCAGCTACATCGTCTGGATCAGAAAATGTGATAACATGAAGCCGTGTTACAACAGCCGGGAACACCATGGACGTCAGTCGGTACCCCAGGTGCACTGGATGACTCAGTCTGGACGACGATACAAGATCTCACTGCCCATCAGTGTCAGGTGGGAACCATAAGAGCTTACCATCTACTCGACCTGCTGTATGCTTCACTTTCCTCCCGATTTCCAACGTGAGTGCATCGTAGAGCGTTGCCAGACATGTATCTTTACAGCGTGTCAGCCGCCGCGGTGGCAGCGACATGTATCTGCATGTACCTCATCATGACAGTCGGGCGTCGAGATCGGAGGATGCCAGAGGGTACGTGCAATGACCATGACGAATGAACCATCTCATAGTTGTTGTGATAGGGCCACCGACCCTCCCGATCATTGGCAATCTGCACCAGATGCCAAAAGTCAAGCCGTATCTCCAGTGAGTTGAAAGCACACCATGCATTTTGGAGCCATTCTTTAACAGGAGCCAAGATTCACCAAGTGGGCCAGAACGTACGGCGGCATGTACACTCTCAAACTTGGATCCGGGAGCGTCGTTGTGCTCACGAACCGGAGACTTGTCAAACAGTTGCTAGACAAGAAGTCGGCAACCTCAAGCCACCGACCGGTATCTCTCGTCCAGCAAGAAATGATCACCGAGGGCTCGCATATGCTTTGGATGAATAATACTCCGAAGTGGCGATTAATGAGAAAACTGGTTCACCAGGACTTGACTGAAGTCATTTGCGACAGAGAGCATAGCAGAATCCATCAAGCCGAGAGCATCCAGCTCCTGAATGACATGCTCGAATTCCCGGACGAATGGATGCGCCACCTGAAGAGGTTCAGCAACAGTATCATTATGAGTATCGGTATGCGTGTTCAGGCTTGGCTATCAGGTCGATAGAGCTTTTCGCTAACCAACATCTATACAGTATACGGGATCAGATCGCCATCAAACAACGCCCCATGGACAAAAGAGCTCAACGGTGTTCTTGATCTCTGGGCGAAGATCAACGAGTTTGGCGCTACTCCACCAATCGACATCTTCCCATTCTTGAAGTGGATACCACAGAGATACCTAGGCAACTGGGTGACCAGGACCAAGATAGTCCATGACAAGCTACATGAGCTCTACGACAAGCTATTACGATCTGTCGAGGCACGACGAGAAGCCACGGGCCCAATGCACTGCATCGCCGACCGTGTCCTTGACCAGAACGGAGACCAAGCACTTTCTCGTCACAACGTAATGTTCCTTGCGGGTGTGGCTCTCAAGGGAGGCTCAGACACCACAGCATCGACGCTGGCATCCTTCGTCCAGGCTATGATAGCTTTCCCGGAGGTACAGCGTAAAGCACATGCCGAGCTTGATGCTGTGATCGGGCCTTCACGAATACCAGACTGGAACGACTATGCAACTCTGCCGTACGTTGCAGCCTTGGTCAAAGAGACGATGAGGTGGCGACCGACAGCTCCGCTGGGTGTGCCACATGCCCTCTCCGAAGGTCCGATCTTTGCTTTTCACAATATCATAATTGCCTGCTGACAGCCCGTAGATGAGTGGGTAGACGGCAAATTCCTTCCAAAGGGAACAGTGGTGTTTGTCAATGTTTGGGGACTGCACCACGACGAGCACAAGTTTCCAGACTCGGATACATTCGATCCAGGCCGCTATACAGGACGTATTGGCTCGTCGGCCGAATACGCAAATTCAGCGGATTATGAAAATCGAGATCATTACGGCTTTGGTGAGCGCGTCCTTGTCGATGCCCCCAAGATGGGTACTAATCTTGGCTTCCAGGAAATGGTCGTCGGCTATGCCCGGGAATACATCTCGCGGATCGTAATGTCTGGCACGTCATCTGCAAAATGCTATGGGCGTTCGAGATCAAGCCCAAATTCGATGCGCAAACCAGCTCGGCCATCACAATCGATACCAGTGTGGAGACTGGATATAGGGAGGGCCTCACCATGTGTCCTTACGACTTCCAATGCGACATTCAGGTACGCGATCAGGCGCGTGCCAAGCTTATCGCCAGCAGCTTGGCGGAAGCGAAAGCAGATGTCTTCCCGAAGTATGAGCGTACCGAATTCTTCATGCCGACGAAAGCATGAGCCGCCAAGTCTCCACTTCTGCGATGCAGTGTCAGGATAGTCGATAGCCTCTGTCAAATGTTCAGCTCACGATCCTTCTACGTTCTTCGAAGTGCCGCAAACCATCGTTTTGTAGACAGGAATACTCAAGAGGAGCTGTTCATAGCTGATAGGCGATGTCATACAGCTTGGATGCCGCCGTCTGGGACTGTGCGTATCAACATAGATCATTTCGCAAGAACAGCAGGTTGATCGTCTCATGCTATGCCCTTGTACTCTCTTTCAAGAGTGCTACAGAATCTGTGGTCATGCTTTTCAACGACTATTACCGACTGACTAGACGACCGTCCTACGATATGCTCCGCAGTGCCCTGATCAGATTCTTCGCAACATGCATCTTGTGTAGGAGCAGTAGACGCTCTGCTCTGATGATAGGCGCTCGCAGTTCTGTCTCGGTCACTGCCTTCTCGCCCACCACACCAATGCACCAAAGAATGATGGCAGCGAAGTACACAGCATATGGTACGTGCGGACTCTCGTAAGTCTCTGGTGTCGGGATACCCTGCGATGAAGACGTCTCTTTTCCGAGTGTATTGCCAGGGCTCCAGTGCATAACACTCATCTCGATCACCGCCATCAGTCTTCTAGCGTGCCATTCCGCATTCTTGCAGTCCCGGTCATGTGCCCATCGGTGTACTTCACGAGCCACCATGCTTCTTTTCTGGTCGCGAGTATGCGAGTCTGACGGTGAGTGCGCAAAGGTCTGCAGAGTCTTAACGTTGGCATGTAAGATGATATTCATCATATGGTACACCGCCAGGTGAGACGATTGGACAGTGTCGGGTTGCGCGTGGAGCCAGTGATCACATGCCATTTCAGCGAAGCTAGGATGGCCCATTTCCCTTGTACTCAAAAGCATATCTTCGCCAGCGTCAGCATTATGCTGGGCATACATGATTCTCCATACGTGCGGCGCAAAAGAGCACAGTATTGCCAGGCCAGGCGGATCAGAGGATAGATCTTTGATGGGAGGATGCATTCGCCACAGATGCTGCGCTCTGGAAAGCAGTACTGAAAGCTCTCTCTTCGGCGTTGAGCTCGCGAGCAGAGACTCAATTCCCCACCATGGCAGTAGTGGTGGACGTAGCATTATAGTCACTCGGTAGGAGTCCAGGATATATAGTGCTCCAACAAGACTGAACTAGATGTTAGCCCGTGGTTCTGTCAGACTCAACTCTACCCACCAAGCAACCTGACTGTCCCATGCCACAAAGTTGTCACCTTCTTCTAGAGAGCTAGCAAACTCTTCGACCGCCTGTGACGAGCTAGGGTTAGCCAGCGATGGTAGAGTGGCTCGGATGGGACACTTTACATGAGACATGTCTGCATAAAACGCCTCGTAGAACTCGTAGCTGCGTTTGTCCCCACTGCATATCCCGTAGATGCCGAGAAGTATCATCTACACCGACCGTGAGCACGACTACCCAGTAGTTCTGATCTGAGGAGTGTATTCACCGTCTTCACAGAGACCAGCCTGCTCTCGACCGTGTCGCTACCTGGGTCTACTAAGTTTCTTGCGGTATACTGTCGAATTTTCAGCCGTCATCAATATTATCGTATTCGACCTGACGTACGGCAGCCAGAACAAGCCTTCGAGCGTCGTTGCACATTGATCGTGCTACCTCGCCGCTTCCAGGTACCGAGCAGAAGAGACCGCCAACAGCGGCCATAGCTAGCACATACATTACTGGGCGCTCGTGTTCAGAGCTGTGCTTGCGGTCGAATAAAGGGAACGAGTGTGGTATGTGCTTCATGAATAGACGCAGAAATACCTCCTTGACCTCTTTCTTGTAGTGATCAGGGTCAGGCATGCCAGAGTACCACATCTTGCGGATCCGATTGCGAGATGGAGAGCTCGAGCGAGACGTCGCGCTGAACCAATCTTGCATCTTGCTTGACAGCGATCGTGTCGAATGTGCCATGTCTTGGTAATCGGTAGTTGAGGGTACATCCAGTAGCAGAAACTCACTGAGGGTGTCACTGCCGTCAAACCAGAATTGGGTATCCTGTGGATAGCATCCTATCGTCAGCGCTAATCAAGTGTGGCGGATCTATGCTCGGCGGCTTACCGTTGCTGCCATCGACCAGAAGCCGGTCCCCTCCATCGTTTCAGTAAAGTCGAATAAGTCAAGCTCATTGCTGGTGTCTCCCACAGCGGTGGGTGCAAAGAAAGACTCGTCATTGGGATCAAAATTGCTTTCAAGCGTGGACTCTGGAACAGTTCCAGCTTCACCATTATATCTCGTGTGATGGCCAAAGGTGGCGGACAATGACTGACCGGCGAGCAGACTTGTTGTAGAGACGCTGTCCATCCAGGACGACTCAGGCCGGACATCGGAAGCCGGAGAGGGCAAGGCTAATGACGCCGACTGAAGTGACGGTGACGATGCCGAAATCGTGTACTGGCATGCAAGATCCGCAGTTTCGCAGCCACGACATGGTCGTTGGCCATCACAGCGAGCTTTGCGTCGACGGCAACCGTTGCAAGCAACGCGGGCACGTTTGCGCCCACGAGGTTCGCCACTTTCAGCATCACCTCTCGTCGTTGAGGCTTCCGGACAAGTCTTCTGATGGTGAGCACAGACATCCGCTCGCTGGAATGAGCGATAGCAGTGACCGCATGCGAAAGGCTTTTCTTTAGTATCTGTACGGCCTTAGACAAAACCAATGAGGCAGATATATCGTGGGCCTCTACTCACGTGTGCGTCGATGCCTCAACAGATGTTCTGTCCGGGCAAAGTAGCGACCACAGAGCTCACACTACACAATTTTTGCCTGGTCAGCCAACAGATCTTGTTTCTGCTTAATTGTCAATATGTAGAAGCTTACACTTTTCTCTGCCTTTGGTATAGACGACTGCATCGCTGCCGCCCAACAGTCCTTTCCGGCGTGCTTCAATTAGGCAAGGTGTTATGGATGGGGTGGTGATGCCTGTCCAGAGGTCATGAACTCTACCTCGGGAGCCACAGACAAAGCAGTTTGTACCCCAGCATCTCCGCACTCACCCGGAACCCCACCTGACGCCAAGTAAGTCCAAATGACAAGTGTTACTCATTACGATCGATCATAGCAACAACAAGATGAATGCTCAGTCCTTGCAACGTTGATGTACGATGGCCGAAGCACTGTTGTCAAACCGAGATGCAGAGCACGATGACTGCAGACCATCAAGTCGAGATCACGGAGAGCGTCACCGACCTCAGCGCAACAGCCTGGCCAGGTGAACGACTCCCAACCAGATACGACGTGGACGAGGCCACCGAGATCCCAGAGTCATCCTTCGTCGATCGCTTCGCCGCAGCGCTACTGCATGCCGAACATGGAGACAACCGCGAAGACGTATCCTGGATCATGGAGGGTTGCGCCAATGAACCATCCCGCCCTGCTGCAACACTTACCTACCCCATGATCTTACTGTTGGATGCACCCACCTTACCAGCAGAAGACGAGGTCGATCGTCTGGCATCGGAGTTTGACAACTCTTGGCGGAATCGTGTCTTCCTAAGATCAATCAAGATTGGTTGGACCCGTACTTCTTCATCGTTACCGTACCTACGATTGGCGCTGGCATGCCTGACAGCGCTGTCCGAGAACAGGAATGATGGAACAGGGTCGGCTTCGTTAGTGGCTGGAAATCTCTTCCACTGTGGAGCGAGCCTGGCAACTGTGATGGTCGAGGTAGATAATAGACTCGCTCGCTCAATTGACACGATTCTTGCAGTACGTGAGTCAAGGTCGCCGCCTGTCATGCCTTAGCTGACAAGCTGGTAGATAACGTTACTCTGCACCTACGGCTGCCTCTCCACATATCCGAGTCAATGGAGGCGAAGCATGGGTCTTCTGTGCAATGTCACAACGGTAAGTCGACCAAGCGGGATGTGTCGTGTGGTTTTAGGATCTTACGACTTACAAGATCTCACCAGATGTCCCGGCGGCTCCATCTCACTGACAATCGTTCGCTCTTATACATGGAGAATGACGACCCACGCAAGGCCCTTCGCTATGACAGGTGAGATGCTTGCGCTTTCCATCGAACATCATAGCCACGTCACTGAATACGAGACAGCTCGCTAATCAGCTACATGCTGCTCGTCGATGTTTTGCAGGCTGTCCACTTCGACTTCATACCGAATTACTCCACTCAGGAGTTGTTCATACAGATGCCAGGCTCTCCCCACACGTTTCACAAAGTGTATAAGTCGCTGCTTGATGGCTTTGCTTTGCCAGCGGACCTCACGTTCCGCGAGGATGCACTTCTTCTCCTTGTAGCACTGCTAGGAGACGTCATTCGTGCGCAGAAGACTGGCTCACTGCCCTCCGCATTCCACGAATCATTAAGCAACCAGAACCCGTACGCTCCGATGACCGTGCACTGGGAGACGAGCCGTCTTGAGGCCACGCTCGAGTCGGCATTGACCGGATGGCGAAGCCACTTCACCCAGACTTCGCACGACGTGTTGGCACTATATCACTTTGCTCGACTCCATTTGATCGTCCCGCAAACGTGTAAGCTTGCTCGCTGGGCAGGCTATCCCGACAGGATGTCCAAGGCTTCCAGCACCACAGGATTGGCAATTTCGACTGAAGCGGCTGATCTTGCGTGGGAAGTACTCGCAGCGTCTGAAGCTTGTCGAACAGGTTCCGAGTCGTACATGTCCATCTGGCTTCCCGTGGTTGTTTTTTATTCTGCTTTGGTGGTAGGAAGGGAGTTCCAGAACAAAGGTCAACCAAAGACGAATCTGTCGAGTGCCAGAATACTGGGTAGCTTCAAAGAGGAGTTGCAACGACTAGACTGGCCATGCTGCGCAGCCATGAACGCCACCATAGTTCGCACATAGTCTGTAGCTACATATCCGTATTTGCCTTATGAAAGCGATGTTCACAGTTTATTATACTTATGCATGTTTGTAAAGTTCGGCAGTGACGTCGTCTTGCGGGTCAATAATTGGACAGGTCTTTCTGTTGTTCTACACTTCGACTGGTATTACGTTCTATACTGATGTTCAGTGCCTAGTCACAGCCCCCTCATTCTTGGTCCTTCTCTGGATCGCACACGCATCTTGGTACATGGCATAAGAGTGAACACACAACATACCAAAGCCAAGGGAGTGACAGAGCTAAGCCACGTTGGCTCGTCATCCCGGCCAGCATTACGAGGCCATAGCGGCGCTTCCACTTGATACATCACATCGACTTTGGAGGCAGCCATATAAACAGTCTCACCTCGAACAAGACTCCTGTCGACATTGATCAGCCTACGACGGGCACATACACCACAGTAAAACAGCAAGCATGAGTTGGAAAGGATTCCAGAAAGCCGCAGTGCGGGTATGTATGGGACATGAGACCGATAAACGTAAGTGCTGTCGGACTGACTCGGATGTGCACTACAGGCGCCACAGTCCGTCAAGCAGCGATTCAACATGGGCGAAATCACGAAAGACGCCATCTACATCGATGCCGAGCGTCGCTTCGAAGAGCTCGAGAAAGAGACCAAGAAACTGCATGATGAGAGTCAGAAGTATTTCCAGTCTATCAACGGCATGCTGGACCACCAGATCGAGTTCTCAAAAGCGATCAAGGAGATATACGAGCCGATCAGTGGACGGGCAAGTGATCCAGATAGTTATGTGATCGATGGCAACCCAGAGGGCATACGAGCTTGTGAAGAGTATGAGGCTATCGTGCAGGAGCTCAAGGCCTCGTTGCAGCCGGAGCTGGAGTTGATCGAGTCTAGGGTGGTCAGGCCGGCGGACGAGCTGTCGGAGGTCATAAAGATATGTCGGAAGACCACTCAGAAGCGAGATCACAAACAATTGGACTACGATCGCCACCGGAGTACTCTGAAGAAACTGCAGGATAAAGGCGACAAGAGCCTGAAGGATGAGAAGGCTTTGTACAAAGCGGAGAACGACGTTGAGATGGCGACGCAAGAATACGAAATCTTCAACAACCTACTAAAAGAAGAATTGCCACAGCTTTTCCGACTAGAAAAGGAGTTCATCCTCCCACTATTCCAAAGCTTCTACTACATGCAACTAAACGTCTTCTACACCCTGCACGAGAGAATGCAAAGTATCGACATTGGTTACTTCAACCTCACGCTCGCCATCGAAGACGCCTTTGAGGAGAAACAAGGCGATGTGAAACAGCAGATCGAAGCGCTAGGTATGACGAAATTCAAGACGACCGGCGGCCCAAAGCGACCAATGAGCAAATACGCCGGACGTCTCGGCATCGAGAACGGTCGCGCGAGTTCCACAAGTTCGGGAGGCACGAGTCCCAGCCAAAGACGCTTGACAGCCGACTCCTACGACTCGCCGCCCCCAGCATACTCGTCCGGCGCTTCGGCTGGTGCTCTCACAGTGGCAGGAGAATCAGACATCAATCGCTCGTCAAGTACAGGCAGCAACTGGACCAGCGCCGCGAAATCCAAAGGAGCGCCCCCGCCTCCCAAACCAAAACCGGGTGCACTGAAAGGTCATGCGACGGAGACAGTGACGGCGTTGTATGATTATGAGGCGCAGGCGGAAGGGGATCTGAGTTTTAGTGCTGGGGATGTCATTGATGTGGTGACGAGGACGCATAACGAGAATGAGTGGTGGGTGGGAAAGATTGGGGTCAGGCAAGGGCAGTTTCCTGGTGAGTGCACTTCTTGTTGTTTTATCTGACGTGATGCTCTGTGAGGCTAATCTAAACTCGTAGGCAACTATGTTCAGCTCGACTCGTAGCGTGGGTTGAGGCCGAGCGAGTAATACTGGAATCTCGACCTCCGGTCATCTCTACCTTTGAATGTAGCATAAATAATGCATAATCAGCCGTCCTCATCACCACTGCTCTAGATTGTCGTAAGCGTCAACAGACTTCGCTGATGTGCTTCTAGACGTTCGAGGACCTCGGATTCGCCTAACACGTGCGACAGAATCAGCCATATACCTGGCTGAAGTCGCAACAGTCGAACGAGGCCGATGTGCTCGACGTAACCGCATGTATGTCGTCCCGGACGACGATCATATCCCGTTCTCAATGTGAGCTGACAGCCACAATATCTCCTGACGGCAATCTTGATGACATCGCAGACTTGACATTGTCCACGAGGTCGTGCCTTCCATTCTCTGTAGATGTAAGGATTGCCATTTTCAAGGTGTTGACACGCGGGGAATGGGACTGAGTTGGCACTTCCAGTCGACATTAGCAGCTCCGGACAGATGCAGATCGTGGGACTTGGTTCTATGGAGCCGAAAGTGATAATGAGTCGCAGCGTGGCTGAGCAGTTGGCAACTCAGCCAGCCGGGCTGCCTCGAAATGACCTCGCTTGTTTTTCCCGCTCTGGCTTACCAAATACTACCCGATATCCCACGACACCAAGGTCAATTGTCGACGATCTCCGAACACTGTTGGGGCAACTCCATGGACCTACAGCACCCATGCAAGCAAATCACACCCGGCTGGGGCATTGCGGCGATATGGCGCATTTCGATGCTCACGCAAAATCAATGGGATGATCTTGTGCAAAACTTCTTGATTGATCATTAGTGTTGGCGTCTATCCTAGCTACATGGCCGTCAGAAGGATTGTATATAAGGGTATATCGATGCTCCCATCCATCCTAGCCCCCGCCCACCACATTCAGGAACGCCATCATATATATATACTATACAAGTATGTATAAGGACGCACAAACATCACACACGGAACCATGGCCCATCCAATTCACAGCCGAGGCAGATTCGTCCCCATATCACCAAGTAACCAATACTTCACTTAGAGCGCTACGGCAAAAAATGCAGCAACAGCGCCAAGGCTGACCAGGCTGACCATACCGACGACTTTCACACTCGACGCAGCACCTGTGTATGTGGATGGCGTGGACGAAGATGCGGTCGAAGATGATCCAGCACCTGTAGGTGTGTTGTTAACAACACTGACACTAGACGTCGACGGCTTGGTTACCGTACCCGTCGCACTTGCGCCACCAACTGCACTGGTCGTCGCATTCCCGTAAGGACCCGCGGGCATCGTGCCATTCTGTGGTGGCATTGGCACGCCGCTTGACTGGGACACTGCGGTAGCGTACGTCGAGATCGGGAATGGGTTGGAGGAATTGTATGTATATCCCTTTGGTGGCGCACCGGTCGGGCATCCAGGCTGGAACATTTGTGTTGATGCGGAAGCTGACGCTGTCATGGTTGCGTTGTTGGGTGATGATGGGTAGCCAGCTTGTGCGTTGACAGCCGCGGCGACGACGATGGCCGTTGTCAAGATGGAGGTGAAGTACATCTTGGCCGTCTGATCTAAGGTTGGTATCTTTGCGATAAGTGGTGTCGATGTTGTCGTTATCGGATGTGTCGAAAGAGCGAATGCGATCGTCGAGTTATAGCGATTGTTCTTCTGTTGTACGAAGTCCAAGAAATGAGATACCCTCTCTCAGTGGCACAGTCAGGTCTATAGCGTGGATATGTGATGAGGGAGATTTGTTAGGCGAGCAGGGGACTGTGAGGAATATATCATAGGCCCTACCTAGCGAATCACCAGCCTTGCGCCTAGCCCAGCATGATGGCAGGGTGCCTGATGAGACCAATGAAGCTATGAGGTTGGCAGGTCCGAGACTTTCGATGAACTCTGCACCAGGCTATCGCTGATTGTTGATGGATGACGCGCACGCTTATCGATGCGTGTCTATCAGGAATTTTGTCTTGTTAGTACTTGCATAGTCTCCGATCGCCACTCCGTTAGGGTGCGACAAGAACCTGTTCACGACTGCGGAAGAGGTCCCGATGATGTCGTTCCTCGCAGACTTCCAGGCTTGACCAGCCTCCCTGTCATTAGTTCGCATTAGCTGGGCTATTTGTCCGAACGGGTTCCTGCGCCCGAGGTGATGGATAGATCCTGCAATCATATCGCTGTTTGAGGTGGTACGCCTGATCCAATCTCAATCAAGCTAATCCTACGCAGCAGTCAAGCAGCGTTGTTGATAAGCCAAATGATGTGAGATGTGATACACCCCGCATGCGCCGGTCAGATCGGTGGCAGCATGTCGGCCTTGAGACGAACGACACAACGGCGCGCCACACAGCAACCGGTTTCGTCTCCGACCAATAGTCGAAGGGTCCGAGATCACCTGACGGGAGGGTCTGCCGAGGCCTTTGCGATGACGATGGTTGTCGTTGCACCGGCGTTAGTTGTACGAGACAAAGGTCTGTTATTCGACTGTTGATATCGTCCAAGCATAGTATTACCTGCAATAAATCTCCCATTTGTATCATCGAGCGAAGCCATGGGTTACGACTCAACAATACAGTTCACACTGGACACGATCTGTCCATGGTACGCTTGCCACCCAACATGATTTAAGATGCAAGACATGCGCTGCTTTCGGTATCCCATGGACACCCTGCTGAGACACAGCACAGGACCTACCTAGCCAAACGCCGTCTCTCCAAAGCAATCTCCCAACTCCCCAGCGACGCACCGGTATCCTTCTCCGTAAAATACATGCCCTACCAACTATATCCCGGCGCATCGCAAGAAGGCGAGGATAAGTATGAATGGTATCGCAAGTCGAAGTATGATAACTCCGAGGACCGGATGAATAAGTATATGGGTCTCATGTCCGTTTATGGCTTGGCGGAAGGCATTGAGTATAAGTTCGGCGGCACGGTAGCGAATACGTTGCAAGCGCATAGGATTCTCCAACATTTTCAAGATCTCAAGGGGCCGGAGACGGCGGATAAGATCGTGAGTAGTCTGTATAAGCAGTACTTCGAGGAGGAGAGGCATCCTAGTTCGCCGGAGACGCTGCTGAGGGCTTGTAGTGAAGCTGGAATTCCGGAGACAGAAGCCAAAGCTTTCGTGGAGGATGAGGATGAGGGTCTAATGGATGTCAAGATGCTGATTCGTGAGCAGGCGGGGAATGGCATTGATGCTGTGCCTTATATTGTGATTGAGGGCAAGAGGAGGGATGTTACGCTTGAAGGGTGTAGGGAGGTGAAGGAGTATGTTAAAGCTTTGCAGACTGTCATCAAAGAAAGCAAGTAGCGTGATCATGATTGAACCCTCGAACTGTTCGGGCACTTTGCTTGGGTCATGGACTTTGCGTCTACCTGCAGCATGGACGGCTGGACTCGCTGGTCTTATAGGCTCTAGCTATTTTATTTCGTTACGCCATACTGACATGCTTTCCCTACCATGTCGTCTTATCCTTATCAAAACTTAGGATTGTACTTCTCGCATGCCGTTTTGAAGGCCTCCCTCTTCTCGTCCATCCCCCTCAAAACCTCATGCTCCTTATCCACCTTCTGCAATCTGCTCAAAGCCTCCGCACCATCCCTCCCAACAACCTTCTCCAGCACGACCAGATTCGCCAACGCATCCGCGTTCCCCTCCTCCAACCCCAGCGCACTCTCTATCGCAGCATTTGCCTCCTCCGTCCGTCCCAAATGCAACTCACTCACCCCCTGCGCAACCAAACTCCACGCACTCGCCGAACTCGGATTCTGCGCCAACTCCTCAAAGACGTAAAACGCCTTCTGGTACTCCTCCCCACCCTTCCTCATTCCCACCCACGCCTCTGCCAGATTCACGAGCAGAGCATCCTGAGCGAAGGAGCGAGCGGATTGGGCTTCCTTGGCTGCGAGGTCCGGACGGTTAGATAGGAGGTGGATTTGAATTATCAGGGCTACGGCGTCGAGGGATCCTTGATGTTTTGACAGGAGGGTGAGAGCTGCCTCATTGTTGCCTGAGCGGGCGAGGATGGTGGAGCAGAGGAGTTGGATGGTTAGGTTTTCGGCATGTTGTTCTGCTAACCGTTCGGCTTCTTTTACTGCGCCTGCGCTGCCGGTTCGGAGGTATGAGGCGTATGTCCGTACGGCGGCGAGATCGGGTGTGCTTTTGGCGTTTGAGTCGCTGATGCTGCCTATCACTTCATCGTACTGTCCTAGGGCGCATTGCGCGCGATATTGTAATACTTGGACAGGAAGGTGGTTTGAGGAGCTGAAGTCGGATGTGTTGAAGTCGTTCAGTACGGAGGTGTATTGGGACTGGATGAAGGCTGTGTGGATGTTCACTAGTTCGCCGTCGGAGGAGAAAGGATCCATTGTAGCTGTGAGAGTGGTGTACGATATGGTAATGGCGATGAAGGTGTGTTGACAAGTGTTGTGCTGCGTCCAATTGACTTTTTGGGTAATGCTTCAATCAATATTTGGCCGAAATTCCAGGCAAGCTCGCCGAGCATCACTTCACCTCTAGAGCCCGGAATGTTTCTGCTTTCAATGCCATTCTTCGAAGCTTAACACTCACTTGCCCGAGACCTGAGATGTATCTTCTGTCACGACATGGGACGTCATCCTACTGCCTTCGTGGCGACCTGGCAGTCGAAGTTGCCGCTGGGGGCGTACACTAGAGCTTGCCACACATGTGAGCGCCGCCCATGAATCTGGATCTAGGTAAATTATGTCGCAACTCATTTGAGGATCCCATAAGACTGAGTCGGACCTATAGGCAGCCTTAGAGACGGATTTGACGCTACTCTCAGCAGTCGCCTAACTAGGAAGGTCCTATCACATCCCAACACGCTGCTTGTACCATCCAGGACCAAGACTTTGCAGAGAGTGTATCACTACTGGCATAGGCTCTAATGTGTTATTGGCCATAGGTGAGCTATCCACATTCATTCACTGGCGGCATGACTGCATCCGTGCGCTGAGCATCAAAAGGGTACGGGACAGTGACTTGGTTCCCTCGTGATCTGTCAATCGATTTTTGACCCTTTCTGAAAGCACACTATCATTTCAACAGCTCTCCGGCCCAAGAGCTCCCAAGCGAGCACCCTACAGCTCCCCGGCCGAGCCATAATACCTTGTGGCTAACATGCTTTGAGCGGCATCTTGAAAGACCTACTTCCCAGAACTGTGCTCGCCAATTACGGTACCAAGGTTCATACCTTGCCTGGAACAGAAATCGAGACACCAACTCTTGTCTACGTATGTCAGTTTGGGCTCCCAGCTTTGCGGACCTACTAGTCCTCTAGCATGGACCATTCGCAAGCGGCGTCTATAACCGTCCAGTGCGAGATCCAGGCTCGTACTCTCAAGGCATACTCTTGCTGCTGGTGTAGTTTGAGACGTAAAGCGCTGCACGCAGACCCCTCTTTTAATATTCACGGCATCATGCTGTGTTACATACGGCTGCGTGGTGTCTACAAGGCCGAGCATGGCAGAGAGATTACTGTCATATAAAGACTGAGCTGACCCTCAACTTCAGCGCCAGAAAAACACTATGCCTCGTGGATACAATCGCGACAAGACGGCATTATCGCCAGGAATGTGCCTACATGTTCGTTGGTTTTAAGGCTACCTTCCATAGGTGCCAGCACCGTGATACGAATTCCAGATTCCAAGCACACAGATACACACGACTAGCACAACAGAGTCATACCGGTATCGACAGCATAGCATCGACGCATCGACAGCGTTTTGACGTTGTTCGAGCTCTTTTAGCACGACAGCCAAGGCTCCTGTACTTTGGTCATCATGTAGCATAAGGTCGCGGCTCACCGCCAATTGATTGGCCAGACTTCAGTGAATCCGTTGCATGCACATTTTCTTTAGTGCCGGGCAGCAGGCCATCAATCGCTTGTCGGCCGCTCCCAGCTCTACTCTTTTTCAGTGATCAGCATAGCTGGATCATTGTAGAGAGCGATTACTGAAGATTCGGAGATCTCGTGCGCCTGGTTTTAGACAGTGCGAATGCACATCGATAGAAAGTGTCGATCTGCGAAAGCAAGCTGGACTTGGAATAGGTAAGGCTATGAGAGCAGAAGACTTTTCAAGCCGTTGGTTCTGAGTACAATACTGGCGGATGCACTCCATCAAGGGACGTAACACATCGCACTCTGCTCTGATTTGACGCACCCAAACTTTTGCAGTCATCAGCCATGCAAGGAACTGATTGGACCGCTTGCTCAAGTTGCCTTGTCGCACCACCTCCGTTAGCTCTGCGAGACGACGAGCCTATCGTCTGTGGAGACGCCATCATTTGGTACCGTCATATGCTGTGTTTGGTGCCACGCGCGAAGGCAACTGTCACAAGCTTCGCAAAGTTCAATGGCGTATGGTTCTTTTCACGTCTGAAGTCCAATAAGCCTGTCCGCTGGATGGTCGTATTCAGCGTTCAGTCTTCCTACGAGCATTCCAGCAGACATTAATCGGACCACTCCCTCGTCCGGTCTACGCCTCGCAGACACATTTGCCAGGCAACATGCTCAGACTCCGGCACGAAAGTTCTTAAACGCTGTGCTCTTCGTGCGGTAATCTACCAGAAGCATTCGTGGTCAGTACGAATGCGTGGTATTGAATGGGGGCCCGCAGTAAAGACGGTGGCCCTGCTAATATGTTGTGGTTCATTTCCATGTATTCGAATTACTCAAGTCGCTACATCCCCTGTACACTACAATGCTCCGGCAAAGACGTGTCTGGGCATCTCTGGATTCAGAAATCATTTCAACAGCATCTTGTGGAGCTCGAAACAAGCTATCTACATTTCCAGATTCTATCAACTCATCAGTTCCATCCAGTGCCGCCCATTAGACCTCGCAAAGAAAGAAATTCCAAAGATATACCACACAACTTTCAAAAATAGACTACACAAGGGTTTTGCAATCTTCACAGCTCACTCACGGTGTGATGCTATCCCCGAGAACGACGGAAGAGACGCTTGACGTACTTGCTCTCACTTCTCGACGTGAAATACGAGACATGGCTGGTTCTCCACCGGGCCCGGTGGAGGACCAGTGCCCTGTTTGCGTCGTGGCTGGTCCGTCCAATCCATACTGACGTAGTACAGGAAGACTGTGTCGATTCGGGATTGCGGAAAATCGGCATGGTGATATCCTAGCATACCGGCAACCTGTTGACCCAAGGGGGAGCCCACCAGCGCCATGCCCTGCTCCGACGTTGTGGAGAAAGCCTGTCCGTCGGTGGATTTTCCCGGCACGCCTCTCCACTCCGCTCGAAAGTTCGACTCAATCGATCTCTGATTCCATACAGTCGCCGCGAGCGAAACGGTTTCAGGATCATTGATGCCAACGATGAAAACATATTGTAGGATTTCAGGCCTTAGATGGATTTCTTCGCAAGCCTGCTTCCATAGTATTAGGCCGATGTTTCTCCAGTCGCTACCGGGGGAATAGTTGATCGGTCTCTGAGCCTGCGGCATGGGTTCTGCAGCCTGCTGCATTGTGAGATGTTTTTGTAGGACCAACACACCCTGTCCGGGGGTCGCTGCCTGTAAGTATTCCGCCCCTGTAGCGTTGTACGGCACTTCCGCGATGGTCCAAGTCTTCAGGTGATCGTGGTATATATTGCGCAGGAGACCTCTATGGCTAATTACACTCATACCATTGACACTCGTGTCAGTTCGTGGGCGGAATCTCGGATCTAAGCCGAAATGCTGGTAGGCATCCAGGACTGCATCGACATTGAACGCGGGAATGCCCTTGGCTCTCTGCACCCATCCGTGTGGCGTGATGTCAGTGAAAGCGTTCACCGTCGACTGAGGTTGAAATGCTCGGCCGCTGTCAAGAGCTATGACCATCTGCCGACCAGCTGCAACCGCTTGTTGCCACATAGGCTGTGATAATTGCAGCGCAGTCCCGGAGTGAGAGCTAGTACCACTTGCATGGGTGTTCTGTTGACTGTTGTCGCCGATGCGGAACGCCAAACCTGGGTATTTGCGATCGAGCCAGTCCTCAGGGATCTCCCCACCATTTATACTTCCCAAGGGGTCATAAACTACCACTTCGACCACGATCTTGCCCGGGAACATGTCTTGATGCTGAGCGATTAACTTGGCTACCTGACGGCCTATCGGCATCCCTAGCAGAGCTTTCCCGGGATCAGTCGAGGTCGGGAAAGAGTTACCAGGCCAGATTTTGATGTTCTGCCAATCACCGTTGAGGGCTGTCTCCATGATATCTAGAAAATCTCGATCCGTGATCTTCGACATGAGTATCCAAGTGAGGCGATCGCAGGCTGTGTCCGCAGTGTTATGTAACTGACACAGGGTTTGCCAAGCCACGGCCATGACATCCTGCCACTCGTCCAGCTTATCTCCATCAGTGTTCTGAGCATCAGCAGTACCCTCGCTAGGTTGATTCATCTCCGTGACGGCGACCACACCCGCATCGTGGAACATGAACTGATCTAGGCAGGCCGGTGTACTTTCAACAACGTGATACAAGAAAGGGTGGGTCTCTTCCCCAGCTTTGTGCGAGAAACAGACACGGCCATGCTGCTGCGATGGTTCTCCAGCACCCAAGGCCAGGAGAGGAGAGCGGAGATAATTAACATCGACCTGAGGCAGCTCAGTCCCCTCTGCACGTTTCCAGCCCCACTTTTCTAGGTCCTGATATGTCTGCTTCTTAGCTTGAGCACCGGGGTATATTTTGAAGAAGATGTTTGACCATGCTAAGGCGTTTTTGTACTGCTCGGAGTGACTGGAGGGTCTCTTTGCCGCAGGTTGACCAGGAGGACTGTTGGATGCTGGCCGAACTCGTTGACCAGACGGACCAGGCTGCCCAGCATCGGCCGCGAGAGATGCCTTGAGGACGAGAAGGAGGAGCAGGATCAGGACCATGCCTAGAGATGACTTGTGTAAGCCAAGCATGATGTTGATAGCCGATTCAGTGTCGATGAGAGTGTCGAGAGTAAGGTTGGAGATGGTTGACTTCTGAGATGAAGATTAGCATTGGTCAAAATATACAAGAACAAGCACTGAAGCTGACCGGAGTAGCTAGAAATGGTGATGAGAAGTTGACACTGGATGTCCAAAGGGTTGAAGATGTGGTGATATTGATTGGGGCAGAAAGTATCGAAGGAAGAAGGGCCGTGAAGTATGTATGCCACCTATGACTGAGGCACGAGAAAGCACGCTCTGGTGTCTACATGGCAGTGCCAACGCTTGGGAGAGTCGTACTTGCAGGAGAGTGCGAAGTCGACGCAAGAGGTAGACGACAGGGATGGCGAAAATATACCAGGAGCTGCGGAGGACAGGAGCAGGCAACCGCCTCTCTCGAGAGATAACTCCCAGAAGTAGTCGATCGACTAGTGAGTTGAAGGCGCGCAGTGCACAAGGTTCTTAGACGTGTTCAGATAATGATTATTCGACCATCAAGACATGTACCTTAGTAATGTTTGTGAAAGAAAGAAGACCCAGGTGAGCAAGGAGCGAGGTATATATACCCTCGCGGCACCAAGCACAAGATAGCATGTCGCTGTACTTACGTGGCAGCGACAGCACCTTGGAGTTGTTCTAGCATGTGCACATGCACCCAAGGACAGCGCTGTGTGCTGGCTGTTCACGTAAACCCCTTGGAGAGTCTGGCGAGAGGTGGCAAGGGAGGTAGTGAGGAGGTAGACATACCTGGCAAGTGTCCTCGAAAGAGTGTTCGGAAGCCTTTACGAGCGGTTGTAGATTCGTAGGTAGGAGCAAACCTGCTACAATCGTGGGCCAAAGGACATGCTGTGTGGTGCAAGCTCTGGAGGCTAGCGGTAAAGCCAGACAGCAGAAGGTTCAATGGGTGTCAAGTTCTTGAGAGTTCGAAGTGTTGGAGAAAAGAAGGTTCGGAATGGCAATATGCCTCGAAGATGGTACAATCTCCTCTCTACGAAGTATGCAGAGCCATGCACTGCCTGACAGTCAGCATAGTAAGACATGGAGAGAGCTACTCGCACAGTCGGAGCTCACGTAGACTCTCCACCACCATCATGGTCTTCACATCCAATGTCATCGCTCATAATTCATGGCACATCTTACCATATCCATTTTATTTCTCATACCCTCAAAACCTCAGCTTCGGCCCGATGAAGACAAGCAAGAACGCAGCCACCCACAGTCCAGCAATCAGTCCATATAACTTAAGCCGCGCAAACCACCCCTTCCCTTCAGTCATACGCCTCAACATCCCCATTCTCCACTCCGCAGCCTCCATGCCCTTGGCACTCGAATCGAGACCGCCCTCAGCTCGGTTAAGGATTTCTTTCTCCGCTGCCAGGGAGCCGGAGAATTGAACGGAACTCTCCTTTAATGCTCGCGCGAGACCGATTAGCCCGGTGGTCAGGTTTTCTTGCTCGGTACGGTTGTGCGTCATCAATGTTTCCGTTCTTGAGGTCTCATCAGAGGGCAGCTGGTCTTTCGGTCGGCCGGAGAAGAGTTGTTCTCTTGCTGTTGTTGAAGCTGCGGCGCGGTTGTCGGAGGCTTGTAATGGCTTTCGATTTCGCATGTTCTGGAATGAAGCAGGATCTATCCCGCTCGAAGGCGTCTCGGACACATCAAGACCAGCCTCGGTATCTTTACGAGCAGGTCCATAGTCTGTCACCGTCGTGATCGCTTCGTCCTCGTCACTTTCATCGTCATCGTCCTCCTCATCTTCAGCACCTTGGTCCAGTTCCTGTAGTCTTGCTTGTAGCTTTTTGATCCCTTCTCGTTTGCTCTGCAAGTCCGCTTGTATACTCTGCCGCTGTGATTGCACACGTACAGTGGCAGACTGCTTCTCCAGGGTCAAGAGTAGAGTCCGGGCATGCTCGACATTTGCGCTGACCCGGTTGCGCTCGAACTGTGAGCGGCGCAATCGATCGTCAGTATTATTCGGATCCAGGATAGTCTGGTCAAGCTTGCCGAGCAGCCGGGTGAGCGAGGTCTGAGTAGTTGCGTCCATTGTATATTTTCATCTGAGGTGCTTTGGCTTCACGTGCAAGGTGTCTTTCCAACCGATGCCCATCTTGCAGTAGCGCGCTGGACGGGCCGAACCTCTTTTGGGCCTTTATTTCTTCGAACTCCATCACATCGCCACCCTTTGCAATCATCTGTCTGAAGTTAGGGCGGTTGGAATGTGCAGAGTGCCGATCATTGCAGGAGTGAATGCCTGAGAACCATGCATCACCATTATGGTGCAACCGAAGCCGGCCGCACGACGTGGCAAGGGCAGAGCCCACAAGCCGAAGAAGGCTGAAGCGAAAAATCAGGATGTAGCTCCCAATTTGCACAGCACGATTCCTGTCGGTCTCCAGCAAGCATGTCTAGACATCTTCTTCGCCGCCATAAGACCAAGTGACGAGAACGCCAGCATCCTTCAAGAGGTCAAAGGCCATCTTTACAATCGCGATTTCGCTGCAGCTTTTGGCAAGGAAGAGTATCTGCGGGTTTATGCTGGACGCTGGAGTCCAAGTCGTGCTTTAGGCTATCTACAGATACTGCATGATGTACAAGATCATATCAGACCTCCCGGATCGGCTGTCGATCTATTTCGTGTTGTCTGCTTAGGTGGTGGAGCAGGCGCCGAAGTCGTGGCCTTTGGTGCTTGGCTGAGCACTTTGGATGCGGAGATCAAGCTGAGTGCATGCTTTGTTGACATCGCTGCATGGTCGACAGTGGTAGACATACTTCACGAACGCTTACTCAATCCTCGTGTGTTGTCAGAGTACGCATCTGCAGCAGCAAAGGAAACCAACACCGCGTTGCTTTCGCTCGGAGAATATGCAGCTAGCTTTCTACAACAGGACGCGCTCGTTTGGCCTGACACAGACTTGTTGAGCACGATCAACAAGGACACGAACCTGGCGACACTCCTTTTCACGCTCAACGAGCTCTACACAACCTCCATGACAAAAACACAGCATTTCCTCGCACAACTGACGGTGGCCCTATCGCCTGGCGCTCACCTTCTTGTGGTGGACAGCCCTGGTTCATACTCTACCATCCAGACCAACGAGGCTGAGAAGAAGTATCCGATGCAGTGGCTACTGGACTATACGCTTCTGAACGAGAGCCGTGCTGTGCGAGCGGCGGATCCAGGCCCGGCGCCAAAGTGGGCGAAAGTGCTTAGTGAGGACAGTAAATGGTTTCGTTTACCTGTGGGACTGCATTACCCTATCGAGCTGGAGAACATGCGGTATCAGATTCATCTGTATCGAAGGCTGTCGGATGGTGATAATGGCTGAGAAGGTGGGCATGCAAGAGGTAGAGTATGCGTAGGACCAGGATTGAATCGACAGCCTTATCTATCGACTAGCACCAACCAGACGCTTGCCGGTTTTACACTCTTTCACGCCACGCCCACAACACCAGGCACAATCTTCGATCAGAAAGCCCACTTGCTCATGCCAGACCACATGTTGGACGTTCGAATCGTGGCTCAGGAAGCCGAGACGTCACTGGGAGTCGCAACGGCCGTCGAACTGGACCATCTGGGTGTGGGCGTAGGGGTGATGTTATGTTGGAGTGGTTGACCTTGGGTTATTGGACGATTCCATTGGCCACGAACTTCCTATCAGCTACCAGCGGCGAATATGACAAGGCGAGAGCCATAGTAATCAGCACAGTACCAAACTAGTACAAGGCAGGAGTCGGAGAGGACAGATCAGCACACAACCTGACATCACAATCAGAGCACAAGGTGTTGGTGAGCAAATGCTTCTGATTCTTTTATATGTAAGCTAGCAGTCAGCCGTACTGTTACGCCGATGCATATAGATACATCCTGATCGAACCACTACCATACAAACCGAATAGCTCTCAAACGACTTGACTCCTAGTGCAAACCCAGGAAAGCCACGAATTATGATAGCAAGTCGCAGAATGGCAGCCAGCCTTACTGGTACGCCATTGTCAAAGTCGTTAATCGTAAGTCGTAATTCGAAAGAGGAGAAGTAGAAGTCGTGGAGTTGATCGTTGACGGTCGTTGTAGGGAGCAGACGAGCAGCTCAAAGGTAGAACATAGTGTTGTCCAGGGCCTCATGCCACGGATTAGCCCTCTCAAGATCACCATACTTGGAACCAGTGACCTTGCCCATCTCGCGATAGTAATCACTATTGAAAAGATAGTTCCGCACATCATCGCGGAAGTCTTCGATCTTCTGATCCGCACCCTTCTCGAAGTCTGCATGGAAGTCATCGCCGTTGGTCAACCAGCCACGAATATATGCACGGCCACGATCGCACAAGCGGTCGGCGTAGTATGCTGGACCGCAGTACGAGACACCGCGAGTGGCGCGAGCATAGTTGTAGCAGAAAGCGTGGGTGATGTTCTGAAGGCGGTCCGCGCTGAGCTGCATGCCGTTGGTCAGGACGAAGTAGTGACCGGCTCGGCCAGTGCCCTTGAGAGGCTGGTGGGATTGGAGGTAGAAGTCGAAGGTGTAGGGGTGAGTGACTGTCTCCTCGACGACGCAGCCGGGGAGTACATTGCCGTTGAAGTTTCCGCGCTTGTCTTGCCAGGTGTCTTGGGCTTGTCTATCTTCGGGGACGTAGAAGCGGGTGTTGTGGCGCTTACTCACGACGACAAAGGTAACTTTGAACTCTGGCGTCTTGTCGGTCGGCTTACCTTGGTAGCCGCCGTGGAATTTCTTGAGCACAACATAAGCAAGATCGTATGCCTCTTGAACCATCGGAATCTCTGACTCGCGAATCTTCTCGTAGTACGACTCGCTCACGCCGTCACGGTAGATCAGAATCTTCTTCGGCAGTGTCTTGTTGTGGCGGAGAGCCCAATCGACGAGGCGCTCCCTCACCATGAGTTGGAACTCGGTGATCACTTCCTGACGTCCTTGCTGCAGGCGCATAGAGCCCGGAAATTGCGCGAAATGATCGTCAGTGCTGCCGACGACAGCAGCGACGGAGGGACAGCCTGGTGCACAATGGCCCATGGGGTGGGTCACATCGGCGCCCAGGACAATGGCATCGGCAATGGTCTTGTTGGCATCATCGAACAGCTCTCTCAAGGCATCAGGCTTGATGCGATGGTTATCGCATTCGCCTTTGGTGTTGATCTTCACAGCGATGTTGGCACAGTGCTGCCCAGCAGAGAACTTATTGAATTCTCTGAACTGTTGCCCATTCTGCCACTTGGTCTGCCACCACTTGCTCATCTTGGCGGCAACACAGCAGACGGTCTTGAGACCCATCTTCAGCTCTGCCACGCGCTTGATCGTTGCGTAGAGATCATCATTCTTGGAAGGCATGGCGATAAGCACGGTCAGCTTGGAACGATGAATGGATCTGCTGCCCTCGCCAACTTCGTATGCCGAGACGACCTCGGTGAGTATTTCTATCATGCGATCTTCGTTCATTGCCAAGGTGTCGTCTTCCTTGTAAGTTGCAGAAAAAGTTTCGACCACGGCTTGCATGCCCAGCGTATCCATCTGCTCTTGCAGCGCTGGGTAGAACTCACGCGGCAACAAACCGGACTCCTCGCCTTCGCCAGTAGCCTGACTGGCCACATCATCATCATTGCCCGGGTGCAGATGAGTCAAGTCCAAAACAGGAACATACTCCGTGTCGCAGGTAGAAGCAAGCCGGAGCTTGATCAGGTTCCAAGATGCACGCTCAACACGAGCAACTTGTGAACCACCATACTGCACAACCGGTGGTTTGATGTAGCGGCAAGCAATCTTGGCCAGCTCAGGCGTGATCTGCAGGCCAAAGTCATGCTGCAAAGCCCTGGTGAATGTATCGTCGCTAAACCCAAAGAGCTTCAAGCCGCCATCCGTGATCCTGCTGATCTGGTCCTGCGGGGGCTTACAGGCCATCAACAACATCTTGCTCGTCTGATTACCGGAAAGCTGAACACGATATGGCGGGTGGCCCATGATAGTGAGGTGCTCTGGTGGCCACCATTCAGGCTCAGTAGGCGCACCAGCCTGCACAGCAGCTTTGCTCGGCTTCTTCTTCCTAGTATCATGACCAGTGTTGATGGAGAAGTGTGCCGGGTCAAGTGGCTTGAGTGCTGCATTTGAATATTGAGGCAGAGAGAAGTGAGCGAATACGGTTGTGCCCGACGAAGGAGTAAGCGTTTGATGCCCAAGATGCGAGCCAATGCTCGTGATGTACTTGGTACGTTGAGCTTCTGATTGACCTGGTGCAGCGGCTTCCGATACCAGAACCTTGACACCTTTTGATCTTGTGGATCCAGGTTTGAACGGTGATTCCTATCGGAATGAAGGGCGAGTAACGCGAATTGATGTTGACAAGCAATTGCTGAGAGCCTGGGCGTACGGAGACGTAGAAGCCGCAGTAGCCCACGATCCTGTTGTGCTGAATTGCAAAGTTCTCGCGTACATCGTAGAATTGGTTGGCGTTCTTGGCGAAGAGGTTACCGTCCGAGCTGTTGTGGGCATACTGGGTGATCATGGTGTTGAGGCCACGAACCAGCAGGGCAGGATCGTCGTCACCTGTGATGCGACCTGTGGAGTCGCGGAATTGTTGACCAACAGTCCGGCCCAAGTCAAGTACTTTGTAAAAATCAATGTGAGCTTCAAGACACGAAACGGGTTGCAAGCTGTCTGGATTCCTGCCGCTGACGTTATTTATGACGGGCGGAGAGGAGCGGTAGTCATCATCGTCGAAGAGTGGCTTGGTCGACCAAATAAGATCGAAATCCGTGACCCAGAAGTTCAAGGAGGTAAGGCGCGGCAGCCGAGCCTTGATAGCATTGAAGAGGCCTTCCTTCTCAAACTTCTTCTTGACGTAAAAAAGCTTTGTCCTCGTCTTGCTCCTCTAGCTCATCATCACGTTTGTAGTGCTTAATGAAGATGATCTTGTACACGAAGATGAAGTTTGGGCGCTGCGAAACTTTCAGGAAGTTGGTCAGGACTTCGCTGTTGCGACCATCGGAGCCTAGTCCGACACGGAGACCACGCTTGTGCATCTCATCGACCAGAGTCTCAGGCGTAGTGTTGTTGGTTTCGTGGACTTTGCATTGCAAGATGAGGTGCTGCGAAGGCAAGTCGGTATGTGAGAGGGTGACAAGAGCGTCGCCAGTGAGAGTCCGGGCGTCGGCAGTCGGGAACGGGACCATTGGGTTCGGCGATCGTGGAGGAGCTGATGCTCCAGCGGTGTTGGCCTCTTGGCAGTCCTGGGCACGATGGCCGAATTCACCACATTTGTAGCAACCACCGCGGCTAGTGGGAGCAAGTCCACGATAGTTTCCACGACTCCCTCCACGATCACCACGACCCCGGCCACCTCTGCTGTTCGCTCTGCCACGGTCACCACTGCCGCGGCGAGCAAAATTGCCGCCATGATCGTCTTGATCGAAGCCACGGCCGCGAGGCGTGTAGCCGGCAGGACCATCGGCGTCAGGACGAGGTGAAGCTGGAGTGTCAGACCACTGACGGGCACGGTTCCAGGCCGCGCCTTGCCCACCTGCGTTGTTGGCTGGTGGGAAGGTGGTCGGAACTGGCGTGTTGTCCTGATTGGGTCGATGGGCAAAGGCAGCTGCGTTTGGATTGGGCTGGAAATTGGCTGGCGGGAAGGGCGGGCGTGGTGCACCTCCACCGGTGGCTTGGGCGTAGCTGAAGGGTTGGGGCTGACTTTGGCCTTGGCCTGAATTGCCAGGAGGCTGACCTTGTGCGTTGGGCGGCTGGCTGGAATCGCGTTTGGGAGGCATGGTTGTCGGTGACGATGTTGTCGATGTGACGTTGATACGATACCCAAAAATAATCCAGACGATGTCCTGTGCTACCGTGATATTCTCTTCCGTCCAGCTTGCTGTAAAGAGAACAGTCTTTGACGTCCTTCAGCTGTATGCCTTTATGCCTGTATGTATCATCGGAGGGCAGCAAGCTGCAGTACACGTTTGCAAGTCAGTCATGGCAAACCAAAGCGACACAAAAGCTTGATGACAGTAGTAGGCACCAGTCATGCGCGAGCAAACAGACAACTGCCTTCACCTCTGGATTGCAGAACAAAGAGATCCTGAAATGGCTTCAGCAGGATGACACTGGAAGAAGGATGATGTGATACAGGCTGCCGAATAGAGCATGCAGTATCTGCAGGCCATGAGGAAACAAGCACACTCTTTGGGGCTTGTCTCGAGACATGCATACCTTTCCTTCGGCGGCAAATCCGCCGTCGAAGCCACCAAGCTGCTGATAATGGGAGCAAACGGCACATAGCACATAGTGCATCAACCGCAGCAAGCCTTGGCAATTGACTGGCTGCAGAGCCCGGTCTGGTAGTTTCAAGATGGCATACCACCCGTCCCAGTCCTCCCGCTCTCGACACCAACCCCACTTCCACCACCATTTCCGCCCTGCAGCCCCTCTCCTCTCGCCGCAGCCCCAGGGCCGTTCCCATTTCCTACTCCACTGGCCCCTCTGCCTCTCCTCGCCACCTCCTCCAATTCCTCCGCCTCACTATCCTCCTCCGGCACCTCCTCCCACCCAACCTTCCGTCTCAACACCCGATTCTCCTCCCTCACCCCCTTCAGCCTCCCCACCCACGGCCGCCTCTCCTCCTCCCTCTCCCCAAACGCACCCCTCACTCCCTCGCTCAACCGTCCAAGCGACTCCTGCCATCGCTGGTGCACTAGTTGCGCCTCCACTGTCTCGGATCTTGATTGTTCAAGGAGAGAGGTGTAGTGTTTATGTATACTGATGATATAATTCTGCTGGTCGAAGAGGTAGGAGCGGAGGCGGGAAGTGGTTTCCGAGAGAGTGGATTCGTACATTTGGTTTAGCTTTTCGTGGGTGTTGACGTGGTGTTCGAGGGTGGCGATGCGGGATTGGGAGGTGTGGAGGGCGTGGGTAAGGGACGTTAGGGTTTGGGGTTGGTCGGCTGGTAGAGTGTGATATTAGCTTCGTGATGTAGAAGGAATGAGAGGCTGTGGAAGTGGAGTGAGGTGGGTATAAGATTCACGTGACGTACACTCGACATCATCCCCTGCAGTAGCCATAGCAGAAGCCACGGCATTCGTCTCCCCATCGCCCTCAACATCACCTCCATCAGCCAGGCCCGCATTCATACCCAAATGCCTCGCTCCGGCCCAATCCGTCCCACTTACACCATTCGCACTCGCCCCGCCATTCACCAGACTCACGCCCGTCATCCTCTCCACCCTACTCAATCCCTCCTGCAATCCCAACCACTCCTCCCGATTCTGCTGCAGCCAGCCAGATAATTGCTCCATACTCTGCATCAAAGTCTGCATATCCGCATAGTGTCCCGCGGAGGGCATAACATTGTTGTTCATCGCCGCCGCATTGTTGTATAGAGCTGAGTTGTTTCCGCCGGCATTGTTGCCGTTGCCGTTGGGTTGGGGACCGGCCATTGTCTTGTGCTTACTTTCGGTGAATCGCGGTTCCTGTCGAGGAAGTGGAGGATGTAGAGGAGGTACGGGAGTGGTGACGACGGCGGTGGCGTCTTGGTGGAGCGGTGTTCTCGTTGGTTGTGGCCTTGGGGTGGAATGCAGGGGTTGCGGTAGTGGGATGTGTGAGCTCGTTGGCCGAGGAGCGCTTTTCGCCAGGTCCGATGACCGTGTGTACGCTGTCTCCAGAGTCCGACTCTGTATCCTTGTCCTCAATCGTGCTTTCTTGTTTTGGTAGGAACAGGGAAGACACAATCGCAGCTTCCTGTTTCACCTTCCCACGTTTCTTGTTCTCCCGCTCACGTGCTTGCTTCTCGATCTGCTCCTGATCCCACAGCGCAATCCAAGCTTCGAATTCTTCGTCGGTCTCCCAAGAAATCTCTTCTTGTTCCGCATCTGTGAAAGTGTCAGTCAAGATATTGAGTGGACGTCGAAGTCCAATATGCAGGGTGCAAGCTCGCATGCACGGTCCATGTTCAGCAAAGCGCGCTAGCAAAAGCCAAATCCACACCTCGCTGTCAACCTCACTTCACCTTTCTCAACACCATCCACTCACCTTCAGTCTTGCTTTTCGCCACCGGCCTCGCCACCTTCCTCTGAACCGTTTCCGCGACCCTCTGGCGTCTCTCGATACCCATCAAGCCACCCCCATTCCTCTCCACATACTCCCTCAACCCCCCAACCCTTCTCTCCATTCCCCTGGCCCCAGCATCCACAGCCCCAAAAGAATATCTCACCCCCCCACCACTCCTCGTAGACTCCCCCATAGGATTGGCTGGCCAAACACACCCCTTCACCACCCGACACGGCCTCCAATTATCCATTGCCGCCTCCATCTCCTTCAAACTCCTCCTCGGCCCCCCTTGCGCCAAGAAAGCCGGCACATTCGCCAGTTCCAGCGGCGTATAGAATGATCCCTCCATCCGCCGCGCATAATTCGCAATGAAGGGTCGATCGTCCATTTCTTCTTCGTAGGGGACTATTCCCTCATCCTCCTGCTGGCCGGGTAAAAGGCCCCGTTTCGCTCGGTCGAGGGCGAGCTCTTTTTCTGCTTCTTCGATCTTCTGCCGAATGAAGTCGTCCGAGAGAGGCATGTCGAGATGCTTGCTTATTTTGTCCACGAGGATTTCGACGCAGATTTCTAACCACTGGTCTTCTTGGTTTTCGAGTGAGATTTTGAGGTCGTAGGGAGGCATGGAGAGTTGGTGTGCGGTGTGTTGTCAAGTTCATCGAAGTCGAGGATCGGAAGGCGAGGTGTTGTGGGTGGTGCTTGTGGCGGCGGATTGTCGGCGGACCATTCACACGCCATGCCCGTTTGCCTTACTATCTCCAAGGGAGTTCTGCTTAAGTATCTTTCCTTGTCTTTTGTCCTATTCGCACTACGTGATGCTGAAGAGCAGATGCGCTAATTTAACGAAAGCAAGACGTCTTGAAGGTGCATGAGACTATGGAAGTGAAGTGACAGTTCGATCAAACAAGTGAATGTACCTCTAGATACTGAGATGCCGATACGCTGATAGACAATCTACATGCTACAACTTTTACCAGACCTGTAGGGTCTTGTCACTTTGCTTCACTGGGTCCATATGACAAGACATTTCAGTAGCGTGTTGGTAACTCTTGCCCACTTGAAGCACGCATCCGACTAGAATACCGTTGGGAAGACGGCTCTAAACGACCATCGAACTACCTTGGAGAGATCCCTTGGAAAGATACCATCGCTGCAAATCGATCTTCAGGGCTATCGACAACTCAAATGACGACTTCACTATGTGTACACACTGCTCACATATCACTCCATGTGAGGCTCCCTACAACAACCGGTAACACCGACAATATCCGATGCCTATTACACCACCTCACAGTATCGCTCCCAGTCAGAGGCGCGCGTCTGCCAGCAGATCACGCTAGTATCCACGACTCCAACATCCTCACCCCATAGCCAAGATACCCTTGGCTTCGCCCTGCTCTCTCCCAACCGCGTGGAACCCCTCACGTCGAGACGGGAAACTTCACAATCAAAGCCACTCTGGGCTCTGATGACCAACGCTGATTTCCCCGATCTCCAGCATGCCAAGCGTCATACCCGGCATCTTCCGTCTATCTGCCACCGAAGCCAAGGCTACCGTCCGTGGTGTCCTCGGCTTTATATTTGGCTCTGCTACTGCCACTCCGGCGGACCTCGGTGTCTTTGGCGTTCGGAGAACGTAAGGTGATCTGGGAGTTCTAGGCGTGGATCCAGCAATGACACCAGCCAGACTCGTGCCCAGTCTCGGTGCCACACCATCGCCAGACTTGATAGTAGGCTGGTGCGGCAGGATTCGAGGTTGGAGGATCGTCGTCCCAGAAAGCGGGCCCAGAGTCTCTGAGTCCTTCCTTGCGCGGGAAAGGCCTTCGATCTCGTTGATATGGGTGAGGCGTGTTGTGACATCTCTCCTACCCTTCACACAAGCTGGGGTTGGGGGTATGGTGGACGAGTACACCGAACTCGGACTACTCTCCTCACTTCCTTCCTTGTACCAGGAAATCTCGCTCATCGTTGCACTCCCCTCGCCTTTTGCAGTCGTGGGGCCACGCCACATCGCTTGCAAGTTTTCGTAAGCACTAATGGTGACTTTGTACTTACCGGGGATGATGGATTCCAATGAGGTGCTACTTTTGGTTGATGACGCCGTCGAAGGCGACGGATCAGGAAGAACGCCCAGACCTTGGAGCGAAGCCACATAAGCCGATGTCAGCGGCGGTGAAGCGAGGAGATCTTCGATCGTATGGAGGAGAAAGGCCGGGGAATGCATGATTGAGCTCGTCTTCCGTCCCCTCGTCCTGCTCCTGTCCTCGCACACACCCGTCCAGGTTCGTGGTGCTGGGTTGAGACGACTTCCCATGCGGTCTTCCCCAAGATCTACCAGGTTCCCAAGGTCAACAGGGCTATAACTCAGCACCCTCGCCCTTCGATTCATGAACGATGTCGGCGAGAAGACAGTAATAGGTGCCGGACGGCTGCGTCTTCTCTTAGCTTTAGCCTTGACCTTAGCCTTGGCCTTAGCCTTGGCCTTAGCCTTAGTCCGGCTACAGCCCATTGAATGGTTATGAGGACATCCAGAAGGAGTGCTAATCGGGGCAAAGACAGGAGGGGCTGGGACATGAGTACGAGGCGAAATCATACCATCCATCCAGCCATCTGTGGTCATGCTATCCTCGCTCGCTCCACTGCCGGACTGGGAGGAGCTGGGCCTGGTGGAGGAGTCGTCGCTGCCAGTCCCCTCGCTACCACTCCATAAGCCCTCACTCCCACTGCCAAAGCTGATGTTGCCAAACGACACGAGTGAGAGGGGTGGCGCGGAGCGAAGAGAGCGATGCTCTATTGTACGTGTCAGTGCGAAATGTGGCAGGGTGTTGGAAGCGGGCGCCGTCCTGACGACTTCGTTGACGGAAGAGCTAGAAGTGATGAAGAAAGGAAGAAAGCAGCGGTGGGAATGATGGAGATGGTTGTGGCAGAGTGGTTTCGTGTTGCGATTGGCGTGGGGCTTGGTGATGGCGCCGGGTCTGAGGGTGGAGTGGATGGTGGTTGGCATGGTTTGGATTGAAACGATTTCTGTGGTGGTGGTGGTGGTGGTGATTCTGCTGCGTGTGTTCTCTACTTCATGCGTCGATGATTAGTCCGTGCTTGCGGACAGCGTTAGTACCAGGGGGGCAAGCGGATGAAAGACGAATGAAGCGGGATTCTGGAGACCGGCTCTCGGACTGATGGTGTAAGTACACATAGATGGTAAATGCTGAAGGTGATGAGGGAGATATGGCAACTGAGCGGAGGAAAGATGGAATACTTGAAGACTGCCTCGAAGCAAGACACTTGAATCACTGTCTCGCATGGGCAAGACTCGTCTCGTACGCACAATGCCAGCGTAAAGCGGGATCATGAAACCGAGAGCTGAACAACGCCATGTGGCGCTGAGATCGCACATCTATGGTCTCGGCCGCGTGTTTTGTGTGGTGCGAAATTCATAAGTGTCTCGTTGCGCCATCTTGGCGACGGCGGGGGTTCATGTACTGATGAAGCTACCGCGACAAACTTTTGACTCATGCTCGTCCGACCTTGAAGGATAATATCTAGACACAATTATCAGCATCCACTCACACTAAACCCGAAACATCACCAAAGAACAAGGAAACCACTTCCAAGAACCCACCCGAAATGGCGTACGCAGAACGAGCACAGCAGAGCGAAAGGAAAGGCAGGGAACTCACATCATTCCTCCCCACCCCCACAACCTCATCCTCCCCAACCCTCAACCCCCCAACCGTCTCCACAAACGCCATCGGCGCATCCCCCATAACCCTCCTATACACATCCCCCACCGTACTCCCCTTACTCACAAGCACACAATCCCTAAACACCGGCGCCCTCTCCCCCCCACCCGCCTCCCCACTCCCAAAAGTCCCAATATTCCTCACCGGAAACACAGGAACCAATCCCAGCACCTCCGCCGCGCGCGTAAGCACCAGATTCACCCCCGTGCTGCCGAAGCGATAGAGCACCATATCCTTCAGATTCTCCACACGAGTCTTGAGTTTCTCATCCATTTCCTTCAGACCGCCTCCATCCGGCTCCCCGGCCTCGATGAGATCCTCCCTCGTATCGACATATTCTTCCCCAGGCACATACCGCACAAACCCCTGCTTCACCAGCCGCCGCAAAAAAACCTCCGATATCGCAGAACATAACACGATCCTCTCGGCCGCCTCCGCGCGGGCGATTTTCGAAACATTCTTGTCCGCGTCCGCGTGGTCGATTTTGTTGAGGGCGAGGACGGTGGGGAATTTGACGTCCACGAAGGTATTGACCACCTTCTCGATCGTCTCGTCGTCCCATTCCTGCAATGGTTGTTTCAGAGCAAGTTTATCCAAGGTCTTCGCCACCACAGCGGCGGTCGCTCCGTATCCCGAGAATTGACCCTGCAGCGTTTCTACTGCGGTGGCTTTGATGGCGGTATGTCTTCGCTTCAACCCGCCCCATTTCTGCATCAAGTTGCCTAGAACCCATCGGACTATCTCGTCGCGCAGCCAGGCTATATCTGCGCTTGGGTCGTAGCCCCGTGTCGCTTTGCCCTCGGCATCTGTAGTTCCGGAGACGTCTACGACGTGGATAAGTGCGTCGGCATGTCGGAGGTCGTCGAGGAATTTATTCCCCAATCCTTTCCCAGCGTGCGCGCCTGGGACGAGACCGGCGACGTCGAGGAGTTCAATCGGGACGCTGCGGATTCCTTTTTGGCAGGCCCCGTGGTTGGGTTTGCAGCGGGTTTGGAGGGGTGGGGGGAGGTCTGGTGATGGTGGGGTGTTGTTTGGGAGGGTGGGGCGGGAGCAGGCGCAGGGGATGTGGAGATAGCCGATTGCGCGGTTGGGGTCTATGGTTGTGAAGGGGAAGTTGCCTAAAAATATTTGTTAGCAAGTGAGAGAGGTGATTGCTGGTGGGGTGAGTATATACCTACTTTTGCGGTCGTGTCGGTTAGGCTGTTTAGGGTGGTTGATTTGCCTGAGGAGGGCTTGCCGACGAGGGCGATGAGAGGGTCACGGGGCATGATCGGGAGGGAAATAGAGAGGGCGGTGGGTAGTGATTTGGATGTAGTCAGTATGCTTGTGCAATTGGTCCGTCCCACTACTGTATCTCCAAGTCGCATACAGTACCACCGTATAATGACAATAATTAATGATGGAGCTCCCGTCACTGGGCCGAACCTTAGCTGTCACTACCGACGCAGGGGCTCCCTAGCCGGCTCATGGGTTGTGACAGCTGCAGGTAGGCGCGCGGTGGAACTTGGCAGGCGCGATTGTACAGTAGCAGTGTCGAGTATGCTATTCCATGATACAGATATGTAAAAACGTCGTCTATCGTGTAAACTGTAAATTCGTAAACACAGGACAGTCGAGCCGTCGGTACCTTATTCATAAGACTCCTAACGTGCTTCTAGATCGCGAGAAATCGTGGTTTGCGCCACATCTAGCGGGATGGAGCGGTTGGCGGAGCGAAGGTGCCCTGGATCGTCCATACGTCTGTGCTCTGTGCTGCTGCTGCCGTGCGAGCGTGAAGCTGAATTGACACCTCCTAATCCCCACGCTCCACCACCCGTCTTTATTCTCCGCACCCACCATCACGCCTCCAACGCTCCTCCTGACCCCGGCAAGACAATCGTCTCGCTTGTGTTTGTCCACGACGATTTCATCTGACATTCTGCAGTCTGAGTTGGGAACGGGAAAGTGGATGGCAGTTCAGCGAGCAGGGGTGTATCGATACATATAGCACATGTCAAGAGTGGATCTGGTATTGATGTGCAGTGAGCGTGGTATGGACATGCAGAGCCCGATGATGTGCTAGCCTACCTTTGCTTGTGCCTGGGAGGCTCTGATCTGATCTGGATTTATTGGCAACACCCAACAAACAGTATCTCGATTCTGCGAGCGCGACGCTCACGCGCGAGGGCAACGGCGGTGTCTTGAGGAGTCTGAAACCTCATTTACAGCCACCACCGATAGCAAGTGACAGGCAGTTCACGCAATCATGGACGTTGCGACGAGATTCCAGACTCGCGTTCGCGCGCAGCCATATCTGGACAATGAAAGGAATGCTATGCCCGATGATTCCGAGGGAGATTGTACGTCAGCAGCCCATCCAACCCCTTAGCGACACCTCCACTGACAAGACGGATGTAGTGAGCGAACCTGCCACCCGACGCAAGTTCCAGCGTACCACCGCCACTGATTCAGACAACAACAACAATAATGGCTTCCGTAAGCCTTCACTTCCTGCTTCGGCGACGAGACCCGCGGGCTTGGAGCATAGACCTAGCCTTACCAACAGGAGGAGGAGTACGCTGAGGGAGAATGTACGGGTGCCGAGTGGGCCAAGAGAATTTCCTAGTCCGGGCAAGAGGTGTGTGGTTGGCGAGAGAGATGGTGTTATGCGTGACGGAAGGACTAACAGAGATCACAGAATGGGCAATACGTCCTCTACCCACCCTGCGCTTTCCGCCCTCGGTCAGACGAAGCAGAGCTCTTTCCTCCCGCCCACCTCGAACGACGACGCCTTCTACACCAACCAGAAGACCTTCATGTTAGGTAAGACGGATAATGGCAGCTTCAGCTTCGGCAACGGCAACCACCGTTCCTCTACCGACGAGACAGATTCGCCCACCACGCCAGCGGAACGAGGTAGCAATGACTTCGACTTCGTGCCCACCATGAACTTCGACGATTTCCAGAGCTCCATCACCGATCCCAATTGGACATCGCCCCTGCTGAGCGAGTTCCCGACGCATGTGGGTGGGAGAGCACTGCCGAAGGAGCAAGTCAAGCCCAGAGCGGAAATGTCTACGCAGGCTGCTGGACCAACGTTCAAGCGGCCTGGACTGCCGAAGCAAGAGGAGAATGGACCAGGAGAGGAGAGTGGGACTGGCAGGACACTCAGCTTCCGACGACGCATCAGTGCTGTGACGGGGTCGAGGAATGCTACTGGATCTAGTACAGCGACCGTCACGCAAATGCCCTCAGCTTCATCACAACCGAACCTGTCTCTTAGGACGAGACGGCAAAGCACGATGCCGCAGAGCTCGACCACGCCCACACAAGCGATCGCAGGAGCTGGACCTACCAATCGCACGCCTAGAAAGAGCGTAGGGCCTGGTTTGCTGTCGCTGGGCGATACGAGGAAAGGGAGTGTGACACTGCCTAATCAGGCTGGAGAGGTTGCTGCAAAGCCACCGTTGTCACGAACGAGCAGTCTTAGCACGAAGAGCAGGAGGACGACACTAGGTCCTGCTTTCGGAAACGGCGATGCGCCGAAGCCTAGCACACTGATGGCTCCCACTCAGAGTCGAGCGAACAAGGTCAAGAGTTTGCAACCTCCCCCACGGCAACAGAACAACGACCCAGACACGCCTGGTAGTGGCAGAAATGCCTCCAAAGCCAACCAAGGTCGAGCACATACTCCTTCATCATCAGGTAACAAACGACAGTCTACGGCATCTGGACGTGCTTCTGGATTAGGTGCTCGAACCACCAGTCCCACGGATGCACGACGACTCAAGCGAATGAGCATGATGCAAGCACCGCCTATGCCTACCAGTCTGCCAAAGGGTCCTCCGACGCCTTCCGAGGAGCTACAGCAGAACCCATGGGTCAAGCCCGAACTACCTCGTCTAGCACAGCCATCACCAAGTCTCATACCGCGAAAGATGAGCACTGATACACCAATCTCCGCGCGAGGATCACCCGAACGTGGCTTTTACAGCTTCTCCAGTGCTACGCCGACGATGATGGGTGGAGGCGTACAACTATCTGCTAAGAGCAGCTATCAGTCCCTTGTCAGCGGCTCGGGCTCGGCCTCCACTTCTCGACTTCCTACGCCAAAACCACGGAATGTCCACTCCAGCAGTGCGAGATATGAAGAAAGCAATGGAGAGCTCGTACCTCCCGTCCCTGCCATCCCGAAAGCGTACGACAGCCCCAAAGAGTACGACCGACCTTTCTTCTCTGATGTCGGGAGGGGTGTCGGTGAGCCGAGTCTCGATGGACTGGACTTTGAGTTCGCGGAGACTGGATCTCCTGCCCTTGCTGCTGCTCCTTCTGGTCTCACACCGAGAGGTAGTATGGACATGCGGACGTCGTCTGAGATTGCGAGCAAGAGCTCAGGAGAGTATGTTCGCAAGCATCAGCATAAACGGAGCACGACTGTGGCTAGTACTAATGTCGCCACTTTGGCTGCCAAGAGCAGTAGACCTCAACCCGATCCTGCGGGACGCAAGAACGCTAACCTGCAGCCTTTGCGTCTGCCGCCAATGAGCTTGATGCCGCTCACCACCCCCACCACGAACAAAATTGCTAGTTTACCTCGTCCGAGTCAAGAAGTCGATAGTAGAGATGACTACGCTACTGCTCGGACTCCAGAGCCGAGACGGAATGCCAAGACGCCTAGTACGCCCATGACAGCGTCGAAAGCCACTTTCTTCCGTCGACAAGATGAAGCTATGACTGCTAAATTACGGAACGCGAGTAGCCATTACGCCCTGCGAGATCTGCACATGGATCATCTGGACGTCAATAGTCGGTCCTTTTTCGACGACAGCGATGTCGAAGGCGTCATGTCTGCGGGTGGTATGCCCATCCCGGCCTCTCAGCAGCAGAAATATCAGAGGAGTGCCATCACGCCTTTCGCTTCTGGGTCTTTGCCGAAGGGCTCCGGGGAGTTTGCTAGATTGAGGGGAAGGCCAAGCGCGGAGTATAATCATACTTTCGACTCGGCGGGCTTCAGCGATGAGTTGCTTGGGTTTACGTCGGCGGGTAAGCCACTGGGGCCAAGACCGAAGACTTCTGGGACGAGTGGTAGCGGTGGGGTTGGGAAAAAGGGTGGAGCGGGCACGCCTAGTAGTACAGAGTCTCCTGTGACTGAGCAAGCGCCACAATTGCCCGAGGTGAAGAAGGAGAAGGAGAGTAGTGGATTGAGGAGGAAGCTTTCGCTCGGGTGGAGGAGGAGCTCTAGCAAGGCTGCGGCTCATGCTGAGAATAAGTCTAGTCCGCAGACTGCTGGGTTTGTGGAGAATGCGGACGGCAGGGAGAGGGAGAGGGGCGCGAGGTTGCAGAAGCGACAGAGTGAGATGCCGCCGCCCAAGGTCCCGGCTAGTGCTGCTTCTGCTTGGAATGGAGGTGATGCGGGACTTGCGAGACCGAGTCTGGAGAATGCGAGGAGGAAGAGTGGCGTGCCGGCTAGTGTTTCAAGCAGCGGTGCATTGATGATCGGTGAGGGTGGTGGTGGTGGCGAGAATCCGAAGACGACCACCGCCGGTGTGCCCAAGACCCGTGCCCTGCACTCCGAACACCCGCAGCCCGTCCCCGCGATGCCTCCGCCTATGCCACCACCTGCGGCGCATAGATCTAGTAGCTGGGCAGCTGCTAGCAATTCCCTCGCGGCATCTTCCAACCACAACTTCCACGCCACTCAAGCCAACGCCCAAGCAAGCAGCAACGGCTTATCATCGCATCTGGGACCCATCGGCAAACCCTCCCTTGTACCGCCAGGAAGGCAGAGACTCACGCCCGCGACACTAAATGCTACTCTCAAGGATAAAGATGATCTGGTCGCGGACGAGGAGATGCGGAAGTTGAGTACGAAGCGCAAGGACGTGGATGCTGCGGCGAAGGAGAGCGAGGCATTGAAGCTTAGGGCCGTGGGGAGGGAGGGGGTAAGTCCGAGGGTGGTATTGGGGGATCGGAGTGGAGGGGGTCTTTGCATTGGTGGCGGAGGCCTGAATGTGTTTGAACGAGGCGAGATTGTCGATTTTGAGGCCGAGGGGATCTTCTTCACTGGGACCAAGGGGTGTCGGAAGATTGTTGGGTCGTTATCCCCGACCAACTCATCATCTGTGACTGGCAAGTCTTCGAGTGGCACTGGGGCCGAGGCGTCAGGGAATCATGGGTATGATGACGAGAGGGGGGATTATAATATCGTGCTTGGTGACCACTTGGCTTATCGGTACGAAGTGGTGGATTTGTTGGGGAAGGGCAGTTTTGGGCAGGTGGTGCGGTGTGTGGATCATAAGGAGGGAGGGGTGGTGGCGGTCAAGATCATCCGGAACAAGAAGAGGTTCCATCAGCAGGCGCTTGTGGAGGTGGGGATTTTGGGGCGGTTGGGGGAGTGGGTGAGTTCTGCTTTTCCTTCCCTTCTTACCTCCGTCAATGCATCGTGGGCGTGGCGATGGATGGGGATGTGGTTGCTAATGTGTGGGATTCCTTGCAGGACCCCAACGGCGCCTACGCAACCCTAACCATCACCTCCTCCTTCTACTTCCGCTCCCACCTCTGCATCGTCACCCCCTGCCTCAGCATCAACCTCTACGAACTTATCCGCTCCCATAACTTCACCGGCTTCTCTTTACCGCTAATCCGCCGCATGACGCGCCAACTCCTCTCCTGCCTCTGTCTGCTCCAACGCAAGAAGATCATCCATTGCGATCTCAAGCCTGAGAATATCTTGCTTTGTGAGGCGCGGAAGGCGGATGTTAGGGTCATTGATTTTGGGAGTAGTTGTCGCGTGGAGGAGAGGGTGTATACTTACATCCAGTCAAGGTTTTATCGCAGTCCCGAGGTCATTCTGGGGAGTGAGTATGGGCTCGGGATTGACATGTGGTCTCTCGGATGCATCCTTGCGGAGCTCTGGACCGGGTATCCCCTCTTCCCTGGCGAGAACGAGCAAGAGCAGTTGGCTTGTATTATGGAGATCTTCGGACCCCCGGATCGGCACCTTGTTGAGCGCTGCACACGCAAGAAGCTGTTCTTCGACTCCGTCGGCAAACCTCGCGTCACCGTCTCCAGCAAAGGTCGCCGGAGACGCGTCTCGAGTAAGACGCTCCAGCAGGTCCTCAAGTGCGAGGATGAAGCTTTCCTGGATTTCATGGCGAGGTGTTTGCGATGGGATCCGGAACGGAGACTCAGGCCGGATGATGCAGTGAGTCATCCTTTCGTTACTGGACAGCCTTGGGGGAAGTTTGGCCCGGCCGCGGGCATTCCGGAGGAGGCTAGACGCGGCGCTACGCGGCTGAGGGCTGGTGTGGCTCCGGTTGTTACTGGAGGTGCGGGTGGGGCTGGGAGTCCGGTGAAGCGTAAGGAAGGCGGCAATGCTTTCGCGCAACTGACGGCTACCACGCCTGCTAAAGACCGCGGTCCTGCTCGTGCATTACCGGAGACGCCGCAGACGGCTGTGAGGATGGGTGGCACGAGTACGAATGTGCAGGGTTCGCCTTCAAAGGCTCGGGATCTGGCGGCTGAGGCTAGGAGGAGGCATTCTTCTGTTGCTTCTGCTACGCTGGGCAATACGTTGGCTGTGAATGGGAATGGAAATGGGCATGGGAATGGTGGCGGGCTTGGGGGCGTGGCGGCTAATGGTGCTTCCGCCGCAATAGTGACGGGTATGGCGGGGAGTAAACGGGCTAGTAATGGCACGCTTCTTGGTGGGGGGTCTGGGTTGCCTGGGATGGGAAGTGGAATAGCTGGTGGGATGGGTATCCAACAGCAGCGGACAGCTAGTGGGGCGGTGGGTTTGGCGCAGCTGGCTGCTCGGGAGAGTATGGCTGGGCAGTTGCAGCAGAGTAGTGCTGGGAGGTGGAGGAGCTGAGGGCATCGTTTCTTGCTACTGCTATCTTGGTGATTATGGGATGGGGTTGGGAAAGCAAAAGTCATCTTTACCTGATGTTGAGCGCAGGCGCCTGATGGGCCTTTTGGAGGTGGGATTTACACGACGTATGCGATCGTTCGGACAAGTGCCTAGCGCAATCGACAACTGCTACGTGGTTGCGAGTGCATGTACTCTCGAGGCGGCAGAAGGGAGTCGGTATGCGACACCCGGCTCTGGCAATGCTATGTACAGTGGATGGTGTGGCTACTTCGCCAGGGCTTCGATGATGCATTCGCCCACTGAGTCGGAGAGCTAGAGCCAGCCACGCATGATGTGTCAAGGGATGAATAGTATATTAGATATAATTTTCATGATACTATTCGTCATGCATCCATCCACCACGATCAACACAAGACTGACGTGTGGCGAAACCGTCGAAATGGGTAAGAGGATTCATAGTGAAATGGCCCGTCAACTACGAGAGAGCTCAAGTGTTGTGCCACAAGTCATGCGCCGTTCTACTATAAACCTGTATGTACTTTTGCCTCCTTGCTCAGTTTTCCCGAGCTTTATCATAAAGTCATGCAAACATCCCATCCCATCCCATCTCACCCCACCCATCAATATCCCCATTCCTCACCCCGAACTCTCTTCTACATCAAGGCTCTCACATCTTCCCATTAGTACTCCCCTTGCCCTCCACCTCCCCTTCCAATTCACAAAACGCCCTAAAAGCCACCAACTCCTCACTCCCACTACTGTCCACCACAAGCTCCGCCGTAGCACCAACAAAATACACATACCCTTCCTTCAGCTCCTCCGTCTTAGGTCCCACGGAAACTGTGCCAGAACCCTGCGTGCAAATGACGATACTAGGACCATCAATCGCCTCAAAAGTGACTTTACTCCCCGCGCTCTTAAGAGCAGTACGCACGACGGCGAATTCCTCGATGGGAGGATCATACAACGTAGCCAGACTCGAACTCTTATACGCCTCCGTATTCATCTTACAGAAATGGTAATCCGTGGGCTGCATCTTCTGCTCCTCGATTGGCGCATAAGAATACGTCAACATATCCGTCAAGTTCTTGACGTCCTTGAACTTGGGTGTGAAACCCGCTCGTACCACATTATCCGACGCGGCCATGCACTCGATGATGTCGCCGCTGAGGTAGGCGTGGATGTCGTCGGCTTTGAGGAACATGGCTTCCCCTGGGGAGAGGGTGACGTAATTGAGGAAGAAGGTGACGAAGAGGCCGATGTCGTTGGGGAATTGGGTGTTGAGTCTTTGCATGAGATCTGAGAGGGTTTTGCCGGAGGTGGCTTCGACGCCTGTGCCAGCAAATTTGGGGCCTTCTTTTTCCGCTTGTTGGATCAATTCGGGAGCGTGTTTCGAGACGTCGTCGGGAGAGGCGGACATGAGGGACGTGAAGGCCGCTTGCAGCGCGGATTTGTTCTCTTGCGCTTTGCTGGGATCTGTGCTCGTTTCCTGGCCTGAGGTTGCTTCCTCAAACTTCTTGGCTTGCTGTTCTCCCACTAATTGCCGTAAACTAGGCACATTTTGGAGGAAATGCGCGATCTCGGCTAATGGTCTGAAGCCACATAGACCGTCGAAGGGGGTTATGGCGATGGTCATCTCAGGCTTGTGGTTGTCATCCGGGTAATTCTTCGGGTCGCTCTTGTGTAATTGCTCCGCTAGCTTCTTGTTCGGGTGGGCCTGGATACTGAGCGCTTTGTTTATACTCAGGACCTTGAAGAGGAAAGGCAGTTTCTGCTCGTAGCGTTTGGCAATGGCGGGGCTCATGAGGGATTGGTTGTCTTGGACGAGGTCGAGGAGGGTGCGGCCGGTAGTGAGGTCTTTGGAGGGGTTGGAGGGGTGAGTTCCCATCCATAGTTCGGCGTAGGGTTTGCTGGATTCGATGGTGAAGTTCGTGGCCGAGGCATAGCGGGCAGCGGCGCTGTCTTTGCCTGTCTTGCCTGCGGAGTTCTGTTAGGGTGTTGGTGTTGGTGTGGGTAGGGTAGTGGTTAGCGGTGATTTTAGAGACACACCCCATTCATAGCTATTGCATCCTGTTGATCGATCAGTCTCAATGCCTACCAGATGAGTCCTTGTCTTCACTCACCGCATTGCAGGCGCAGCAGAGGGACTTGCATCTTGAGGTCGGTGGTGGTGTGTGGCTATGCTAAGCAATGGATATGACTTCCCTCCAATACAATTCCAATGGCAATGTTTTAATGTTTCCGAAAACACCATTCGTTCCACCATCACCCCACCATTCAGATTCAGGGTCCGCTGTGCTACGGCATTTACCCGTGATCTACCCGTGCAGCACTTGCCCCCAAGTAGGGAAGCGTGCCTGAAATCGTCTCTACTTCCTCCATCCAACTGTCGACAGGGACTATGGCCACACAGGACTGGTCATGCCCACAGTCCCCGATTACGAGATTACAACGACGCCCATGACTGCCACGAAACACTATAGCGACGGACTGCATCTTATACCAGGACAGACGACGTACTAAATGCTAAACTAATCCGACCGTGGTCATGTCTTCCAGGAATCGCGGACGTGGCAACTCGAGCCAGGACGCTGATGAGGAGCGGCGGCTATGGAAGGAGATCCAGGAGCGGGCTCGTGAGGTCGATACTATGGTGGTGAGCTATAGCCCCTCCCGCAACCGTCCTGCGTCGAACACACTTGATGCTACGACCAATCCCATCTGCGAACTTCTGAGACTGGAACTACGGCTAATGTTCTATGAGTAGGCGAGATCAAATGCCATCGGTCACGAGATTATAGATCTGGAGAAGGAACAAGCAGCATTGTTAAATGCTGACAAACCTGCTTCGGCTTCAATCGATGAGAAGCTGGAGAAGCTGTATCGTGAGAATGTTAAGATCACTGAAGATGTCAAGCACACACTCGTACGCAATCAAGGACCATTCAACAGACTTCCCAAGACTCTTCCATCACAGGCGAGCTAATACTGTCGTCAGGAAGGCCAAAGCAACGGCATGAACCTCCTCGACAGCCTCCAAGTCCTCGCCGGCCTTAGAACAGCCAGCGAAGAATCAGCAGCCCAACATCAGTCTTCGCAACCCTCTCGCTCAGCCTCCGGCAAACTCGCACGACCTAAGAAGTCCGCGCCAGCCAGGAACGCAGGCGCAAGCACGCCAGCCGCAGCCAGCACGGAGAACGGAGGCGACACCGAAGCTTCTGCCGCTCCATCACCAAGGTTAAACCTAAACTTGACAGCCAGCAGACTCAACGCCAAAGACGGCAAAGCCTCCCGCGCCGGCAGCGTGGCGGCCACACGCGAAGCAAGCGTCAAAATCGAACAAGACGGCGCCGAAAGCGTCGCAAGCAGCAACACCGACGCCCCCTCCATCTCCACCGGCGCTGGCACGAACAACAACGGCGGCGGCAGCGCAACGAAACCATCCGCCTCAGCTGCAAACCGTCCAGGAAACAGACCAGTCCTCAAACTCGGCGAAGTCGTCTTCTGCCGCCACGACTTCAAAGCCCTCAAACCCAACTCGGCCGAAACGCCCGAAGGCGAAGGGATCCTCTGCAGCGTCACCAACGTCATCGGCGAAGGCAAACAGCGCCGCTACGAGGTCCAGGACGCGGATACCTCGGACAACCCGCCCCCGCCACAACGGGCGAGCGTGGCACAACTAATTCAGATACCCGAGAGTAATAAGGGGTTGTCGGATTTGGCGAAGGGGAGAGGAGTCCTGGCGCAGTATCCGGATACGACGACTTTTTATAAGGCCGAAGTGCAGGAGTTTTGGAAGGGGAGGGGGGTGGGGAGTGAGGGGGAGCCGGGGTTGGTGAGGTTGAATTTTCAGGATGATGTTGAGAGGAGGGAGGTGGAGAGGAGGTTTGTTTTGACGGAGAAGTAGGTAGGGACATGCATGGGGAGAGCGGATGCAGGAGCTTAAGGCAATGGGGAGGTAAGAGAGGATGGGATGTTTGAAGTCGGGGAGATGAGATGAAGGAGACATGTAGGGTGTCGATGGGTGGACACATTGGGCCTAGTAAAGCAGGCAAGTGCAAATGTACGTAATAGCAAAGTTGATCACACCTTCTAGCCTCTGTGTCGCGACTGTCCAATTCACCCAAGAGGTGGAAGGCAAAGTGGACACCTTCCACTATATACAAGCAATCACGACCGTATTCGAAGCCGGGACAGTGGAAGGGCCTGCTCTGCGCAAGCATCTTCCTAGGCAGGAAGGCTGCTGAGCCCTACCTTCACACCTCTGGAACCAATCTGTTTGCTTGCAGCAGCGAAGCTTGTCTTGGTATCACTTACACTTATCTTATCATCAGCACCTTATCATCATACACAGGTAGCATACACGACTTGCACGTTCCAGCAGCACTACAGCATTTTCAGCATCACTCCACGACGTTATCGAGGACCTCGCCTGTGTTGTGGCCGCCACGAGAGCGACATGGAGCTTTACCAGCCACAGCGCTGGGAGCAGCCCAGCGGGATCGTGGCTCGAGTGGAAGAGCAAAATCGTGAGCCCATGGGGCATGAGGGTCGGTGGTCCCGCTTCTTCGCCGCTATAGGCGAAGCAGTGGACGACATGAACACCCTGGACGTCAAGGACGACACATCTTCCTCATCACTAGACAGGCCGTCTGGAGATAATCATCCCTTCGTCCGATTCTGGAACTCTCTGGCGGTGGCGCTAGATGAGATGGCAGTGGCCTCGCCTGATGATGAGCTTGCGCCGGGGTCGTTGGAGGAGGAGTTGAGGGGAATGGAGTTCAGAGATACTTTGGTCGAAAAGGTGGAGGAGGGTAGGCAGTGTGATAGGTGTTCGGTTGGGGATGTGAGGGCTTTTCATCATGGGTGCGAGGCAGTGAAGGCTGGATCGATTGTACCTGCCGACACTGCTGAACATGAGCTTGCGAGGCCCGAGTCGCCTTTGGAGCCTGCTGTACAAAGTGAGAGGGATTCGCGTGGGAAGCAATTCGAGCAAGATGGGCTGAATCGCAACGTCGTGGTGCTCGAGCGGAACCAGGAGAAGCACGATGAGGAGGAGGCTGAGCTGAGCTAGCAGCATGACGAGCGCCCTTTTATGGTTCCTGTGCCTGTGTCGCCAACGAAGAGAGGCAAATTCAAGGTGAAGACTCGACCTACGAGGCCAAGGATCCAGACCACGTTCCCAGCTACGCAGCTCGAGACGCCGTTCCAAATCACGCCGCTGCCGTCTTCATCAGAGCATGCTCGGCCTGCGATGGATGTGGTAGCCATTGATCCTGCGTATTCTGATGTCAGCAGTATCGAGGATGAAACCGACCTTGCGGCCGACTCATCTGCGGAGGAGCCCACTCAGCAGCGTGCAGACAGTCCTGTGCTTGCTAAACAGCTTGGCGAGAAAGCAAGCTCATTGGACACTGCTACCACGCAGTCAACCTACAATCGCACGTTTCTCGAACACTGCATCGAGCATGATCTGGGCAGTTTGAACATCGCGAATAGGTCAGATGGTGATGCCTACGAACGTCAGACGGTGATCAAAGACCATATTCGCCCGAACGTACACCCTGAAAATACTGACGAGCAGCGAATCGGAACTTCTGTGCTTTGCAATGAGTCAGATGAGAACGACAGTGGGACGCCGGTAGCTGATGGTCGCCTATCTCGCTCAGGCACACGGTCTGCCAGCACCACCACCCAGTCACCACACTCACCCATTCACACAATCATGGCCGCCATGGCCCGCATGCCCGGCGAACCAGACCCACAGCCCTTCCTCTTCGGCCTTGGTCCACTGCAAATGCTTCGACTACAGTTTTCTCAGCTCCCTAGCTGCCATAGTAACATGCGAGCAGATCCATTCCCACCCGAAGCTCCCGTCTCAGAGATGCCACCGCGAGCGTTCCAGCTCGACGGCGCAGCAGAGCACGAACGTGGCATGAGCCAGGGTATCATGCAGCATCTTCTGGAAGCCTACCACGCCACTGCCCAGTCTCCTAGCGATCGAAGCAAGGCAAGCTCATATATCGACGTCATACGACGATCTCGTCTGACTGCCTCGGAGGAAGTTCGGCAGGCACAGTTGCAGAAAGCCAAGGACGAGGGACTGCTCGGCCTCTATGCTCAACTCCTAGCTTTTGATACTGAGGACGAAGGTAAGAGGCGGATTGCTCTGGAGCAGGTAGAGAGACATCGAAAGGCGAGGGGCAATACTTGGCCGAAGACGCTGGATCGAGACCGCACTCCGACTCCGAACTCGCGGCGGGTGCGCTCTGCAGAGATATCAACGCCGCCTTCGGGACTCACCTCGATACCTGATGAGGCAGATGACCACGGTCTGAGCGTGCCTATGCCAGGAAACATGTCTCAAGCTGAAGGTAGAAGCAGAGCTAATTCCTCTGCATCAAGCTTTTATGAGGAAGGATCATACGGGAACGGTATCACTCTGGAGCAGAGTTATGATGACTTTGTACTTGATGAGGAGCGGACAAGAGCTGAACAGGCACGACAATCGGCAACCGATCATAAGGCAGCTTTGAAACTAGCCAGACAAATGGAGCTGGAGCTGGAGCGAGCGCGGGAGGGGCAAGCAGGTCGTAGATCGCATGGACTGTCAACTTCTGAAGCGTCAAGTTCAAAGGTGGACGAGAGTCGCCAAGATGCTCTTCCGCCTGCCTCTGATGCAAGTTTCCATACTGAGCGATCCGAGTCTGGTGACCCAGGCCCCAGCGAGCGCAAGTCCACGAAGCGTAGTAGCCGACTCAAACCTGCCACGAGAACTATCAAGGGTGGCCCGAAATTCTTGAAAGAAGTCGAGCGCCATCTATCTAGCCGATCAGACCATTACGAGACCTTTGTAGACATCACAAATGCCTAGGTGGCAGACAAAGAGGACCGCGAGGATTATCGCCTGCTGATAGCGTCGGTGATCGGTGACAGCAATGATTTGATGGCTCGATTCGACAGCCTGAACCGGAGCAAGAAGGAGAAATATGAGGCAATGGAGGGTAGTCTTCCACCTACTCCTGCGGCTTCTCCACCTCCCCCTACAGAAGCATCATCACAAACTCGCAATCGCCCGCTGGAGTTGACCTCGGATCCCTCCTTACCACCAAGAACCATACCACTTCGCCTTCCACCTTGCACATCCTCTGCTTCAGAGAAGCTCGAGCATGCCGAGAAGCTTGCTATCCGGCATGGACTTGGCCAGGACATGCCATCTGGTCATGCTAGAGAGTTGCTCAAGACTATGAAGGAGGCTCTGTCTAAGAGAGACTATAATTCGTGGTTGGATGATACGAGGGAGAATCGTGTTGGTGCTATCGATACGGATGAGTTGGACAGAAGGAGTGATGAGCTGTATGCAAGGTCGAAAATTGGAGGCGGAGGGCGTGATGTTTATGATCTCTGGAGAGGCAAGAGAAATGGAAGAAGGAGCGATGATGACGGTACTAGTGGTACAGAGGATGAAGCAGAAGCTAGTGATGTGGTGGAAAGTCATGATCCAGAGATTACCCCTGGACAAGATGCAGAGGGCACCGAGCAGCTCAACAATCACCCAGCTCAGGGTTCTCCTGGCATAGGCGCCGCTCTGCCACTGGATGGTGTTCAGTCTGGCTTCGTTGCAGCAACAGATACGCAGCAACACTTACCCGATGCCTCACACGAAACTACTAGTCGAGAGACATCAGCATCAGCCACCACGCCTCGAACACCACTAGAAGTCCCACCCCGGCCAGCACGACGCATCCGATCCGGTTCCGAGTCGACCGCTTCGACAACGTCGACCACATCGACTGCCAGTAGCCAGCGCCGTAGACTACAAGGTGCGTTGCGACACAGCCTTGACGAAACCACCAATGCCTGGAGTCCTCAGCGTGCCCGAGCTACTGCCACAGTCTGTCTGGCTCCACCTCTTTCCGACAAAATCGGCCCAGTATCGAACTTCCAGTCACTAACTACGCCAACTGATGCGCACGGGACTGAGGTCGGCAATATCGATATTGGCCTTGATGACGAGCTGGTGTCGCCTACTGCCACGAGCGCGCCTATGACCATGGGCCGTGATGTATCCCTGGCATCGAATACTCCGAGAAGCATATTGCGAAATGGCTCCATGTCTGCTTCGCAGCGATCCGGAACCAGCTCATTTGTAGAAACTGACCTGGAAGCTAAGCTCTCGGCACCCGCTGCGCCAGCTCGGTCATCGACACGGACACCAGGGCAAAGCATGATTAGTAGCCTCCCGTCAACAACACTGAAAGGTGCATCGGCCGATGAGAATGCTGCACCATCTCGTGGACGTTCGAAGCGTGCTCAAAGCCCGGTCACTGCACAGCGAAGCCTCAGTACTGCGGCAGCTAGCATGAAATCAGCTGCACAACGCTCGAAGAGTCAGCGCCGAGCTGCTTTTCCGGAAGAACTGCGCATGTCCAGTGGAAATGCTCGGCGTCCAACAGCCCAGATAGATAGCGCTATTGGGAATGCCAATCAAGGCACTATCGGCGACGCAGCAAGACGCTCACATGCCCAGGCAGGCATCGACGAGATTGACTGGGCTACGGGCACTGTCGAGGACCTTCCAGAGGAAGAGGCGCTTCGGGACGAGGCAAAAGATACACGCAAAGACTCTGGGGGTGCTGACCTAGACGTTGTTTCTGCTGCTCACGAATCCGAAGACGATCATGATCAGGGAAAAAATCATGATACTTCCCAACATGAGGCTGACAGAGAAAGCATCTTTGGAGATCTTGAGGACATGGCGCCGCAATACGGTGCGGCACAAGAACTCGCGAGCACGGGAGGTATCTCTAATGACGTGGACGGGGTACAGAGCATTCCTGGCGACCATATTGGTATGACCTCGTCAAGACGAATAAAACAATCTACCGAAGATGCAGGAACGGGCGACAACAATTCGGCCTCGAATATAACGCATGAAGGGCGAGCAGACAGGGAACAGGAAACTGATCGTACCGCGGATGTTCAAGGATCCCCGAGGACTGACAAAGGCAAGCGCCGAGCTACTTCCAGCGAAATAGCAATTCAGCAGTACCGTGAAGAACAGCAACGCTGCTCGGCTCGCAGACTTCCAGAGCCTGTTCCGTCGCACGTACCAGATTTCATAGAGAAAGAAACTGAGATGGACGAAGAGGACTCTCCTCCTGAATTGGTGGAAGACAACGGCGAGGACGCGGAAGACGAGGATATGGACCAGCCAAGTCGACCAGTCTTTGGACCCGAGACACGAGCACAACGCCATGAGCGACACGTCCAGGAACAGATGCTAGTTGACGCCAGATACCACGAGCGCTTTTCCCCTCCAGACTCACCAGAGCGATCTCCTTCGCCTCCGCGGAGTCCGGCGTCGACAAGGCGGAGGTTGCAGGACCTTCAGCGTTTCGCGACGAGGACGACTGGATCAATGCGCGGAGGCTTTGATCCGCGGTAGGGTGGGTTTGTGGCGGTCCTGTAGCTGACAGGACTTACCAAACAACGTCTTTGAGGAGCCAGATTCATGCTCAGGCGACAAGATGCGTGGTATACACCAATCGCTGCATGGTCCTGATCTTTTTGGGACACTGGCGACAGAAATCAGCCCCTCTTTTATATCGTTCGGCTTTTTATGCTGTGATAGTCTTTGTAAAGATATTCCGTTCCAGTATACCGCTCATTCCTATAGTGGATGGTTGATCACGCCTGATACCTGCCGAAGGAAATGTTCGCTGCTAGATGGACTCGTCAACGGAATCAATAGTACATAGTATTGTCTCACTAACTTCCGTCCTATTCCTTCGTGGTCAAGCCATCCGGGCAGGAACGGAAACGCGGTGATCTACCGTATGCACGACTAGTGGTCTCTGTGACGTTGGAAGAGGATAGCCAAGGTCCGCGGATGAGCGGCAAAGACGAATCCACCTTTGCATGCAAGATGACGGCAACAGCAAGATAAGCCAAGCAAAATTTGAGTCTTTGTCGCTGTACACGACTCAGACTGCTCTCATCTGACCATTGCGGACAGTGACGGATTCTTTCGAGCTCTAGTGCGCAAGAAAGTTGAAGGATGGTGCCAAGGCAGTCCGAATACGAGGCGCGAGCGATCATGATCTCACACAGCTATTGATCGACGGTGGAAGGAAGGCACCATGTTTGCTCGAGGCAGCTCAAGTGGAGATCCCGATAAGTGAGCCTAGGCGGCAGCATAAGGTGGTGCGGTCGTCTGGCGGTACGTGGACACTCTGTTGTCCGAGGTCTTGGAGATGGGCATAAGAGCTGGCCGTAGTAAGTGCAATAGCCGTTCCGCTATGACCCGTGGTGTGAGCGGCAGTCCAACTCCATCCTGACGTGGACGTCGTCCAGTGCGTGAATACACTTTTTCCAAAGCTCTAGTGTGGCTGTCGTCCGCAACTCCATTCCATTCGCACGGTCTGATGATGGTTAGGCTGGAAGATAGACCGAAGTGTAAAGAGCCTCCTACGCCACAAGCGGCTGATGATGACATCGTCGCATTGGAAGATGATCATGGTGTTCGTGAATACCACATATGTGTCCTTGTGAGAGGCTCTTAGAACACGATGAGAACCGTGACGGGCGGTCGAGGTTTTCCGGTTTGTTACAATCACGGATGCTGGGCAATCTAGTGCTGTGGCTGCAGCTTCGCAATCTGTCGAGATCTCGGCAGAAAGCCCTAGCCCGTCCGTTTAGTAAGCTTTACACCCCTGCTTCAAATTTGCATGTTATATTTTGCTTAGAAGGGTTACTCTACTCCTTTCGCTAGTAACACAATACTTAAGAACAGTAATACTTTCGCTTATTTTATTTTAGTATATTAGAAGAATATAATATATGTTAATATAATATTAAGCTTATATATTACTCTAATAGTCTAGAGATACTATAGTTATAATATTAATTATCTTAAAATATAGTAACAACAAAGCTAAGTAAGTTTTATATATACTAGATATAGCTTTACGACAATATTTCCCTCGATAGCCCCTTAGCGCGAGCGAGCTACTACTCGGCCTCGGCAGAGACTACATTGCTAGCAACCTTTCAACCTATATCTTTGATCACTGCTCTATGCCGGTTGGTCTCGCTCACTGATCAGATACTTGTGTTCACGACCGGACACACGCGGGTGTTGATATTGACCGCGACTCTCACGATCGTGGCTGTACGTTCGCTCGAACGCCCGTCTAGGTGTCTGCAATCTGTGCCGAGGACTGCGCGAACAACACCGTGACTTCGAAGGCCGTCTCATCCTCCCAATCATGACTCCTCCTGCTGAGAGTGCAGTTGCGGCGGTAATGTATAAGCATTTGTGTTCAATGACCAAGCGTATCGCGCGGTAGACTCGATCACACCGGGGTTGGCGACTCTCGGCCGCTTTGGAGCTCGCAACGAGCTATGGCTTTGGGAACACGAAGAAGCTATAATGGCTCTAGGGGACCCATGAGTCCCTGTTCTGCAATTTAACAGGAGCATCAGATCCCTCATTGCTGTCTACGACTATGGCGCTCCATCAACACACCCATGCCCAGCCTCTTTTCGATCGCTCTGGTCACGCCGCTCGCTCTGGCAAGACCGAACAACAGCCTGATGGTGCACCGCCGATCAGCAGGTATGGCGGCGGCTTCCCATCGCCTCCTCAATTCGAGAACAAGTATGAAGAACGGGAGTACCTGAAAGGCCGCTTGGCAGCAGCTTACCGGATCATGGGTGCCCGAGGCTTCGATGAGGGCGTTGCTGGACACATAACCATTCGTGATCCTGTCGAGCCCAAGACGATGTGGATAAATCCTTTCGGCACCAGTAGGCGCAACGTGCCAGACCAGACAGAAATGAGATGGTCTTAACAATCGAACCCAGGCTTCTCGACCATGCGCCGTTCAGACCTCGTACGTGTCGACTACGAAGGCAATGTGCTCGACGGAGGACGCAACAGACTCATCAATCGAGCTGGCATCATGATCCATCGGGGACGTGAGTGCTTTCTACATCAGATCAATGACCTCGCTGACCACTGTTACAGTCTATAAGGCCAGGCCCGACGCTAAGTGTGCAGCCCATTCCCATTCGATCTATGCTAGAGCATCCTCGACGTTGGGCATCCCGCTGCCAATTACGAGCCAAGGCGCATGTGCATTTTACCAAGTCAGTGTTCATGTGCTCGGACCAATGTTATGTACTGACCTTTAAAGGACATCGCCAGTAGCGGCTTCGAAGGCATTGTGCTCGAAGGTGACGAAGGCACACACATAGCCCAGGCGCTTGGCAAAAAGAAGGCCATCATACTTCAGAACCACGGCCTCCTCACTACAGCGGATTCCGTCGAAGCCAAAATTTTCTGGTATGTCAGCCTTGAGAAGCTGTGCCACGTTCATCTCTTAGCCTTAGCTGCCGTCAACGGCGATCTCAACCGCATCGTGCAGGTGAGCGAGGGAGATGCTGCCGAGTAAGTCTACACGCCTCTCAACCCAGTGCATTGCGAGCTTGACACTGATATCTGGGCGAAGAACTTACAATTCATTGGGCCTGCCCCTCTCCGGCTGGTTCAGTGCGAAACCGATGTTCGACGAAGTTGCAGAGCAGACAAAGGAAGCTTATCTTGCGTAATTCTCGTATAGCCGTATGTAGCTTACATTATCTACTAGGCATTTTCTTTTAAAGTTTCGTATAGATACTTAAATCAAAATTTTATCTATCTACTAGTAATTAAATTCTTTACTCTATAATCCTTTTTAATACTTTATTATTTTCTTATCTTATACTCTATATCTTAGTCGTATTAAGTAAAGCCTATTAAATAAAGAGAAGCTTGTCTATTAGAGATAGCGAATCAATAGCAAGCCCTAATATTCATTAGTTAAAGGACCTTGTTTCCCTTATCTAAGGGCTGACTCGCTAATGCTCAGTTAGCTTCGCTCGAGCAGGAACAAGGTTCAGCCCCAACGAAGCCGTTGACGGCTAGCCCATCTAACTACGAAGGTGCGAGAAGGGTCCAACTGCTAAAGTTCACAGTGCGATCTTTCTTTCCCACCTACACTGTTCTGAATATTGGAGACGTCTTTACAACAGAGATTCAAGCGAATTGCTAGTACTATATCACCACAGTTGGGTTCGCCGCTACTGTCAAGAGTCGGAAGGCAAATACTCCACACTAGACACATTGGCCGACAACGCTTGTGCAAATAAGTACACAATTCGGGCGAGCGAGGACCACAGAATTCACAGCACGAGTTTAGGAGACTACTTCCGCCGAAAACAGAAGCCACTGCAACGCGTGAAGATTTTGCAAGTGCGAGAAGGGCAACAGGAATGACCAGCCAGCTCGCATGAAATCAGCCAACGTACTATCAAACGTGCCCATCAAGGCCAGTACCTCCAACCTGGCGCCGTGAAGAGGACTGTCACCAGTGCGATCGTCAGCACGTAGTCTGTCTCCCTTGGGCAGAATGCCATCACCTCGCGGGTCACCAGCACTACGGCCGAGTTCGCCACTTTCGCCAGGCTACAAGCCAGCTGCACAGTTCGAGACTCTGCAGCTACCTCGTGCTGTGCACTCTCGAGCCAAAGGCAGTGGTGGCCGACGAGGTATTGACGCTTCCCTGAACCTCTCCTCCTTGCCGAGATTTCATCCAGCAAATTACCCGTCTGCCAGCAGCAGCTTGCAATCGACACCTCACGGACCTTCGTCAAATGGACCTCTGTCTCCTCGCTCTCGTCAAACAGTACTTAGCGAGCTGCAGAGACAGATTTATGCCTATCAGCGAGAGTCGGTATCGGCAGCACGGGCGTCATCGCCAGGTGCGCGAGAGAAGCCAAACAGTCCGCGGTTGGCGCCACTAGGAAGTCCAGGTCTTATTGTGACACCTCTGGAGCTTGAAAGTCATGGCGACTACCTGGTTGCAGGAATCAAGGGCTCGACTTACGAGCATAGAGCATCGACTGAGATTGCGGATGCCTTCATTCGCGAGGAGGCAGCGAGAAACCGTAATCCTCTTAGTCAAGGCTCGAACGGTGATGCAGGCCGACGAGACTGATGTATCTCGCTGGTGTTGGACGTTGTGCAGCATCTAACGTCGTCATTGACTTTACGAAAAGTGTTTTGGTGCAAGGCGCTGGGGATTGTTTTGTTACGACTGAAGTGGATAGTTTCAATAGAAAGTCTAAGCCCAATCGTCTGTGCTTCCATGCTGGGATATCGTTGAGCTAAGGCCGGTTCTCTCGACGGTAGAAAGGTCGTCTGTTGGCAGATTCAGGCCGTGCGTCTGAGGTTGGCTGTTCTGGACAAGGATCGCTACAGCCTGACGCCACCCATTATATCATCGATAGGTCTTCAGGGCTCTGCCTAAGTAGTGAACCACTCACCGGCATTCCGATCTCTCGCATTTGCCACTGTAGATACCTTTCCCATTGCGTACCTTGCAGAGTCGTACAGACCGTCATCATTAGACGATGATTCCAGTTTCCAACATACCACTTGTACGGCGCATTGCAGATCGACACGCACCAATGTGAGAGCAAGCACAGGGACATGGGATCGCGGCGGCTCAGCAACACGCCGAACTCGGATGCGAGCTGAAACGGCCAGATAAGTAAGCCTTCTCCTGTCTTTGGTCTTGAGGTCACCCTACGGTAGTGGGCATGCAACGAGGCGTATGCAGCACTGAGAGCTTGTGCTTCCGAAGCGTCTGAAAGTGTGCCTGAGTAGGATGACATTACAGTTGCGAGCCGTAGAAGCTCAGTGTCCAGATCCGGACTGGAAGAAATCTGTGGACCATCCTGGTAGGTATTCAAGGTCACGAACTTCTGAAGTATGGTGCTTTGTGCAGATTGGCCATTTGAACTCAACACTTCCCGATTCATTTGTAGCAGATTGACGAGATGAATGAAGCCGTCGATGGGATCCTTTTCGCGAGCTTGCTCGCATCCCAGACTGAGATGCAGAACACATATCAAAATGCCGTAACTCAGAAATACAGAGCTCATATCACCAGACATCGGTCCGGTGAAAGTCTCTTGGAAAAGGCGTAGAGCAGAGTCGTAATGTTGGCGCGCTTTCTGACACAGCTCTGCGCTTCGTGAGCCGTCGTCTGAGGACATCTGGTGGGCAGCAGCAAGGCCAAGAATCGCATGCATCAGGAAGGGATAAGACAGCGCCAGGCGAGGAATTTCGCTTTGCCATGCCGAATGGTCTCGCTGCAAAGGCCCGATGGTACTGTATGTGTGTACAGTGAAGTGGTGCAGGAGACCAAGATCGTCGAGATTCAGTGTTGAAGAGGTCTCTGTACTTGTGCCGACCACTCGACTGTGGTCCGTATTCCCGCCAGGCGACCTGGGCTGAGCTGAGCTTGTGGGCGCTGTTGTTGTTTCGGTGTGCGTCTGTGATGATCGTGTATCCACATGCCACGTGTAGAGCTGTAGATTGTCAATTGCTCCTTGCTGGTCTTGGTACTCGCACTCCAGGCCTTTTTTGGCGCAGTTTGAGCAGCAAGGTGGATGCTCATCGCACTTGATTCGTCTTTTCTTACACTGGCTGCAGCCGGTACGAGACTTGGTATGCGCGCGTTTGGAAGTCATGGTTAGTATGGTGAGCGTGATCCTATCAAGAAGAGAGCCCCTGCATGCTATGGGAGATATACTTGCTGATCGTGCCGCATTATTTCTAGCGAAGGTGAGGAACCTCAGCTACCTCGGGAGCGAAGGCCGTCTCAAGCTGCGCAGTCAAACGCGTGAGGAATCAGCGGAACGTCCGAGCTGAGATGAGGCTTCTTACAGATGTACCAACCTTAATGCTGTGTACGGCATTCATTCGGGGCCAGATCGATATATCGGTCGGAGTGATTGAGACGACTCAACTTAGAACCTTTTCATAGAGAGAGGATGAGTGGAACACGCCGTCACGATACATTTCGGCGACTGGAGATGCAGAAAGCATCTAGAGCTCTACCTCCCTACCATTGCACCAGACCCGACTAATAGAACGCGTGGCTCTGATATCCTTCGTAGGGTCTTCTCGCAAAAGCACGAGATCCGCCCTCTTGCCTTCCTCTATCGCGCCCCGATCTTTGAGATCGAAGTATTTCGCTGGCAAGCTGGTAGCGGCACAGAGCACCTCGACAGGTGACAGGCCAGCTTCCACAAGCAACTCCAATTCTCGATGCATGGACTCCCCGTGCTTGACATCGAACATAGAGTTAGGCTCCTCATGACAATCTGTTCCAGCTAGGATTGGCACGCCAGCCATGTGCATAGCAGCCACAGATTCTCGAGCGTTACTGTAGTCTGCCGAACCCTGGGCATTGCTCTTGCTGCGGACGATAGCGATCAGGGCGGAGGGGTTGAGCAGAAGTGAGGCTGCGGCGCTCAACGATGGCTTTTTCGTGGTCTCTTTCATCATGCATAAAGTCTTCATGAGAATGCGTTAGATCAACCTCATGTTCTACAGATTAAGCATCAACTCTCGGTACTTACTGGCACGGCAATGGTACCACTCGCCACCATACGGTCTGTGATATCCTTGTCCACGGCTTTGTCGCAAGCAACATGCGTTACAACATCAACCTTGGCTTCGAGGGCCATTGTGAAGGGTTTGTAAGATGCAGCATGTGCAACGACCATACTTCCCTGCTTGTGCGCCTCAGCAGAAATTGCATTCATCACATCTTGGTCCGGTCCTGGCACATCTGCGATGATTTTGATGTAGTCTGAGCCTTCGTCGATTCTTCGCTTGACCCAGTCAGCCGCCTGCTCCGGGCCACTCAAGAAGGCTTTTTGAGGTAGTGGTAGAACACAGCTATGCACGCTACCAGCCTTCGTCGCTGGCAGTCCTGCGGTCCGCAGATCCGGGAGACCTTCCTGGCCACGTAGTTGCTGCATTTCTCGGCAGGCCACATGGCCATATCTAAGGCGGTAGTCACACCGTGCTTCGATAGCTGTCGCAGGTGGTCGTTGGTGTCAACGTGGACATGAGCATCGATTAGACCTGGGATGAGATATCCTCCTTCTCCATCAATGGTTTGTTGTGCTCCAGTGGGATCCCGTCCAATTAGATTGCCATACATGACAACAGTCTGTGGTTCGGAGATGCTTGTGCCATCGAAGACCCGTACATTTCGAATCGCCGTTTTCCCGGAGACTTGTCCTACATCATGGGAATGAGCAGTCTGCATGGTAGATGAATGGTGGCCAATGGCTTTTGAAGGACCTAATTCGATCATCCTCTAGTATGGTTTGTGTTCTCACGATGGAGGGCGGTAGCACAGATATATATCAGTAGTATGATATGGGTGTACAAGACACCGTCAGGAGCACACACCTACTATATGTCGTCTGAACCTTCAATGCGATCTTGTGGAGCACCTCGGCCAGAGTCGTCGCCAGCGGTTACATCACTGAGAGAACAGGCCGGTCCGCATGATCTTTCGCACTCGTCACGTAGAAGTCTGGCTTTACGACATACCAAAGTTCGCGGACTACCTTTCTTTGGAGCACTTCTGTAAGCGTTCATTGGACATGGATAGCACTTTTGGCCCCTTGTCGTTTAGCTGGCCACAAGCGGTATAGTTTGCGGTGAATTGCTGAGCTCTCATCTTGAATCGACTCCTTCCACTCCACTCCCGCCTCCCCCTCCATTCTTATGGTCGGTGTTTAACCTTTGGCCCATACTGAGAGGAGCATCATTCTCTCGATGCGCACAATCGCGGTGCTGTCAACGAGTAGCGGGTGGAAGACTGTCCGAGCGTTCAACTATCGGGTAGGATTCATCCTGGTAAGAGACTTGGACAGCCCTGGGTCAGCAGTCATCGGGAGGGTTCGAAGCTATTCAAGGGATTTCCTCTGATGTTGTACGAAACTATCTATGCATTCGGCGGCGATTCACAGCCTGTTTATATTTGTAGGTTGTGGTTTAGGCGTCACTCTATCATGTATACCGATCCAATCGGTAGACCCAGAAACTCCCTCACTTTCGCATTGATTGGTATCTATTTCAAGATTTATGCCTTGCCCAGTAACTCCCAGAAAAGATGCGCAGCGTCATTTGACCGTGACGTTCTGAGCCTCACGACAGTGGGTTGCCAGTCTCCTTCGCGGGTGGCGATGTAACTGGCGTGGCTTCGTTGGAGGCCTCTTCAATGGCTGTTCCGGCCAGCTTGATTTGAGCAAGATCGAGCTCCTCCTTGAACATCTTCTTGTGCTCACGCTGGATACCGTGCAAGACAGCTTCCAGTACATTGTCCACAGTGGCCTTGGGCTGGAACTTCGGCTTCGTGCCCTCTTGGAAGACACCAGTCCGGACCAGAATCGAGTACCACGTGTTCTCCGCCTCCTTGTTGAATTCGTTCGTGCCGCGGATGTCGGACTCGGGAGTGTCGCCGACGAAGTAGACGGTGTCCGGCGGTGCGTTGATGCCATGTGTATCTCTCCGCCACTGTTGCAGCAAGCGAGTGGCGAACTGGAAAGTGCCGACTTGTGGCTTGCCGAATGCAGTGGTGTTCAGATCCTTGCCAGTGACTGCTTTGAACATGGCCTCCAAGGATAATCGTAAGGCTCCCATGCCGAGACGTGTCAGATCGTGTGATGCGGACCAGACAACGTCGTTATGCGAGAAGAACACGGACGGGCCATCCTCGAAAGTCTCAGAGCGCGTACCAAGACGACCTCTCTTCGACATCAGTAGATCGAGGATGATCTGCTGGTCACCTGCCCAGTCTCTGCTGTCTGCAAAGACAAAGATAGCCTCGATCTCGGTTTTGGAGAAATCCCTTGCTCGCGAGTTCTTGTGCTCCTCATCTGTAAGCTTACGGAACGGTGTGGTGTCCGGGTTATCCTTGATGATATCGCCTGGCGTAACAACATCTTTGAAACCATAGCCCTCGGCCACTTGTCTGCACTTCTCGCCTTCACCACCAACGACCAGGACTGTATGGTACTTGTTCGCCATCTCCCGCATCGGCGTGTGTCCGCAGATGAATTGTCCTGGGGAAACCTCGATTTCCAACTGCTTGCTAAGCTGTATGCAACGCTCTTGCTCCGTTTTGCCGCCTCCATTCGTCACAAAGATGTAGGGGCTGCGAAGGTCAGCAAACATTACCAAACGTGTTTCTCGACTTGCTTGCTCACATTTTGACGCCGTATGAGTTCTTGCCGTTGAGCACCTTCATGGCTTCGATAGCCTCAGGGATTGGCCGTCCACCTCGAATAAGCACACCGTCGATATCGAAGGCGAAGGCGTACCTGTCCGTGACGCTGGTCTCTGGTGGCGTCTCGGGCGAGGACAGAGGCTCAGAGAAGTCCTCCAGTTGATGTCTCGCCAACTCCATGGCAGCGGCGACTTCGTGAGCATCGCTAGGAGCCATAAGGTGCTTTGGCGGTACCACGACAGTGGGAGACCGCATGGTCAACGATTCTTTCGTAGCATCCTCAGAACTGAGGCGCCTGAAGGCGCGAGGCCGCTTAGGAAGGGCGACTTCGGACTGAGACATCTTGTGTGGTGATTGGGGTGATCTGAAAGAGAGTGGAGGATAGAAGGCGCGAGGGAAAGGTGGCAGAACTGCGTTGGATGGTGGACAGAGGGTGAGGCAATATTAGAGCCGCTGCACTAAACAGAGTGATGACCCACAGAGACTGCGTTTCTCCAATGAGGAGAATAGTGGACCGCCATGGAGCGAAGACAACGAAGGCTCTCGATAAGTCATATACTACCCGCGGAGCCGGTGGTACGCTGTTGCGCCGAGTCGATCACGGTAGGCATCACATCCTTCCTCAGCACGATTGTCGCGCTCATCAAAATCTTCTGTGAAGTGGTGGGGCTTGGAGGGGTTTGGTTTGCAGGCCGTTGCTAGGGTCAAAAGCTTATCATCTGAGCGGGAGAGGCGTTCAATAAAACGTGGTCCAGCAGCACGCGTTTCAGCAAGCATGTGCGAGATTGTTGAAGTGCGTTGATATGGATCGGGACTTCTGCCCGCTCATTCGTCTTCACCTCCGTTTGGCCCCTAGACTGTTTTCGCCAAAAGTTCAGCAGATTTCTCATGACGAATCGACCAACATATCTGCCGAGGGCCCACCGAAGCTAGTGCGAAGGCAGTATTCGCTACGAGATCGTTGTAATTCATAATCCAGCGTCCGAAGATGATGGCTCCTCATTTCATCTTGAATCTGCTCAGAGCCAGAGTTGCCTAGACAGGAACAGGCTATCTTGCGCTGTAATGTCACATCAGATACCTGCTGCCAGAACAGCAATATTCGAGCCGAGATATCCATCCAATACCGTTCTCAGACCGGGGTACTGCACGTCATGCCGACCATACATCGACATTGCATGTAATTTTCAAGCTTGTCCTCGGCAAGCTCAAGATGCGGGCTGCGGTCAACTTACTAGGCTGGATGAATCTACAGACCGATCATGCGCTTCAGATATCCGATAGGAATGCTGTTACCTTCGCCAACGGGTGTGGTTGTAGGTGCTTGCATTGTGCAGTAGTCTCCAGGTATCGTCGTCTCATCGCGCATGGAAAAATGCCTTCTGTGGTAAGATTGACTGCGGCAAAGAAACTATACGGTCAGGATCCCAACCTAGCAGATACCGCGACACGGCCGAGAAGCTTGATCCTGTGGCTGACATGTGAAGGCCCCCTCCATCGTGATACGTCTGGTACAAAGATGTCGCTGTCCTCGATCGTGGTAGCAGAGCCAATATGTCTAATCGGCGCGTCTCGCCTGGAGCTCAATAGGCATGGCGCAGGAGACTCCCAGATATTGCAGCTCTTGTAGTCGTCCTTCGGGCCGTGGTAAGTGCTCTGGCTGGAAGATGATCACTGACTGGCGTGTTCCATACCATTTATGTTGTCTGGTATCGAGATTGATGTTATCTTAGAATCATGAAGTGATGAGTGGTACGAACGCGTCCTCGTGTTGGCCTCACGCGTCAACCTCACTTCCTGCAGCCCAGCTCCGCTCCAGCTCCAGCGACAGGCCACAACAGACGTACATATGCGGCTCGTAATACGTGATCACCAAGTCGACGTAACGATCAGCCATCTCGACACACTCATGGACTGGACAGGAGGAGTTCGCAAACGCTTCGCCGGCGGCAAGAACAACTCCAACACGTTTAAGCAAAAGCAGCACTTCGCGAAAGCTAGGGCGACACTCCAATATACGCCCAGCTCATACCGTACATTCAAACCCACTTACCCAGCGCCTGAGTCAGATGGTGAAAGGTATGGAGAAGCAATCCACGACTTCAGTGACCGGGATGCACATATCTCCCATTCCAGGCGCCGTCAGTATCTTCACGAGGAGGCAAAATCGAAACGCCACTCTACGCACGCCACCGGTCGAGGCCATACCAGTCGGCCATCAAGAGGAGACCACGACAATCACCCGAAGCAACCCGGAGCTCATGTTGATAAGGTCTCAAAGCGGCAGTCACATGATGACCACAGTCCTAGTATAGACATCGGTACTCTCGACGACGACAAGAACGACGAAGAACTTCAACTTCTTGCTAGCCGCCATGGTCTCCTTGCACGCCGCGACTGGCTTGGCTTGTCATTTGCTCGCCCGCTACGCATGGATTACGCTTCTTCAACGAATCGCGACCACGTTGGCAAGAGACGCAAAGTCCGAAAAGCACATCGTAGCCTGAGACCGCCAAGCAGGCGACTGCTAACACCGTTATTCGAGGAGCGTCAGTTGCGGCCCGACTATGTCATGAGTGGTGCGCTTAGGGACGATCATATCATTGTCAAAATAGGCACCGAAGCTCTGGCCAGCCAGACACAGCCCTCTCGTCGCTCTCGCACCCCCATGAACACTAGTATGCGTCCCCCATCCACGAATTTCGCCTCACTTTCCGAGGAGTCGATGCTACTGGGGGCGGCTGGAGATGAGTCGGAAGCCGGGAGAAGCATACGCAATGACGATCATCAGCCGAGTGGGAGTGGAGAGGCTTTGCAGGCTCCCCGAAATGCTGCGCGGCCACAACAACTCGTGGCGGACACAGCGCAAATGTGTCGGAGAACGACGATGGACCCGCTGCCCAGCGAAAACGATGATTCTATGAGCTCTCGTGAGTTACCTGATAAGCGGATGCCTATACAAGCTCCGCCAGCAGATGTATGGGTTGATCATTCGACAAATCCTGCCTCAGTACTCAAAACCCACATCTCGCAGTCGAATGCCAGAATCGCGAATCTCAATGAACCTTTCGACCAGATTCAGAAGCTACCGACCTCGGAATCTAATGATAGGCAGTGGCGTCAGATGATGCACATTGCGCCATACACATCAAGCCATGTCTCACTTGCTCGTGTCAAATCATCAGGTGACCATCTAGCGACATATAGTAGCAGTCCCCGCCCAGCGTTACGGCGGGCAGTCTCACAAGTAGTCAACACGGGGTCTAAAACGAGAGAAGATGAGTTCCCGAACAGAGCGGTCGCTACTGACGCACCCAAAAGACTGCCGTCTAATGTTATCGATCTTCCAACACCATCACTACAAGAAGGTAGATCATCCAGCCTAGCTGAGGATGCCAAGGACGAGGCCTTCTGGCGACGGTTCATCATTGGAAGCGAAAAGTCCTCGGATTTGCTGAAAGGCCTGATTGATGGAGCGAAGCCGAGATCAGACTCCGACATCGTACTCGCTGCAAATGCCTCCTCCTCTCTAGCCACGAGCGGGATTGGCACATCGAACAACGCGACTGCTGGCGGCACATTATTCGAGACGCAGACGACGAGCGACGACTACCTTCGTGAGCACGCTGCGCAAGCAAGAGTGCACCACGAAGCCATTGAGTCCGTCCGGCCCGTTTCCGAGCACGACAGCATCGAGGAGAAGCATGACTTCCTCAAGCCTGTGAAGCAACCAGTCAACATAAATGCTACATCAAATCGAATGGTAAATTCATGCCACTACAGTAGGAGACGAAATACTGCAGTCGCCGCAGAGCCTACCACGCGCCACAATTATCGCTTAGTTGGCGGAGGAAAGACGAAGCGAAAGCGTCCTCGTGCCCACCACGAAATATATGACGTGCTGGACTCGGATGGCAACAGCTTTGCTTGACGTAACAAGAATGCTTGATGGTTCTGTCCGAGCAGTTCCCGTATCCTGCTACGCGAGATATTATAGCATTGCTCTTAATGCTTGACGGGTGCTGAAATCGAATGCGTCCACGGTCTGAGATTTTCTAAAGCATAAAACCTGGCGTCTAGTGCAGCGGCTGTTACTCGGAAAGGTGTGATCTGAGCGTGGGTTCGTGGAAAGATGAGAAGGCGGTGGTTGGGAGCGTCAAGATGAAGTACATGTTGGTACTGCCAAATGGCTCTGTGCCTAATTCTGAGGCGCATACCTGCACTGCCCTCCTCCACTACATACCAAAGTCTATCATACAAGCAGTTGTAGCATCCTGTCAGATGTTTATATTTCAGTCATCATCATAAATAGTTTGTCAGCAGTAGAAAACATCCATCCGTCTTGCGACACACTACGCCTGCGTAGATTTGGTCAGACATTTGCCCATCCTGACCATTCCATCCCATTCCAGCCTCGGATCATGATGCAAATGGGGTATATCGAATATCAAAAAACTCCTGCCAACGTCCTCCCGTCCAGCCAGAACAGCTCGCCGGCTGTGTGCCGAAAAGGGTTGCCCTCCTGTTGTACCGCCGGTGTTCGTTAGTGGTGTGGTAGTAATACATGATGTAGGTCATTGTCGAGCGGATTCGCGGTCCATGCTCGAGGTCCTGCTCAGAACTGCTCTCTGATCCTGTTCGCTCCCCGCTCGTCGTCGTTCGCTCGGATTGCGGCTGAAGATACGTCTTGGCCACGATCGATCGGCTCTGATGGGCTCCACGCGCGGTGAAGCAGAGGGTTCCATGATGCCATATGCCGGATCTTCGTCGTGTGCGGAGACAGGTGTCTCCTTCCTGATCTTCACGAAAAGCTTTGCCTCCTGATATTTGTCGCCTTGCTGATTGTACAACGGCAGATGACGATACCCCTGCTGCAGGCTGCTGAGCTTTGCTGTAAAAGTCGCGAGTTGCACAGGATTCGAGCCGGTCCGGCGTCCGTCGGGCTGATGCCATACGGTCCAACGTACAAAGATCAAGCTAGGATGCTTAGTAGTGACAGACATGGTCATCGATTCGTCGAAAGATGGATCAAACCCGTTGCCAAAGACTATCTTAGTCCGCTTGCGTAGTGGCGAGCCCACTCCAGAGCTGCCATCTGGTGCCGATGCATCCGTACCTCCTTCGCCAGTCGCATTGCCTTGCGCTTTATCATCTGCAGCATACATCTCGAACTCGATGTACGGATTCATGCCAGCATCTGCGTTGACCTCGCGTGGTCGTGGAAGTCGTTGCGCGGAGATGACATCGACAGCAAAGCGCACAACTTTCTTGCCTTTCTTGTCCCGTCTACCATTGGCATCCGGCAATGTGTCCGCGATGGGTAGATGTTTGGCGTGGCGGAGCTCTTCTGGCTTGAGTACATAGCCCAGGTAGTCGGTTCCAGCAGCGAACATTGCCCGGTTGACCTGATGATGCACATCGTAAGTCTGCCAATTCAGCGCAGCCATTTGCACGCCACGGCGCCATGCAGCCAATGGATTGAAATTTGAGGACCATATCCTTCGACGGCCAGGATATACGCGCATCAGGTAGTGCACATTGTGCTTCGCCAGTGCTTGTCGAGAGCCATCATCTTTCTTGCAGTGAGTCTGAAAGGTGTCTTCCGAGAACGAAAAGATGTGATTGGCCGCCTTTGCTTTGGGATCACTGAAGCCGAGTGCTTTCGGAAAGCTAATACCTTGCGTATACACGCCAAGGCGACCCAGTCGCGGCACGATCTTGCTTGTCTTCGGCGACTCGTTCTTGGTGACAGATACTGAGCCTTCGTCACTGTCCTCGGCGGAGCTCGTTGGGGTCATGGTGGGTCCAGATGTCGTCGAGCCGCGTGGTGTCGATATTGAAGCAATGCCTGCATCCGAGGGACTGGTCGCACCCGGACTCGGCAGGAAGATAGATGAACCCAACATTTTGTCTGCGGATGGCGAGCGTGTGAAGGCCGAGCTCAGGCTACGAGCGCGGCTGCGCCCATTCGAAGCATCGGCTAATAGCTGACTTTGATCAGAATCGTCTGCTGCCTTGACTTTGATCAAGATTCTGCCCTTCAGCTCTTCGGGCGACGGCAGAGTATTGACGTTGGGTAAGATCGGCTCCGTCACCATGGCACCCTCAAAGTACTTGTACATCAGCCCGACCATGGCGATTTGCTGCTCTGCACCGCAATGCACTTCCAGTGAGATAATCAACGGGTATGGCGAGGAGTGAAACGCGTACTTCGCCACAACGGACACACAGTCTTCGAATGGTATCTTCGTAGTCATTGTTCTGCCGTGCGTGACCATTGGACGGCCATTATCACCATCCCAGCAATCGATCTCAACGCATCTGCAGCCGCCGATCAGAGCATCAATGTACCCTTCCACGCTTGAGGTACCCTTCACCTGATGGCCCAGCAGATATGTGTTGTGCGAGCTTGAGATGAAGTATTCATTGAGTGGCTTGTCCAGTGTCGCCTCAGTATTGACCGGGAGAGTTGGTTGGTTATGAAATGAGGTGAGAAAGTTTTGCAGGCCATGCACGCTCATAGTCTTCTGGCGGATGTCGGGCTCCGCATCTGGAAGAGCCACGCGATTCTGTGCGGGTCTGGCGAACTTCTCAAAAACAGCTTCCCATTGCGCACGGTCTTTTTCGACGTCAATCACCTGATCATTCCTTAGGAATTGGAGAAATTCGTCAAGCTCCAGATCAGAGTCCAGGCCGTGCTTTAGGTTGCTGTGTATGTGCGCAATGTCCTTGCGCTCTTTGAACGATTTGACAAAGTTGCGATATTGTGCATATGTCAGCTTCGACCGACGATCTGCATCTGCCTTGTTGAAGTGAAGCTGGATAGTGTGGCTATTGCAGTTGATATGCAGATGCCCACAGAATCTTTTGGCGTCTTCGATCGTGAAAGCTTGTTCGGCGCCTTCGCCTTTCTCTTGCATCGCCTGTCGCCAGAGTAAGTTGACAGCCTTGTCGCTCTTTTCGCTGGAAAGTGAAAGTGCTTTCATACTTGCAACACGGTCGGCCACGGCTTTGTTGACGGCGGTGAGCCACAGATCCATGATATGGAGGTCGGGCATGAGAAGATGAATGGTCTTGGTTCCACGACTCTTCGATCGGTCATCGAGATAGACGATGGTGACCAGACGTAGTTCGTCGTCGAGGGTGACATGAACGTCGTCGCGCGCATTCCTCGAATCGACGCCTTTGCGGACTTCGACCACATCATCGATGCCAAATGACTTGACGGTAGCCTTGCCGTACCAGCACACTCTCGCCGCGGTCGGATCAAGCCAGTATTTGACCTTCTTGCGTCTTTTCTTATTGAGCTTGAGAAGATTGGTGCCAGATTGCAGTATGGCGGGATCAGTCTCTGCAACACCACCCTCGAAACGTGATGAGACATCGCTTACTCGAGGCACATCGATACCGAGGCCAGTGTCTTGCGAATACATGGGATATGGCAAGCCTGTCAATTCAGGTATATCCTCGACGGTACTGTCCAGTTCGAAGTCGGACATTTCTTGAGCGCCGAAGTCCGAGGCACCGTTGCTGTCGCTGCGCCGTCGGCTCAAAACAGGTCCAGCACTCTGATCCCTTTTCCTGAGTCCAGCTTGCGTGGACGCTCTACGTCTGAGTTTGTTGGTCGCGCCTTTGGAGAGTCGACGAATGAGACCAGGGCTCCTACTCGCTGCTATAGCTTCAGCCATAGCACTTGGTTGCCTTCTGGCATGGGGTGAGGGCGAGCGATCGAGCATACGGTCCGTGTATGTGTAATCCGAGACAGCCGAGCGAGGGATGGGTGACGTGTATGCCTGTGGAGACGCAGAGAAACTTGCATTGTCGTATCCCATAGCCGAGTGCGTCCGGAGTGGATGCCGTTGGTTGACCGAGCTTGCACGGGAGGGTGAGTTGCTGCTGTTGGCCGAAGACAGCGTGCTGTTCAATGTTGCGCCATGTCTGGCCGTCGGTCGTAATGCTAGCTCGACGCCAGTCTGTCTGGATGTATTGTAAGGTGTCGCCGAATCATCATTGAAGCTTGGAGTCGGAGGGGAAGTCCGGCTGGGAAGGTACATTGTAGTAGAGAAGGTGGAGACGAGGTCTATATGGCACCAAGGCGTCTGCGCATGGTGTCTCAGAAAAGCGATGCCTCGGTCACAGGCTAGAGCATGTATGCTGCATTACTACTGCATGAATTTGACGTCTCGCCGGTGCACGGTTGCTTTTGCGTGTCGAAATGCGGCCTACCATAGATCGCACGTGCCGTATAGATGAAGAATCCTGCAGATGAGGTCGCTGGGTATTCGGCCTTCGAGGTACTTGCGCCCAGCGCACGAAGGAGGAGAGACCAGCTCCCGCCGCCGACGAGTACAGTGGGCAGGACAGCGACGTGCAGCAATCTAGGAGCCGGCTCTTGTAGATATGCAGCGAGTACCAATTTCGTCGAGAGGCTGAGTTACTTTGCAGGAGCGTGGGGTAGATGCGCGATAGGCGAGGATTGATTGCTGATGATTCGAGAGGAAGGCGTCCGTTTGTAGCACAGCTGCAGGTGGTCAATAAGGAATGACTTTGGTGAGTGAGTTGTTGAATCGAGGCGAAGGAAGGGAAGAACGGCTGGTTTTGTCGTAAAGGAGGTGAGGGTAGGGTCGACAACTTTTCCGGGCGGATCGTCGAGTCAAAGTTTCGGCTTGTGGGAATTTGTGTCACAGGCACCTCCTCCGCTCAGTGTTGTGACTTTGCAATGGATCTTGGCATGTATTGACTCGAAGTTGTGGATACCGCCTCCTGTAAGATGCCCCGACGAGTACTCGAGGATGGATGGTGAAGCGTGTGGATCCGAGATGCTCCTGGTTCAGTCTCAAATCTACCTCTTCCCTAGCTCAATCATGAGCATGAGGTACGAATCGGCGACCCACAAACGCGTTAGACAGCCGTTGCGACCGAGCGGCCGAGCGTTTAGGTTGCGGGGGAGTTTCAGAGCGAGGGCTGCGTCATCCATGAAAAAAAGGCTGACAGGGGGGTATCTGCTGCGGCGTTAAAGGGCAGTATTCGTTGAGGCATGGACGCCAAGAAATCCTTCACGAGCAATGTGCGAGGCTGCGCTAAAAGATTCGATGTGCTGGCATGGCGAGAGACAGCGAGATGTGCCGTACACAAGGCGCAGCAATAACCAAGAGCTGTGTAGAGTGGGTCCTCAATCCTTCGAACGTCAAAAGGCGTCCCGGGCGCTCGGTTTGACCCAATATTGCGATCCGACTTGGCAGGATTTGAATCCTACTCCCTTCTTTTGTTGGAATTCTTGGCCTCGTATGCAATGGCTGTGATGCTGCACACGGGATCATGCAATGGATTCCCTCAGCTCTGATCATGCAGCTTTGGTACAACAAGATATCCTTCAAGCTGCCCGACTTCAGTCTTCATCCATGTGGCGCTCGTCGGGCAATTGGCATGCATATTTCAGGCATGTGCACGGGAGGGATGCTTGCGACGACAGACATGGGCCTTCAATCTCATCCCGCCTTCCACTTGTTCCAGAAGACGCTGCACAGACGGCTGAGCAGGCTTGAGCTGGATTATTATTGGAGCAAAACATGATGCAGATGCTTGCATAATACCATCATCTCTGCTCTACTGCTGGTATTGTATCATCGCCGCATACGAATCGGAAGACGGCAAGACTTCAGTCACCATGCCTGTCGCCGCATTGCCGGGCCCGAGGAGGTCGTACATTGCCTCTGCCCTGAATGGTTGTACCTCGATGCGTTGATGATCAGGTCATCACACCGCTAAGTGATGCCATGTGATGATACTCCGCATGCTTGCCGAGCAAATGCCAATGCAATCCGTGTTCGCCTGCATCGCTGGTCAAGCAGCAGAATAGTCGCGAGCCGGCTTATCCGGAACCAATTGGCAGAGATGCTATAGAGATGCTAACAGCATTGATGCTTGACTGGACAAGATGAAGTCTAGCGCGATCCACCTCTCTCCTTCTGCAGCACTTCACTTCGCGACTTCACCTAGGACTCGAATTTAGAGCAATACCGAATTGACGCAATTCAAACATGCCTGACCTACTGCGACGGGCTCGAAACAGAGCACTTGCGCATGCGGGAAATACCTGAAACGATAGCAAAGACCACTTGCACTGCCACCTCGCCAACGTGCATACAAAAATGCCGAGCGGATCCCTCACCATCCTTGTCTATGCTCATGCACTCCACTCTCGCGTGCATGGAAAGTCGTCTGCAGCTGTGCCTCATCTGCAAGCTGTCGTGTCACCACACACCAGCTGTCACTGCTGTAGCAAGGGCTTCGGAACTGGTCTCGGCGGCAACAGCGACTCGCAGGCGGCCATGAAACGCAACAGAATATCCTCTCGGCCTTTACCCGCAATCATGCAAATACCGTACGGTCGCTCGTTCGTTTCACTATACTTGACTATTCCGAGTGGAAGACAAGCGATTGGATATCCTAAGGATCACGTCAGCAACTCTTCATTTCAGCCTACGCCCTGCTCCCGCGGAGAGTCGCCCGGCCGAGCATGTCCAAGGTGCCTCGTCTGCAGTTCGCATCGCAATCAATCGCGTATACGCAGCATATTGCTTACCTGCAGTTGCCGAGTATTGTACCAGCGGGCTGTCAGCAAGCGCAACCACGATATCATTACGTTCGAGATGGCGGTCCAGGCCGTCACGGCCACGTTCGCGCATGTCGTTGATGTACTTGTCGATGTCTTCGGGCTTGCGTGTATTGGCCAGGAGATCTTCTAGCTCGTCTTGTTTCGGGCTGTGCTTCTTGTTCCATTCGATCAGTTCGGGTAGTGAGTGGACTTCACTTTCTGCGAGCTCGTCGAAGAATGTAGGGAAATATTTGTTGCGCAATTGATAGACTGAAATGTCGTCAGCGACGGCTACCTCGACTGTGCCGTCCAGAGTGCCTACACGCAATCTCATAGAAGTAGCTCTTGCCCTCGTCGCTCTGGAATAGTGTCGGTGCATTTGACAGGTCGATATCAGTCTCAATCTCTGCACCATGTGCTTTGATCATGTCCTGTATTGAAGCATATCCTGCTTCCTGAGTAACATCAGCACTCATCGTCTCATGTCGGGGCCAGCCCTGGGTCACGCCTACCAGCTGCTCTCTTGTATCACCTGGCCATCCGCAAAAGTCCTCCGGAAGCCGCCACACCATCACGTCCGTGAAAGCAACCCTCATACCTTCCATCCCGCCACCCAAATCGAAAGCCTCACCTCGTTGCAACAGAGCCGCGATAAAAGTGGCGAGATCCTGTGCTGACTTTGCCATCCCACCAATACAATCGAGACAATCAGTATAACCAAAGCAAGCCTCCACGTCAACAGACCCAAGACTGCACTTAAGCGCATACATGCCCGCTCTATTCGCCGGTGTGATCAAGCTGCCACAGCATTCAGTACCTATAGACAACGGAGCGAACCCCGCCGCCACACCAACAGCGCTCCCCGACGAACTTCCACCAGCAGATGAATGACCGATGAGCTTCTCGTTCTCCTCCAGCCCACCGAAAACATACGGGTTCTGCGTCTGCCCTCCCACAGTCGACCATCCGGGCGTCATACCCTTGAACTTGAGCCCACAGAACTCCGTCAGATTGGCTTTACCCAGGAGAATCATGCCTTGGTCCAGTAAGTGCTGTATAAGTGGTGCATTCCGTTTCCCCATCGACGTGGCGAAGGCTGCTGCGCCGCAAGTCGTGGGCATGCCGAGCGAGCGGTCCGTGACGAAGACATCTTTGACTATGAAGGGGATACCGTGGAGAGGACCTCGTTTGTGGCCTGTTTCTCGTTCATGGTCGAGATGGCGGGCTGTATTGAGGAGAATGTCCTTTGCCGTTATGGAGATGAGGCTGTTGAGGTGGAGGCCATTGTGGTTGTTCTTCTCGATCTGAGCCAGGTACGCTTCTACCAGTGTTGCTGATGTGAGCTGCTTGCTGTCCAGGAGCTCCTCGGCCTGTGTGGCTGTCAACGTCAACACATCGATGTCTTTTGCTTGGAGCATGATGTCTGTATTCGCGAATGTGAACGACTGTACTGGGCGTTTGTCATGATGATCGCATATATAACCATTGTATAAGATTGTGCAGGCAGCAATAAGAGATACAGATAGCGATATACCTGCCTTTCTTGGGAAGCGGTGTTGTCCTCAACCGCGCGTTCGGCTGATACCTACGTTGCTCAAATCGCCTTATTTCACAGACATTGATGTGTAACATGGCAGCCTACTTTGAGCGTCCCAGCTTGTATCTGCGGATAAGGTCTCCGTGCCTACAGACGGACGAAAGTCAACTTAGGTATTTTCAATGATGTGTGCGGAAGGCACGCGAATAACGGCGAAGGGTTGAACTCCTCCAGACTTTCCCCTCTCTCTCGTCTTGATCAGATCAGACTTGCACCTCTTACAAATCAGAACTGCTTTGCCATCGATAACTTTAGAACGCAAGCTCTTGATGAGCGCCTGGGGCTTGACGTAATGTAGCATGCCTTGACATCCATATAACACTCTCCTCAGACAACATCGAAATGCCCATCGCTGTAGTGACAGGTGCAAACAGCGGTATCGGCCACGCCTTCGCTCGATTCTTGATGGACGAGGTAGGTCTATACATGCCCAAGATCACAACACTGTACAGCTAGATCCTAAGCCCACAAACAGGGCTACGAAGTACACGCCTGCGATCGAGAAGTTGGCCCCCAACTCCAATCACTCTCGCCAGCACAACTCCATCAACTAGACGTGACCTCCCCAGCCTCCATCTCAGCTTTCGCCAAGGAGCTTGAGGGGAAACACATCGATGTCCTCCTCAATATCGCCGGGGTCATGTCACCGCCTGAGAAGGACGGGATGGAGACTACGGACCTGGAAGTGCTGAAGAGGACTTTCGAGGTTAATACCTTCGGGCCTTTGCTACTGACACAGGCACTCTTGCCGAATCTAGTGCGGAACGACGGGTCAGTGGCTAGGGTGGGTATTGTTAGTAGCAGAGTAGGGAGTATTGGTGATAATAGTACGGGGGGGAGTTATGCTTATCGGGCGTCCAAGGCTGCTGTGGTGAGTTTGCTTCTTCCTTCCTCCTTCACCCAATGCCATACAGATATGAGCGACGGCTTACTCCGCGCGCTCTATGACCACAGAATAGCATCGGCAAGAGCCTAGCCATGGATCTCAAAAATAAGAATGTGGTAGTCATCCTACTGCACCCGGGCATCACGAAGACGAACATGGTCGCTGGTCTGGGCGAGTTGCCTCCTGATGCCGTAGAGCCCGAGGAAGCGGCTGGGAAGTTGTGGAAGGTGTTTGTGGGTAAGGGGATGGATGAGACTGGGACGTTTTGGCATAGGGAGGGATTTGAACTGCCTTGGTAATGGCGTTAATCATGATCGTTTTGTGGAAGGCGGGCTTGATGTGATTTTGCTTGTGCGGTTCCTTGGTCTGCACCGAGCACGATATGCTTGGGACGATTGTAGGCCGTATGACCACGCAATTGCTTGCACATATGAGGATGATGGATGTCAATCGTGAGGTGTCCAGTGCCGCGCGATGTTGCCTCCGGGCTCCTGGGTGGACGAGTGTAATATATGGTGCAGAGGCTTCAAAGTGCCGGTGCGTGACAGGTCGTAGTCTCGGAGCTATAAACAAATCGCCCAATCCTCCTTGGGACTCATCGTCGTTTCTTGCGACTAGTCTAGTGCTGTAGGTGCAACTCAGACCATGATGAAGCCAACGGATGATGCTAGGGTTGATATCAAATTGATCGGTCGGCGAAATCAACCTGTTGGCATGCTTATGAGTCTACGTTTGGCTCATGTTGCAATCGTCTTGGTCCGCATTGCATTACGAAGGCCTGCGTAGATGTTCTTCGGACTGGTACTACGGCCTCGTTGCCCGCATGACCTGTGGTCTGTATGAGAGCTAGCCCAAGCAGCGACAGAGGTGTGTTGATCAGCTGTGTCCTGAGTAAGCCAATACTGTACTCGTACTCGTACTCGTCTGACCGCCCTTTCTCGCATTCACATGCACATGCACATGCAGGGCAACGACTACGCATTCCAGCCCCAGTAAAAGCACTCTACACGTGCATATGACAGTTGAGACGTGCATCTAGAACAGAAAACGCTCTTGCCGCCATCTCTATACTGAAAATCTCCTAGAATACATGATCGTAACGGCTCTTGAAGGGAAGTAGGTGGAAATAGAAGAGGAATGATCTCGGCTCTTCATAGTCAATTCTTGACGAGAAAGCGTCGGATCGTCGGCGCCGGTCCCTGAGAAATTCCCCAGATCGAGATCGACGAACCTGCGTCAGCTGCCCTTTTGCTTTGCTTTGCTTTCCCTGAGCCACGAGCTGCCGCTGCCGAGAGTAGTCAGAGAGTCGCCTTCAGTTCGTTTTCAGCAACGAAGGCTTTGTGTACCAACTGCGACTGCACGCCTTTTGTGGGAAATATCACGGAGCTGGACATCGGTTGTCCTTGCAGGCGCAACAACAACGCTTCTACCACGTAAGACGCCCAGCAAACACCACAACACAGCACGACTCGACAGCGAAGCCAACATGCCACCCTTCGCATCCTCAATTGCGAGCGCACCGCTGCAGATCAACACCTACCCGCCTCTAACCAACGACGCAGAATTTGACTCACCCACCGACTCGCTCGCCAGTCTTCACCTAAGGCCAAGCGAAACAGCAGACACCCTCCAACAAATCCTCCCCAAACCAAGCAAATCTCTCCAACTCCCACGACCCGACTACAACCAGCGCTCGACCACCGATCCCTCCCCCTCGCCCTCAAACCTTCTCCAGAGTTACTTTGCGAACATGGCGTCAGCGCCGCAGCGTCCGAGCAGCAGTAACCGCACCCGTTCACCGTATAGTCGCAGTCACCTGCGCAGTCGAAGCAGTGGTTCCGCACTCATGAGTGCGCCTACGATGACGAGGGCACATAGCTTACCAAACCCACACGCCACTCGCATGAACGAAACAGCAACGACATCGGGAGCCTCTTCCAGCGGATCGCTGAGTCCCATGTCCGGAGGCCCACACAGCCCCATGCGCTCACCAGCATGCACCCGCTCGCCACTGCAGCAGGAAGATAGCGTCTGGGCGCCTCCACCACCGCGCTCACCCGCTTTCGCCAGCACGGCAGGAGCGATAGAGAGCATAGACGAAGATAGCGAGCTCGACACGAGCCCAACCCGCGACACCCTCGGCCCTCTCCCCGGAACACCCTCCAGCATGTCCTCCTTCAACTTCTCCATCAGCCGGAGCGGAAGTCTCCGCCGCCGACCCGCAAGCCCTTTGCACAGCACCACACCACCTACCTCCAACCCCTCCCACGAATCCTCCGCCGTGTCCAGCGGCGCCAACTCCCCCTCCCTCGGCCCGCAGAAGAATTTCAACGAGGCGTACCCGACCCTCCACCACTACGCCAGCAGTTCGAGTTTCAGCTCCTTGCACAGCGCACCCAGCACACCCACCTCCGCCCGCTCTCGCTCCCCGTCCATCTCCTCCCTCGAGACGATAGAAGATGCTCCGGATGCCGAGTCCGAGGCTTTTGAGGCCGAGAGGATCCAGACGTTGAAGTTGGCTGCGGAACGGCAGGAGAGATTGGAGAGGGGCGAGGATGTCGATGGTGGGGAGGAGGGCGTGACGAGAAGGCGAGGCAGTTTCGAGAGTGGTGGTGGGGGCAAGGGATTTGGGTTTGGGAGGGTGGGGAGGGAGAGGAAGAGGTGGTCTGTTTGTGGTGGGGAACGACGGGGGGATTTACTTGATTTGGAGACGATTTGGGAGGATTGACAGGGGAATTTGTGTTTCTTTTTCCAGCGATGTTGAGAGAGGGTCAACGGGGGGGGGTGGGTGCGTCGTGCTGTACTCTGTTTTTTTGCGGCCAGCTCAATATGGTGTCTACGGCCCTTGGGGATTATGGGTGTGTCAAATGCGAGGGAGGGAGAGTGCTAGGGATGATTTTTGTGGGGGAACGCGATTGTGGCCTTTTTTTTTTGCTTGCGACGATACCCATGAGCATGAGATGAACGATGGATGATGGGAGGAAGGGAGGGTGGCGTGGATGGCATGGTTGAAAGGAGGGGGATGAATGAGCAGGGATCTTGGGCACCTTGTACGCTTAACAAACCTATCTTACCCTACTGCTACGACAACCAACTCTACGCAAATTACCCTTCTTTTCTTGCTGTCCAGGTTCAGTCTTATCATCTTACCTTCAGCTTCGCTTTCTTTTCCTATCCACCGCCTCCTCGAGCGTCGGCTTAGGGAAGTTCATGTCCTTGTCTAATTCCTGGCCTATTTCGGCATATGCGTTCTGCTTCGAAGTCGGGAAGGTTAAGCAGAGGGTCTACTCAGCGTTCGAGACCTCGAACCCGTCCATAAGGCTCGGAACGCACTGTTGTACGACGATGACGGGATAGTGAGTGATGCAAGGATTCCGTGAATACAGAATCGGGCATCTTCACAATCAACGACGACATGCCTACATTCATTCGTGGAAAACTGGAACGCGTCTTGCTCACCCGCAGGCTGTTCGGTCCTGGCTGCGGCACACGCACTTGCGTGAAGTCATCCAGCCTTGATCACATATGCCTTACATGACGGCGGGAAGGTGGCGGTTCTCCTGCACGGGCCTCACTGGCCATGTGTGGTGCGGTGGACAGAGTCGTCGTCGTAGTCGCTTCCCTGTATTACGTCCGGGCGCCGACCACAAGGCTGAGGGAATGATAGTCCTGATGAGCGTGAGACGATCATCAAACACATTCTTGGTAGAGTGGCAAGAAGAAGGTACTCGATGAGCGGTCAAGATCCTGTTTCAACCAAGATTATACCCTCCCAGCAGAACGCCGATCCGGTGCTAGAACGCTAATGTCAAAACCATACAAAACACGCGATCCCCACCACAACTCCTCGATAACCTATTTATCCTCCCCCAACCTCCTCTCATGTGTAGGCATCTCATGCACATCCGACCCCGCCATCTCATAAACCGGCTGATCGTTCCCTTGCATCTCATGCGCAAACCCCTTCCCAGGACCAAAATACTCGCCATCCCCCATCTCACTGTAACCCGCTTTGTTCGGATCCACTTTATGCGGACTCTCCATCTCCTGCGCGAACGGCTTGTGTGGCGCGGTCAACTCGTGGATTTCGCCCCCGCCGAGCTCGCCGCCCATGGGGTTGGAGATAAAGGGTTTGTTTTCGTTGTCGGAGGATTCTTTCGCCGCGCCGGATTGCTCTTTCGCTTCGAGTTCCGACGCACGTTGCTTTTGAGTGCGCTTGCGGCGGCGGAAGAACCAGAGGAGGGCGGCTAGGATGGCGATTGCGGCGACGATGGCGACGACTACGCCTGCTATTGTGCCGGCTGAGATGCCGCCATTGCCGCTGTTACCGTTGTCGTCGCCGTTTTTGGTGGAGTTGGTACTTTTTATCCTTTGGATGAGGGGGCTTTGGATGGCGGCTTGGTTCCAGGTGCAGGGGGCGACTTTGAAGTGTTGGCGTTCGTAGTCTACTATCAGGTAGGCTTCTTGGAGGAAGGTGCGGCCGAGGGTGTATTGGGTGTCGTTTGCGGCTCGGTTGAGAGGGAAGTAGTAGCTCGTGTTTGGGTTCGAGATCATGGGGTACTGGACTGTCAAGTCGAAGGCTTTGTATGGGAGTTCGATGGCGACTGTGCTGCCTCCGGTCTGGTTGGCACCAAGGGTGAACGTCACACTGGGGTTCGTTGCTTGTAGGGTTGTGCGCTGACTGCTGTTCATGAGGTAAAGACCATAGTCTTCGTTATACACGAGTCCGAAGGCTGTCTCGAAGGCCTTGCAGGCATCTTCCGGCAGCCAGATGGTCGCGATCGTGGAGTCGATGTACATTGAGATAGTACCGCTCGGAAGCAGATTGGCGGTCCCAGAATTTATGCCCTGCACATACACTAGCAAATCACGAGAAACATCCGAATACATATCCACGGTGATATTGTTGCTGCCGAATCGATTCAAGTCATATCCACCGAGTGTCAACGATCCAAAGACTTTGTTCAATCGATACTGGTTCCCAGCTGTATAGGCATACGAAAGCGAAGGAATGGTATTGTTGTTCAGCAGTTGCTGCATAAACGATGGTTGTGGGTTGGTAAATGTGGTGAAGTTGGTCGGTAGAGGATTCAAGCCGAATGCTCCAAGCCAGTATTGCGCGCTCGCAACGTTGAAGACGGTAGCATGTGCCACCGTTGGTCCGCCTGAGCCTTGCCAGCCCAGAACTTCAGTATCGAAACCAGCGTTGCCGTTGGTGTCCATGCCAAGGTTGTCTTCTAAGGCGAAGTTGAATCGGCTGTTAGGAACCCAGGTCAAGGATTGATTTGGGAGGAAGAGGAAACCGCGACTGTTTGCGCAATCTGCCACGTAGCCCGGTGGACATCCATCCGCTCCTATCGTCCAGGTGATGGGTGCTGCCGTAGATGCAAAGACTCGTACATTCTGGGCTGGTGTCCCGACTTGTAGCGCAAAGGATGACCATGGCCCGTCTGGTGAGTATCAGTGCTGCTCTCCCCTTCATATGTCTTCTTCACATACCAATGCCATCCCAGTACTGACTCGGTGCAATCGATATTGGCGCAGGTATGTCCGTTGTATTCACTTTCCTCCTCACCAATGTCGTCTCTGCCAACTCCGCTCCATATCGTTGTAGTGACCCAACCGCTGCTGCGGCGCCAAGTTGCGCAATGGTGAGTGTGAGAAGTGCGGTCGAACCAAGGGAGTTGAGCTGTCCCGCGCTTGCGACCATCTTGACCAAGACCAGACGGTTGAAAATAAATCGTCGAACACTGTGCGCGATAGACAGAATATGAAAAGAGCAAAAAGAAATGGTCGTCCGGTATACCCTCTAGAGCATTGTACCTGACAAGAAATGTTCCCAAGACCGGTCAGGCTGAACGAAGATAGACAGTCCTTCACGGCGCAGCACAAGCGCTGGTGTTCCTGCGAAAGCGTCTAGCTCCTCCAGCCCTGGAAGTCAGCTTCGGCTCGCTGGGTTGATGATCATTGGCTCTTTTTAGCCAAGCTTGTATACGAGATTGGGCCGATGTTTTCAGGCGTGCCATTGTATTCCTCCTATATTATGGCGGCCACTGCAGGCCACCATCGCATCGTTCTACGAGGTACTGTCGCCTCTTGCAGGACGAGCCGAAAGTGCATCGACGTGTATTGTTCATAGGGGCAAAAGATGATGAGTCTGCGAATGTGCAGGAGAGTTTCAAGTCTGATGCACGGTCTAGCGCTAACAAAATCATCGTACCAAACCATTTCGAGGCTATGCTGACCCAGTTCTGGGCCATGACAGCAACCGCGCCGTACATTTACATCGCCATGCGAAACTTATCTTGAACACGAGGGAGAGATAGTGCATGAGCCCATCGTGCTCATACTGAATGCCTTTGCTTTCGATCACTTGCCTATCGAAAGCTTGCATCTATACCGTCATGCACTGCAACGTCTCACTGAAGACGAGCAAAAAGTGAAGTCGTTGCCAGGAACCATACAATCAGTGACCGGGATCTGAAGCGTCGTCTCTGTCGTGCGCCGGACTCCACGCCTTTTGTGATGAAGGAACACAACAATGTCGCAGAGGTTGCCTACGACATGACGAGCCCAGTACACAAACTCTGCATATCTGATGGTCAACAGACGCCTGTCACTTGTCTATGTCTCTGGTGCTGGTGGTTGCATGATGTTCACACTGATCACCAGAATAGCGAAGGATCGGATTACGATAGAAATTTACGGGGTGGCGGGAACAGCTGACATTAGGTGCACTACCTGTATGCTACAACACCCCATGCCGTATCATCCTCATCACATGTACCACATCTAGTCCTCCTCCTCCTCATTGTCATCACCCACCACATTGAAGAACTTCAAGCTGTACTCGCCCTTGCTCGTGCTGACCACACGGAGCCAGTCACGGAGCTGCTGCTTCTTGAGGAACTTCTTGGTAAGGTACTTGAGGTAGCGACCACTGAACTCTTGGTGTGACACGATCTCGATGCGGCCATCACCGAGGTTGTTGACGGTGATGGTGTCGCCGAGGTTGCCGGTACGGCCGTCGACCTTGATGCGCTGTTGGAGGAAGGTGGCGAAGGCAGAGGGGTCGAAGATGCGGTCGTCGGTGGGTTGCTTGGCGTTGATGATGTACTAGGATGCGATATTAGCGAGGGCTTGAGATCGTGCGGGAGCAATTGTTCTTGCAAACCTTCTGGGTGGTCTTCTGGCCCTTCTTGCCTACGCCCTTAGCACCGGCAGTGCCAGTCTTCTATATCGTCCAAACATTTTAGTACTCGTTCTCAAGCCTACTGCTCATATTGCCATTATGCGCACGAGGGACCAAGATCGCCAGTCAAGGCTTCGGTATCACGGCGAAGGCTGGCAGCAAAGCGAGATACGTACAGTTGCGGGAGCCATCGTTGTGGGTGGTAATGGATTATGAGAGATTGTGGAGGTAGACGCAAAAGAGGTGGTTACTCTACGCCTGGTCGTATCAGAAACCAATCAATTTCGCTGAAGCGCATGCGCAAAGGTTCGGTGTCGGCTTGGCATCGGAGCTCTCGGCAGAAGTGTTCCTCCGTGACCTGATCCTGCCATCCTCTCAACAAGGAGTCTTCCAATCAGTACTCTGTGCGCCTAGTTGAACCATTTCCTACTCAGTCTGCTCAACAGTTCCCATTCATACGACGTGTGCTCCATCCTATGATCTCCCTACCGTTAGCCTGTTCACCACGACGAGTATAAAATGGGCTACAGTATTTCCTAACAGAACGAGAAGACGACATCGCAATGGTACCCTCGCTTTCCCATCTGCCCGAGCTACACAGCTTCCCGACATTTTAATGATCCCTCAAGATGCCACCAGTAGGCACGAACTGGACCGCAGAATCACGCCTTAGAGTCGTTTATCACTCCCCGCCTCCGCGATCGCCGTGCATATCACCTGCCCATATCGGCAAGCTGAGCTTCCACGCAATTTAGCTATCTTCCCAGTTTGCAGCCCTACGCGGTGCATACGCTGTGGCTTCTGTACTTATCGCACCTTTTACGAATCGCTGATAAGGATAGTCGTCACAGAGTTCAAGGTTCGCGCAGCTCTGCTCCCGGACGAATGTATGCGGCGCCATGGTCAACAGCAGGTATAGGTGTATCTACCATTCTTCTCTACTCTTCCATCTTCCTTGCATACCCTCCCTCTCGTACTTTCGATAACGCATACGGTATCAATGGAGCGCCACACAGTGGACGAGAGCACGCTAGGCGTTACTTCGATCTTTCGCACAACACAAGAGCACGCTGTCGTGGACCACGAGGTCGATGCCGATGAAGAAATCTTGGTCGCGCTCGGCTACAAGCAGGAATTCAAGCGCGACTTCACCATCTGGTCATGCTTTGGCGTATCCTTCTCCATCCTTGGTATTCTTCCAAGCATCGCCAGTACGCTGACCTACAACCTTGCATATGTTGGGCAAGCGGGCAGTGTATGGGGCTGGATCGTGGCCAGTATTCTGATTCAATTCGTCGCGCTCAGTATGGCTGAGCTATGTAGCTCGATGCCGACTGCTGGTGGACTGTACTATGCTGCTGCTGTCTTGGCGCCAGAAGGATGGGTACGTGTGGAATGAGACAGCATATGTGGCAAAGCTGATGGGACTTTCAGGGGCCTCTTGCTGCCTGGGTAACAGGCTGGTCTAACTTTCTGGGTCAGCTAACGGGTCCCACCTCAGTCGGCTATGCTCTGGCCTACATGATTCTCACAGCGGTCAGCATCGGAAATCCGGACTATACCATAGAGACGTGGCACATATACCTCATGCTACTGGCTATCCTGTTTGTGAGCGGGCTGATCACAATGCAGGCCACGAAGATCATAGGCTGGATCAACATAGTTGGAACTTGGGTGAATCTGATTGCCCTCATCATCTTTGTGATATGGATGCCTGTGGGATCTATCAACGAACCGAAGACAAATTCGAACAAGATCGTCTGGACGAGCGAAGGCATTGTCAATGGAACGGAGTGGCCTACTGGGTTTGGTATGTCAACGCTAGTTCTGTCCTCCAACAAGAACTGATCGTCCTCCAGCGTTCATTATGGGCTTCCTGTCTGTCATCTGGACCATGTCAGGTGAGTCTGATCTAGTCTGTACTGCGAAGGCCGTTGTGAGTTGACTATCTGCTTAGGCTACGATGCGCCGTTTCATCTCTCTGAAGAATGCGGTAATGCCAATATAGCTGCACCTCGCGCTATTGTGATGACAGCTCAACTCGGATTCTACCTGGGCTTCCCTGTCATCCTCGCGATCGCGTATACCGTCACCAATATCCAGGACGTCGTAGCAAGCGACCTGGGCCAACCAATGGGCGCCCTCTGCCTCCAAGTCTTAGGTCCTAGAGCTGGTCTAGCGATGTTCGCCATCAATATCGTGGCACAATACTGTGTCGAGCTCGGGTGCATAATAGCCGGCTCAAGGGTCATTTATGCCTACAGCCGTGATGGCGCTTTACCTGGCAGTCGATGGTGGAAGCAGGTCAACCAGTATACCCAGACACCTGTCAATGCTCTGTGGTTTGATCTAGGCGTCAACTCCTTACTGGGACTCCTAATGTTCGCATCACCCGTAGCAATTGGAGCGGTGTTCAGTATAGGCGCTATCGCGCAGTATACTGCCTTCACCATACCGATTGCTTTACGACTGACAGCTGCTTCGGATAAGTTCCGACCAGGTTAGTGATGGGCGAGGCCATGGGGAGTGTATCTACAATGCTGACATAGGAGATCAGGTCCATGGAATCTTGGCCGCTGGTCGAAACCGTGAGTAGATTGCTCCTTCTGAAATCTTCATACCTTCTGACTTGTCGTCTCAGATGCGGCATCATATCGTGTACCTGGGTGGTCTTCATCATACCCGTCCTCTGCTTTCCATCGGTCAAAGGTGGCGATCTCAACGACCTGAACATGAACTATACCTGCCTTATCTACGGTGGCGTAATGCTCTTCGCACTTTAGTGGTATGCCATCGATGCTCGGAAGTGGTTCAAGGGGCCTAGGATCAATGTGGAACATGTCATTCATGGCAAGGATATTGAGGATCGCAAGGGTATTGTGGATAGGGAAGATGTGGCTGTCAAGGTTGGGTAAATGCTGAGGTTACTAATGGTGGTATCGATTTGCATGTATGGCTGGCCGATTGACACTCGATCGATACTCATTTACCGGCTACTAGAGATCAGATCTGCGCTGTGTAGCGGACCTGAGTCAAGAGCGTTTGTGCCTTCACAAGCTGAGCTCCAGTAACAACGTTTGTCGGTCCGTCCGTATTTATCCTTGCCTGACCTGCATCAAACCTCGCTTTGGAGGCTTTTCTTACATCTTTCAAAATTCGACTGCGAGGCAGTGATTTTAGTGGATTGGTCTCCGTCTCAACAGCCTGATCTGAGCCAGAATACGCCCATGGCTCCGTTACGTCGAGTCTCGGCTGTTGAAGTTGTACAAACAACGATCGTCAAGCCACCGATAGAAGCGGCTACAGACTTTCAGTCACGCATGAAGAGAGTTCCGTTGTGCAAGGTTGACTCCCGGAACGTCTTTTGCCCGTCTACCCGGCACGGTACTTTACGATACGGAGGATCAGCATCTTGCAGACTTGAAACCACAACAGAACTGCTGTACGGAGGTACGAAGACGATCATGTCGATCTCAACCAGCAGCCAGGTTGAATTATTATCGCGATAAGCTACCACGAGGCTGAGCCTGCAGCAATCTGCCTCATCACAAGATTTATAGCGTGGGCTTCGTGCTAAATCACCCCACGACATCGCGGCAGCCTCAAAATTCGCAGCCTCGTCCTCACGCAAGTTTTCCGTGTCAATTTCTATGCACGGCAACACAACGACTGGCCACCATGACCCGGCTAAAGCTGACTCGCAGCACGCTTGAGCAGAGGGCTGTGACGTGGCTACCGTACACGCAACCATCGAACAGGGTAAGCTGCCTGTCTATCACACGCTAAAGTTGTCGCACGAATGGGCGCCGATCAAGCCCCCTGTCTATCGCACGAATACGCTCGAATCAACTCATGCTTTCTGCCGCCATCTGCTCCCCGCTCACACTTTTCGCTGCAGTCGGTCAGCGTGGCAGGTAAAGCTCCCATATCAGGTGGATCGCCCACCTCGTACAGTCTGCATTCCTTTCGCATCGCTTTCTTGCTGTCTTTCTGCCCAAAGGCTGTACAGCTTCGACGACAGCAGGCCGCTGTTTGGATTTGACGACTATCGTTCGCCCCAGGAGACCGACTAAACAGGATCACGCCTATCCATTGGAATTGTTATTATCTTGTTGAATTGCGTGAAACATCCAGGCCAATTTTGGAGAGGTGCAGCCGCAGCAGTATTCGACTCCGGACAAACACTCCAGGATGATCTCCCGCAACAGCGAGGATATCGTGCCCGCCAGGTACTTTTACACCCCCGAGTGACGCATTATGCTTGCAGTTTTCCTTTCAAGACATGTTGTTCGTCCTTGCTTCTCTGCTTCCGCCAGGCCATGATGCTGGGGAATGGACGGCACCTTCTATGCCCACATGGGATCTGGATCAATGCGAGTACATCAGGCTCTCGTTGCTAGTCACTCGCACAGCATCCGATCGTAGGCTGCTTGTATCATGCTGTGAAATGTAGAACATCCTCGGACTGCCACAAGACGCGGACCCAGTCACTATTCGGCCCGGAAGATTGAGACCATCAAGGACGACCGAAGCCGGAATCGCGCTCATAGGACAGCCGGACCATTCAGACATCGACTGCGACCACGACGACTAGCCATTGCCAATGACATGCATCCCTTCCTAGCCATCGGTGCTATTCCCTGGACGTGCACGAAGTCCATGCTCACCTGCTGAAAATCGCTGTGGCACACCGAACAGACCACGTGACGTTCCTGCTTGGACAACATATCCTCCAGATGGGACCAATTCGCGCCACGAAGCTACTGCCTGTTCCCTATTTCTTGCTTGCATCGCATGTTTATTCGCGGGCCACACGAGTGATTACGCCAATACTGACGAGTAATTGTACCTAGCGAGGATCTTTCTTACACTTACCCATCTGGATCGTTGCTCTTCTCACAACCAGCCCTTGTAGATCAGTGGAACCAGTCCGTGCCATTCGGGGAGGCCTTCCCATTGACTCCTCCAGAGACCGTGTCGGACTTCTCATCCGATTGCCAGGACATCATGAGCCAGGAATGGAACCAGGCCTCGTTTGCCGACGAGGTCTACACAACGTCTTATGTGCCTACCGATCCAGTGTATCAGCCGGAGACCAGCCAGGACTTCCAGGGTCCGATTTACGCGCACGCAGCTCCATGCACTAGTGCCTACGTCACATTTGCGCCTTCGCAATGGCTACAAACGCCACAGGAATCTGTAGTACAAGGCCTATCGCCTGTTCTGAGCCAAGAGAGCCAGAGCTCACATACTTTTACGTCTTTGTCTGAACCGGACCCCTCCTTGTTGCCTCCCAGCTTGGATACGTCCTACCCGGTGGATCCGTCATGGAGCACCTACTCTTCCGAGACATACCACGGCCATATGCTCCCGGCAGGATCCGTGCCATATGAATCGTACCCTGTGTACGGACCCTCCATGCCTGCACCTCATTCTGCGCTGTCGGAAGGATCCCGGTCATTTGTTCCTGGTCATGCTCCGCAGTACTTCCAGCCAAGGCATGCCGTACCATACTCGGTGATGCAGAGACGGCCATTACTTCCCAGGACACACAGTACGGCTGTACCCAGTCAGCCGGTATTTGGATACCAGCGTATACTCCGGCCTCATGTCACGATGCCGCAGAATGCACATGCATTCATGCCTACGGTAAGTAATGTGCCACATGAGGTTCGGCCCACCACCTCGGCCCTGTTGGATGTACCGGTTTCCATGCCAGCGCCAGCTGTCGCGACGAACGTCCCTGGAAGTCCATTTGGTGTGCTACCAGCACGTTCCATGGAGACCGTAAGACCAGAGCTTGCCGTGCAGACCCAGCCCATTGGACCCGTTGGATACTGGGTTGACCACACCGAGGACTGGAGCTCCTCCGTCCGGACGGATCTAGATATGCACCGCTCACCAATGCTTACATACAGGTCAGACTCGAGCGCTCGCCGATTCAAGTTGTGTAATACTGATGTTTCTGCCAGCACTTCTCAAAGCTACGCCACTGTACAACCGCCGCTCGTTGTCTCTCCGCGCGCTGTCAAGCCTTTGGTAGCCAAGCTGGACAGGATCCCTAGGATGGACGAGCAGAGTGCCCAAACGTCCCGTGCATCAACAGGTCCAGCTTCTGATAGCGAGGAAGGCCGCCACAGGACCCACGTGTTGTACAGCAAGGAAGCAGAAGCCGATGGACTGTACCATTGCCCATTCAAGGACGACCCAACCTGTCAACATCAGCCAACGAAGTTGAAGTGCAATTATGAGTAAGAGCGATCGATCGAGAAACAGTCGACCCTGAGGTGATCTACATGCTGACTTCAATCACCCAACACAGCAAATTCATCGACTCGCACATCAAGCCCTTTCGGTGCAAGAATGATGGTTGTGCCAAGCAGGAATTCTCCTCCACAGCTTGCTTGCTCCGACATGAAAGAGAGGCCCATGGTATGCACGGACACGGTGACCGGCCTCATCTTTGCTACTATACTGGTTGTGAACGTGGCATGCCCGGCAACGGATTTCCGAGGAGATATAACCTATTTGACCATATGAAGCGTGTCCATGACCACAAGGAGGACATCCATGCCATGGATGGAAGCTCAGCTGTTGTTGGATCCTCCAAGCGTGCTGGTGGCCGCAAGAGGAAGGCTTCTGTTCCCGCTGCCGACGAACCCGTGGCGCAGAGGCAGATGTCGCAGCTTCCTCCAGTCCAGATTCCGGTTGCCCAGACTGTGCAGATGCCATATCCAGCTTATCCTCAGGCCACCATGGTCCCGTACCCACAGGAGGTCTACTCTGCTCCAGCCGAGCCAAGAAAAGGACATCATCAACGTCAGAGAGTGCTATATACCCAGTGGGCTAATCAGCGGGACATGGTTGCCAGACAAATGGATTTTGTGCAAAGCCCGGATGATGAAGCCGGACTTCAACAATTGAGCCATAACATTGCCGAGCTTAGGAGACTCTCCCAGGACGCCAAACGTGGCTGAAGCAGATGCTCGCCATTGACAAGCCTAAAGGTAGGTCTGACGATGATGTAGAAACGACCTTGTTCAAGATGGAGACTTATAGTCGGTGTTAGCGCTTGCCGTATTGGATTGGAACATCTGGAAAGCCACGGACATGGATCGACCTCCCCTGGAGGATGCCTTTTGGATTGGATAATCATCCGTGGCCGCAGAGTCCCCGCTACATTGCCGGACTTCCGTTGGACAAACTTGAAGTTATTTCGTCCCGAAATGTTCAGCGTTGAGATGTTGTTTTAGAATCTTGCGCACTCTTTGGCCAATCCGAGAAATACTCGTGCTGCCATTCTACAGGAATCCAAGGACTTACGGAAGACAGATGCCACTGCATATTGAGTTTGTCCAGGAGGAAGGGGGTTTCTACCAAACCGCATAGAAAGCCATAACCATTGTGGACCTGCCTACATCGATGATAATGGAGGACCTGTGCCAAGACGTTGAAAGCCAGACGATTGTACTTACACATGTGAAGGACGATGATTTATGATTGTGCTATGATTGTGTGTGTTATGATTGCAATTATCATGAGCTGGTGGGTCGGCTGTCTGAACACTTTCACGCGCACCGTGGTGGTGTCTGAGACGTGCCGAGCGCAAGCTCATATGTTCTAGATTATTTAGGATTGGGGGTTATTTGTGGTTAGACCGGCCGTTTGATAAGCAAAAACGTACACTGTTTCGAGTTTTCACTCATTTCGCTGGCGATGTTTGACAGGTTGAATACCACGCCTTGTTGGCAATCGTGCCCTAGCCCGGAACTGGTCTCCACGGCTGCCATCTACCACTGTCGAAGCAGTCGATCAGCTACTGACCCAGTCTGCTTATCGTTCCCGCGCAGTTCGAAATCCTTCGTCAGGCTCAACCACTCCTCGACATACTCCTGATTTACCCCGTTCGACAACATCATCGCGGTGTTGAGATCTATCAAGAATCTTTCATCTTCGGCCGGATCCGAGTAAGCTCGGGTGGGAGTCACGATGAGACGGCAGACTCGCTTCAGCTGCGACAGCGACGCTCCGCTCACACTAGCCGTAAGCCAGGAGTCAATATGGTCGTAAGACTCGACTTTTGTATCCTTTACATGGATACTGACGTGAATAGTCCTCCGGCCATTGTCATCGTCATCAAAAGGGGGCAGAGCTTCGAGGTACTTCTGCAGTAATCCGAAGTCGCTGATGTCCGCGATGAAGTTTTCGGCTTGCTCGACTGCGTGGCGGTGGACCGTCTAATACTCTTCTTTGAGCCGTCGACACACCCGCAGTAGAGCTGTCTGACCCGGTAGCAACTTGTTCTTGCGGAAGTGTACTTCGGACAGTGTGGCGACGAGCTGGTATATGCACTTGCGTAGCTCCGGCGGCAGCCGCAGAAGGTGACACGACTCTTGCTGTGTTGTGCTCATGATGCACCGTATACGTGGTAAGGAGAGAGTATTTGGTGGGTAGTGATATTGAGTGTCGTTGGCTGGACATTGAACGAATACTTATTGCTTCAAGAGCTCTGACCACTTGCACGTGCTCATCAAGTTCTTTCATTCAGACTACCATCACCCAACCTCACTCGCAGCATTGAATCCCGAAGCCATAGGCTTCCCTCACTTCATACTGTAACCACTGCAGTGAGGCCCTTTCCACATTAATAAAGCAGCTTGAAAACAAAAAACCAAGCATAGACCACCGGCGTCAATATGAAAGTCGCAACCCACCACCCCATCTCTCCTTTTGTAGCCTGAATGATATACCTCTCAATACCAAGTCGTGGAGCACCAGGAGTCAAGAACATAGCTTTGAGCATCTCCCAAGTCATCCGCTGTGTCTCTGTCGAGCGCTTGAACATTTCTTGCTCGAATTTGGTGACCTGAATATCGAGCTCTCCTTTCTGATCTGCGACTGCTATTGCTGATGTGGCGGCGGCGACTATAGCATCGGCGAGCTGCAGACTGTCGGCGAAAGCTAGATTCACGCCTTCGCCTGCAAAGGGTGTCATAAGGTGTGCGGCGTCGCCTATGAGTGTTACGCCTGGGACGTGCCGCCAGCTGTGTCCGATAGGCAGCATGAACAGATTGCGAGGCGCCACTTCATCGTCAGCCTCTTGCAGGAAACGTTGGAGGGTAGGATGCCAGTCCGCGTACTCCTCCTTGTAAACGGCCTTCGTTGACGCAGTGTCGTGGACATCGTACGCATTTTGCCAGTCTTGATCACGAACAGACCAAGTGGCAATGGAGAGACTGCCGTCTCCCATATATTGTGCGAATATGCCTTTCCCGTCCGAGAAGCTGAATAGCGATCCTCGATTCACGGCTTCGTAGAGTGTTGGTGTTCGTGTTGCGGCGTCGTTGATGTGCATGGCATGGCCGGCTATGCCAGAATAGAACGGTTTGGCATCGCTGATCAGATTGCGAACCTTGGACCATGCTCCGTCGGCACCAACGATGAGGTCGAAGCCACGTTCCACTGTACCGTCTGCGAAGCATAGGGTAAGGTCTGCGCCTTCGCGTTTTACTTCGCCCAGCTTCTTCTTCCACTTGACCGCTCCCTCTGGCAGACTTCGATATAGCATTTCTCGTAGGACGGGTCGGTCGATCTCAGGTCGTCCTGAACTCGCGGCGCTGTTCGGCTTTCCGGCGCCCACCTTGATGTAGCAGAGGAGATTCTTGTCAGCGATTTTCATGGCTTCGCCGTCATAACGGACATGCTTCTGGAACTCATCCCAGAGGCCCGCTTGGCGCATCGCGAGCTGGCCAGTCTTGATATGAAGGTCCAGAGTCCCGCCTTGTGAGCGGAAGTTGATGGATGATTCACTCTCGAAGATGGTTGTCGTGATGCTTGGGTTCCTCTGGTGCAGGAGGCGTGCAAGCATACAGCCTGCTGGTCCGGCACCAATGATGGCAATCTTCATGGCTGTGGAGGAGATTTTGATAAGAGGTATAAGCTGTGCGGTTCCACAGGGGCTTCTTTCTGATGGTGTGCTCTTAATGTATATGTGCTTTGGAAGTACGAAATCGTGGCGAGCACAAAGCTGTCCGGTTGAATGCTACGTGGATAACACGGTGGGACACGATGACTTATAAGAGGATTACATCGACCCGGGGTACGAGTTGCGTAGGTTGAGACCAGCGTCCGAGGCGCAGGTGTTGAATCGACGAAGTCGTGTTCGACCAGTCTTTCAGCTCGGAAGTGGAATGTCTTCATGTTTGCGGCCGACACATCTATGCGAATGGTCGACGTCGAGGACCGGGCAATGACCGTGGTGGGGTGGGTTGGCCACGTCGTCGGTTCTTATTTCGCCTCCGTGCCCGACGCCTGAGCCAATCAGCAATGCCATGTCGATGGTGATGGGTAAGTGGGAAGGATGTCACAAATGTTGGTCGAGCTCATCAAGAGCCAGTCGGGCAGCTTGAGAGTCACTATGTCTGCGCTCAACGGCGCTGTAAAAAAGTGTGACCATAGCCTCTTGTCGTCAAAGAGGCGGAGCCATGCCCGCCGAATCCGAGCCGAGATAGTGGGCCTACGATCCACGTGACCCGTTCGCGACTACTCCCGATAAGACGGAAACCCCGAGAGGAAGAGAGAGAGTACGCATTACGCCATCTTTATGCCGCGGTCTTCGGAAGGAAGAGTTCACATGCGCTGCTCGCCTTGTACTTATGCTCGGGTAAGCTATCGTACGTGTGTGTCAGATGCAGGCCCTTCTCCGGCCTTCTAGAGCCGTTAGCAGGAATATATACAAGCCTGCTCCATTCCTCGCCTCCTCGGCGACCACTCCTACACATCCCTTCATCCACCCTATCAGACCACTATCAACCATGTCTTCCGCTACCACCTTCTACGACTTCACGCCCAAGAACAAGACGGGCAAACCATATCCTCTCACCGACCTAAAAGGCAAGGTCGTGCTCGTCGTCAACACCGCCAGCAAATGCGGCTTCACACCTCAATTCGAGGGCCTTGAGAAGCTCTACAAAGGTAAATTTTTCCACCCTCCAACGCCTATGCATATTATGCACGCGACTAACGCAGACACCCAGAACTCAAACCTTCCCACCCCGACTTCGAAATCCTCGGCTTTCCCTGCAACCAATTCGCCGCCCAAGACCCGGGCAGCAACGAAGAGATCCAGGAATTCTGCCAACTCAACTACGGCGTCTCCTTCCCCATTCTCGGCAAAACCGACGTCAACGGCTCTAACGTTGAGCCCGTGTGGGAATGGATGAAGACGAGCAAACCAGGTCTCATGGGTCTGACGAGGATCAAGTGGAACTTTGAGAAGTTTCTGATTGGGAGGGATGGCAAGGTCGTGCAGAGGTGGGCGAGTACAAGTACACCTGCAGGTCTGAAGGGTGCGATCGAAGGGGAGTTGAAGAAGGCTAAGCCTACAGGCACGAAGCCGGAGGCGCCCACGCCGACCACGAAATAGTGGGAGAGGAGATTGTGAGGCGCTGGAGGAAGCTGGTTTTGCAGCGAGTTTGCATGTCGATAGATACGGTTCAATGATACCCCATCCTAGTCCACACTCGAACGCCGTCCATCCCATCCGTTATCGTGACTACTCGCAACGGCGTCTCGTTCGTCGTGTTTTCAAAGAGTGTAGTTCGGCTGATCTACAGTCTACAACTACTCTCATACCCGTCAATTCTGTCCAGCAGCTCGACAAAGGCCTTCGAGCTCGAACACGAACTACTTGGCCAGCAGAAGTGTCGTCAGGAATGATGTTTCACTCTAAGCAGTACCCCTGAGCGCGGCAACGACGAACTTTGTGCCCAAGCTCTGCACACTCGCCGACTGTGGATAGGCAAGATGCTGAGCATTGATACCGAAGCCGTGAGCAGTGTCGCAGACACCGTCACCCTAGATGGCTTCTGCGTTAGCATGTTCGCACCACACATGAGATGTTTGACACTTACGTAGTTGCAAACATCCAGAGTCTTCGCCACCCAGTTGGACGGGATCCCACCTCCAAGCGCCACAGACAGCCCATTAACATTCTTCGTCGTTGTCCCCCCGTTTTGGTCGACGTTGCAGGCCAGACCGCTCTTGTGCTCTGGGTCGCCGATAAGGAAGACTCCCTTGACGGCATCGAAAGATGTCCCGGTGAGCCTAGACATAGCGTTGACGGTTGCGGCAGCGCCTTGGGAGTAGCCCTCCAGGATGACGCAGACGTTTGAATTGGCGCGGACGAGGCTAGAGACCTTGTTCACGATCTATGGAAGGGTCAGTACATCGTTGTAAGACCGATGGCGGTTGGCTGGAATACTTACGTCTGTTGTACCTGCGGCAAAATTCTGGCTGAAGTCTGCGGAGTAGACGGTGCTGTACTGGTAGACTCTTAGTAAGAACATCGGATGTATGCTGTGCTCAACATACGATGGTGCCGCCTGAGACCTGCTGCTGAACATTGCTGTTCATGGTGCGGAAGCCGGAGGATGGGCCCTGGATCTCGCCAGTACCACGGGTGTTGATGATGGCTGGAGTTGGTCAATAGCATGTCCAAAGGACGCCTTTGGTTGCTGGTGCTCACTGTAAGCAGCACAGCTCGTCTGGCGCTCGGCGATGCTGCTCTCGTCTCGCTCGACTACCGGAGCGGCGGAGACGGAGAGGGCCATGCCCATGGCGAGGAGAGCTTTTGTGATATGCATGATGGTGAGAAAGAAAGTCTGGAAGGTAATCTCGAAAGTGAATGGTAGGCAGATGCTGATAATTCTGAATGAAGCTGGGATCTGGATTTGGCCTTACACGCTGAACTTCCTTACCTTATATGCTCGCACATCGTGCTGGCAGACATTCGTCCCGAGGTCTGCACAAAATAGCAATGTAGTTTGGAGTTTCCTGTTACGGCTCACCATCTAGCAGATGAAACGTGGACGTCGACTTGATATGCCGCCACGGCAGCACCACCGTGTTTGTTTCCACAGTCCTGGTCGATGACCGAGGCTCTCGAGATCGTGCTTACTCCCGGTAGGTGGCACTGAGGGAGGAAGTGAGATCGCTAGCAGGGATTCATCGGATACCTCCTTCGCTCAATGCTGAGACACGCATGATCGGTAACGTTGGTTTGTGTCAAGTGGCTCGGCATGAAGCATCATGTTCCGGTCCTAGATGCTTGTGGCGTAAAAGTTGCAGAGTCGGCCGAGGCAGAGTGAGAAGAACTGGGTATGTCGTTGGTCGGAAGGTAGATCGATGCATCGTAGCCAAGCATTTGGCTTGTATCGTACTGTCGGCAGGGCTGTGTGACATTGGTCTTGGCCAGAAAAGCTGACTCGGTCTTGCGCAAAGCGCATGGTATTGAGCCTACTCCCCGAGATCATTCACATGACTCAGACCACATCATAGGAAGCCAAAATGTATACACGTATCTCGTGAGAACCTCGGCGAGAATGTCATGGCAGTATATTGCTCGTGTATGTTGGTCGGAAGTCGAAGCAAGAGGTTAAAGTTCAACGACCTGTCAGAGCATGAGCCGCTTCTTGGCCGATGCTGCCACATGGGGAAGTCGAAAACAGACTTCTGCGTTTCGCCTCCCACACACATTTGTAGCATGCTCCACCATGGGCGTTTGAGAGGCGAGGCAACGCGAGAGATACATTTGAGAAGGTAAATAGAAGGGATGAATGAGTCCAGTTCAGGTCCGCCATAACGACGGTAGTTCGCATCGACAACCACGTTCACCTATATGTCTTCTTGAAGGACACTTGACCTCCCGTCTCTGCTAGAAGCAGCTCACCTGCGGGATAGATCTCGACAATTACGATGATTGCATCTGTACAAGATCTGGGCGGTACTCATGGCTGCCTACGGCACGGTAGATCATACCGTCGTAGCTACCACATTCGCTGGAAGTGAAATTTAGACAGCCATTGCAGACTACCCAAATGCGATTTCTAGCTGAAGTGCGAACCTAGACCGCACACAGTCGCCAAGCCGTGCACTACCGTTGTGGGAAGTCAAAGAGCTCGTTTTGTCAACCACCCAAAGCAGAGATGGCTCACCACGCTGCTGGAGCAAAGGCCATTTGAACGACCTCTGGATGATGGTGTATTTGCATCGAAATGTGGGCGTCGACTGCTTGCTGCCGTCGATCTCGAGTTGAGGTGCCTGGATATTGACACCAGTGCGAATTATGTCGCTCTGATCCGTCCGCCCCACATGAGATATGGAGAGACAAGGGCATGAGTGCATGTTTCCGAAAGCGTCTCTATGATGCTATGTATACAGATATTTCAACGGATCATCGAAGCAATAACACGTCAGAAGCCTGTTCCTCCCAGCATGTCGCAAGTCATAGCCCGTCTCAAACGAGATCCTTCCCAGCAGATAGAATGAAAATTGTCATGAAGTTGAATTCGTAGGTCGAAATAGATATCCTCAATCACACTCTTCAACCACATACCCTCGGCCTTTGTCTAAAGCTTGGCATGGCCGTGGTTGTGACGCGAACTGTGCAAGTGACGCTTCCTCTCGACAGGCGCAGTAGTGGAGCCATTGACGTGGAAGAGAACGTTGTCGCAAGCACCGCCTTCGCAGTTCCTGTATACGCTGAGCGCACCCGCGCCACCGCAGACTTGAGCCGAGTTACCGGCACATGGCTGCCAGCAGTCACCCAAAATATCAGGCTGAGGTGCACGAGAGCCGGCGTTGTCGCTCTTGTAGTCGTTATCGCAATAGCATTGACTTGCATACTCAAGGCCGGCGAGCGAGTAGCCCTTGCCCTTGCAGAAGTCGATGCAGGTCTCAATCGTCATAGAGTTGGAGGCTGTGTTAGCGCCTTGAAGCGTGCGTGTGACGACACTGTCGTTGGCGCAGCCTTGATACTCCCAGCCTAGGGAGCTGACGACGTTGGTGAAATACTCTTGCGCAGTGCCCATGGGCGTGAGCGAACATTTCTGAGGTGGTGCATACTCAGGTCCCTCGGTGGGTGTGTTGCAGCCAGCCAGTTTGGTGAGATTGCCGGTAACAGTCTCGTTAATCATGGGCGGGATCTTGCAGGCTTGGCACTCCTCGTTGGAGAACAGGTCGTCGAAGTATTTGCAATCGGACAGCTGGCCACTGTCGTTCGTGCAATCCCTGGTGGCATTCTTTAGAACCTCGACGTCCCATCCGTTCACGAAGTCGCCGTGGAAGCCGTAGCCAGTACGATCACCTTGCGCGAAGACGAAAGGGTGTTTGCCAGCAGCATCATACCAACGTTCGGCGAAAAGATTCGTCTGGTAGATGATTTCGTAAAAGATCGAGATTGTCTGATTAGGGTGGGAGTCGGGACATACACCGTTGTCATACTCGCCGATTGGGTATGCCATGTGAGAGTGATGGTCCGGCGGGTCCATGTCTACACCATTCCAGCAAGAAGGAAAGTAGACTTGAGCACGGAGGCCATCGGGACAGTTGTAGTCTGGCATGTTACCGGTCTGGGGGTGTTTCGTGGCACCTGAGTAGTCCAGGCAGACGAAGCTAACGGCTTTTCCAGGAGCAGCTTTCAGGCCAGTATCATTGCGCTGCCAAGGATCACCAGCCAGCATGCGAAAGCCCTCTGGGAAGGCTAGAAGATTCTTCAAGTCAGGGCCACGCTGTTCGTAGTAGACCGTCATGCCACCTGTGGCACCATTGCCTTCGCCAGCCTGTGGGACGTCCTCGAAATGACCATCTTCGGCCATGTAGTACAATTTCGGTGTCCAGTAAGCTGACAGATCATCCTTGATCGGGCACGAAGAGCAGGCAGAAGCACGCTGCTGCTCGTAAGTTGTGTTGAAACCGAATCCACTGCCGCCGGATACGGTATGGACGTGGCCCGAAACCTCGTAAGGCGAGACGATGGGATCGATACGCTCAAGCACTAGCCGGCCAGGGCATGGCATGCGCCAAAACGCAGAGACCGGTTCCGTGAGAGCCAACGCCAAGCCCACAGCAGCCTGTGCAATTCTGATAGAAGGCATGATTGCTGCAGTCCAAATGATCGGTATGAAGTCGTGGCAAAGGAACGCTTGTGGTTATCTGATGGTGGTGCGATTCGTGAGCCTAAAAGAGTGTGTTGCGGGTTGGTCGCAGACCTGGATGCGCGCAGCGCGAATAATGAGTGACTGAACGGATGGTAAAGAACGATGATGAACAAAGAAGACGAGCGGATAGCAATATAGCCCCATCTTGAAGTTCTTGCCCCTCGCCTTTGTGAGGCGTTACCTGCGACACCGTCAACAACCTCATTTTATCTATGCACACTATGTGGGCACGGTTTTCTGGTTCAGACAGGGATCCCACGATACGTCGCAGATCTCAACGCACGGGTGGGAGCTCTAGCCACATCTGGAGTAATGGCTTGAACGGTTGTCTCTGCATATTATTTGGGCCACACATCACATAGAGTGGATCTTGACGTGCATAAAGAGCCATCTTATAGCCTTTGATAGTCAACTTCTGTGTGCATGTAAGGCAGCATCGTAGGCAGCATCGTAGGCGTCATGGGCAGCTCCAGCCGCGTCGTAGACTAGGCATTCGGCTTGGATCTGGTTCGGTAGGATACTCCGAGGAGCGTGCCGGCTGTGTAGAAGCGAAGTCGTGTCCTGAATCAGACGAGCGGGCACATGCCAGATGCAGCGACGAATGATGCCAGTGGCTTGACCTGTTCTCGAAAGGCGAACGTAGCGAAGATTGCAGGTGACTGCCGGGTTACGGACTGGTTTGTGAACCAACGGCAGTGGAGCGTTTGGTGGTTCATCGTTTCTGCTGACAGCGAAGCTACTACGCTTTCGTAGTGCTCACGTTCGAGAGTGGGTGTAGGACCGCCGCTCAAGGTCGACTTCGGTATCCACGCTGCGGTGGCGCTTCTGCAAGGAGCTTCGAGATCCACAGATCACTTTGTGGGCCGGAGTGATTGAGTGTCCAGCCGCCAGCGAGCCGCTCAGGGGATATCCGTGGAGCAGACATCCCGCAGCCATTTGACTACCGCCCATGTAGCCCGGTGATCAGTGCAGTCGGGGGAGGTAGATCTGCCGGTAGGGCTGGATGACAGAAACATGCGTGCTTGAAGATCGTGTTCCTTCCACAACAACCGCCCTGATGGCCATGTGTACGCCAATTCCACGCCTCATTTCTACATCGCAAGCACTATGAGAAGGTGGATGGATGCGGCGCCTCTGCAGATATCTGGGAGCTTATGCAGGAGTGCCGCTGCTCTTGGCGATCTTGAAACACGCTAATGCTTGCCTCGACCGGATTTACTTCACGTCTTCAAGAGCACTATGGGCCTCGAAGACTCACCAGGACAACTCTACCTTCGCTGTATGTTCCATTCCTTTATGATAGACACGATCGCATTCTCGCGATCTGTGATATGTTACGAGAACATGAGCGCCGCGGATGTCTACATTGCTAGCACGTAGTCGACTGTGAGATTTGAGGCGCATTGTCCACTGGACCCGTACATGGATGTCTGACCCTTGGACTTGTATACCCATGGGCAATACGGCGCGGGTTCTCATACTCGAACATGTGTGCCACCTGGCTACAGTCGCGACTAAGACCGTTGGCCCAATGCGACCGCCTTGGTAGCCGTCCCCTAGGCGCTTACTACGCGCCCATCGTCCGTGAACACAGTCTATCGGATCCAGACCGGCGTCAGCAAAACATGACTTCCGGGATGACTGCCTGTCGTGTAGATGTTGCCATTGCATGTGTCTGTCCCAATAGAATCTTCGATACCACGACATCACCAGATCCAGGAAGTGGTACGACATTGTCTCCTAACATTATCAATGGCCCGGCGCTCCAGATATATCCTCGGAGTCCTTCTTACTCTCGATCTATCAACACTTGCTTGGTCTAGCAGCTCTTTTGATACCACCTCCCATAATGATAGCTCCAGCGCGGCAAATCATTCGACGAATGAGCAGGTGGCCAACAAAACGACCCGAGTACTCCTCAGTTCATTCCTCGGTTCAGACAGCGTCACGGAGGTAACCCATCGGCCTCTGTACGCATACGACTTACCTTCTGGCAAGTCGGGAAATGCTACCACCATCATATGCGCCCTTGGTGATGCACAGTGCGCATCCACGTGTTCCTCGACGTGGCTGGCCTGCTCATCAAGCTGGGCATTCTGGTCAAGCAATGATGTGTCCATGACACAAGTGGACGTACCGAAGACATATCCCTCTGTAGCTTACTCCACAAGCTACTCGGAAAGCCCTTCAGTCTATAACCGCCAGACTTATGAATATGAGCTTGGAACTGGCCTTGCGACTTTCACTACCACCGTGTATGGGAGGCGACAGTCAGTCAGCGATGCGTCCGTCATTACCGTCCGCGATCCACCTCCCACATGTACTTGGCAACCTTGCTCGATAGCGCCAACCTTTACACCGGCAAGCTGCCGACAGTCTTGTGAAGTACAAGGCGGTACTGTCGAGCTGATTTACTGGGCAGACATGGCTATGTCCACCTCTCCATCAAAGGCCCAAGCTTCAGCATCGGCATCTATCATGTTAGGATATCAGAATCGGTCTTCGTCGCGAGCGCAAGAAGTGACAGCGGTATACAAGAACATGACGCTTACCTCACCGACGGTGTACATCGACTTCCAGACTGCTTACGCCACCGACGATTGTGGCAATGCTGTCGGCAAGGCGTATCCTGGTGCTGTCGTAGGAGTTGATCCGCAATCACTATATAGCATGCTAGGGGACTGGGACTTTGCTGTTCAGACTGTCGACAACGGTGCGAGGACCACAACTTTCTACCCGTCCGCAAAATTCGACTTCCATGATCTGAACGGATTACCGCCAGTTTCGGCATACATAGAGCAGCCAAGTTGCATCGCTTATGGCTGTTACTCTATCTGGTCAAGTCTCTATCGACCGGTTCTTGTCCTACCTAGTCAAGTGCGGAATCTGGACCCAGCATGGAAGAGCTGCGGACTTGACTGGCATGGTGCTTGGGATCCTCCTATTGCTTTGCAGCCAGCTCAAGCGATTGATCCCGTCACCACACCACATGCCCCGTCCTACACCGTGCCTGCTTCGCCACAATCAACAATTAGGGCGCCTGCAAGCCAAACTCCCACAGCGATACCGGCGGATCCCAGAGCGAGTATAAGCCAAGGCGGCGGTGCATTGCACACCCCAGCATCGACAGACCCTCTGGAGTCGGAGAAGCCTGTGCAAAGCTCGACAAGTAACAAGGCATGGCCATCCTCTGCCGACCCGTCCTTGGTCGGCATATCTTTGATCTCGACGCAGACTAGCCCAGAGATTCCAACAAGCTTTTCTTACCGACCCGTTCAGACAGCTGATGACCCAGCCAGCCGATCGGGGGTTGTGCTGGCGAGTCCGAGCATCGTACCAGCCCTCTCCTCAAGCTCGACATTAGTCCATTTCCCTTCAGCAACAAACGCATATGAGGTTCTGACTGCAGCTCAAGGTACTGCGATTAGCAGCATAGCAGCAAGTAGAGACGATCCTGGAAGTTCCGGAAGCATTGCCCCCCCCGCTACCTCTTCTCAAGGTGTCTTGTCCGTCTCGCTCCTAGCTACCTCTTCGGCCTCAACGATAGGAGGTGGGCAAACATTGAGCGCCGTACCTGTCGTAGCACCAGATGGCGGGACATCTCGCCTTCTCTCCTTTGCTGGCACCACAGTCAGTGAGGGCGGCCCAGCTCTAAGCACGGCCGGCCACAGCTACAGCGCTGTGTCCGGAGAAATCATTGAGGACGGCAGTACTGTTGAACTTGCCACGAAGACGTTGAGCAAGACTTCTACACCACAAGCAGCAATCACGATTGGGACTTCGACCGCCGTTGTCCACTCTGTCCCTGGAGGCGGTGTTCTACTTGGTACGCAGACGCTACTATCAGGGTCTGGCGTCTTGATTGATGGTCATACCTTGAGTGCAGGCAGCAACGGTATCGTCCAGGATGGCACGACGATACCGTTCTCGATACCATCTTCCACATTGTCGACACAAGCACCTGAAGCCATCCTCACACTTAGCTCAGCATTCGCAACGGCCTCTGAGATTCCGGGATCCTATATCGCTTGGGCGATTGGAATTCAGACGTTGAGTGTAGGCGAGCCGGGCATCACCATGGGTGGTCACAGCGTCAGCGCGGCACCCTCTGGAGTCCTCCTCGAGGATGGAACTGTAGCAGAGGTCGCGTCCAGTTCATCGTCGTCAGTTGTGCAGAGTCCTAGCTCACCGAGTGGTTTCCTGCCTGTGATTACAACGGCTAGTGGTGCAACACCCACTGAGCAAGGCAGTGCTACGTCGTCCACGGCAGCGACGGGCAGTGGCATAGTTTCATCGTCCGGATCTGCGATCAGGAACAGCTGTCTCCGCATCCTGCTGCTCACACCTGTACTACTAATGCTAGGCTGTCTGTTCGGCGTGTGGACGTAAGTAAAGATAGACATAATATTTCTTCCTTTTAGCATATATCGCATACTATACCCAATAATTGTACCAAACCAAAGCGGAAACTGTTCCGTCTCTGCATAGCAAAGCTCACCAGGCTACCAGGAACCCTCTTCGGCACTTCAACATCCCCACTTGACATCCGGTAGTCCCCACGTCATGTCAGGCGTAACTCAGTTGCTCGGGACTTGAGCATGAGGGTCTCGAAGGCTCCATAATGGGTATGGCTGATCTCTCAATCATGTAAGATAGTATAACATCCACAGGCCGTTCAACACTGCCTTGCCTGCACTGTAAGGACATTACGTACATCACCCATCAATACAAGCGCGAACCACCTCAGAAACCCCTCCCAGACACACCCAACCATGACAACCCAAACCCAGACCCAATCCAACGGCTCCTCCACCTGGATACCCCCCCAAGGCAACTCCTCCCAATGGGGCTCCCAACGCCCGGTAACCCTGACCTCCACCGCGACCTCTTACGCCAACGGCAGCATAACCTTCAACGCCGGCGCCTCTCTCCCCGACACCGAAGCCATCGGCCCCGAAAGCCAACCTTTATCACAATGGCAAAAAGCCGCTGGCATCGACCCAAGCAAACAGGTCAAGATCGTGAAACTAGCGCACATGCGATACCAACATCCTGATCTCGAGGAGATTACAACATTCATGCGGGATTTCGGGATGCATATCGTGCAGACGTCGGACCACGGTAATGAAGGCGGGAAGAGGAGATGGTTCAGAGGATATGGCTCAGATCAATACGTCTACTACGCGCAATCGGGTCCCAAGAAATTCCTCGGAGGGACTTTCGAAGTGGAATCACTATCCGAGCTGGAAAAAGCCACGGCCATCCCGGGGGCGGCAGAAGAAGGGATTCAGAAACTGGACGATGCGCCGGGGGGAGGCCATATGCTCACGTTGACTGATCCGGAGGGGTTCATGGTCAACCTGCTTTACGGCCAAGAAGCGGCACCTACAGGCGATTTTCCGGAGAAGGTGATTGTGAACGACGAGGTGGAGAAACCGCGCGTGCGGAAATTCAATCGCTTCACGCCTGGGCCCGCTGCCGTGCATAAATTAGGACACTATGGGCTCTGCGTCCAAGATTTCGACGAGCAGTTGAAATGGTATACACGGAATTTCAACTTGGCGCCGACGGATTTCTTATATGTGCCTGATGGTGGTGGTAGCAAGGATGGCGGTGGTGGGAAGAAAGACGTAGCGGCTTTCCTACATATCGACCGGGGTGCCGATCCGGTGGACCATCACACGTTCTTCATGTCGACGAATAAAACGAGCCATGTGCACCACTGTTCCTTCGAGGTCCACGATTACGATACCCAGCACTTGGGGCATCAATGGTTGGGTGGGAAAGGGTATACCAGTGTCTGGGGCATAGGGCGACATATCCTGGGATCGCAGTAAGTCCGACTTCATGTCCCCCCATATCGGGAAACAGCGCAAGTGCTAACGTGACGGCTTTCTTTTTTTCGCAGAATCTTCGACTACTGGTGGGACACAACCGGCAACATGGTCGAGCACTACGCCGACGGGGACCTCGTGAACCACGAGACCCCCGTCGGCTGGAGCGACGCCAAGGACGAGAGTCTGGCGGTCTGGGGCCCGGAGGTGTCCAAGTGGTTTCTGGAGTAGTGCCATCCGGCCCCCCACCCTCATCCATGCGGAGATGACTGGAGTGTAATAGAACCCAACACCATGGAATCGGGTGAAGGATGAATCGTCCCTCTCGAAAATCTCCGGGTCTTGTGCAGCTTTTCTTTTCCCGGTCGAGGTCCGAGGTTGATTTGGGCCTGGGGCGCGGGGGCTTGGGCGATCTGTTGGATTCTTCCTGAGCGCGGGGCCATAGGAAGGCTCGATGATGCAGGGGGGGGGATGTTGTGGTGGAGAGGGGGGAAAAGAGGAGCGGAGAGGAGAGGAGAGGAGAGTGGTGGGCCAGCGTCATGAGCTGCTAGGCAGGATGCTGGAGTTTTTCTTTTCCCGTAAAAGGATAAATCATTTCTCGCACTGTGATGCATATTTTCGTCGCTATGTACACAGCAGATCCCGTCATCATGGACGGACGCCACGCAATGCAATGCAATGCAATGCAATGCAGCACGGCGAAAAACGCAAGCCATGCAACGCAGAGCAGATCGGAGCAGACATCCCTCCCCACTCCCGCCCCCCAATGCTAGTAGCAATAGCAGTTGTTACCCCAGCAGCCCCGTCCCCTCCCTTCGCAACACCACGCAGTTACAATTTCCCCACCAATGGCCGCCCCATCTATCATGCATGCATCAATCCTCCTCCTCCTCCTCCTCCTCCTCCTCCTCCTCCCACTTGAGGGCCCCCCCTGCCAAACGACGGTCCAGCAAAGAAAAGCTCGGACCCTCTCTAATTCCTATCCAACCGCCGCCTCAAATTCCGCGTCCGCTTCATCAACTTCTTATACTTATGCTTCTTCATCTTCAACTTCCGCTGCCTCTTGACCGAAATCGCATACATCCTTACATTCCCCTTCCCCGCCGTAGAGGGCGCGTGCTTGATCGCTCGTCCCCGGTGTATTGCGCTTCCTGCCCTGCTTGTGAGGTGTGCTCGCTGCTGGTGGGAGGAGAGGAGGAACGCACGTCTGCGTTGCATGAAGTTCGTTCTTCGCGGTTGCTTGACCTCTTCTGTAGAGGAGGGGTCGCGGATGCCGTTCTCCAGACTCGTCTGCTGAGCGGGATCCGTGACCTGCACGATCGGGGTATGAGAGGCTGAGTAAGATTGTTCGCCATTCGCGGCCGTGGTCTCGAGGATGGTGATGGTGGTTTGGTAGCTCTTTTGTCCCGTTGCTTGTGTTGTTGTAGGTACTGCTAGCGGCCTTCGACTCGATGCCTTGGTGGTTGCTCGTTTTGTACTTGTTGTCTTCTGCTGCTGCTGCTGCTGCTCGGATGCAAAAGGTGACGGTGGCGGTGGAGGGCGAAAGGGTGTGAATTGCGCCACTAGCTCCTCCAGACTCTTGATCTTAGGCATCGGTGCACCGTCAAGATGTTTCACTCCATTATCGGCGTTTGTGGGGGATTCTTGAATCACTTCCCATCGCACGCCGTCGTCTTGGTTTGCGCGGGCCTTGGTTTCGAGACTCTCGATGGTGTTGTGGAGGGTGTAGATTACGTCTTCGGGTCTTCGCTGGGCGGAGTCGCCGTCGGCCCAGGGGTCGTGAGTGAGGCGTGTGTCGAAGATGGTGTTGAAGGCTTCGATTGAGGCGGGAGGGGGGATGGTGGTGGTTACGGACATGGGGCGGTGGAGGGAGAAGAAGGAGGAGAGGCCGACGTCTGTTCATTCCCTTCAAGTTAGTAATCTACCCTTCCGTCCGGGTTTGATTCAGATGTATAACATACCCTTGTCTCCCAAATGCTGCACGCCAGGCACGGCAGGCAGACGAGCAAACTGATCCGCAGTCTGGCCTTGCCTCTCACTCTCCCTCTCCCTCTCCCTCTCCCTCCCCGGCATCAACACCTCAGCCACTTTACTCGTTCGCGGCCCATAAGCTCCTCTCTTCGACTTCCTCACATTCTTCGGCGTGGCTTGTGACTGTGCCTGAGACTCCTCGGCCGATGTCGCCGTCACTGCAGCCGCACCTTTCGCCGCAGGAGTAGGTTTACTGCTATCGGGCGGACATGACGCTTTGCTGCTCGATGGCCGGCGCTGGTGTGAAGGGCGGGAGGTTGTTGGTCGATGGACGGTGGTGCAGGTCGAGGCGGAAGATAAGGCCGAGGGAGTCGGGGACGGGGTGTGGGTGTTGACTATGGCGCGGTGGGCGGCGCGGGTGAGTTTGGTGGAGAACATGGCCGGTGTTCTCGGCGTAAGAGGAGAGGGTGGGATGGTAGTATATTGGCCGACAATGACCGACTTCGCCGTGAAAGATACAGGAACTAGATAGACGCAGCGGAGCGGGCAAGAGCTCGTTCTTGGCGCTAGCGGATGCTTTGACCCGAGCCCTTGTCGCCGTCTTCAGGCACATGACACCACATAGAACATATGATCATCAGCCCATCTACTGTAGATATTAGAAGAGAAGTAGTATTCATCCAACTCTGCACCCTCCCCCTACCAGTCAAAATGCAAGTCGCAACCAAAGAGACCGCCCGCCAGCTGCCCGACCAAGCCACCCTCAACCAAGTCGCCTCCCTCCAAGTCATCGATGAAAACGGCACCAAACTCCCCTTCAACACCCTCTACACCACCTCTCCCTCCTCTCCCTCCTCCCCCCAAAAGAACCTCCTAATCTTCATCCGCCACTTCTTCTGCGGCAGCTGCGAAGAATACGTCCGCGCCTTACAACGCCACAGCCACCTCTTCTCCCCATCCCACAACAACAACACCACCACCAACACCAACACAACCCTCACAATCATCGGCTCCGGCCAACCCGACCAAATCCCCGGCTACCGCCACCGAACCGGAACCACCTTCCCCATCTTCTGCGACCCGGAGAGAAAAGTGTATACCACACTGGGAATGACGAATAATTACGGTGGCGGGGAGAAGAAACCGGAGTATATTACTCAGGGGTCGCTGGGGTTGGCGTTGAAGAGTACGTGGACGCTTATGACTAGTAAAGGGGGGCCGGGGTTGGAGGGGGGGCATCCGGGGCAGAATGGGGGGGAGGTTTTGTTTGTGGAGGGCGGTAAGGGAGGGGTGGAGGTGGTGTTTTGTCATCGCATGTTGAGTACGAGGGATCATGCCGAGGTGGGGGAGTTGTTGGAGGTGCTGGGGGTTGCTGGTGAGAAGGAGCCAGGGGCAGGGTGGGAAGGGTGAGGCGGGAGAGTGAGGAGATTGTGTCGGGAGGTGGGGAGAGTGCTGCGGTCTGAGATGTTCTTCTGGTCTACTACTGACATGCAATCGGATGGAGAGGCAGGTGTTGCTACATCCGATCCGCACGCATTCCCGTCCCGTATGCATATTCCCTCCCAAAACCTGGGCCCGGAATATTCGGGAGGTGGCGCGCAGAAGTGGCCACTAACTCCGTGGCATGGGATCAATACCAATGCAATCCTCCTCTACACATGTGTCCTGTGAGGGGAACCGACATACTCGCGTTCGACAGCACATCAGCCTTCTCCACGGAGTCAGTAGGAGCATACCTGCTAGCCGCTGGTCGTGAATCGGACACAACAGCTTCGAGACCAGCTGTTCTTTTTCTCTTGGAGAGAGAGAAATGACTGGCTGTCGAGGTTGAACACGATGGCATTGTGTCTGGGAGACGATCGACATTGTGCTGCACACAGCGTGAGAGCGACCGCATGAGTGGCGAGAGCGAGACCATCGGGATCACACTCAGGAGCGAAGCTGAGAGAACAGGGGAATCCTTGCGTTCCCCCAGATCAACGATCGCATAAGTATGAAGTAAGAAATCACTCGTGCACTATGCCCAGTCACAGACATGCCACGCACCTCGAACAGACTTATGTCGCAGTGTATACAAAGAACTCTATCCAGCAAAAAGGTACAAGAATCTTTGCCAACCCCATTCGTGACTCAAGGTTCCCATTATCCGAACCCGTACCCTTGAACATGGTTGCCGACTTGTACCGAAGTCCAGGTGCTTCATGCCCGTAGAGCCCTAACGGGCACTAGCGACCGTAGTAGCTCCCCTCAGATAAGGTGTCGTCTCCGGCGACCATCCCTAATAGCCTAGCCAGAAGAGCCGGAGGACGTCGGTCGCTTCCCCGTGGCCGAGTCCTGATCTTCAGGAAACACAATACTAGGCGCCGTATCCCAGCCTGCGATCGCCGCCGCTGCTCCCGAGAGCAAGGGGATGGGGGAGGTGCGTCGACTACTCATTGGCGAATCCACTTTGCCCGCGCCATCTCCTACCGCGGCGCCAACCTGCACAGTCGCCGCCGCCGCCGCCAGCGCACCCTCCATCCTCTTCACCTCCTCCTCCTCCACCACCTCCGCAGCCGCCTCCGTAGCCTCCTCCCGCACACATCTCCCGCACAAACACTCCGCGTCCAACCACCTCCTCATTCTTTTCCGGCGAGCTTTCAGTGGTTCATCAGCCATATAGCCGTCGTAGAGAACGAAAAATTGTTCCCCCTCCTCAATCGCTCGGGATGTCGTGATCCTCATACTCGTGCAATTCCCTTGCCCAACTTCCCAGCTCACATTCGGTTCGCAACTATGATTAAACAGGCTGAAGAGCGGGGAGATGCAGGAATGGAGCGGGTTGCTCCAGCTGTTGTTTCGGGAGCGGGCGGCGAGTTCGAAGAGCGTCCAGGTTTCGTATTGGGGAGAGGCGAAGATGTCGATGCCCGCGGTTTGGAGGAGGAAGAGGTTGGGGATGATGATGTCTTCTTCCAGGGAGAAGATCTGGATTTTCGTCCGACGGTAGGTCGGGGTTAGGCGGGCTAGGAGTGGGTGGTCGAGTGGGTGTTTGATCGTGCTGCTGCTGCTGCTGCTGCCGCCGCCGCTGGTCTGTTGACACTCCTCATTGTCCTCCTCGGCTTCACTAGCTCGCTTCTGTAGGGTCTCCCCAAGCAACCGACACAAAAGCAGTACGCCTGCGGCCTCCTTCCCGCATCTATCCCGGATCCAGCGGAGGTCTTGCTCTACCGTCTCCTCTGGGAATTTAGGGTGAATGGGGTCTGAACAGCCCATTCCGCCATGGAGGTTCGCGAGGTTCTGGGGGTGAGAGCCAGTGCCTGGACCAATACAACCCCATGTTCGTGTCTTGTCGAGGATGAGGGTTGTGTGGGCGGGGATGTCGTGTGTGGCGAAGACGCCGAGGATGTCGCTCGTCGGTTTGGAGAGTGGATCCGAAGGCATTTCCGAGTTTGATGAACGGCCGAAGGCGTGGCGGCGGATGACACAATCTGCTGTTCCCCTGCCCTTATCTCGCGCTTGCTGCTCGAATTCCGCGTTGATCGTTTCGAGTAATTGGTCGTCTCGATATCGGTGTCGGGCTTCCATCCATGGGTATAGGCGGGAATAATATCGGCCTTCTTCGAATTGAGGGTAGTAATAGAGATTCTTATTTTGGAGATATCGTGCTTCTTCCCGCAAATCAGATAGGCGCTGCCATCGGTAGTCATTCTCGTCAAAGTCGTAGTGCCCTTCGTGCTCGAAACATGATCCCCCCTCGTCATCCGCCGCATCCTCCATCTTCACATCCGCCTCCCTCATCCAAAACCCCATCTTGAACCCCAACTTCCACCGTCCACCAACCTCGTCGTTCCCAGCCCTGGCTTCCCGCCCATCATGCCGCTCCTCACACTTCTCCATCATCTTCCCGGCCAGAAAACCCGCTTTCCAAGCATCCCCCGCCGCCGACTCAGGGTACTTCAACTGACTCAAGACATCCGCTCTCCTGACCCACAGAGTCACATTATAAGGATAGCGGCCAATCTGTCTTGTCAGCTCGATCAATCTATCCCGGAGACTCTCCAGGTCCTGGGGACTTAAGACTGGATCGCCCGGTTCCGTGGGTCGGGTGGGTAGGTAGGGTGATATCCAGGACTGATCCATTGTGCTCACTCGTTCGGTATACGTCAAAGAATCTATGATGGACGTGAATATGCCAGGATGATGTGACTCGGCTTCAGTGGTACTGGGAGCAAGTAAGAAATAGACAATCCAGCGCGTCACTTTCCAGAGCTGTGCATCAGTGACCAAATGTGAAAGTGAATACTGTCCTTTCTGCTCACCGGTAAGCACATCCATACGTACGTGTGAGCGCGTGAAGTGATGTCAAGCCGAGTGTTCACTGCTCCTCTGCACCAGCATCCGCCACATCAGCCTCTCCTTGGCCACCCCGAGCCATCTGAAAAAGGAGACTGACCAAGTTGAGAGTGACTCAAAAAATTAAAAGAGAACAACATGATCTATACAACATCCGCCGCAGCAGACGAAATATCCCTAAGTGGCGAAGCCATCGCCGCCGCCACCGAAACGCTGACCCCAGCGGCATAATCTAGGCGCGCCGTAACTCGCTCGCTCGAAGAAGAAGAAAAAGGCCCAATCCTCCTCCTGATGATCAGAGCCGAACTGTACTTCAGGAAAATGGGGTTGCGCCGTAGAACGCCATCGTCCAGCCCTTGTTCCGACAATTGGGTAAGGTACACAGCACACAGCGCGAAGCTTGCTTTTTCTATCCTCCGCCTGCGATTATATGCCTGCCATATCCTCGATCAGAGCTTTGCTGGCTCCAGATCAACGTCCTCCCCGCTTCCGCTAAGCCCATAGAATGCTCCTCTCTTGTGACATTTTTGTCCCATTTCCACGCAATGCAATATTCTCCCTTCCTTCCCGTTTCTCTCCCATCCCGTTCCACTCGTTCCTCACTGCTGTTTCTCGTCGCCAGGCGGTTCCTCAAGACATTCTGCAAAGAAATCGATGAATTAGAACAAAGCTCTTCTTGCAATCCAACGCAGCACAATTCCACAACTTCAGAAACTCTTTTCTTGCAAATGTCATCGAGAATAGGCAGCGCCGGCTGCGCTTTCCCCGTGTCTCTCTCGCAAAATCTCGTTCGTATACGCGCTCGCGGAAACAGGGGGGTATTCGGATCGGAGGGCTCATGCTCACAGCATCAATTGGTGCAGATTCCGCTGCACAATCATATCCTGCACACTCTTCATCGTCTTGTCCAGCAGGTTCGTATCGGTCGCGTTGGTGAAGTGTACATAGGCCTCCTTCGTTGGGTCGCGCACCAGGCCCCTGAACTTGCGCGCGAAGAAGTCCTGGCCGGCCTCGACGTCGCGGTCGCCGCCGTTGAAGTCGGGGAAGTGGGTGCGGATGGGTGCGGTGCCGGAGGTGATTTTCTCGCGGAAGAGGTCGATCTTGTTGAGGAAGAGGATGAGGGCGGATTTCTCGAAGTATTTGCTGTTGGCGATGCTTTCGAAGAGCATGAGCGCTTCGTGCATTTGGTTCTGCAGGGTGTGTTAGCATGATGGCGGTACATCCTCCCTCATATGAATTGCGCAAGATCTTACTCCATTGCGATCCTCAACCAACACATGATCGTAGCCACTGATCGCCACTAAGAAGAGTACCACCTGGACGTTATCGAAGACGTGTATCCACTTCTTACGCTCTGATCGCTGTCCACCGACGTCAAACATGCGATATGTGAGGTTGCCAGTATCGAAGATGGTTTCTGTAATGCCTGTTGTTCGTAATCGTGCTCGGAGAATATCTTGGTCAGTGGGCAGGTAATCTTTCGCGAAGAGCCTGTCGATATCGGAGAAGTAGCTGTGAGATGTCAGTACAGCTCAGCGCATGAGCTAGTTCTGCTGAGGACATACTATATCAGATTGTCATGTAGCGCGTATTCATTGCCTTTCTTGATAGCAAGCTGGACACCATGGTCTCGCCAGAGGCTTTTGAAAGCATTGAGGCAGTCCAATGGCATGGAGTCTTCGGGTCCGATTTCCGGGTCTGCTGCTATGATCTCTGCGAAGCGCTACGCAATGTCAGCTGCCCGTCCTCCATCAGCCGCAGGCCAACACTTACGATATTACTGGGCTCCGCAAAGTCCACCTCCTGCTCTTCCATAGCACCGAACACCACCTGAAAGGCGTGTAAGAGATTTTGGAAGATGGTGACCTTCCATTGTTTTCGTTCTGGCAGCTGGAAACCTTTGGTGTGTATCAAGCGCATCTGCTTCAGGACCGTCGACTTGCCTGACTCTCCAGCTCCTGTGTGTCACGGTCAGTCGCTGCCTTCTCCTCTCTGCGACCATACACCTCTCCTGCTTACCGAGCAACAGCAACTTCACCTCCTTGGCCTGCTTCCTCTGATCCTCCCTCAACTGCTTCTCAATCTCCCGATTCTTTCTCGCATCGGGATCCTCCTTTTGTGCATTGCCGAAACACATGATTCTTGCAATGGCCATTCACCGCCGCAACGCAACGCGGGAATCGATGATGGTGTGAGAGAGTATTGGAGTAGGAGAGTAGCGGGTGTGTGTGGAGCGGGGCGCAGGATACCCGTCGGGCGCCACGAGGTGTGTAAAGTGTGAGATACGCGTAAGGTTTCGGTAGCGAAGCTGCGGGCGAACCTTCGATGGTGTCCACGGTCGAGCGAGCGCCCAGCACGTTGCGTGATGCGGGTGCGGACAGGGAGGCCGGGCGAAAATGGCAAGGTGTGGTGATGCGATATTACGATGCTGTGCGTCTCGTGGGTGGACTCTCTGAAGATTGAGTGGTTGAGTGGTGTAGGTGGTGCTTCTGCGCACGCGGGGTTGGGCTCTTGGTGTAATGCCTGGTAGAAGCGTGGATCGGCGAGTCGATGGTGCTACTGTATGTCTCAGCCACGCCGTCACACTCTGTCGATATCGTTGGTCTCGTGTGCTGAAAAGTTCCGATGTCTGTGATGCCAATGGCTGTGCAGAATTTCGTTGCTGTAACAGAGACAGTAGGGTCAGGATGAGGCTCCAAGTCAAGCTTGGATTGCCAGGCGTCGATCAGGGCGTGCTCCCAGAACACCGCACAAGCCCTCAGCACTCGATTTACTATATTTCAAACCGAACCAGGGAATGCACACACAAAAGAATGTGTGCGAATGCGGCAGTTGGAGATGTAGGTCTTGGTGATGGTATATGAATTGACCAGGCCTGCCAAAACCTCGGCCGGCGGGCAGTAGTGGGTAATGGAACAAGCTTCCTGAGTCGTTCGACACGATGCTTTGGGCCGGGAACAAGAGTAGAACTATGTCGCCGATCTCCCAACTCACCCGCTTCTGAAACACTCGCAGATGCCGTGAAAGTCTTCGCCGTGTGACCCTCTCGCGGCGAGCAGGAGGGGAGGTAGGTGCGGCTCACAATGATATCGTCATCGTTCTGATGATTAGGAGAAGTTGATCAGGAGATGCGGCAATTGGAAGATGCAGGAGGCGATTCGTAGAACTGCTGCTGGTTTGCTTCCTTGATGGGCAAGGGCTTGCAGATACGCTAGGATCATCGAGCCGTTCATCACGGTTCGCACGCTACTGATGCCGCCAAGACGCAATGCATGACTTTGCACAAACCTCCTCCACGCATATCAATATTAACAGTCGCTGTCACTGTCCGACTACGCCGCCACTATGGTAGTGCACCAGTAAAGGTGCTGTGACAGAAGACGACAATCCGATCTTCGCTCGTCCTCGAGTCCTTATCGTGCCTAGGCAATGAATCCCGATGCCTAGGTTAAGCCGTCATGGTACGGTCCGCCAAAACCTCGATCAAGCGATGCTCCACCCGTCCACGAGTCGCGCGCCATTGACGAGTTGGTAATTAATCTCGCGTGGCCTCTTATCTCCACACATTTCCACAAGCGCACACGATAGAACACTCTGCATGGACTGTATATTCATCTTTCCTCGAATATGATCAAGCGCGTACAAGGAGAACAAGAGATGAAGTAGAGGGCTAAGAAGCACGCGGATAGTTGAAACGCTGCATTTTTGTTGGCACACACGTGGCAGCAACGAGGAAAGCACGCAATTGGCTTTCGGGTCGACCACGTTCCGTCCATAGTCCGGCGAAACCTTGTGCCGGCAGACGGCAATGCTACTATTGGTTGGGTTCTGTTTGCTGATACGAAACCCTTTCGTTGGCAGGAATATGGGAGGAAAGAGAGTCGAGACATAACATTTAAGCAGCTCACTTGGAGACATCGGCAGTGAGCCAAGGCCTGTTTATTCATCGGCCTCCTGTCTCTTTCCCACTTTGCTTGCACGTTGCGGGCCCCCAGCTGAAGAGATCAAAGCCGCGTGCTGCCTAGAGTGATCCTCAAATCCATCCCCAACATGCACGCCCCCCTGCGTTGACTATAACCACCTCTTCCGTCTCCCAATGGTCTACAAGTAATTCTGGAGAACGGCCCAGTCAGGCCGGTTAGCACAGCAGCACATCGCTACCGCCTAGCCCTCGAGATCAAAGCCGAGCCTGTAGCCCTCAACCAGCGCTTCGTAGCTGTGGAGATCTGGAAAGACCTTTGCTGTTGACGCTTCGTCCTCTCATCTCTCCAGCCAAATGCCGGTCTAGCACATGTCGAACTGTCAGGGGACATTTCTCGATAGCTGCTCTTCATAATCAACGAGAGAAGATGCTTGAACGCCACGCCACTGTTCAGGTACCACCGCACAGGCAATATCGACTCGGCAAGAACGTCATGTCTTGACAAGCTATAGGACTGGAAGATGAAATCTTTGATGCCGTAGTACACGTGGACGTCTCGTCATTTATTTGGTCAGAGGCTCGAAGTAGCGCTGATACGCTACAGCTCCGAGAGAGGCGGCTGCCTGATGATATCCAAAAGTTTCGAATTGGCACACGAGCAGGACTGGCTCTCTCTCGCATAATGCAGCGTCGGAGCTTGGCTGGTAGATCGAGCAGGCGAAGGGTTAGGCAGCTCTCTCCAATAGCGTCAAAACCCCTTCGTGTCGTCGTGCGATTGGCTGTGCGCGTTCGAGTACGCACCCACGAGGTCGACTTTCGATCAAGCACCATGGTTCGAGCTACTATCTGCTGGTTCGGAAACGGCAGTATACCGGACTGTGGTAGCAGCGAGAGGGTCTTCATTGCGAGGACGTGCTGAATCTCCATTGACCATGTTTGGAAGTTGCCCTCGTATAGGAACAAGACGCTCTCGAGATCACCCAGCTTCTCGAATAGATGCTGAAAGAAGTCACGAGGATGCTCATCGAAGCTGCCATCGGTCTTGTTAATAGGAGGTCAGTCGAGCATCTCGTTTTGTGACATGCATTGCGAAGAACTACGTCTCTGCAATGAGCAGTATGTCAGATGCGCGAGCGGCGGCCTCATAGCCTACACCTGCGCATTCAGTCGGAAGCATGACGGCGCAGCTCTTGTCGGCGGCGTTGTAGTCATGTGGTGAAGTGAGATACTGTCTCTCTCAGGGTGCAATAGAAGGGTGACTCTGAAAATTGCGGCTGCCAACCTACGTTGAAGCTAGAATTTCTGCAGACCATCAGCCCCATGCCAGTCGGCGCGGAGTCCCGCAATCCATGTGCCTAGTCGATGAGTAAGGTATGTGAAGCGGTCTTGAATCGCCACTTCCTCCATGAAGGTAGTGTCGGTCTAGAAGAGATATAGCATGATCAGTGACTCCGTTCCGCTGCCCGTAGCTTGCGCATTGACGTTGCAAAATACTACTGTCGTATGTCTAACTTTCTGCGGGACTAATTGATCATCTTGATGGGTTGGACAGGATAGAGAAGATGCGGAGGAAGCGGGAGAAGAAACGACAGCTGAAATTCAGAAGCCAAGGTTCGTGGCGCAGCGAGCAACAGAGGCGGCCGATTTCCTGTACAGCCTCGTACAAGACTGATATCTATTCATGGCGGGGCCACTTGAGCATACGGTAGCAATCGATAATTGCCAGTAGATTGGATTGAGGTGGCATCGAAATCATGGATCTGCCAACATACGAGACAGCAGCGGCCTCGTCCTCGAGCGCAGTCATCACACCGCAGGGACTACCCTCACATTTCACTCGCACAATTCAAGATCTACGAACACAAATCATAGCAAACGCATCCTGCTTCAAGCCAAAATACAACAATGACCGCGCCGCAACCGACCACCTGGAAATCGTCGTCGCCAAAGCTCCAGCAACCATGAGCATTGCAGACGAGAAGGAAGCTGTACGTGCCGGCGCTCCTCAGAATGTCGCTATTCCTTTCTCGCAGGGTTCAATGGCTGGTAAGCATTATGCTGTCCTTGTGAAGCGGAGCTCGAGTGATAGGGAGGTGAGGATTGTGATCAAGGGCGAGCCGAGGGATAGTGTTGAGCAGGCTTTGGAGTGGATGCTGGACAGGACGGAGATGGCAATTCATGAGCATATTCTCAGGTATGGTAGGAACGAAAAGGATGGATGTTGTGTTATGTGAAAGACCTGTAATCACTGGACTTGGCGGCGAGGTCATCCCGTCCAATGCATATCTATGTTCGAGCGGTTGGTGATGTAATGGGGACATGCTTGTATTAGTAGACGACGTCCTTGTAAAAATGAACGGACGCCAGACCGAAATAATGATTACGCGAACAGGATACGTGAGCAGAAACACGAACGATCTGTATGGTCAAGTCAAAATGCTGGCGATCTCGTGCTTGGTAAGAAAGCGTCGATGTCGTGCTTCGCTAGCTCCGTTTACGCAATGTGGAATTCACAACTCTACGCATCGAGCAGTATCTGGTGAGCACAGCATATATAGAAAGGTTCGCCCTGCACGTCGAGACGCTGGTTCAGCTCCATATCCCATCATCTCCATTCTACACTAAGTATTGTAAGACATCAGAGAAGTGGAATCAGTATGCCGTCCTTCGATACTATCGCCTCGTTTTGGTCGTTCCAGCCGTCGTCGGGACAGATTGCGATTCCGATTCCTACTGTGACGATAGGACCTTCTGGCACGGCTGCTCCAGCAACAGCGACGACTACTAAGAAATGAGGTGTGCTCTCATGATGGAGATTACAAGCACTGGTGCCTAGCCAGGCATGCAGAGATTTCGAGCCGTCGTGTCAAGCAATGGGAATCGAGGCACGACAAACGGTTACATGTGAGCGCTCCGAGAGGGTCAACAAAGTGCATATCACAGTCGAATTCAACGCGGTCGCCTTGCACTAGCGCGGAGACGCACGGGTAATGCTCTATACATCAACTGCCAAGCGTCCGTTCTTACGTCTTGAAGCTGTCGAGCATCGTTCTGGAAGACGTCGAAAGTTGTCGACATAGTCACTGCCGGCGCTCTTACACAGTTGGGGGAGCAGCTTTCCGCTCTGACCTGCTCGGTGGCATGCCGATCGCAACATGATGAGTTGCAAGACCCGGGCGCATGGCCGAGCTATGGTGTTCCGACGCTGCAGTGGTAGGTCCGAGGATTGAGGGAAAGCAGTCAGCGAGGGGGCTTCGAAAAGTAGCTTCAGAGGGTTGTGTACATCTCATTGAACCGTAGCTCTCTGAGCGTTGATCATGGTGGTCTACAATCTAGCTTTAGCATCATCCTTCAAACTTAGTCCTGTGAGCTTCTCCAACTCTTCAACGGCCTTATCAGCCCGTCCAAGCTGGACCTTGATAGTACTCATCCCCAACCTCCTCGCCGTCCTCAAGTTCGCCCCGATATCGTCCACAAATGTGAAGTCCTCCGCCTTGACACCCAGCCCACCATACTTAGTCTTGACAAACTCATGTATTCTCGTAATCGTATACCGATATATTGGCTCATCCGGTTTCCGCATCCCTACGTGCGCGGACGAGATGAAGACGTCGAAGATATCCTTTAGATGCTTGTTCCGGCTTCCCGCATAGATATTCTCGTTGTAAGGGTGGTCACGCGGGAAGATCGAGGTATTGCTCAGAGCAGCCAGGATAAGCTTCCCATTACTCTGATCTGCGGCTTTTCGCATTTTCTTGAGCGCAGGGTACATGTACGGATCTGGTTCTCGCGCTATCCGCATCATCTCCCAGTATAACCACTCGGCATCAATATCAGGTACAGGTGGGACTTGGAATGCTGCCTCTTCCGCTGCATCGCTGAGCTTCTCTTTTCGCGTCGCGGCCAAGTGTTTGGCGTAGTATATTCGCCATCGTTTCTCATCGCTCAAGTCGGACTTGAATTCTTGGAAGAAAGCGGCATTCATAAGGATGTCGCCGCGCTCGATCTTCTGCCAGGCGCCATTGGGGCTGCTGGCTGCGATGGAGTAGTTCACCCAGCCTGGTGGGATACCTTTGGATTTCTCGTAGTCGAGGATTGCTTGGAAGGGGGAGACGACCTGGGACGGTCAGACGAGTCTTATTGCTGTTGCTGTGAGCTTGACATGACCTACACAGACACCACCGATATCGAACAGGAGCACTCGCGGTCGTCCGGTGCTTGGTGGAGGCATTTGGAGGGTAGTGCCGAAGAGTATGTAGCTCTTGTTATCTTTCGTCCACATCGGCGGACCCATAGAGTATGCTTCAGCCTGCTGGGAGATCTATTGGCCACGGCACATACAGTAACGAGGTCATCTTGGATGGTGATGGTGATGGAAAATGGAGATAGTTTGGGAAACCATAACCGCGGGTATCGAAACCGAGGCTCTCGTCTTTTGCTCGGTCATCATCTTGACTTTCATGATAGGATATCAGCTCAACTCAGCTCCTACTTCTTCGTCGAGAAAGGTGGTCATACTGTAGCCTACTATTCCGCGACCACATGTCTTTTCCAAGCGATTTGCTGGCATCACGGCTCACAACCCGCGGACGCTTGAGGTGGCGGAGTGCCTCTAGTTACGCTGTACTGATCCTTCGTTGTTCTGAGCGGAAAGTCACTTATCAGGCGGATATGTATCCGCGATGTCTTCAAGGAAACGACTTAGTAACATGCGTACAGCATACATACTGATCCTGGACCGCTTTGAACTGACCTCAAGCGAACTCGTCTGCTCAGCCACCAGCAACAACCAATTATGGATACCATCACAGCGACCAGACAAGCCACCTCAGACATCTTCGTCCAGGTCTACAACCACTTCCTAAAGATCCTCAACTTCGTCTTCTCCCCGACAGTAGCCATCTTATGCTGGCTAGGTCTCACACAATTCCTCCGCAAAACGGAGCCGATCAACAATACTTTCCGCCTCCTGGGAATCCCACTGAACCAAGGGAACGATTGCGATGAAATATGGATACTGTCGACTACATTTGGAGCTTTCTTCCAAATCTTATGGCTGGGAGTTGCAGCCCTCGAGCCTGGGTTGACGCCTGCCCCCAATGGCAGTCACAATGCTCATGAGCCTGTGATGCCGTAGTTGGTGAAGGTTTTTACTTCTGTGATTGTATGCATGGCTGCTAGTGAGGTCGTGGTGGGCACCCTTGGGATTGCGTCTGCGAGATACAGGGTATATTATCCGCCCTCTGCAGAGACGGATGGCGCCAGTTCAGCTAGGGTAAGAAGAATGACTAGGTTGGCTCAACGATGACGGACTAGCAATTCGATCTCCAGGACCGCCTTGTTGGTCAAGTAGGGAATCAAGGGAGCCCTCGTTTGATGCGATAATCGGCGCTCATGCCATCACTTTCGAGCACTTCATACCGAGCTAGCATATGTCAAGCTCTGGTCTGCTGAAACCCATCATCTCGAAGCCCCAACGATACCATTCACACGATCTCAATGTGAAAAGGCGCGGGTTATATGGGCCCTCAGCATGCGACCGCGGTCGTTCAGGGGTTACAAATCCAAGCTTCCCTCCAAGAGCGAGACCTGTCATCGACAACAACTGACACTGCGTACTCTCAATAATCATCCCATCCGATAGAGAAAACATAGCCATACCAATAGCCACAGTAGCGTCAACCTCAAATCCGGTAAGACACAGTCCACACGAGGGCAGATACTTGATGTGGCACTCACACGCCGTGCCGAAGCACTACGATCACTGACAAGCTCGCCAGACTTCAGCAAGATGGCAACCATATCCGCCACTGCCTCTGCTTCTCGCGAGCTCCTGACTGAGATGATCAACTGCATTCCGGAGCTGGTATACGCCATACTCTACGCGATTTGTCCGCTCCTTGTCAGCATCGGCTGCTGGTATCTCGTCGTCTCTCTTCTACTCACGCTCAAACCCATCTACAGTATCTTCGTACTACTCGGCGTGCAGCTCACAGACCAGGGATGCGACGATGTCTGGCCACTCGTCGCCGTTCTAGCTATCATCGTGCAGGCTATGTGGCTGATCTGCTTGCTCACGGACCGGAGCCTCGCCTTTCGCGCGAATCGGGAAGCGAAACCTAGCAGCCCTCGAACCACTTGGCCGGTCGAGGTTTATACCTCGACGGTCGTCTGCATGGTTGTGAGCCAGAGTATCGCAGCGGTCGCAGGGATCATTAGGGCAGGCTACATGGTGTGGTCTCAATATGGCGCGATGAAGGCTCAGAGAGGAGTATGATTGGGCGTTACTCGTCACACTAATGAGTGTGAGCTTACAATCTCGACTGGCTGAACGCCAGTATGGTGCTGGTCATCAATATGGACGGGACATAATAGAAAACTTTTGATGGTAGAGAATGCTTCCAGGTTTGAACTTGAATGATTGTCACGCTCACTCATCTGATTTTTAACTTCACATGACGATTCGAAAAGCACGTGGAATCTTCATGTGGTTTCACATGCGCCGGCAGGCTATAAAGACTCATGAAAGTTATAGTAGTGACCTTCAATGCGGACATCTCCTTGTTCTCGGAAAGCCGATTAACTCAAAGGCAGGTCAACACACTTTCGGTAGGCAAGGCAAGGACACCGACTCAAAACAGGGCGACCTGCGCAGGTAAAGCATCATGATCTGTTTGAAGATACGCAGTCGCTAACCAGCACTTAGAGCACCACTACAATGGACTTTATATCAGCAACAGCTGTAGGCACGTACGAGGTTTTCGCTATGCTACTCGAGTTCCTCCCTGTACTCCTCTACAGTGTCATCCCAACACTCCTTTACTCCATGCTCCCACCTGTCATCAGTTTTCTCTGCTGGGCCTCAGTTTTGAGTAATGGGCAGGCCCAGTCTTGGCAAAAGGGTACGGGCTTCCACAGCAGGTGAATGTATCCAGTCATGTTTGGAATTGAGTCCCTTTGGTCTTGCTTCAGTCCAGGAAGCTCTACACCCTGAAAATTTGTCCACAAGTCCAGCATCGTGCGGGGTGAGACATTGTTACAGGCAGCGAGTCCTGAGGATCGAAGTTGATACCAAAGACCGCTACGACAGCTGTGCAATGCTGGACAGTCGGCGCACACAACGTCTTAGAATGGTGTAAGGTTGGCGATGGTATTTCCGGTTCAAGGGCCTGATCAAGTCGATCATAAGCTGTTTGCTTTGCAGATTCGTGGTGATACGCAGTAGAACTCATGGTATCCTGGGAAGCCAGAGTCCGGGCTGTACCTTCAATATCCATAGAGACTCAATCGGCAAAGTTCTTGGCCCAGTGAGTGCTAACAACATGACCCTCTTTGAAAGATTCACTCGCTGTCCTGACGACGATGGCAGCTACGAGTGGAATGACCGTCAGTATCGGAGTCATCACAACAATTTCTCGCTGGAGGGCTTGTCGGAGAATGTACTTACCATGTGTATGGCGCTACATAACAGTGTGGTCAGCAAAAGCTTCATGTAAAGTCTCAGTCTGGGGTATGCAGTCTCTGACTTACCACTTTCTGTATATGGACCGGATATTTGGTGAAGTTCACATGCTTGTCCAAATTGTCGATCATCTCAAACTGGTCGTCCGTCAGCGCTAGAGTAGGCCAAGATGACTTGTTGCTCTTCTGCTCCTCCTTCTGCTTTTCCGACGCTGTCGTGCCAACGAGTGTCCATGACGACGAATTCGCGGATGAGGAAGTATTCGGTTCAGGAGGCGGCGTAGGCAGGTATCCAGACGGACTCTCCTCGGCTAGATGTGTGCGTTCGGTAGCCAGACGCTCCATAATCCTGTCTTGGGCGGCTTGCGCATCTTCCAGAAGCGGTATGCGATAACGCTTGAGGTCGATAAGCTGCCCTTGCTCATGCAAACGCACTCGTTGAGCTGAGCGGTATGTCTGTACGCCAGCGTTGACCATGAAGAGAGGTATCATGATTGGTACCATCGTGAAGAGGAAGGCGTAGAAGGGTAGACTTTCGCGAGTCTTCTGGCTGAGCAGGTAGCGTTCTTGCCAGGTCTCGGGTGCCTTGATAACAGGTCCGCTGCGCACGGTGACTGGTTCTGACGGGTCGAGCACGACTGGCAGCTCTTGGTCGGGTAGGGGATGGACTTTTACCTTATCCATATCGACGTAAGGGTCCACAGCGCTGATGCCGCTCGTGTAGAATGGCACAGAGCGATCGTTGATCGTGTTGGCGTACACACTTCTCTGTTGAAACATGCTCAAGCCTCGCACGAAGATACTGTTAGGATCGGCCATGACTGCGAGTAAGGGTCTGCCCGTTTCGCGAAAGTTGTCTGTTAGAAACATCTGCTGACCACTGGTGCTGAGCGTCCTGCTGCCCAAGAAGTTCCACGTCTGGGCTCGGTAGCCATTCCTTGGTGTCCGCACGCCTAAGTGCGGTGTGGCGAATGTGGCGAAGTTCATCGGCTTCAACGTCTCGAAGATGGCGTTCTTGTATAGCAGCCCCACAACATACCGGGCCACCAGACCACCTAGACTGTAGCCATTGACACTGATCTTGCTAAGTTGGGCACCCTTGCCCTTCAGCTCTATTATTGTCTCCTGAATCTCGTTGGTGATGCGCTCTGCTCCGACTTCTATGCCATCATACGTGTAATTGTCCCGATTGCTCCGTGGGCAGAGGATGTAGAGCCCCTCGCCGTCTCGCTGTGTAGCCAAGGTGTCTCGAAGATGCTTGAGGTGGACTGGATTGCCCCATAGACCATGAATAAGTACTACCAAGTGTGTCGCCTTCGCAGCGTCTTGCTGAAATTCTTCTGCTGCCATCCTGACAGAGTCGTGCCACCTAACCAGCCTTTGCCTGGGAGTCGTCTATGTCCGGAGTGTTATCTTCGGATGTCAATGTATGGTGTCGGATGGCAGGCTAGAAGCGAGATGAACGTAGACAAGATCGAATACCTACCGTACAGGTCCCACGACGGAGCCATCGTCTGATCTATATCGGCGCACGCGTAGGCCTCACTGGCGCAAATGATGACGTCCAAGTCGGCGTGATTGAGATCTGAATCGCCGGCTCGGAACGGCATCGTGCAGATTGCGATCCGGAGTTTGCTGGCAAACACACATCCGGCTTCTCTTGTCCTCAAAACATAGCTTGCAAACAGGTCTTACAAGTCTCGCCACAATCTCAGAAGTTGTAATCGTATTAGCAAGGACGAAGAAAGCAGCATCGAGCCTTTGGCGCGCCTTGCTGTTACTGCTGCTTCCTATAGTTCTAAGCGGCCGGAAGTGGTAAGCGTTGCACCGACTCCATCTCATCTTTGTCTCACACGCGCAGGCAAGATTCACAGTCATTTGATACTTCATCTATGCAACGGCCAAGTCATACACATTCATACTCTCACCAGTCACGGAAGCACTCGACCGCTGATCTTTTCGGAAGCAGCTGACTTATCAGATCAACATCGGCCTCGTATCAGTACACCAAGCTTCACTTCACTTCATCAAAGCTGCCTGATCACCCAATATGACCACACAGTCTGGAATATCTACATCGCGAGTATCTCACGGTACCTAGACAAGGCGTCACTATGGTGTTCTCCACCACGAACCTTTTCAAGCATATTCAATGCCCCCAAGGAGATTCATGCAGTCTAACCTACTGCATATTTGCTCATGACAGCAATCCAGCAGTAGCAGCAGCACCTCTACCTCACTCAGAACGGCAGACTGGCTTGGACTCATCGCCTGCACATGACGATGTGAGTGAGCCGCCGTCTAAGCGACGACGAGTGACATATGAGAACCTAGAAGACAAGCCACCCAGCAAAGCAGATCTCATACGCCAGCAGCTATCACGTGAGAGGCAGCAGGCACCTCCCAAAGCTGGAAATGCCAAGCCTGCGGCACCTGCGAGTCTGAAACGCCCTGTCTCACCGCCGGCTAAGACAAACGGCCAAGCTGTTCCCATAACAAACACCGCTGCGTCGTCCAGGCCAACACAGCCTGCAGGTGCACTCAAACCTCTCACCTTGAATCCACGCCTGATCGCCAATGACCCAGCTGGCCATGCGAAGCGAAGTCAACTACTCAAACTATTGCATGCAGAAATGGTGCGCTTGAGCCAGCAACTTGTTGATCGCAAGGATGTCCCGTCCAAGGATGCGCTGTTACTGTCGCCCATTGAAGCCGTGCAGCTTGCACTTGATGAAGAAGAGAAATTGGCACGAGAGTCTGGAAATGTGTATGCCAACGTCATCAAGAACCGCATCTTTGCTTACAAGAAGATGAGCTCCGACGACTGGGTCCTTCACGTCAAGACGACAGCTTTGTTCAAGCAGAAGCAGCCGCAACAGACCGCGAAGCAAGTCGGAGGTCCTGATCCTCCGCTTGTTCTCGAGACAGGCTTGACACCAGCAGAAGAGGCAGCGGTCCTGACCCATCTAATCGTCAAGAACCAGCAGCCATTGGAGAAGCATGGCTACGTTGTGACTCCACCAACGGCAGAAGCAGCAGCGGAAGCAGCAGCAGCGGTTGAAAAAAGCCTGAACTACGAGGTCTGCGATAGATGTTCCTCTCGATTTCGAGTCTTTCCAAATCGCAACGACGAAGGTCTTCTCACTTCCAACGGCAGCTGCCATTTCCACCCGATGCGCAAGATATTTCCTTCCAAAGCACGAGCCGACACAGGACCAAAGGAGCCCTACTATCCATGCTGCAATGAGCTATTAGGCAGCGCGGGCTGCACAACCTTCGAGCACCACGTCTTCAAGGCGTCTTCACCAGCACGGCTGGCTGCAGTCATGCTTTTTATCGTCACTCCTCCAAATGATGCTCCCACGAAGGACAACCACGGCAGGGTAGTCAAAGCTGTGGCTTTCGACTGTGAGATGGGTTATACCACGCTTGGGATGGAGATGATTCGGATCACTGCGGTCTCGTGGCCAGAAGGCAAGCCGCTGTTCGACGTACTTGTGCGGCCGCTGGGTGTTGTGCTCGATCTGAACAGCAGATTTAGTGGCGTGTGGCCGGAGGATATGGCCAATGCTGTGTCATACCAGGCAGGTGAATCACCGTCGCAGCAGGATCCATCGGGCACGCCACCAACCCGACCAATCATGTTCACTGTCGACTCGCCGGAGAAGGCTCGCGAGCTACTGTGCTCCTACCTGGCACCCGAGACTCCTCTCATCGGACACGCCATCGACAATGACCTCAACGTCGTCCGGATTTGTCATCCGACGATAGTGGACACAGTCATACTCTTTCCGCATCCACGAGGACTACCATCACGATACGGTCTGAAAACGCTCAGCTCAAAGTACCTTCGTCGAGCCATCCAGCAAGGTGGTGAACGCGGGCATGATTCCCTGGAAGACAGTGTAGCAACGGGTGATTTGGTCAGAGTGAAAGTGGGTGAGAAATGGAAGATGCTCAAGGCGACGGGCTGGTCGTTCGTGGATGACTCGCTTGTGCATCCTCCGCCACCAACGAAAACCGGCTATCTTAAAGAGAGTAGGGGCAGCAATGGCGAGCTTACTGAGCACTCACTCGATAGGACAGATGCTCTTGCGGCGGGAACGAAACGGAGAAAGAGGTCGTCGGAAGCAGGCGAGGAGAGTTTGCAGCACGGTAATGGTCTCAAAGCATTTCTGGAGCGTGATCAAGCCGCTACTAGCGAGCATAAACTCAGCGTTGACTATCTTGAGGATGGGAAAGGCAAGTAGAGCTTGTTCTTGGCCTTGTGTGAAGACGGCCTGGATGAGAGTCATGGTCAAAACGAAGAAGCTTTGTACATTGACCTAAGCTAGAATTCCAAGAGGGGACTGCCCGAATGTTTCTACATTACGAGACTCCATGTATGTGCAAGAATATCCTACCCTCCTACACCAAACCAAGTCCAGCCAAACACCTCTTTCAATCGTTAAGTTACCTTTGTCGAATGATACATTTACTGCACATCGTTAGGGATAAGTGGAAGCAACACACCAGTGTTGACCAGGCTGTTCGTCGAGCCACAGCCGGTCTGCCCGGTCTTCAAGTAGCAAGAGCCCGAGCTTTCATCAGCAGGAGCATTGTACACAACAGCACCGCAGGTGAGATTCTGCGAAGCGCCCAGCTTCTGGTCGTTGTAGTATCCGCACTCGGACACACAGTCATTGAAGCTCTGGCAAGATGGTTGGAAGGGTGCTGGTGCCGAAGGACCATTCTTATAGCAGAAGAAGTTCTGGATATCTTGGCCGGCGAAATCGAGGTTATTGTAGACGCCATAGACTTCGCCGTCGGGGAGGGTGACGGTGCTGGTTGGGGCGGGGAGGATGGTGAAGGTGCTGGTGTAGAACTGCGTTGCGCTGTAGGTTGATGTGAAGGAGGTCGTGGAGAGGGTGCTGGTGACTGTTACTGAGCATGTACCCGCGATGACCTTTGTGATCGTCGATGTGGGCAAGGTGGTCGTCGTGATGACGACGGAGGTCGGGGTCGGGATGTTGAGGCATGAGCAAGCCGATGTCAAGGCGGATCCCTTGTAGTTGCCGAGACAAGTGGGGGTGCCGATGGCAGTGGTAGTTTGTGGCCAGCCTTGTGCAGCACGCTTGGCCTTCTTGGTTGGGGCGGCAGCTGTAGTCGTGGCAGCGGTAATAGTCGTTGGCACAATAGTGGCGCCCAAAGCACAAGTGGAGGTGGTACTGATGGCAACAACAGGATAGACGGTGGTCGTACCGTAGAAAGTGGTTGTGGTGAATGCTGTCACGGTGTCGGTAACATCCACAGTCTTCTTCACGGTCACCAGCTTGGGTGTTGAAGTGCAGGTGGATGTCTGGGTTATGGTCGGGATCTGGAGAACGGTGCTGCAGAAGGGCGTGGCTACACGCTGGGCGTGCATGATGGTGATAATATCGTCCAAGGCCTGGCAGTTGAGGCCTCTTTCATCGATGGGGTTCGCCAGCGCTGCGGCGACGAACAGGCCAACCATGAGTATCCTTGCCATTATGAGGAAATGTGTCGGTAAAACGAGAGACTGAGAGCTGAGAAATTCTGTTGGCGTTATTGCTGAGCAGTGCAGATCACCCGGGCCTGGCAATATTGTTATACACTTCTTGTCTACGGGGGCTCGCATATAGCACAGGACACTCCAGCTACAGCGCTTCGGCCTAGACCTGCGATTCGGGCACCTATTCTGAAGTAGTACAAGTCGACGTTAATTTGGTTGCTCTCAGACATCCCCATGAGCACTGACAACCAGTGCTGGGAATCGCGAGCGTCTCATGTCTGCCGACGGTGAAGCTATTGAAGGTGGCTTGCTGCTAATACCAGTTCGTAAGGCCGTATAGCATGGGCATCAGCGCAATCTAGATGGTCTATATGCGAGCTGCTTGACGCGGAGATCCTTTGAGGAGAATTGAGATCTGCTCTCGTACTCTCACGCAGACCGACCACGTAATTCGGAGAAGTGTTGGCATGATGGTGAAGCTCGCCATCATGCAGTAGTGTTGGTTGACATGTCAGGAACAGGAAAGAGTAACGATTTAAGCTCAGGGTACTCGGAACTTTGTTCTCCGAAAGGTCGTGCACTCTGCCCAATCACGACGTTCTTGGACTCACAAAGGGAAATTACCTGAGCTTTTCCCGGCGAGTTTCGTCTTATTTGGGATGCGGCACTGGCCGAATCAAGACACGTGAAAGAGAAGCTACCGAGTACCACTCTCCTGCAGAATCCACGTGCACTGTACCACAAACCTTCCTCTCTTCTGGACTCTTCGACAGTCAGCGACTCAGCATATCTCGCATACCACTGTGCGTCTGTACGACCCTGAGCTCATGGGTTTGCCTCATTGCGAGTCTCGATGCCGTAGACGCTCCACCGTGCTCTCCAGCTGCTTCGGCAGGCCCGTCTCTGCGAAGGGGATGTCGTTGACCAGCATCATTGCGAGACCTTCAGCCGCGAGGAAGATATGGGACATGCCACCCCCGTTGAAGCCGGCTATCACATACTGCCCGCCATCCGAACCAGGGACTGGACCGACGTGCGGCATCTCATCAGGCGTACATGCCATGATGCCGGTCCAGACCATATCTACCTGTGCAGCGCTGTCCTCCCAGCCCAAGAAACTTTGCTGAATCAGGTTCTCAAAATGCGGCATGACTTCAGGAAGCTGAGTCGAGTCGTCCCAGTTGTTGTACCACGCATTGCGATTATGCTCAAACGTCCATTTGCCGCCCCCCACGACGATCCCTGAGTCCGGGCGTGGATTCAAGTAGTCGACTCGAGACCCTGGCGCGTACCGGATGTTGTATGTATTGGCTAGGTGAGGCGAGACTGGGCTTCTAGGCTTGATATGGCACGCTGTGCCCTTGTACGGCACGACGCGGTCCTCGAAAATCGGGCAAATTCCGCTGGTATAGCCATTTGTGGCGAACACCACCTTCTTGGCCCGAATATTCCCTCTTGCCGTGTGCAAAACGTTGCTGACTTTATCATGCTCAACACGAACCACCGGCGTGCTTGTCTGCAAGTTGATCTGACCACGTTCACATAAGCCACCCAAGAGCTGCGTGACGAATTTGTACGGCCATAATGAGCAGGCCGGTACCGAGAAAGCTGCTCTGCCTCCTCGAATGGAGGTCACCTTCGCTAGTCAGCTTGTGTTGATGGAAGGTTGCTGAAAGCTCACCTGTTCAATATGCTCTTTGTCCAGCATATGGACCTGCTCTGTCCACAGCTGTCCCGCCTGTCTGCTAGCCGCGTAACCGTCACATGCTGCCTTCGCTTCGGCCTCATTGCAGAAGACATCAAAGCTTCGTCGGAGCTCGAACTCGCAGTCAAGCTTCTCCTCGTCAACGACCTTCTTTAGTGCGCCAACTTGAGCACGAATGAATGCGATGAGTGTCTCTGCAGGCTCCAAGCCATGCTTTTGAATCAATGCGAGGCTGGAGTTGACCTGGATCTTGCTATGACCCTATCGAAGGTGAGCAAGTTATTGCCGTCTTTAATCAGCGTTCACACGCACACCATTGCGCCCCGTTGCACCCGAACAGGCCTCCCGTGCTTCTAAGATGACGAAGCGTGGTTTGTTGTTGCTCGCGAGCTTGCACATATGATAAGTTGTTGCCACGCCTGACATACCACTGCCTATGATAGCGACATCGCATTCCTCAGGCAATGCATCCGTGCTGCGATAGTCGTCGACCCAATGGCGCTCGCTACGCCAGTATGGCTGCGTATATGTTGGCGTCGGTATGATCTGACCCTTCGACGGTGACGCACTGCCAGCGCTTTCCATCGCTACGTTATGCATGGTTGCAGATGAAAAGCACGAAGATGGACATCTTCTTATCTACCATCCATGACGCCGCAAGATTCAGCACGCAATGATCGACAAGTAAGCTGTCTATGTATCCGGGCCAATAATGAAACTTGAGCCTACCATGTGTATCAAGACATGGCTGCTGCCTGCCACGAATGTGATGGATGGACGCAGTGGCACTACATCCTGTCTGTCTTCGTGCACGAGACAGTATACTCATTAACTACAGTCTAGTCCGCAAGCAAGTTATGCGGAATATAGCAAGCTCTGAATATATAGGGATGGATTGCTTATACAAGTTCACATGATTTACCTGTTCTTCATCCGGAGGAATCTGAGCGGCAGTGGCTACAGCAACCAAGCGTGATCTTGACGCGGCACAGAGAAGCTTGGCAGAAGACCATCCCGTCCACTCTCCTCTCTTCAGCGTCAAAGGTCGACTCATCGTTCTGTTGGCAAAGGCACACAGCGACGTTAGAGCCATCACCGTGTGGTCGACAAGATGAAGGCGTCTTGGAAAATTATGATTTGCCACGAGCCAGGCCGGCCGTGGTCGACCGGGCTGTCACGAAAATATCAGATGCTGCGAATGACAAAGCGCACCTCACTCTTCGAACTACTTTGACCCTGGACAGCTACTAATGCAATCAGTGATACGCTGATTTACCCGAGTGACCGCGCTGAGGGTGTTGCTGCATGCTGGCGCGAAGAGAACCGCCACCAAGATGCGAGCCGTTTCTGGCCCCAGACGTGAAACATATAGCCGCCAAGTTTGTCTGGGAAGGACTTCAAAGCGCAGCACAAAGGACCATATACTGACTGCCCTGACCATCGGAGAAATAATCCACAGGACATACTCCGCGACTCATCGCAAGCTATGAGGATACGAGAATGCTGGATCTCGGTTGCTCTACCATACTTTCTCCTGCTGGCCTTGACCACACTTGTCGCTGTATTTTTTCGGCGTTGTGGTGACTTACTGGGGTCATCCACCAGACTCTTTCTTCTGCTTGCCCGATGGCAGCGTACACTTCCCGTGGGACTCGCCAGGCACGGAGAGCTCCACCTGGGATGAGTCGATGTTTCTGTCCATTACACTCGGAGTGGGCGAGCTTACTTTCACCCAAGCAAAAATCGTCGACATTTGCTGGGATCTCGCCGTTGGAAGAGGAGGGCAGGCCCTTCTGATCCGGATGTGCTATCCGCTATTTCGACGAAGTCTCTCCCGGGTCATGGAAACCAATGGCGTCAGCTTTTCAGTCTTCGCGGCGATCTCTTTCGACCAGGTCAGCGTGAGCTTTGTCGCTACGCTCACCGCAGCTGCTGTAGGTGCTGTTACTGGCCGAAGGCAGGCCAATTTCCACGCCAAGAGGACAAGCAGCAGGCATTTCCTCTGTCTTCTTCTGACCTCCGCCTACCTTCTTTCATTCCCGACCTTTCTCTCGTCGATAACCGGGTACCAGACCCTACTGTCGCCTTACGCATGGGTTTCACCCCTCCGCATAGGCTTGGTGCCCACATCGGAATGGTCGACGCCAATGTACGTGCTTCCGGATGGTTCACGTATTGGTCTACAGGACTATTTCCCCATATACATGTACGATGACCGGGCCACTTATGAGTCTATCGCGGCTGGGACAGCGAATCATACCACGCTTTACTCGACGCTCATCTCGTGCTGTACGTCGGAAGTAGACCCTGAGCAGTCCATAATCCAGTACTAATGCATCAGGTAGATATCCAGCCCGAACTTCTCTCCAATGCGACAGCCCAGCAAGCACAGGAGTACTTTGCACGTGGCGAGAACTTCGTCTTCGCTCCTGCAGACGTGTGTTCCTTCACCCTACCGCCGAACTCCACAAGTCTTGTTCAAAGCATGTCATCTTCGGTCACGCTATCGGGTGAGGTGTACAACATCTCCTCGCCAACATTGTCCATTGTGGGTAATGCGGAGACCACACAGGATTCTGAGGCTGAATATTTCGCCTTTGGAAACGTCACTTTTACGACAATGTACCAGAAGCGATACAGTATGTGCGTACCAGATACGACCTATCAATGGGGATTTGCCTCGATCCCGTTCTTCATCTTCTGTTTATTGACGATAGTCTTCGCTGCATTGCTCGTTGCTCTGCAGCAGGATGCGTTCATGAATGGAAGAATAGATCGTTACAAGGAGTTTCGCAGTACCAACGTCTTTCAGGATGTGCTGGATCTTGCGGATGGATTGAAGGACACTTTCGAGGGTATCCAGTCAAAATCTGCTCGAGAGGTCAAGGAGCTCGTCGATGGTCCAAGCAGCGTCATGATGTTGAAGACGGATGGGCTGTTGCACTCGCGGAAGGAGGTCAGACGAGAGGCGAAATTGCGCCATGCACCACCTACGCAACGGTCGACAAGGTGGCAGCCCACGCTACCTGTATCGCGATGGAGACGGATTACACCCAGTTCAGAGTCATCAGCAAAGGAAGGATACATCACTGTAGACGAAGTGGAGTTGTGAGGATTCCACTAAGTTTGGTCAGGCCATGTTTGTTCGCCGAGGAATGCAAGTACGCGACACCCTATACGTCGGCAATATCAGCCTGGTTTACGCCCGTCGGCATCGCACACTAGCCAAGACTCCAAATGTCGAAGATGTACGCATCGTTGTCGTGGTCGGCCGTCGTGCTTTTCCTCCTGGAAACCAGCTTTGTCCGCGCAGCAACATCTTCCTGGCCATCTACATGCTCAACACAAACATCCGCCCTGTACACTTCCGGCGTCGCGACTTTCACTCTATCTTATGGGCCCTCCACGGTCTATGTCATCGAGCAGGCAACGTGTCCATTCACGGCGGCTTCTGTGGTTCAAACCACAATCGTACAAACAACAACATTAGCTACCCAAAGCAAGATCTATGCTAGCCACCCGACAGGCCTCCCTGCTTGCGACAACGTCCCAGCCAGTGCCTCATCTTTCGGCACTCTATGCGAGGACACTTATGGTAACGAATACAACATCTCTTACGGGGGCGCGTATGCTGGGAACGCCGTGTCGAATGTAGCTGCACCAGACGTCAATGGCTGCCTCCTGAAATGCGATCAGACGTCTGGCTGCCTTGCCATTGACTTTTCTGCCGGGCAATGTACGCTTTACAATTCAGCTCAGCCGACGACTGCACAAGGCCACGTGAAGAGAGAGACCGCTCTTACTGCAATAGCTACACGACCCGCCAGCGTAAACACAATCTACACGGACTCGACGGCAAATTCGTCTCAATCAACGACGACGGTTGTCTCCTTTGCTACTGTGACCACAGTTGCCTCTGCTATGTGCGGTAACACAACTCAAGCAACGACGACTGTGCTTTCGCTAGCGACCATCACAGCTACGTCGTCTGCTAGCTGTAGTGCAACCCCTCTACCAACCATAACACAGACTTTGACGGCCGGCAGCACATGTCCCATTGTGAGCCAGCCTGCCACCATGACAATCACTTCTACGGGTCAGTGAAACCGAGTTCACTCCGGAAGCGAAACACTGACTTACTATTCAGCGACCATCACGACCACGCAGAGCACGGAGGTTATCGAGCTCGAAAATGACACCACGAGTATTTACACCACAGCGTACACCACAGCGTACACCACAGCGTACACCACAGGGACACCCACGACTGTCGACGGGAACAATACGATATTTGCAACAGTCACACAAACGGGTAGAAGCAAGGTTAGGCTATAGCTGCAACATGACAGCTAATATACAGCAGCTTCTACGACCACACCATCAGCAACGACGATCATACAGACTATTACGCAGACTACGAATATCTGCTCAACTGTATATCAGGCTGGTACATTTAGGAAGAACCAGATCGATTCGTTCACATGCTAATCTTTACAAGCCACTACTACCACAGTCTCTGGCCTCACCATCATTCAGACTCAGACGACCACCTCAACACCATCACCCGTTGACGAAACCACTACATATGTCACGACAACTACATCCCTTCAGTCAGTACCATACACAATCGGCTCGTCGGACGTCGCGTACCTCCAAGCTTCAGGCACAGACTTCTGCAGCTCGTTCCTGGGCTATATAGTGCCAACGAGTACGGCATACGTCACTGCTACTCCGTCCGGCCAAGTGACCGTCATGACTAGCACGCAGACCATACTTTCTACCAGTCACACACTAACAGTCACAACCACTGGACTGCAATGGAAACGAGCGCCAATCAATGGCGCACAAACCGCAAGCGCGATCCCGACCCCTGCTTCCATCTCGGGGTGGCCAAAGTGCCTCGTCTCGCAAGCGTGCGTTCAGGTTGCCACCGGGATGGCATTTGTCACGCAGACAACAGCTTTGCCCCCTTCTACAGTAACCCCAACCAACACCTACACGTCGACCACGGACAGAGTGGCCACGACATGCACAGCGGAAGCGGAAGATCCAGCCTATACGGCATTCACACCAATCTATGGAACCTGGGATACAGACATGCCGGGAGTCAACCCTTCCGACGTTTCTGGTGGTAGTACAAGCAAGACAGTAATACTGCCTTGGCAGATGTGCCTCGGTAATTACTGCAGCGCGAGTATCAATGTCTGGTCAAATGGTTACTTCATTTACAATGACGTGGCTACTGGAAAACAAGTTCTCGTGCAGCCGTTCGGCTCACAGGACGGTGGGCTCGAATACTTGCAAGGGCAACGCCAAGGCGTATACTATCGCATCGCGGGAAGCCCAGGCAACCAGAGTCTGGTCGTTGCTTGGTATGCCGATAACTACGGTCAGCGTGGTGAGCTCAACCACTTCACCACGACATACTTTCAGGACACTGGGATCATCCAATTCAAGTACTACGATGTCATGCAGTACAATAATGTCAACGCTCCGTACGGCAATTATACTGCTAACGCCTATCTGAATTTTCGTCAGTTATGAGTCCACCAATCCGTCATGAAAATGTTGAGCTAACACCTTCTCAGAGGGCTATGGCCAAATATCCGTCTACCCTCACGGTCAGCCGTTCTCTTACGATCAACAATTCCAGATCGTGGTGCCAGCTGGTGGGCCTGCTGGTACGGTGGTAACGAACAAGACTCATGATCGCTTGGACTGCTGTGTGAAAGCCGGGGTCTGGCATAGTTGTACAGAATTCCAAGCGCCGAGTCGGCTAGTGTAAGGACTATGTGGGATACGGGACGTTCGTGCCTTGCTGCTCAACGATATTCTTCCAGTATGTAGACCTTTCGAATGAGATTCATACCCTTCTTTGCCCATGACTTTTCACCCTGATATGATCTCCACATAGATGGCGAGTCTTTAACACGACAGATTGGGTCATTACAGCACATGAGGTAGCAGCGGCGCTGGAGATGGCGAGGCGAGACGAGACCAGACCAGAAAATGCCTTTCTCACCCAGGCTTGCGAATGCCACCCAGACAATGCGAGCGGATCGACGGAGAAGTGCTAGCGACTTCAAGACGCCTACGATGCACTACACAACGAGAGGAGGCTCACCATATACGATGGGGATATTAGGAGAGCGAGAGCCGGACTCCCATCAGCTGCTCCACTACAGCCATCTGCGTACCCACAAATTGAAGCACCGGAATCACAAGCCTCTGCGCCGCCCCGACATCAAGCGCTGTCAGCGCTACCACAGCCCCCTGCTCGCCCACACCATGAGATGCCGCATGTATATACGCAGCGCTCAACGGTTCCAACGAGCAATGCCACCAAGCCGTCTACAGACCATGGCCAGCCCTTGCCCAATCCCAGTCTCACCCGCGGCTGCAGAGCACTTGGCACGACATTCGTCACCTAAGCGCGGCCGCTGCAGGCGGGATCATATTCCGAAGGTGGTGCAAGGGCGCGAGAATCCGGTATATTCTGTATGCCTGTACAGGCAGTTGAGAGAGAGGAGGACATGGGCGAGTCCTTGTTGTACAAGTACTACGCATGGATGTCTAAAAACGAGAGACTGGGGCAGGCCGACATGCTCTGATTAGCGATCCTCCAGCCTACCCACGGATACACGTGCAGCGACTGTCCAGATGCTTTCTTTACTATCCCAAGGGCCCAGCGCACGAAACACTCTCGTGGGTAGCCACCCCACACACGGTAGAATACGTCGTCTCCACATTCAGCGTATGCTACTGACTATTGATAGTACGGCCTCACGATGTAAACCACCATCGAACACACTGTCGACGATGACTGAGCCGTTCGCTTCGAGACCAATGGTACACACTTGCTATGGCGTTGGTAGCTCATCCAGCTACCATTGCTGCTAGCTTGGCGCCTCACCGCGCCCAATGCTCCACCCATGTAGTAGCAATGGAGCAGCAAGACGGCCGGATGAGTGAGTCAGTGAATGGGTTAGTCCTGCTCGGGGTCCTATGTATGTAGCCACGGCCACAAATTCCCCTTCCTTGCTCCAAGGTTTGGGAGCTCACTCGAGCGACGTTTACTTAATGTAAGGTTTGAACCTCACACGGCTGCTTACCCACGTGATGCAGTGTCACCGGATCATAAGTACTCTGCAATTGCCACATCTCCCTCTCGTTGCAATCCCAAATCCTCTGCGTCAACCACTTCTCAATTACACATCCAATTCCAACACCATAGCCAACGACCATACAGATCCACATTGGCAGTATACTTCCGACATTACGGCTCCGACCATCGACCAAGCAGGTAAATAGGACGCCCGTATGACTGCGGCGCGCTTAACGAGCCTTATGGGGACACCCACTCCGCTAATGACGAAGAGTTCCCGATAGCTACCACATCCCACCAGATCAAGAGCCGACAGAGGGAGGAGAGAGAGGCGAGGATGAACTTGTTGATGGGAATCTTCGTGAAGGGCAACGTTGGAACGGCCCCTTATCCAGTAGCATGCGCTGGGTTCTTGACGCACATTCAGGTCAGGAGCCTAAAGGAAATGCGCAATTCTGAAATCCACCAAATCACATCCATAGCCGAGTACTCAGGACGGATGATGGTTGGCAAAGTTGCCATCAAGAATGGATTGAAGAAGATCTTCCAGGATGAACCTATACTCACAGAGCTCGACAAATTTTTGTGACGGGCGGGAATACAATGAAGCTGCATGCTCACTTCAATATGTAGAAGGAGATCCGCTATGTTGCTACTGGCAACAGCCAAACCCTGGCCGCTCACGGCATATATTTAGGATCTGGCATGGAAGAAGGTCAATCCAGCCTGTGCTCGCAAGAACAAGTTGCCAGATGTCCCTCAGATAAGGTATAAAGAAGCCGATATGGTGAAGAAATGAGCTTGGGTAGAGCTCCTCCTGGACAAGAGAACAGACCTAAGGCCACATAAAGGACAAAGCTTACTAACGGTGATCCTCGCTCGAGTTATAAAGGAAGCAAAAGAAAGTAGACGGGCTGGAGTGTTTTCAGCAACCAGCTCTCCTCACATGGGACAAGGCCTTGACGTGGCAGACATTCCGCATCAAACCCCGAGGCTGTGGCTGACATACTGCAGTGGACCGAAGACTCATCTGGCAAACATCTGAAACCCGTGTTGGCAGCATCTGAACCAGATCTTATGGCCACCACTGCAAGGTATGGCTATGTAGCTCTTAAATTAGGACCAGATGAGTAGTGGATGGCTCCGTGATTACCCCAGCAAGGGATTGGAAGCAGACTCTCGGGCGTAGCAGGGCAAGAGCGGATACCATGGTGGAGAGGGGAGGTTCGTACAATTGAACACATAACGGTTGTCGCATGCCAAGACATAGGGAACATAACTTTTTCGGTCGTAAGATCGTATCCTTACGAGCGCCTACTCCTTAGAGCCCTTATACTTTACTATAACGTAGAAGAGAAGTACTAGTACCTTTAAAATAAATAGTATTATAATCTAGACGTTATTCTAGACTCTACTACGAGCCTTAGGTAGCTATTACGGTATAGGTACTCCTCGAGCTTCCGAAAAAAGGATTCTTCCTAGGTTTTGGATGCGACAACCGTTATGTGTTTAGTTGTAGCGTAATCCGTGCCCGAGGGCACACTTTCTCTTCGACACTCCAATTCACTCAAAAGCTCACTTCTATGAACCTCACTTGCTGAATCACCCACTATACCTATTCAGTGTTGGTGTTCACCAAACTTACATCCTTCCACGTGATTGACCATGGCTACATAATACTTGGCCTTTCCCTCATTGTCGTTGACTCGTTGCCACCACCCTTTAACACACGCATCCTCTTCCAGCAGATTCTTCTCGGTCTGAACGAACAATAACCATACAAACCCTCACACAATGGCAGACCTATCAACGGTCACAGGTTTCGACCCTCCTCAGGAACCGCAGGCTCAGATCCAAGTTTTCACCCCAACAAGCATCGCCGTTGCGAACATCCAGTATTCTCGCCCCTCTCCCGTGAAGGTCGCTCGAAGATTTACAACTCCCTTCATGCTCTGGTCCATCTCGTAAGCTATTTCGTCGAAGTACTGATCCCAGAACGCACGCCTCCGAACAGAGATCATGTGATAGTACAGATACCTCTCTGCTGGGAGTTCGGCAATGCTCTCAATGTCCAGAGCGTACCAATCCAGGCGATTCTGCAGCCTAGTGATTCACGTTGTGGCCCGACGCGTGGATCGCCCTCGAAGGTATAAATTCTGTCTGCTCGCAGCACCAAATGATCCCGAATACGCTGAGTCGATAGTGCCATTGCTGACATCGGTGCGATACTGACGGAAATGGGCCAGCAGGCGGCAAATGTTGTGCGCTACAGCCGTCCTTACTCGATCCCGCCCAGCGATCCTGTTCTGCCGCTCCAATTCGGTCTCTTCAAGGACTGGGATACTCAGCTCTTTGATCTCTCGCTCCGCACCTTCCAACTTGGCAAACGCATCCTCGATGGCAATGTTGCCTTTCACCATCTGCTCAAGATATGTGCCACTTGCCGACGTAATCCTCCCGACGCATTCTTCCCGACCTCCATGTCCCGAGTTTATCTCAACGCCTTCATCCAAATGTGCGCATTGCCAGCGCAGGGGCGCAAGTCCTCGTCTGTCACGCAGTCACCATTGACGAATACAAAGATGCTCACACTCATGCGGACTTCAGTCTCTGGAGTCTCTAGCCTGTCGTGTGCGTTAGGTGCAGCGTTGTCTGCCGTCGGAAAAGCCTCATCGGTCGCAGAGCGGTAGTTCTGACTCACGGCAAGCATCCTCTGCTGCTAGGCTTTGGCGGTCCATTTTGAAGGTAGGTCCGGAGTTGGAGCTCGAGGTTGCAGACGTAGTCGAGTAGCACATCGCTGTGGATGCATACCGGGGCGGGCTTTCACGATGAGTGTTGATTTGGGGGAAAAGGAGCGTAGGATCTTTTTGTAGAGAGTGTATGGCACAATCCCACTGCCTATGAGGGAATCAAGAGCTAATTAACCCAAATCGCACGTCCTTACGCTATCTATGTATATGGGCCTTCAAATAATTAAAACCAGGAAGGCCAGCGCGAGACTCAGCACAAGCATAAACTCATCAATAGTTTGCCGTCCTGCTGCTGACGACGCTCTTGTCGAGGTCGCGGGGGTTTTCGAGCCGTTCACACCGTTAGACGCTGCGACGCCTATCGAAGAGGCGATATTAGTCGTGCTTCCAGATGGTCCCGTCTGCGTTACACTACCGGTCTCCAACCTCATCGTCGACGATCCAATAACGACGACACCACTGCTGCTTCGATCAACACTAATGATCTGGCCATCGACTACAGTAGCTGCTCCTGGTGTGAGCAGCACTGTCATGCTTCCATCCCATACCTCGACTCCGCTTTGCAACATTGCTACGTTCAAGATCGCACCATTACCCGCCTTGATGGCCGCGGCTGCACTTAGATGCGTCGGGCTATTGTTCGTCTGGCTGGTGAGTTTGATCGTCTGTGTACCATCGATGACTGCTTGGCTTGCTCCTGGTCCAGCTCCGATAGTCTGACCATCGATGACAGTTGTATGACCGGCTGCAAGATAAAAAGTTGTTTTGTCTTCTTGGACGTAAACAATGCCGCTACTCGCTACTAGACTGAGCACATGGCCGTCTTGCGCAGTAGCTACAGCTGTCAGGCCAGGAGATAACGCCGCACTTACTGTGATTGTCGACAGTCCGGCAGATCCACCTATTACTAGACGTCCTGATGAAGCAGCGCTTAGTACCTGGCCATTCATCGTCGTTGCAGGCCCACCAGCCGCCAATGTTATCGAAGCACCGCTGTTCTGCACCACAACATGGCTGGCATCTAGACTGCTTGCCGCATACACCTGGCCTCCTGCAGTGACACTCGTGGCGGCAGGACCATTCGGAGCTGCTGGAAACAGCACAATGGTAGACTGCCCGGGAGCACCGCTCATGATCAACTTTCCCGATGATGCGGCGCTGATTGCGTGGCCATCGATCGTCATAGCAGCACCTCCTACTGTGAGAGTGACCGAGGTACTACTGCCTTGCAATACGAGGTGACTTGGATCAACGTTGACGGCTGAGACAGCCTTACTCCCAACGCTGATGGTCTTGGGCTGCCCATTGCCCGCATTGCTGGTGCCCAGATTTGGATTACCAGCAGCAGTGTTGCTCGAAGCTTGTCCAGACAAGACTCCGTTACCGCCAGCCTGAGCCGCAGTGGCAGTGGGATCGGCAGCAGATTGCAAAACAGACAAGGCATTGGTCGATGGTGTCGCTGTTGGCGGACCGCTGCTGACAGGACTCCCTCCGACTTGACTCACGATCGAGATCAGCACTCCAGGATCGACGTTATTGCTCGACTGTGGCGAACTTGGATCCTGTGCACTGCCACCTCCACTCTGTTCATGGCTGACAGTAGACGCGGAAGACTGCTGGGGATCAGAAACACTTGAGCCAGATGGTCCGGACTGTACAGAAAGTGAGGCTTGTGTCTGAGCCAAGGCCGGGCTTGACCCAATCACCACAGGTTGCGCACTATTCGTTGCCTGCGCCGTTATGATAGTTTGGGTAGCAGAGACTGTCGGAGCCTGTACTGGCGAAGACGGTGAAGCCGGAGTGGTGGTAAGCGCTTTCGGTGATGTGACACCATCCTCGGTAGCCTGCGGCTGCAGCGCAGTGGGAGGATCGTAAACACCATTGATATCCCCACTGCACGTAGCCCAGTCCGGGTTCATACTTTGCAGCACGTTCGCAGGCAGATAGAGGATCGGGTTGTAAGGTAATGTCGTGGGGCAAGAGTATTGAACTGGAATGTGCGCCCCTAGCCCGCCATTGTCTCCCACGGTATAGTATTCGCCATTCTCGTATCCAGCAGCGTGCATTGACATCAGAGAAACACACCATATCTGGCGGGAAAAGACTGAAGCTGGGGTATCTTGGAGATCGGCTAGGTTGAAGGATGCCACTTCTGTCCGAACGACATCGAAGGCGACAATGTCAAATTGTGCGCCATCGTCTGGCTGGGCGTAGATGCTCGATATGTCCGCAGAGTTCGTAATTGCAACAATTGTGTTGCTAATAGTCGGGCCGACCGCCTTGCAAGAATCCGAGGCGGAGACTTCGTGATATGATACGTACACCTCATATGGACGTCAGCGTCTGAATACTTCACAGGTCCATGACTGCTTACCGTTGGATACGTCAAGGTAGTATCGTCTATCGACACTGTAATGGGACCCGCATCGGTGTTGTAGCTGGTGTTCGGCGGCCAATACATAAGCTGCACCACGCCTCCAGTGATGCCGCAACGAGCACAACCTAGAGTGCAACTAGGCGCCAGAGTAGACCAAGTCGGCCAGATCCATTCTTGGACGCCACTAGCAGCAGCAGTGCCATTGATGACACTGGATAGTTAGCTTTCGATCCCCACGCGGAGTGGCGCAAGATCAACATCAGGATTCATGCCAGCATAAGCTGACGAGGTTGGAGGTACACGGCGATTCACTTACTGCCGAACTGTCAGCAAAACCAGTATGTAGACGGGTCTCAACTGAATCCACTCACCTAGTCTGGATTTTGTGTATACCCTTTGGAGTACCCATCAAACTGGGCCGAGTCCAACCACTTGTTATCCACCACGTATTTGTCCTGAAACGACTGACATAGATCGCTATCGATATTTGCATTCTGACAGACAGGCGGGTTGTAGTTCGTGCTTGCAGACAGAAAGCTCATCCAGCTCGACTGACACTGCGGTACAAGGCCCGGGAGCGCACAAGGTGGTGGCGTAATGGTCATCACTTGTGGCACAGTCGCTGTGCTTTCGACATCGGAATAGTCGGTCCACGTTTGGGTTGTCGCTGTAGATGACGCAGTGACTGTATACGTTTGGACGCCAGAATACGTCTCGGTAATGACGGAGTAATTGAACGCGCCGGCAGAGATAGTCATTATTTGGGTAAGGTCGTACGTGGTAGTGAACGTGCCTCCAGTGACGGTGTAGGCATCGGTCTCAGTTGTGAGGCCGGACCAAGTAGTTGTTGTATACGTGGGGAATATGGTCACCGTACTGTTACCTCCGTAGGACGAAGAAGAGTTCCAGTATGACATCCATTGATCGTAGCATACGCCAAGCGTAGTATTGCTGAGAGTCGTGTTCGAAAGGCTTGTGAAGTTGCCAAGTGTCGCAGAGGCAGTTCTTGTGGCGTTCTGTGATGTGCTGGAAGACGTATTCATGCTGGTACGGCTATAAGTCGTGGAGGTTGAGGTTGTCGATGGAGTTGTGCTAGAGACTCCAAGTCCTAGAGCAATGTAGTCGCCAACGCCTGCACTACTTGAGGTCGCCATGCTCGTTATCGCAGTAGATAGGGTGCTCTGACCCGCCCGTGTCGTATTAGAAGAGGTCGAGGCATTCTGGCTTGAATTACTGCTCCCGATGGTTCCCACGAGTGATGAGGTAGCTGAGCTTGTCGACAAGATCGTGAACACCAGCGTTAGATGAATTGAAAATAAGGAGAGGGAACCCATATCTGGAATGTATACTATATCGAGGCCGTGATGTGAAGAAGAAAGACAAGACGTTTGCGGGATAGAATCTCCTACCCAGCCAGTCTAGATGTCTAGTATGGGAGGCCTAAGATCGACCAGCAGCAACTCAATCTGGTCGGAAGCAGCCCTACAGCCATGCTGCCAGGCACTGCTGGGTTGCGTGCTGGAGTCCTAAATTTGCAGGAGGAAGCACTCCCGCGATGAGGGCTGTGAATCCTGTAATAGGTACTTTATGGTGAGGCTGAGGGCAGCGCTGTCCACGCGTGGAACACGATGCTGGCTGGTGTGTTTCAGTGGCTCCGTTCCAACGATCTGATTGGCTGACCGACATGCAGACGAAATCCTTTGACAGGCATAAAATAGCTTGTCGCGCTTGTGTACGGCAGCTTCGTATGCTTGGGGTCCAGGTCAACTTGGCAAGGAGTCCTTTGCAAACGTATCTCTCTCACGACAGAAAGTGTGGGGGCTGGTGAGCCGGCCGGCTCATACTTCAAACAAGACAGTTGACTTTGAGATATCCTCCGGCTGATGAACATGCACTTGACTGGATTGACTTCCGCACTCTTCAAAGTCTAGGTGCAGATTATCGAACCTGGCGAAGATGGCCGTTACTAACGCAATCATAGCCGAAGAGCAGATGAAGGCGGATCGGAGGCGGAAACCTGAGTTCTTTGAAGACTGGTCCACGCTATCATCAATGTTGAAGCCGCCACCTTGAGATTCTCGCACACTCGACGGGAGGACAGGTGAACTCGCCATTGAAGACAGGACTTTGGAGCCGTGAGGTATCCAGATCCATCTGTCTCTGATCTCCACAGGCCTTAAAGGTTACTACCAACCAGTCTCGAAGAACAACGACGGTCTTCAGCGTCTGCTCGCAGAAGGGCCTTCAAGGAGCGATGGCGAGCAGCAACAATACACTGCCTATATCTACTAGGGACATTGTCATATACATCGTTACTGCTAGCGGATCCATTACGAATCCAAGCTAGGGCAATTCTCGCTCGTCTCGGATGTAACACTCTTATACGGAGCCGGATCTGTCCAGATGATGTTGAAGCTTGAAATGCATCAGTACGAGTACTCTCGAAGATTTCATCTTGTCGCCCACCTTTCATCAGGATAATCGGGGGCATTCTTGTCACCAAGCGCTTTTGCAATTTTGGTGAGCTCGTCGTGCTCCCAGCAGATGAGAATGTTTCTAGGACCATCGTAGTCGTCGACTGCATCATTTACACAGGACTCATCGTCGCGATCGCAGCTAATGTCCACGGTGAGGCCAAGATCTTGCGCGAGAGGCTCCACGGTCTCGTACGGACGTTCACGAGCGCCACCTAGGGAGAGACGGTCAATACCCTGGCTTCGAAAGGCATCTGGATGGGATTGCACGTACTACTCTTCGGCTGCTCTGCGAGGATCTAGCCGATGTTGTAGCCTGAACTCGTACCGAAGACATTACGCAGACATTGTGCTCGCTCCTTGCCTTGTGCGGTCAGGCCATTGCTGCCGTCTGAGGGCTTCTCGCCGTGGCGGATAAGGTAGACTGTCGCCTGAGCTGAGGCCAGAGAAAGCAGAGACGCGACGGTGATGGTCTTCCAGATGAGCATGGTTGCTAGGATCTCGAAGATCTTGTCTGGCGTGGAAGTGCTACAGCGGAAGGTATTGGGCTGAATGTACTCTACAATGGAGAAGAAGACCTCGCCTACTTATGTCCTTCGTCTTAGCCACTTTTACACATGATCAAGGTCATCATACGATACAACTCGACACTTGAAAGAGAGCGACCGGACGATCGATCGCCTGTTCCTGTCATCTACACGTACCTCTCCGTCTCACATACTTCTAGCGTGACTTTGCTTTCTTTGTTAGCACCGGTCATTCGACCAGGCTTCGCCAAGATCTGCATCTTACATCGGGGACTATACCGTACGCCATAATGACTACCGGACATGGAGCGCTTGGGATGCATGTTGCACATGAAATGTGAAGTGTGCTGATGATCGGCAGGTACACGTGCTACGACCAAAGACTTTACAGGGCAGAAGGAGTCGATCGATTCTAGCCTTGAAATTATGGTTGGTTGTTCCCTTGCGATTCGGACATCAAATACATGAAGTTGGCAGCCCATTCAATGTGGTACGCCAACAAGGAAGATACTTCTCGAGGGTACCTGAGGTGAAGACGCTACCGGTTGCCTTCCTCACAGCCTCTGCGTAAGCGTTCTCGAGTGGGATAGCAGTCCGCATTGAGATACGCACAGAGCATGCGGAAGCCACTATATTAAAAGCCCAGTAACAAAGAGGTTCAGCTCATCCGGGAGTTGGTCGCCGAGCTGCCGATCCGGCTTGTTGTGGGCAGTCGCATTTCACCACAGCCTCATGGTCATGGAGTCGTCCACGAATCTTAGGGTGTGGTTTCGATTTGGGACGACCACAGCGAAGGCGGTGGTAAGGGCGGGATGGGGATACTTGTGGTGCCTGCTCTGCTCTAGCTCCCTGCTGACGATGCGGTTGCAAGCCATGGGAGGCATCGTTGAATTCGTCCATAGGTTCGCAGTGCGCGAAATTAGAGCGTATCTGTGCACATCAGTAAGGTGAAACAGCTATTTAGACGACAGGACAAACACGAGGTCGGCAGGCACCCCCATATTGATGATGATGGCATCGTCCACCGCGCGTATCAAATCCTTGAGCTTTCAAAGTCTGGTTGGATTGACCGGGCTCCTCGCAGGAGGCGGTGTACACCTTTGTTGTTCGTATGCTGTTGTGGGATCGGATTGAGAGGCTATACCGTATAGACATTCTAGCGCACCGCCGCTGCCGGGTTGTTGTAGTTGTCGCTGTTCGCCGTCGGGAACGCTCGCTGTCCGTGAGTTTGTGAGGAGATCGTGGAGTTAGTGTGAAAGTACGAGAGACGACTGAGAGGCAGAGATGCACGATATGTCAAGGTCCGCTGCAGGACGCGGGTGGCATGACAGGCGATGTGTGTCTTGCTATCTTCTTCCTCCGGTGGTACTAGGCAGTACACGTAAATGTCAGAGTCTGATGGGCTGCTGCGGAAGACGTGGTGTTGCTCGTTGCAGCGTGTGATGTGAATGTCTTGCTAGGCGTGATGAGTGCTTCTGAAGCTGGATGTGGGCTGAAGGAGTAGTCGGTGCCAGAGGAGCTTGGTGCTTTGGATCCGACGGAGCTCGTGCTTCCTGAGTGGCCTCTTACTCGAGTGCATATTGTGCCTCTTAGTGAGCACAGTACTGCTTCAACGAAGTTGTCCCTAACAGACGCGGCACCAGCTAGATAATGCCGGTCTGCCCAATGTGCCGAGCCACGATCGAGCTCAACACAATCGACCAGCCGCCATCTGCGGAAACTGCAGGAACAGATGGGACGCGGACAACTAGTCAAGGGGACATGAGTTCGCTGGAAGTGAAGGCGGGATTCCGGAAGCGAAGGAGAGTTTCTCGAAAGAAGCATGCCTAAGTTTGTTTTGTTGGGTCGAATCAGTGATACCAGTATCTATTATGGTTGTATCCAGCCAAAATTTGGCCATCTTACATCATCTTGTCTGCACTGCTTTGTACGATCTCCACGGTTGGCGTTTTGTTCTCATCCGTCATCACTGTTGCTTCCTTCAACGGGCCAGCATAGTGCTTTCTGCCTCTTATGAACCAATCAAGCAATGCCACGAGTTCTAGGAAGACGAAAACTGGAGCAGCATAGTTCATAGATGTCGCTGAGACCGGCGTGGCTGCTGGGAAGGGCAGGAAGATGATGATGAAAATGCCGAAGGCGATAGCGTAGAGGTTGATGAATAAGCCAAATTTTCCAAGGGTCCACGGGCCAAATGGAATCGGCTCGCCTCGAATGCGTTTAAGTGCGAGAAGCGAGATTGGGACCAGGTAGGACACGTAGAGCGCGAGACTAGATAGCGAAAGAATGGCGTATAAGGCGATCGAGGAGCCGATATTGATTAGGGAGAGGAGCATAATAACAACACACACCAAGCTGATTGCGCGAATCGGGATGTGGTAGTGGGGATCGACCTGTACAGATCGTGTCAGTACCTCTCATGAAATATTTGACCAATTCTCGTCGTCTTACGTGTGCGAAGAACTTGGAGAAGGGCATGCCTCCATCTCTTGCGAATGCGAACGTCAGACGAGATACAGATGCCAGGAGAGCAAAGCCAGAGGCGAATGCGATAATGATCAAACCAGCTTCCATGACAGTCCCTGCGGCGTTGGAGTTCGTAGCCTGTACGAATATGGCGATGATCGGGTATCCGGTCGGAGTGCTCAAGACTGTCTCGATGTCGCCGAGACAGAAGAGTAGAGCGATCAGGAAGGCAAAGGCCAGAGTTGCATTGATGACAATGGTAAGGATGATGACTTTGGGGATTGTCGTCGCGGCATCTTTCACCTCCTCACTCATGTGAATGGCTCCGTCGAACCTGTAACTGTCAGTTCAGCCATGGCAACAGAACAGCATGCCACTGGACTCACCCAACGAAGGAGTAGACGACAGTCAGAAGTCCAATACACCACGATACCCCATCGCTCTGCCAGCCGCCTCCATTCGTGAATGTCGTGAAGACGAACTCTGCGGAGCTGCGGGGCGACAGGACGACCAAAACGATCAGCATCATGACGAAGAATGCAATGTGGCAGACACCACCCATCAGCTCGATCAGAGGTAGGAGGCGTATGCCCCATACATTTGCCGCGAAAAGAACTGCGAGATAGGCCCACATTAAGAGTGTCCCATGCCATCTCTCCGGTGTGTAGTCTGGATAGTTCAAGATCATCAGACCTTGAATCTGCGTCGCAGTGAGGAAGGTGACACTCGTCACGGTCGCCTGCCATGCGAAAACAGTCGTCCATCCTTGCATCCACGTTATGAAGGCTGCCCATTTAGGAGGTGCAAACATGTATGTCCAGTGGTATTGGGCGCCGGAAATCGGACATATAGAAGCCATCTCTGCTAGCGAAGCCGCCACCGCGAGTGTACCAGAAATAGACAGGAGCATGCCGTAGATGAGAGACACAGGTCCGCCATTTGTGAGTCCTGCTGCGATCGACCTAGATGTAAAGTTAGAGTTGTGATGCTGTGACCGTGGGAATCGCAATGCCATTGCTTCTGGATGATCTCACGTACTCTGCGACAGACTCCCACGATGCGAGTAAGGTCTGCAAGTGATAGTCAGAACCTAGTAATCTATTACTTTCAAGAACAGCATACCGAAGAAAGAGCCAAAGTGCTCAAAAAACCAAAGATGCGCTGTGGAGTGATTCTGTCAGCTAGGGTCTATCTTGTCTCATTGCATAGCATAGCGTACTGAGAACTGTTGCTTCTTGCCAATCTTCGCCATAACCGCGAGATCATGGTCTGTCGACCTGAGCCCATTGTCTCGACCAGCGCTGGTCATCTCGATGCTTCGCTCCATCTTACCAGCTACACGTAATGATACCAACTAGCAACAGCTTCGACAGGGCAGAGGAAAAGGGACAGGGAAAAAGAGTATGAGAGCACGAGCAGAATCGCTTGAAGGTAGCAATCTGCCGGCGCTTAAGCACAGAGCACCTTGTCACGAGCAAGGCTCTGGACTCGACAACTGCGAGGTACCATCTGGCGGCCAACGGACAGGCACGATAGGCATGTTGGAGCTTACTCATTGGCTTCTCGGCTTCGTATTAGCAGCGTGCATAACGCTTGCCTTGGAAGGGTATGGCAAGCAAGGAGAACGATCCAGGTATAGTGGTAGCCCGATGCGTTGATCTCGCTACTGCATCGATGCGGCGGTGCTGGCTTTGAGCTCCATCCCGTGTCGCCGGATATACGTGGTCGACATGGGGTTAGCTTCGATCCTGGTGAGGTTTATGAAGCATGTTCTTGGCCGTCCAAGTACGTCGAATTGATGCGATCCAACATGTCAAAGAACCAATTGTTCAGTCGCTTGACTGTCATTTCCTGTTTTGTGGTGCTATTCTGTCGTCGACTATAAGATGAGATGAGATCAGATGAGATGAGATGAAGCATTTGTCAAGACGGCATCCCACGTCGATGCCGAAGCCCATGCTCGTAATGCATCAGGTTGCATTGCTAGTGCGGCCGGGCCAGCCATCCCCGATCCTCCACGAACCGTGCCACGCACGGGGGACTTGCCGCAAAGATCCTTAACCCGAACAAGCTACATTTATCTTTCGGCAGATGCTGTTCCGCCCAGAGCACCAACGACGACTCGAAGCTTGCCCACACGTACATATCATTTATCGTGCATGCTCGTCTGGAAGCCACCACGCGAGAGGACACGCCCGCCAGCCAGCATTACCATAATCTCCACGCAAGCATCGCCCGGGATCATTCTCTTGCTTCGAGACACGCGAGAGTCTCCATGTGCTGCGGAACGTGGGAACGGCGGGATGTTACATCTCTTGTTATGTACCTCCGTATCTCCACCAATCTGAGCAAAGACTATACTATCAGGACGGGATCCCACAGAATTTCGGTGCGCCCAGCGTATGGGACCAGGTAAATCTGTGATGAGCAATGGCACCGACAGTGTGTTTCACGGCAGCCGTGTCGATGTGGGTTAGCCATCAGCTCAGCATATGTTCGCGTGCGACCGTCATATCGCGAGTCGACATTGACGACGACAGCCACTAGCTTTCTGCTCTTCCTCATGGACGCTGGCTCTAAAGCACCCCTTGTGCCGGTCACGTCAACTGACCATGCTGGGTACATTATCGTCACCATCTACGGAGCATTGTTCACCACGGCAGTCTTTTGGCTCGTAAGACTGGTCTTCCGCTTCCAGAAGCTTCGACCGAGATGGGACGATGGGTTTTTGATATGCTCTATGGTTGGTAACCTCCGGCACTGCACACTCATGCGGAATAGGTATCTGATTGGCGGGTCTAGCTATTCGCGATTTTGCAAACAGTATGCATGCAACTGTCGACGAGCGCAGGACTAGGAAAGCAGAAGCGAACGCTTGAGCATGGCGACAGCTGGGAGAAGGTCAGTAGACAGAAGTCGATCGAGAGCCTTGACTCATATATGACAGTCATTCTTCGCTGCCCAACTTCTCAACGTCTTGTCGCAACTGTGCTCGAAACTATCCGTGAGCCTACTGTTCCAGTCCTTCCAACCATTCAAGGGCATCTCGAAAGCAAATAAAGCCTCACTGGTGCTTCATACGGCGTGGCTAGTCGCTTCGGTCATTGCTCTTGCACTGCAGTGTGGACCACCTAACCCATGGCATCTCAGAGCTGACCGTTGCGTCAGTTTGGTACGTCTACCCAGCTTCTAAGATGGGAACATTTGTCTGACCACTCTAGCGATCTCTTGAGCTTGGCATAGACCTAGTCAACATATTCTCGGAAGTCTGCCTGATTGCTCTGCCGACAGCACTCATGCCACAGGTCCAGACCACTGTGCAGATCCAGATATTGGTCATTGTGTGCTTTGCTTGTCGGACGGCGGTGATTGGTACACTCGGCGGTCATATTTCCTCTCTTCACCATCTGGAGATCTTCGACGACCCTTCATGGTCTTACACCATGCCCGCAATCTGGTCGCAGGTCGTGATGAACGTATCGATCTTGACTGCCGCCATCCCTGGTATGCAGCAGTTCTTGGCAGACCTCCGACCGGGCATGACGACTTTGACAGTCAGAGATGCGCATCAAGAGACGAGCAATTCCGCTTCGGTGTTTGGTGCGAATAGTCGAGCTCGAGCTACGGCGTACAGTGATTCGAAGGGCAATTCGTGGGAGCTCAGCAAATTGGATTCGGTCATGAGGTCGAAGGGTGGGACCAGGCAAGAGCGAAGACATTCGGAGTCGGAGAGTGTGGAGCGCTTGACACCTCATCCGAACAATATTGTGGTGACGAGAGAGTTTGTTTCGTATATCGAGGACTAAATAGATCGTCAAAAAGCTCCAGAGGGACCGGATATGTGTACAATATATGCAAACTCCTATCAAGCTTGCTCATGCTGTGACATGCTCGGCGACCAACCCAGGATGGTACCGTGCAGACGCTGTGTCACACCCGTCGAACCACGGTAAGAGAAGTGACACATCACACATCTCGGTTACGGCGGGGCATCATCGATGAGGCAATGGCTCTATTTGGCTATAGACCGTAGAGGCGTATAGGTCGGGCATAACTGCAGAATGGGGAGACAGAGCACTGGCTAGTTGACTTACTTAGTCACGTAGTTCTGCAGTCTGAGCCGAATTTCTCTCGACGGGCTTTTCAATGGGTTGTACGAAGCCTGTACCACTCAGATGCCTGCCACGGCCCCTTGCGATGGTGGGAGTGAGAGCTTATATTGACAGCAGTGGAGTCAAGCATAGCAGAAGTCATCTATGAAACGTCTCGATTTTCCTCATCTAAGTTTCTGCAGACTCCGTTCTGACAGAGGTGGTGCCCTAGGTGCAGCGAGAGCGCTTGCAGAACACAGTATAGCCGAGCCTGACGACCAGACATGCTTTCGTGATCAAAAGCCACGGCATCCAGGACAGCGACCTGAATGACCGAGTCCGCTTTGATGGCAGGTTGGCCACGAAGACGGACCTCTACGAAACACGATTGCTTGGCCTTGCTGTCGCCGTATATCGCCTCCGCAGCCTCCCAGTCCTGACCTCATGGCCAAAGTGGCAACTGATGACGTGCTATCAGATTGCATAGCACCGCGGGGACGTCCTCTCGGCCAGACCTTAATCGCTAGGCCTGGTGCATGTCAATGTCGTTGGTGTCTGCGCCAGGGATCGGTGGAAGAATCCCAGACAAAGACTCCCGCGGCGCTCGTGCCACGTGGGAAAGGTCCAGCTCACTCGATTGTTTTCTTCTGCTTTAAAGGTCCAATATCGGCAACCAGAACTTTCCAATACCACAGGAAGTTACTGCTGCAACGAGGCACGCTTATCACAACCTGGTGGTAATTTGTTGGTCGGTATGATGGAGTCCCGGATATGGAGGGTGGGCTAAACGGAGTCGTGCTTTGTGCCAACAATAGTCAGAGAAGCAGATATTCAGTGGCCTACTGACGACTTTGTACCATGGGCCCATCTTGACAGTCTTAGAGAGGTGACACGAGCGCGCTGTCACGAGACTAGGCCCGTTGACCCAGACCCACATACTGCAGCAAGACTTTGCTTGGCGAGACGGGAGAAGGCTTCGTGATGGACTGGCCGGATAAGCTCACGTACATCCCGTGACTACCGTGCTTCGTGCTGGATAGAGGCTGAGGAGCGAACAAGACCACGCTAGAGAAAAGCTATGGGGTGATGCAGCGGGCTATACACCATCAGGGCACACCAACTTGAACTGTTTGCTGATCTTGTAGACCTCATCGTTCACCGGTGCCACTCTCGGTATCAAGTAACCGGCTACCTAGTCAACGCGCTACTGTACTCCGATAGAGTACATGCCCACAAGTACCTCCGCGGCCACATAGCCTTATCACTGCCGGAAGTCAAGTGTCATCCATCGAAAGAATGCTTCAGCCCCATGCGTATGCTCTGCATGCGAACTTCAACTTTTCGTGTCGAGAACACGATCCCACGACGGATTTCACGAAAGGCTTGTCGGCCAACCAGAGCGTGTGCCGTTAATCAATCCCTAGCTAGCATTGAAAGAAGGAGGCGACCTATGGACCTACCAACCCAAACTGTTGTGGGGTTGACATCACACGAAGTCGAGCAAATAGAGTCTAGTAGTAGTGACGAGAGGCCAAACGGTGTAGTGGTTGCACCACAATCCGTGTGCTCTCACAGGATGTTCGGATACACCCTGTCATTGTCCGTGGATTTGGCGGTGTGCTGGACGCTCGAGACAGCACGAGGCGCGGGCAAAAGAGTGACCTGTATGTTTATGCCATACATTGTTAAGACTTGATGACCCGAAGCCTAAGTTTTGGGGCGCAGTATTGCGATCCGTGGAATTGGGCTTGTCTACTCGACCTCGCGCTTTACTGCTCGCCACGTACTGCACGCCAAGACTCTGTTGATCGGGAAAGGCCGTGGCTGTCGTCCTGTCGTAGTACCGAATATACACAGCGGAAGGCTCAGTCGCGAGGCGCCGCAGTTTTTGGCTTGGAGTCAGCAGAATACAAAGCGTGTTACTGTCATTCCAGCCTTGTAGGCACATGAGCAGGAACACAACTCAGGTTAGTGTGAGGCTTCCGAGGGCAGTTCCAGCGATGGTCATACCTGCAAGCAGCGGACGCTGCTGTGAGCCATCATCTCACTTCCGGACAGTCCCATAGCATTCAAGCAGCCTTGGGAGAAGGCCGCGGTGCTTCATCACGCTCCATCAAGCGAGACTGCTTTATGCACACAGTGATGCCGAGGAAGCTCTGTGAGTCGCTGCGCACACCGGACAAGTTGTGAGACGGTGACACGAGCAAGGACTTGGGGTGCTCGAGGGTGAAAGTTGCTCAACAGCTACTACAGTATCACTGTTCATCCCCCATCGTGATTCCTCAAGGTATAAACTCGCTGCATGTCTTTGTTCGGTACGGCAAGTGTCAACCAGCCTGACTGTCTGCTTTTGCAACGCCTGATCTAGACAAGAGCGAGCCTGTCAATATTCCTACAGCTAGTGTCCGCCTAGGCCCTGAGCTTACCATCAGTCATGTGCCGTGTCTCTGATAAGCCCTCTCCGCATCTCACTACAAGTAAGTCCTCAGCGTCCGCCTTATGACGATCAAGATTCAGAGCTAATGCCGAAACCTCAAAGGTACGGACTGGTACGGGTATCGACACATAGTGACCAACCCACAAGTGTCGGCAACGACAACCTCTACTATATCTGCATCCACATCCCTTGATCGACAGAACACTCAGATCTCTACATGTGGGTCGCCGTTGCTACATCATGAGGAACTTCCGCGCTCAACAACATCAGTGCCAACGCCGCCTGCTTCTGTCCCACCTAGATCTGCGCGCAAGCTGAAAAATACACGAGATATTCTCCACTGGTGCTACAATTGTGCCTATTCCGGAGACAAGAAGGGGTTTGACAAGCACTTTTGGTCTCAAGAGGAGCCAGATTATGTCCGTTCCTGTGATCACGAAGCCTGCAAGGAGCTCGACTCTTTTGCACGAACTGACAAATATCACAAACACCTTCGTGAGCAACATGGAGGCTGGACTGCCAGTGGAAATATTACTTCTGAATGCATCCACCTTCCGACGAAATACTATCGAGCTTGTGGAATATGCGACAAACTCTCTGGGGAGAATGCTCAAGCTTTCTACGACCACTTTGTGGAGCATCTGCAACATGGCGCGGTCAAGACACAATGGGACCCAAGGCTCCAGCTACGCAACTTGCTACGACAAGGGGCCTTGGGGTCTGTCTGGCACGAGGTCTCTGCGCAGCTTGGCTCTTCTCGGGAGAACTTCGTATCGTGGTGTCTATGCCACCCACCGGACTTGATCAGGACGCTCCAAGGACATCCGAGGCGAGATTTGTGGCAGTCCCATACCAATACAGTTACGCAGTCAATACGGCAGCTCTACGTCGAATACCAGCATCAATATGCGCTGTCGAATCCACAACTACTAGCGCAACAATATCAGCCGTGGATGCCGCCACAGCAAGTCTTGTTTAGATGGGGGCAAGACCATGCCAGTACAGCTGCAGATACGTATGGTAGTGACGTATTGCAGCCTCTATATCGAGGCATTACACGATCCGACAATGGTCCTTACGTTCCGAACGGAGCGGTAGACTGCGAGACAGGCTTTCAAGCCTTGCCTCGTGAATTTCCGAATGACGTGGGCGAAGCTTCTACGGATCTAAGGGTCACCGTCAGCTCCAGAGATTGGCTAGAAGAGCAGGAGTCTGTCATGGGATTTGACGGCTCGAGTGTGAGCCTCTTCCACGAGCTAGGAACCGCGAACATCATAAGTCGCATCGAAGTCTCCTCAGGGCCAACGACTGATGGCTATGCCGTCAACCTGCCGTCTGTTCCGCGTGGTGTATGGCTACCCGATGTAGGAAGTGGTTATGCTGAGGGTATCATGGTACGCGGTTTACCAGCGTCGATGCAAACACTGGCTATTCCACATCAATACCGGAATGACGACGAAGACCGTAACTTGTCGTCGTGGAATACCTTATCTTGGCCGTCTAGCTCCTTGACGTCTTGCTCACGGCACATGCTGAAAGAGCCGCTAAACCTTCCGATCGACCTGGAAAGTGTCAACGAGCAGTCGTCCAATGATCTAGCACGGCAAGCTTGGCAGGAAGTGATGCAGCTGGGCGTCGAAGGTGACTCAATGGATGCTGGGGACTTCTTGGCGTCCGCTGGTGGACAGTTGGACTCCTTAGACCACGTCGATAGGCCCCTCATCCAGGAAGGCTACTTTGCCATCGACGACTGCCATCGAGCAACGCCACTATATGGGCAGCCCATGGACCTTGACCACGACCAGATGAGCATGCGGCTCCAGCCGGCGATGGTGGACGACGATGATATCGACAGTTATCAAGCAGAGCGAGCAACGTGGGGACCAGGAATAGAGTGTTCGATGGACTTCGACTTTGGGCAAGAACGGTCGGCGCATGATACATCGCAAGTTCGCGGAAGAGAAATCTAGGGTCGCATTGTGATATGATTGAATGAAGGATGACTGTAAGATCAAAACAGCGCATCAAATGGTCCCGAGATCCCTCGCTTGCGAAAAAGCACCTACTCCAAGAACCGAGACCATTTTACTATGCCGCGTCGATACCAAGATAGAACTGAGACTCTGCTTTTTGTGATTGGCTGCATTAATTCATAGTAGCTGCAGGATACATACAGTGTCCTAGAGCATGGGCACTCGCCCACATGACAGCAGCATCGTGCCTAATTTGGCATTTGATAACCGCTGCATCTTGCTTGGTGTCTTAGATAGGCCGGTGGCTTGCATAAATATCGCTGTGCAATACCGTTCCCAGTCAATGCAGCCTCCACATGGCTTTTTTCTCCACAAATCTCCAATCATGGACTCGGTGATCCCGAGAAGTCTAGATTGTCTCACACACACAAAATCACATACTTGACCTTCGATCAGACGAAAGACACCCTACAGACGGGCAAGTGGTTTTGCTAGCTCGTCGTTCTGATGCGTTGTGGTTGAGTGAAGATGAGTGGCCACATTACACAGTCAATTGCTCATCGCCTTTGCATATACGGCCTTGACGATGATTATGATCTTGATCGTCATTACTCAGATCTGATCGTACTGACATCAAGCCGGGGCGGTCGCAATGGGGAGACCAGTATCAGCGTTCATAAAATGACTGTGAAGCGAACACTATGCGGTATGGAGCATATCAGCTGACCAGCTCGATGATCAATCATTGGCGTTGACGGTGGCCAATCCTCAAATATCGTCCCAGCAACACGACTATAAGGCTCTGGGTTTTCGTCCTGCTGCAGCTTGAACTCATTCGGAGAATAGCGCTGTGGTTTGGCCTGTGACCTGCGGCGATTGTTGGAAGACGTAACTTCGCACTTCGTTGCGGTAAGGCACCAAGGGGTGACGGGAGACATCAGATTGGCCAGCAGAGGCTAGTGCGGGCGATGAGGTCCTTAGTTGAGGAACACCACCATAGCCAGCAAACAACGCAAGCTGCCGATGTGAGACTCATTCTGTATCTTCTTCCTCACCTACCGTTTCGCAGTCTCCTTCTCCAGCCTTGTAAACGTGTTCGCATCAACGTTTGCCTGGTCATATGAATGATAGGGCTCGACATCTGAGCCGCGGACACGGCTGCCTGGCAAAGCTGGACCGCTCGAGCGCTCGACCACGCGGCATGGCGCCAAAGGCCACTTTCGTGCCGCTATTGGATCAGACGCCTTTCGCAGCCAGCAGTCCACCTCGAGCAGTCGCGGCTGCAACATCGCATGAGCTTATCCGCCCTGATGGTGTGATGATCTATGCAGTAGGTCAACGGCTGGACGCCATTATGCAGCCCCCAGCCGAGATAGACCGCGGTGAGGGGCCAGGTACGCAATGTACTTTCTTTACGCTACTTGACCACCGCTCATTGTCCTCTTGTGTGCTCCCAAATGTAGCTGATAGGTGTCTGTAGCAGCGGGGACCGACCAGCAGACTCATCTCCCGCACGAAGATTCCTCTCGAAGCCACTCTGCTGCTAGCCATAACGTTAGTCATGGCGTCTCCCGAAACGCTTCGACTGTCACTCTCCGATCCCACTCATCACAGCGGAAGCGCTCCTCTCGAGCTAAAGGCAAGTCGAGCGCAGCCAGCAGTCACCGACATCCGATATGGTGTCGTCTTTGTGACGAGACTTTTTCGGAAGATAAAGAGTTCAAGCGGCACTTCTCTCTCCATGCCCCAGCTTATCTGTGTCCATTCCGCCGGTATGGCTGCAACTTTGTCTTCAAACGCACCGACCCTCTCAGGAACCACTTGAAGAACCATCATGATATAGGCCGCGGCGCTCCTAACGATCACAACTACGACAAGGTCGAGCGCAGACATGCAATAGGTTGTGTGTTGTGCGTGCGTGTGTTCAGTCGAGTACTAGACTATGTCAACCACCATGTGGAGCATTGTAGGGCTGGATTAGTGAAGGCTGACACAAACGAGGTCCTGGAGATTGAGAGCCTCTTCATTCAACAAGGATTGCGCGAGCGCTGGATACAATCGGTCAAACGCAGCGGTTTTAGCATTCGCGCTTTTATCCAATGGTGTCTGCAACAGAGTGCAGACTTACGTGAGCAGCTCGAAGGCGAGAGACTCGTGGATGGGGTTCCCGAGCATGTTCAGAAAGTGCGAGCCCTTCTCGAGAGCCTTCTCCATGGATATAACGAGTTCTTCGAGGAGCCAACATCTGCTGAGTACGTCGTCCGGATGCCCACGAGCTGGGAGAATGCTGACAATTTCCTCGCCATAGGTCTCAAGATGCGTACGCTGCTTCTCGCGTTACCGGCGAGCGCTTCAATGTCCAATTCCGAGGTGTCGAGCAACACATCCAGCCAATTGATAATGCACCGTGGACTTCCTCGACTGTTCTTGTAGGTACTAGTAGTGGCCCGGCTGATCCTGCGAGAAATCGTGTCCGCAATTGCTTGATCAATACAGTACGCGATGGCCTTTGGCCCACTTTCACGCGCCACACCGGCCTCCTATGCGGCATCTATTCTTTGGTTGGATCGATGAACGAGGCGCTACCGTGGGAAGAGCATCTGAGAGCGGAGGACGTTATACAAGCAATTTGGCAGGACAATGGTCGGCCTAGCCCCTCGTACCGTGCCTTCCTGCAGAATCACTTGCGCCAGCTACTGGGTCCAGCTCCAGCCCATGAAGTGTACAACATGGCATGGGAGGAGTTGGCGACGCCAAATAATCTTAGTGCCCAGCAACTTCAGCTTCTCCCGACGTTCTTGCGACAGCATGGTATGCTCAGGCGAGATTTTGCTGTGGGTATGGTCATCGAAGGAGGAAGGACATGGGATGGTCGTGTGATCGAGCCCGGCGTGGTGGTGGAAGATACTCGTCCCGAGGCATTCGTTGTCTGGTTGCACAACGACAACGCACAGCTCCTCTCTAGAAGCGAGCTCAACCATTGGTCCATGTTCAGCAGAGCTCCAGACCGCGTGCGTGTCGCCTTATCCAGTATGGGTCTTGAGGAGCTATTGGCCACCAACCAGAGCGTAGTTCAGCTGAACTCGCCTGCCCTTGACGAGCACGATTACCTCCAGCGTCCCGCATTGAGACAGGGACGTAGCACGGGCCGTAGCGATTCGACAGCCGAGGGATTTCACGATCTGCCCATGGATGTGCCGTCAGCCTCTGATGCTGGCCTCTCGCACCAGCCCATCGACGTCGCAGACCATCGCCTGCCAGTGGCTACTACGTTTGCTGGAGGAGAGCGCTTCAGACCGTCCAGCGACACGGCCGCCAGTTCACTCGAAGGCGCAGATGGAATCAACCTGGAAGCAGATTCTATTGAAACTTCGGGGAATCTACACTTTGGTAAGCCACGTGATGGAATGACATCGAAGCTGACAAATACTGACTTTGCCACCACAGGAGACAGCGAGACCTCCGGTTGTCCAATGGCCTGGGAGGACTTTTTGAACACTCTCGACTAATAGGCACAAAGGCGACTCCAGGACTATCGACTTCACCATGGTTTCTAACGATTGCTGGAGCAGAGAGGGAGTTTCAGGTTGTGTTGATTCTCTAATGACGACCGAGTATGCGAGTTCGGACTATGAGAAGTTTGGGTGTGGGCGTAATGAGTCACGAGGAACGGTGACAGAAGCCTATGAGCTACACTTTCGGTTTTTTCTTATCACGATTGAGTCTCTTCGTGCTGGCTGGTGATACCATGGCGCTATGGAACAGGCGTAGTCGGACGTGCGGCGTACGGGACAGATCACTGGCGTCGTGGGATTGAAGGAATTCTCGAAAGTCGAGAGGAGTCCTTGAGGTGCATCACTCACGTTTGGGACGGCGAAAGGCGTGAGCGTATGTCGTGTCTAATTACAACCAGAGCACGGTGTGTAGATGGTTATACGTGATTAGCGAGCCATAGTGCATTCCGTCCTCGATGACTTGAATATCCCTCGCAGCTGAAGTCTCTTTATGCTTGTCTTGGCTCGCCTCAGGATTTGGTAACTTCAGGGATGGGCCTTGTGTAAATACTTTGTAACCAAAAGGTACACCTTGCCGCTTTGGGAACACTTCCGCGGTCAAGCATGCCATTATTGTCGACGCGAGGTCATGAGACTACAGTACACCATCATATTCCTAGTTGTTCGTGCCGTGTGTATTCGTGGTCTCGATGCTGTCAAGGGCGTGTGCGGCTGTACGTTGTCGGCGTAACACTGTTGGCGATAGAGTACAATGCCGACAATGGTCTGTAAGAGGTACGAGATGGCATAGCGGGTCAGCGGATGGAGTCGACAACGATGGCGCTTTGGCGAGGCAGCAAACTTTGCAGGCGGGATCACACTTGTTAGGTACGGTGACCACAAATGAGGCAGGACGGAGTAGCATCGATCAATTGCTACAAAGCTTGGCAGAGAACAGAGCAGATGGGACCATACAAGCGCACGAGCAGCCAAGTCTGCTCACTCTCCTCCTTACACCGGCATACGCACAACATGCACTGGACGACCGGCTTCCCGTGAGAGTACTGGAGAGCATTTTGCCCAGTCACCACGAAAGCCTGACCAAACCAGTCGAAGTGTTGACCGCGGTGGTGGATCGCCTACCTTCAGATACAGACCGTCTGGTTGGGGAAGAAGGCCTGGCATATTTGTTTGCACCTGCTGCACCAGCGCTTGCCGGACATGAGTCTGCATTTGATAAAGCAGCTCAAAAGCCAGGTTCCATGAAATTTCTCGTGCCTACACCAGAGTATCGACCTTGGCAGTACACGATCCAGCTTCCACTTGCACAGACGGTCTTCTCAACAGGTAAATCGTCCACACTGATACACAGGACATACGATCATGTTTCAGAGAAAGGGCTGGTACAGACAAGCAGTCGTTTCCTTGGAAGCAAGACCGTGCATCTTCCATTCGAAGAACCGCACGGCGCTATAGCAGCCATGGTCCCTCTGATACCCTTGACTGCGTTTCGCGTAGTCCGCAACGCTATGGGCAACATTATAAGACTGCTCTCCTCCGCCACCTCAACAGACGACCTTCAACAGTCAGCCACATGGTCAGACCCACAACCAGCTTCTCAGGAGCTCGAGGCAGTCGTGGCAGCCTACTTCAAGGATCTCAATATGTCACCTGAGCCAGTCAATGTCTGGGCTCTCATAGCTCCGAAAGTCAAGGGGTCGTGGTCTCAGCAGAGGAACGAGGGTTCAGCCACCAGGACTATGCGACTTTGGACGCCACAGGAAATTCGATCATTATGGACAGCAGAAGACGCGCAAAAGCAGCGGGATCGGATCGTCAACTCTACAACGTTGCGCATGCTTAGGGCTGGAGGTAGATTGCATCGAGTTCTATCTGGTGGTGGAGGCTGGGGCAAGAAGGCAGGGCTGCTGAGTCTAGATCCGGACATGGTGTATAGCAGCCGCGAGCTTCGTGGTGAAAAGGGCTGGGACTTCAACTTCGAGGGCGAAGGAGCTGAAGCTGTGGAGAAGCAGCAGCGGCAGGCATTGGGTGAGGTTGTGCAAGAAGGTGAGAGCATTATGTTCTTCCTCGCACCTCGCGATACGGAGCAGTTCGAGGAGGGAAGGAAAAGTGCTTGGAATTTTGTCAATAGAGCAGACCGATCGGCAATATTTGGCGCCATACCTTCCACTATCGACTTGGTGCCCGACGAGCTAACTTCGGACCGTGGGAGGACAACGGACGCAACGATTCGACACCGACCCAACCTCTTCGGCGCCTACTCGGAAGGTGGACTGGCTCTCGACGTCCTCATAAACGACCAGAGATTAAACAATGGCGAGCCAAGGTCCGCAATACATACGCAGACCAAGCTGGACGTACCATACAGTCACTTCCGCATCACGGAAGCGGCAGGTGATGCAGAGGCAATCGCTGCTCAACGAACCGCTCATCGTACACGAGGATCCGATAGGAAGCGGTATGAAGGCACGCCACGACGGGGCGAGAGTGGGCGATCGAATGATGTCTCAACTTGGGGAATTGACCGGCGACGCGATGCACCAAATGTTGAGCGAATAAGGCACCGAAGTGGGAGCGAAGTAAAGAAGTTTACATTTGGCGACAGTCTCGACTACAGTACTGATTCCACAAATGGTTTCAATGCCGTTCAGAAATCTGCTACCAGCGAGTACGCTGGAGAGTGACTGACCGTTCGGGAGGCGGATGCTATCATCTTCACCCCAGAAGTCAAAGGGATCGAGGTACCACAACATATCCGCATCGCGAAGCACAAAGTTATGGAACTGGCCGAATTACACGCGCGATGCACAAGAATCGTCCAGTCTCTCGACCCAGCTGCACTTGTTGTGTACAACAAAGCTATGAGATATACTCTGCGAAAACGGAGAGAAAGAGCTCCGGTCGTGCTGCGGAGAGCTTTAAAGCATGAAGCTTTGAAGGCTCAAGGCTCGCAGGAGCAAGCTACATGGTCTGTCATGGATGAGGCATGGCTTGAACCCACACGGACCTATATGGCGAAGATGCAGGCAGCAGTGTCTTTAGCTGTCCGGATTTCTGGCCTTAAGGTGGAGGCAATGCCCAGTTCGTTTCAGAAACAAAATGAAGAGCTGCCTAGCGGATTCAGAGAAGCACTACCTGAGACTCGCCATAAGCCGGAATCCGGCAACACGGTTGGTGATGTTACAGGCGAGGGAAGTAAGTCTGACGGAAACCTCTCTACCGAGTCAATCGGGCAACGGAAAACAAGTAAAGCTTGGAATCAAAGAAGTCTGCCGAGCACAAGGACGAGCGAGAAGTTTCGAGTAAGGCACCGAGATTTAGAATCTGATGGCAAGCATCGGCGTGTAAGGCGCGATGCGCATGAAAACGTCCCGAAGCAACCGACAACAGTGTCTGTGCGCGAGAGGATCACATATCGGTCGCACAGGAAAGTACAGAGCAGGAACTGTCCATCGAGCCACGAGATTAAGATCCGTAGGGTACGTCTTGATCCAGATATACGCATCAGTCGACACAGAATCCTGTCAGACCCGCCGGCCTTTGTCACAGAGGCTGTACAACACGAAGCACGACGGGACGAGAACCGGCGCAAAGTCTATGCCAAGATGGCAGCAGAGGCTGAACGATCCGAGCTCTGGGACAGTATGGCACAATCTGGTCGTGATTCTGGTACGATTAGGCGACGAGTCGAAGCGGATCCGAAGCGTGCATTGACTGGGACTGCGAAGGACGAGCTGATTGATGATGTACGTAGATTTGCTGGCTATCGGAGGTGATCGAGAGCGAGGGTACCATGCTCACTGGCCTTTGTATACCACACCTGCGCATACTAGCACGACGGTATAGATACTGACATTTTATCGGAGCCACCTACATGTGTTCAGCCTTGTAGGATGCGGGAAGCGGGAAGGAGCTGAACCTTGTACCCATAACCCTGGGGCAATGCCCTAAGCCTTGTACATATCGCACCTGACAAATACTGGCACAGGCTACAGCGTGTACGACACCAGGTAGTCGTTTAAGAGCATCACTATGTCAGTGACCGTGTTGACTCATCGCCGACCATCTCGGCGGCTTGTCGTTATGTCATTGGATGTTTACTGATCTCGCAGCGCTGAAAAAGGACTAGTCGACTTCTCGATGGGAATTAGTGCACTGCAATGACTTGAGCCTTTTCGCGCACGTCAGTCGACATCTGTATGAACGGCAAGGCTCGATGCTATACTGCTGACAATACATCATGTAGCTGGAAGAGAGACTTCGCAGGCCTGACATTGTGAGTAGATATAAGTATGTCTCCGCTGCCACTCCTTCTGGTCGTCTTCGAATCAGGACGTTCAGCACGAAAAGGCAATACCACAATACCTTGCCACAAATCAATTAACGAGCACATCGTACTTCCACCATGTCTGCAGCCATGCTGCGAGAACTTGCCAAGGGCAACGAGTATGTATAGATTTTGGGTCATCAAGCCTCACCACAACACCAGTTGATCGAATACACAGTGAGCACGTCAAGAGCTTTTCCGGTAGCATAAAGTTCTCAGACTTCCCAAAACAAGACGCCGTCATCATTTTGACCTGTATGGACCCCAGGAGCAATATTATCGACACGTGGAATCTGCCCTTCGGACCCGCCATCTTGCGGAATGCCGGGGGCAGAGCCACACCAGATGCCCTCAGATCTATGCAAGTCCTCGCCTCCATCATGGCGAATGGCCAGAGCACACTTGGCGCCGTGGCTGTGATCCATCATACGGATTGTGGGCTGGTGAACTTTGGAAACGACTTTATTCATGAGAGGATGAAGATGAATGCTCCGGAGCATTTGCACAAGCAGATCGACGGGATGGATCATGGTGGATTTACTGAGTAAGTGCTGATAGTTGTTCGATCCTTCGAGGCAGAGGCTAAAATCTTCGTAGCGTAGAGGCCAGCATCAAAGAGGACATGGCCATCATCAAGGCTGATTCTTTCCTTCCTAAGGGTCTCGAAGTCCTTGGCTTCATCCACGACTCGTTCACGGGAAAGACCACGGAGGTAGTTTAGGTACGGTCATCTAGGGTGAGAGAAGGGCTATGGACGTTCATGTGATTGGCATAGCGTACACGTGTTTCGCAATTCTTGACCTGAGCATTAGACAGCAGACAAAGTAATCCATTGTCCTCTCAGTATCAACCTGTTGCCTGGTAACGCTCAGCTAAGCTTGACAATAAAGAGGCGCAGTCGTTCGGAAAGGGTCGGACAATCAGGTCGGCCAGGATTTGAGTCATACTAAAGCTCGTACGGATGCACGGATTCGTTGTAATAGCGTTACTTTTACATTTCGCTTCAGGAATTAGTCTCTGAGGGTGTTCGATGCCGTCGCCACACAACGAACAATGACTGACGAATACGCGCTCCTTGGCGTCAAGTCCCGTCGCAAACCTGACACTGCCATGATCTTCAGTGACGCAGACAATATCGAGCGTCAACTCCAGGCAGATGGTCACAAGATCTGGGGCTGTGTAAGCTACGGCAGTACATACGAGAACGAAGACTACTGGAAGGAACTCCTTTCACGCTTGCACGCACGAACCGTAGACACCCTAGAGTTTTGGGAAGCTTCCAACATGCTTGACAGTCTGGACTACAAAACCTTCGATGAGCATGGTCTATTCGACAGGGCAAGCACGACAACTATACGAGAACACTTTAAAAACTGGACAGCAACTGCACCACTTGACGAGCAAGGTACTGGACCAGCAAAGTCACATCTCTTGCGTACAGGTCGACGCCGAAGCCCTGCACTCAGTCGTGTACCGCGCACCGCCACTCAGCAGAGCAAATGCCTCTACTAGAGGCTGGGTAAAGCTTGTGTGGCGGGACTGGAAATTCGACGAGAGAAAGGTGCGGGATGGAGGAGAGGAAGCGATTGATGGCATGATAATGCGTGATGTTGGCTGGAGCCGGGCGGGATATCAGTATGTCATGGTGTCGATTTATTGCATGATTCGCAGCCGAAACGATTGGACTCGATAATATCGGCGGCCATCGATCGTCATAATGCCATGAAAGGTGTCACACCATGCAAACAAATGGCGCCGTCAACATTGTCTATTGCGAAAAAGGAATGTGACTTTCAAACTGAAGAAGATGCATCTTTAATCAATGTGTTTGGAATTGGTGGGGTCTCTGCTTAGGTAATGAGCTGATCAACTGATCAGCGATCGACGGCCTTACATCTTATGTTTGACCGAAGCGGAACGTCACATCAGCGTCACTATGGGCACACGATAGCGTCTTTGCACGCATTTGGTCGCCGACGAGCTCTAAATGCAGGTACAGTAGATAGTTTTTCTTTCATTCCTCGTCTATCACGATCCAAGCACAAATCGATCATCACCAGACAATCCGAGTCACCCCCAAACATCAGTTCGTCGACCAAATATCAAGCCACAATGTCCGGCGTAGCAGAAGAAGGCAAATCCAGGGCCCAGCTTATTGACGAGCGCAAGGCTAACCTCCCTCTCCCCGACCAACCACCGGTCGAGTCAGATTGGAACTCAGCCGACGGTTCGAAAGTCAACGTTGGCAGCGGTGGCGTCTCAGATACCTTCTCAGTCGGTGACGATGCTCTTCGAGGACCCGCAACTGGCGACAGTGCAGTACGATCGAGTGGTGAGAAGGAGAATGTTCAGGGCCAGGGTGTAGGACGTGAGGGTCTTGAGGGCGGCATTCCCAACGATGCTGTTACGAGAGGGTCGAAAGGCAAGGCGGGACTGAAGGATACTACTGGCAAGGACTATGGTATGCTCATTCCTCGACGATGTTTTCCCATTATGTACTGACTATCGCCTCAGGTTACCCTCAGAAGAACGATCCAGCAGACCCAAACAAATGAGAGACTGCTTGGTTGCGACTTCTGGTTTAAAGCACGATACGACAATTAGAGGCTACAGCTAGGTGGCAAGAGACGCACTCAACATCGAATTGTACATTGCAGTAGAGGTACTCCTACCAATTCACAGGCAATTGCTGGATATCAGACAGTGATTGTAGACCCTGATTTAATCTCATCTTGCAAGCATTAGGTGTTCCTTCTGCTTGTTCGTGCTTAAACCAAGACCGCTGCCGGATCATGATATCTCTTGTTCATTCGGATGGTATAGTAGTCAAATAATTGCCTGCCCATTACATCTTCGTTATCGACTAGTTTGCCACGTTCTGCTCTATGTAGTGTGGCACAATAGCGATGCAGATCATCGATACCAATGACAGCCCCACCACGTTCTGTGAGGTCATTCTCCAGAGCACCACAGCTACATCATGCAGGCGTAATAGCTCTGGTACCTGCATGATGACTATGAGACCGTTTCTCACTTTGGATCACACGACGTTCTTGACTCTACATACTCACACATACTGCCAGTTTGAGACGTTTCAGCACCACGCCACCATATTCCACCAGATCAGCATTAACAGCGAAGATTACAATCATGTCGTACGCAGCAGATTCCAGGGTACGTTGATAGACCATCACCACAGAAATGATCTGCTCTGACGACATACAGGCCTCCCAGGGCGATGACAAAAACGAGAACCCTGGTATCGTGACCAGCGACTCTCTCGCCGCTGAGTCGGTCCAGGAAGGCGGCAGCTTCGGCGCCAATTCTGATGACAGAGGCGTGATAAGCCAGGGCTCGAAGGGATCGACTGCAAGCAACACCAACACTTCAGGCGCAAGGACAATTGATCCTGCGACGTCTAGGAGTGAGAGGGATGCCGAGGACGAGACTTCCGGCCACCAATCCGGGGCCTCTGATTTGACAGGTTCACAAGGTCTTGGTAGCTCGGCTGGAGGTGTCATATACAGCTCTGTCGGAAGCGGCAACAACACTGGCAGTAGTGGCAACACTGGCTCTGCACAGAACACATCGGGTTTCAACAACAGCTCCTCAGGCGTAAACGAGAACTCGAGGCCAAAGGGAGCGAACATTTCCGAAGGTGGATTTGACTCTGACGCACCCAACGCCAGCTTTACGGACGATATCGGAGGCAAGAATGATCCCGGTCGAGCTGCGCTGGGCAAAATGGAAGCTGCGAATGAGCCGGGTAGCGGTGGTACTGGGCCGAGACAATTTGGTGCTGTGTCGAACGATGGACAGTTCGACAGCTTGGGCGATACTAGCGCTTAGTTTACTGTCTGTATAAGCTATGAAACACGATCTCCGCATGATTAGAGTCAGTGATGTCCATTCGTCATAGCTTCACCTGTGGCTTTGAAGGGTACAGCCTCAAATCCTGCTCTAATGTATAGCTCTTCAATCCGCTTCTCGTATACATCCAGTGTAGCACGCCGACTGACAGTGCCTTTCCCAGTCCTGATGATTGGAATATCTGGGTCGGTCAACAGCATCAAGTCCTTCAGCAGATGTGCCTCGGACAACAAGTGCTTGTTCGCCTCTTCAAGCGCTGGCAATACCATCTTCAGAGTCTCTCCCTCACTATCGCCACGAGCAGCAGGTTCCACGAGCACAAATGGCCGGCTTCGCGAGTCGCCTGCGACGACACATTTTGCGATATTACCATCAGCCTCAATCATCTGCTCAATGGCAATGGCATTGAACTTGGTCAAGCTCGACAGCTTGACGAAATCGTCCACTCGGCCAGCATTCGACCAATATTTCTTTCGTCCGGGCACCTCGCGCCACAGGTCTCTGGTCCTGAAGATCTTCAAACCAGGATCTTTCTGAAAACAGAATCTGGGATCGTCGCCTTGATTGCGGATTACAAGTTCGTAAAGATCGTCATGGAACTGCTCCATCTCGTAGCCTTGATAGCCGTCTTCGAAGCGTGCCACTTTCCAATCACCGGGCTCATCGAAGCGGGTGGGATAGATCCCCGAGTCCGTGGATCCGATGAAAGACTGGACACGCACGCCCATGTTGTGGATGATATCCCCCGTCTCGTGATCAAGTGGGGCACCACCATACTCGACCACAGCGTATTGACGAAGACACTCTCGCCCGGTTTCCGAGCGCACAAGCTGCCGCAAGAGATCTGGGACGGCGAATATTGACAATTCCCGAGTCGCGGATCGCGGTAGGGATTTGGTCATGTCGATGATGTATTCTGGTGTTGGTGGCCTCGGTGCTGTGGTGTAAGGGAGGAATATGGGCACATAGTCTCCGGCAAACGCCGCCCAGCAGGCGATGAGAGGCGTAGCTGCCCAGCTCATTGGCGTCAGGACTGGACCCATTCTACGTTCCAAGGCTGCAAAGACCGCGAGTTTGTCGGTGTCCTCCGCTGCCTGTCGTGACTCTACGGCTGGTGCCAGTATATAGTCAGCGATATTGCCGTTCGTCATCTTGATTGGCTTCGGCTTCCCGGTGGTCCCGCTCGTTTGGCATAAAATGGCGCCGTCGTCATAGCTATCAGTGAGCGTCTGATTAAACTCGTATTTATCAGTCGGAACCGCCTCAAGGAAGTACTCTAGGCTGGGCACATCGATTTCTTTCGCTGGATGTGTCTCGATCGGAGAGCTCCAGATATGCTTGTGTGAGTTCGGTGCCAGAACCACAGTACTATCAGTCAAGCGAAGGAGTTCACTCAGACCCTCAACGGTATTTGCTGGAAATGGTATCATGAGTACCCTCCCTGTCTTGATAGCCGCTATCATGACTGTGCATAAAGAATGATCAACCACAGTCCTTTCGCGATAGCAGCTTTAAAATGACTTACGCAAGAAGTACCGCAGATCATCAGGACCAATATATGGTACGGCTTGTGCGTCAGTGGATGATTTGTGAGCATTTTGCTGACCCAAGACCTCGTCGAGCCACCATGCCGTCCTGTCGACCGCGCGAGCCATCGCCGCATAGCTCAGCTCGAAGAACCCATCGGTTAGATTGTCTCCGGATGGCAGCATACAATATGGATCGCCTGGTGTAGTCTGGGCTCGATGGTCAAGAATAGCTGGCAATAGCCACTGATCCTTTGGTAGAGTCTCCATTCTGATGGATAGTCGTGCGCTGAGAGAAAGTGGCCTTTGCGCGAGTAACTGAAGGCAATTCGCGAAGAGCAGTCCCTGTATAGCTTGAACCACAAGGCTGAGACAGTATCAGATCAGCCGACCCAAGGGCGCTGACATCGCATCAGCTCCGGCCCATGATGATGGGTGAGACGCGTGTTACATGGTATGCCTGATAGCGAACATGGCGAGATCGTGGACGGTCGTGGATCGTGCTGCTGAACAGTAAGTAGGATAGGGCAGAGTCTAATTGCCCTGCGTCATGGTGCAGGACCCTGTCATACATTGCGACCAGCGGATAGCGAATGCGCATATGTAGGATCCTTGTAAAACGTAGCCATTCTCGTTCCTTGGTGCGAGAACCCGAAGGTGATTGTGGCAGAATGGGGGCCTTTGTATATACCAACCAGTCAAAGCGCGAGTTTCGCCAAGCCCCACTCCGGGACAGTTGTCCGGACACTTTATGCGATGCCAGCTGAGTTAAGCGATGTCTGTCGGAAGTCCACATCGCGCGGTGTCAGCCGCAGTAAAGAGACACTTGTTCTACGTTGATTCCACAGCATGTCGGCGAGCCAAGCAAATTCGCAAGTATCGCTGTCACTCCACCCCATCGCCAAAACACCTCATAACAGCATGTATCTCCGCTAGCACCGGCCCCTGCAAAGCCTCTGCTCCCATACCCTCCTCTCTAGCATTAGAAGGCACAATCTTATCCGCCAAACTCCTTTGCGTCCTAGCCAGACCCGCAACTTCCTGCCTCACGCTCTCAAGATCATAGTTCAATACCGGGATCTCGGCCGCGCTCAGTCCTTCAGCTGCCGCACGAGCAAGATCTGCTTTCAGCGTGAGGCCAATGTGTACGAGTGCATATGCCTCCTTCACCAGTCCTAGTGTAACGTCGCCACTATGCGGATGTTGTCTTCTACCTCCGCTAGTTCGGAAGGCCCTCTCTGCTCGTAGTAGCTGTTCCGCGAACCCATTGAGGAAGACACTGACTTCCGCGGCCAACGGTGCGCCTACAGCCTCGAGCAAGTTCAAGCAGAGCGGGAGGATACCTTCGCTCCAGATCGTGAACATTCTCCCCGGCTCATCCCACGGGCCTTTTCCGGCGGGTTTGCGGAAATAGTTCGATAGATTGGTGCTGGAGATTGAGAGCAAGATACCTTGCATGGCCATCTGCTCTGCGATCGGTGGTATTGTCGAGAGCTGGACCAGGGTGTTCATGGCCGTTTCGCCGTAGATGGGATCCTGCTCCATGGTGAGCTCGCCGAGCTGATCGGCCCAGCTATAGAGACTCAAGGCGCTGCGGACCAGACTTGAGTTCGCCACTGCTTCCGCGAGCTGCGCATGTGCAATGCCGACACCGTTGACCGAGAGCACAGCTTGCAGTAGAGCGGTAATGAGAGCGAAGTCAGCTGGCAAAGCCATAGAAATATCGCCATGCAGGTTTCCGCACAGAGCTCGAAACCCAGGCGCAATAGTCTTGCCAACGATCTCAACCATTACGCTCGCAACCTCTGCCGAGAGTGAGACAAGTCTTCCACCGTCCAGCTTCGGCAAAGGTAGAAGTCCATGCGGTCGAATCGCCAAGAACAGGATCCGTAGTAGCGTGCGATAGTACCTTAGATCCTCCTGCGCCGTAGCAACCTCATAATCAACCGGACTCTGTCGAACCAAGTCCCACACCCCCGGCTCCCTCAAAACCTCCCGCTCACTCTTTTTCACCACCTCACCTGTGAGAAGACTTTTCATCCCCTCCTTCTCGCACTTGATCCCCACCAACTTAGACAATACAACAAAGCCCATGTCAGCCCTCATCTGCAACACCTCCGCACACCCCGGCTCGTCAAGCCTCGTCTTCGCATTCGCCGCCACAGCAGCCATAACACTCTTGATCAAAGGCTCCTGCACAGCATCCTCGAACCCAACAAACTCACTCAACGTCGTGGCCAGCACCTTCCAGCTCCCAAGCAAGTTCCGTTGCGCATCAACAAGGCTAAGATTCATATTCGCCCTCACAACCTCCGGAGCGAAACCCTGCGCCCGAACATCCTCGTTCCCCTCCCACGCCAGAGCCGAGTACCCCAACACCCGATCCGCAAGCTCAAGATCATAAAAGTAACCCCGTCCGTGCTGTCCCTTATTCGCCCCGGAGCGCGCGAACGCAGCAAGTTGCACACCCCCAAATTTCCTACCCAAGTTCTCGGCAAGATTTCGGTGTAAAGAGCGATTATAAGCATCAACACCCACTCCACTCCTAGTCAAGAACCCCAATCTCGGAACAAGGGCTTTCAGAACCGATCGATCGCCTGTCTCGAGTCCGGCGTGAAGGCCTACGGCTAAGATATCGCAGAGGTAGGTAGCGGCTTGGTACTCGCTTGCGCTGACTTCCTCGTTATTGCCAGCGCCTGGTCTTGAAGAGGCTGCGGGAGTAGGTGGGACGATCTCGTCCAACCATTTGAGGGTTTTGGTCATGAAGTCCGGGTGCGAGCGTACGGTTACGGTTGCCCAGGGCCAAAGATTCTGGGCTGTGGCGATGAAGTGGAGCATGGCTTTGGCAAGGGTAGGGATGACTTGGCTGATCTCCGAAAGGCGGTCGAGGGCGGAGTGCAGTAGAGTCGACTTGCTGGCGGCTTTGGTTGTTGACGAAGTGGCGGTTGACCTTTCGAATCTTGATGTCCGTGGCATGGAGCCGGTGAGGAGGAAGATACCTATCCACTGCTGTCGTCCTTCCAGTGCAGCAGTCAAAAAGTTCCAGATCTGACATTCGGCGTGTAAGTCCTTGATCGGACCATCAAACTGTTTCACCACGCTCAAGAAAGCCTTCGCGGTATACTGATTCAGCCCTCCGAGCAGAGCCGTGGGATCCGCGTCCGTGCAAGCAAGCGATATCACGATCTCCTCGAACAACGTAGCCATCTCAGCCTTCCATCTACTATCCGTGACAAACGCCGCTGCTAATGTCGAGATATGCTTGGCCAACTGATTGGCCAGCATCCAAGCGCGCCTCGGTTCCAGACACCGCTGTGTCCGCAGAACAGTCGCCAGGAAATTAGCCGTGCAACTCGTCTGCGAGATCAGAGCTTCCTGTTGCGAGGAAGCGATATCGACGTTACCAAGAGCCAAACCATCTTCAAGACACGAGACAAGCGTCTCAAGAACCGGACTCCTGACTTCCGCACCCGTGGTAGTAAAAGCCTTGAGCACGACCTCCGCAGCCGCAAAAAGAGGCGCACATAGCCTCTCATTTCTCACCATCACCACCGCACCTCGTCCTTCCTGCTGCTGTTGCTGCTGTGAAGCCACGACCTCCACAAGCCCATGCGTAAACCGTAAAACCTCGTCCCACGTCCTCAAAACCTCCCGCAACACCACCGCTTTTGCATCTGCACCAATTCTCAGACTCTCCAGATTCTGCAAGATCTCAACCATACACCTCGTAAACCCCTCCATGACAACCCTGATCGTGCGTTCCGGTGTCCCACCAAGACTACCCACAGGCGAAGCCGAATCGAACCTCGATCCGCTCCTCGCGGACTTCAAATCAGCGCTCGCTCGGCGCTTAACCAAACCAGCGACCGCGTCGTCAAAGACAGCATGATACAGCTTCGCGCAAGCGGCGAGGAAACTCGCGCCTCCACCAGCAGCAGCTTGCGCCTCGATAACGGCACCGATAGCGGGGACGCCACCGACGCCGCTGTTGCCGAGCCCAAGCAGGCTACTCCGCGTGAGCACCGACCACACCCTCTCAGGACTGCTGTCCACGAGCATAGCAAAGAATTCCGCACAAGCGACACAGACCTCACTACTCCCGACCGCAGGTCGGAGAGACATGTGCGCCTGCAATTGCAGCTCGAAGATCTGCGAAATGATGGTGATGATATCTTTCTCCTCTTGCAATGCATAGCTCAGTCGTCCAAGCACGTGCGCAGCTTCTTCTGCGCCATTCTGTATCTTCATGGCGGAGGAGAGGAGGGAATTGATCAGACTAATAATCTCCGCCGCAGTGCCTAGATCGAAATCCGCGGCGCCTTGATGCGAAGGCACGAGTTCTGCTCCCGGAGTCAGAGATGCTAGTGCAAGGCCAAGGTACTCTAGTCCACTGTGCTCGTGCCTGAGAGAAAGGACCATTGGTCTCTCCTCCCTAATCACAATTCCTTGACTCCCAGCAGGAATAAGAAGTACATTCCTTGGTCCCTCGTGCTCAGCAGCATCGACTTCACGGTTGAAACGAAGTTGTCGTTCGCCATAAAAACTCTGCTGCGCTCGTGGCGCGAAGAGTGTGAGATCCTCGGTCAAAACCATCCGATTCGTGCCTTCGTCTTCATTCTCGAGACGATAAGAGGTGAAGTGTTCAGGGACTTGGACAGTGATCGTCTCAAGGTGATCCAGGAGTTCGACTAGGAGAGGGCGACCGGCGGCGTATGGGCCGTCTGCTGCGGCGAGGACGGTGCAGAGGCGCATAAGGGGTGAGAGCTCGTATGGGTAGCGGGCGAGTGCTTGGTCGAGGATGGCGGGTTTTAGGCGATCGTCTGCGCTTGTCATAAATTTTGTTGCTAGGCTGGCGAAGTAGTTGGTGTCGTTCGGTGGTGAATCAGGAGTCAGGACTGCTAGGAGGGCGTCGAGGAGAGGTGCATCATAGTCTACGACATCGAGGCTCTGGGCGATGAGATCGTAAAGTCCTGATCGCGCGATAAGAGCTGTGCCGTAGTCCAGCTCGCCGCCGTAGGAGACTGTTATGACGTTGCGTAGTGAGGCCATGATACTGTAGACGTTCATGTCGTCCACAGCCACCATCGCCCAGTATCGCGCGGGATCCTCTCTCGCCTCCTCGACATCTGAACTTAGGAACCAGCCCCAGCGTTCTTCCACCATTGCATCAGGCATTTCCGGTCCAATTTCGCCAGTCTCTTCGATCCGTTGGCGTTCGATGAGCTCACGATTGTATCGCTCTCGCTCGGCGCCATCCCGGAACAATTTCGCGACGAGTGACCAGGCGTAGACAGCAGGTGCCGCGACGACTAAGCCGTCATGAGCAGCTCGGTAGAGGATGCGATTCAGTGTTCGGACAGTATCCATGTCATCCACGTATGGTGTTGCGCCCGGCAGCTTAGGGTATTGCACATTAGGCGCTGCCTCAGCTAGCACGGTCACCTTTGTCACAGTAAGAGGCAATTTCACCATGGTCAGCGAGACCAAAGCAGCCAAGCACTGCAGGGGCTCCACATTGGGCATTGCCGTTGTGCCCTGCAGGCCTTGCATGAACGCGCATTCGGCCATGAGGTTAAACCAAGCTAGCACGATCTCTGATCCGGGTAGAGCTTCGAGGGAGTGTAGATGGGTCAGGATAAGTCGCAGCAGATCGGTGATGCGCAGTAGTGTAGCAGTGGCAAATAGGTCTGACTTCCGATCGTCCTGGCTGAAGACAGCTTGGCGCTTCGTGCTATCATCCAGCATGGTCGTACAATCTCGAACAGCGTCCAACGCATCTTTGATGAAAGCTTGCTGGCCCTGCTGCTGCTGTCCTGCAGCCACTTTCTTCGCCAGCTCCACTAGCCACTCATCTGCTTTCGTCGCCTCACCCTTGGCGACCGCATGTCGTGTCGCCAGCTCGGTGCTAATGCTCAGAATGGATTGTCGTTCATCCAGATACGTCGCCAGCACCCTCCCTCTCCGCATGTCCTCCTGGTCCAGGTCTACCCCTCCACCATTGTCATGAATAAGCGCTTGAGGTGATGTCTCTCTCGCGAGCGTGACCCTCTCAGCATCTCTACCCTGCGCCTCGTCAATAGCGATCCGCAACGCAGCCTCCTCATCAATCTGGACCCGTTGCGATAGCCACAGCGCATCGCCCTTCAGCTGGTCAAGATCCCATCCTCCATCGCCCTTCTGTACTTGGCTGACGTGGATTGGCGCCGTCCTCGTCTCGAATTGTCCTTTGGTAGCTGGTGTAGGTCGTGGGAAAGGCGTGAGGGGTGAGATCAGGCATTGGAGTGCTTCGGGGGTGGAGAAGAATTGCTCGAGGGCTTGTGATCGCAGAGCCGTCGGGAGATCGATCAGTAGCCTGTAAGCCTGTGTCCATGGTATGATGGTCGGTGAGTAAGAGGCGAGGCATCTGTCCAGGGGTGGGAAATAGTCGCTTTCCTGTGTTGCCATTGTGGGGGTGGGTGATGGATCGTATTGTGCCTCTTTAGCTTGGCTAGCGTAGGGGCACAAGTCTGGCAGGCCTTCACATCAGCGGCTATGCAATCGACTCTATGAGTGGCCTCATGAATAGTATCTCTTGCTACCTGTCCAGTAGAAATGAGTGCGGCTTGTCGCGTATCCGTGAAGCTTCACGCGCTCAAACAATCCAAGAAATTCCGTTCCCTGCACTCATCCAGCCCACCGTAGAAGCATTCACCAACATCACCATTCACCTCACATCTCCCTCACTCAATCATCCCATCAACCGTCTCACCTCCACCACATGGCTCGTCTCTCCGGCTTACAACGAGACGTCCTATCCCTCTACCGTCGGTGTCTCCGAGCCTGTCGGACCAAGCCATCAGAGACGAGACCGAATTTCGAAGCATTTACCCGCAAAGAATTTGGCAGGAATATACAGCTTGACAAGAAGGAGTTTGGGACTATCGAGTTTCTGCTAAGGAAAGGGACGAGGCAGTTGGAGATATATGAGCAGGCGGGCGTGAGGAATATCAATGGCTGAGCTGAGATGGGATGATCATGTCGATCGGTCACGACACCAGCTTGAGATGGTTAGATTGGGTATAGACGACTTGTTCGTAGGCAAGTCGCAGCCTGTACTGTTGAACGTAGGGGCCTAGGATATGGATCTGATAAGTTTGCTGATGGGAGAGGCGGCCGCACTTGCGATGGCGAATAGGAAGCATGAAAGGTCGCAATCCAGCAGACAGGTTGTCCGCAGGCACATAGGGTGCTGGGATGCACATCCGCTTGATGCCGTGAGGTGCGCCGTACGATGTGCTCGACCCTTCTCGTCAGGCATTACGACAAAGGGCCAGACATTCCGACATGGCAGCACTGATGAGGCCGTTGCCTCACTCAGCTTTGTATCATTATGAACATGGCACGCAGAGATGCTTCCACGACCGGCCATCTCACCTCCATCGATGACCACGACAGAAGAACATGACCTTGGCACATAGCACTCAACCATCCCCGGCCTCAATCGAATTCAAACGCGACCTGGGCCAATGCGATACAAAACCACAGATCTGGCTCCCCAGCCCTATGACTCGCGCCCACCCAATTCTGTCCTCAGGCTCCACACCACGTTCACGTCAAGCAAGCAAAGCTATTGGCTCCGCCCACCAACGAAGCTAACAAATGTGCATTCCGAGACCGGAGCGGTGTCGGCGAGGTCGAGCGTCTGAATCAGCATGATTACTTTCTCCCGAGGCACTCATTGGCATGTGAAAGTGGTAACACTTCTTCACGTGCGGAGGAAGTGGTAGTGAGCGGCGAGAGCGATGGGCCAAGATTGCCAGTCTACCACCAGAGTTAGGCTTGGATTCATGATTACGGCATGGCGCTTCATGCCCTTTTGAAGACGATGATGAGTCCTCCGTAGGAGCAAAGGGAAATGCGTCTCGCAGAGCGAAATGTCATTCGTCGGCCACGAGCCGGTGCTAGTGGGAGTAAGCGAGCTACGTTGTCCGGGAGGCCTTCTGTATATCAAAAGCCACCTCCTGAAATTTGGGAATCTCGGTCGCAGAAATTCACGCCGTCTGCTTCTTTCTACACTAAGGTACTCATCGTCCATTCCCGCCACATGTCGGCCTCGCTAAGGTCGATACACGGTGTACGTCCGTAGCCTCCCCATCGAGCGGTAATAGTCTTGCAAGATCGAGGCAGACCCACGCACCGACGCTACTTGTGAGGGATCTGGGTACCACGAGCCGAGAGAGCGGGTGATGTTTGCAACATATTACTCCGTGTTCCATCGACAAATATACACAGCATTACACCATTATCAGACTCCGTAACATGATCTCATGCGATCGCATAGGCGAAGCAAGTGTTGCCCTTCCCGTGTGCCCATGTTTCCCATCCCACCAACACCTTGCTGTAACGCTTCAAGTAACCTTCGCACTCAACATCGTACCATCATTTCATGCCTTCAAATCATGCTCAGCAGGTCACAGGCATCGAATTCACTCCGACCTCACGACCTCGTCGTCTTCTTCCTCCTCATTACCACCTTCTTCGAAGCAATAAGCACAAACTCAGTATCTTCTAAATCCACATCCCCAGCGAGCACACTCTCCGTAATCAAATCCTTATGATACACCACAAACCCAAACCCATCAATCAGCCTCGTGACATCCGGATCGTTCTCCTCGCTCCCAATGAACACAATAGCCTTGACGCTTTTCGAGCGCTCTTCGCCTTTGGTAGCTGACCCCTTCTCGACGAGCGAAGCCCCTGCTTCCTGAACAAGGGCTTGGACGTCCTTCCAGCCTTTGCCGTACTCGCGAGTGAGTTGTGTGGTGAAGAATATCGTGAAGCCAGCAAAGACCTTACCGCGATCTATGCCCTGGTCATCCTCGAGAGAGGAGTGAATGTAGTCCGGAGGGTCAAGAAGTTGACCTTGCTGCTTGGAGTCCGTGAGCCAGTCCTCAGTGACAATACGCTTCCCAAGGGCCATGGAGCGCAGCGTTTTTGCTGTTCTTGGCAATACGCCATCGGGAACGACGCAAACGAAATTTGTGCGTTTGCTCGGAACGACATCGATTACTTCTGCGCCATGCTTCTTCAGCCACTTGGTCAGATCCTCGTCTTCCTTCAGCTTACTCTGCGTAATCAGCACTTTTGGTATCTTTCCCTCAAGTGCAGTTGCAATGCCGGCATCAGAGGCTGGAGTTGCTCGGGCTGAGCTGGGTATGATGACCTGAGCTGTCAATGGCCTCTTGGATCTCGACTTCTGTAACGCTTTACCAGTCTTCGCTGACTTGGACTTTGCAGTAGAGTGTGCGACTGTGATGTTCTCGGCAGAGTCTTGGGATAAAACACGCTCGGTTGACTGCTGCGGGCGTGGTGAAGAGCTAGCAGGCTTGTTATGTAAGGATCGTCTTTGTGGAAGTAGTTCAATCTCATCGTACAATGCAGCTTTTGGGACACCTTTGGGCTTCTTGGTAGGTGGCGTCACAACTGCCTCGTCCTCTGCAAGGTCTTCAGTAGCGGCGGCCTTGCGCTTTCGATGTCCTATAGTGCGTGCTGCAGTTTCAGCGGCAGTCGTGTGCTCGTCTCTGTCAGACGTCGTAGGGAATGCTGATTGGATGGCGTCGACAGCTTCAAAGCCTTCCCTCAAGATCCGGTCCTGTTCTTCGTCGTCCTCACTCGCTTCCTTCGCGTCGAAGGCGGTTGAGCCGTTGAAGACATTAGATTCGTCGCCGATAGTGCCGGGCAGCTTGGCAAGAACCGGATGCGCCTTTCGTGGCGTAGAAGCACGTGATTTGCCACCGTAAGTGTTCTTGGGCTTCAGCTGGATAGGGTCCGATGGGAACATGTCCTCCCCGAGCTCATCCGACACAACGGTGACTTTGGCAGCATGAGATCCAGGATTGTCAAGTCTGCGTTGACTTTGGCTTTGAGACTTCTTCGTGAGAGGGCTGTGCGGATCTGGGTGACGTGCACTGCTAGGGACCATGTCCGTTTTGAGATCCAGGTCATCATCATCCTGGGAGGTATAATGATCATTACCAAGCTCTAAGTCGACTTTCGGAGACTTCTGGAGTGTGTCAACCGTCGTAATTGCGGTAGCAGGGGTCTTGAACGATGTGTCGGCGCCATTAGTAGAGAACACACTGTCGTCGACTTCAGGCTCAGTCTCATCGTCCTCTTCGATATCGTCTCCATCCTCAGCTTCAGTCTCAGCGTCAGTATCGACGTCTCCAGCTCGCGCCACAGTCGCAGGGATCTCCTCTTGATCTGGCTGTGAGCTTGGTTCGACCCCAGCCTGCTTGCTTGCTACGACAATCGTGTCATCATCGTCATTTGCTCCGTCCATAGCCGCCTCGGAAGACGAAGTTGCCTTCTGCTCCGATGCGCAGGACTTGACATGCTTCACCGCCATGACTATGAACTGGAAGCGTAGCTTGGGAAAGCGAATCGTGCTTCCCAGCTGTAGTTTGATGACACTTGATACCTTACGACTGCTGTTGATAGTCCGGACTCGCTGACCGCACAGGTGCGGCGCTGCTTGTATAGTGCTTGTGTATTCGCAGTCTTTGGCGCGACTTTCGAACAAGAGTGCGTCTTCTCCAGCGATCATTCCTAGGCATCGATCAGCTTAACGCGTGTAGTGACGTTGAAAAGTCGCAAACTCACGAAACTGACACAAAACGTCATTCACCCCTTCGCCTTTACGCCGCCAGGCAGCAGCATGAAAGTGTACCTTGTTCTTGAGAAGTAGGAGTTCTGTTGCTGGTTGGTCGGGAGAAGGCACGACGAAATCGTGTAGCAGGCCAGCAGTGTTCATACAACGAAGGATAATATTGCTGGTTCCATCATCTGCCAGCCCGGACATTGGTATGTACACATCATCAAGAGAAGAAGACTATATCGCGAGTTTATGGTGGAGTGGTGTGGTCGTGATTGCCATCGAAGTGCAGTGTCTCAAGGAAGGACCCACTTCTCCTTGGCCGCGCTTACATCTTCGACTTCACCTCTCTGCAACATGCGTCGCATGTACATGAGCATGCACCATCAGCAAAAATATAGGCATCATACCAAAAGACACATCTATCTACATTCATTCAGTGTATTAGTACCATCACATCCGTGCTTGCATGAATATGAATCGTTGCTGCCGCCATTCCCGTGCAGGTGGCGTTTCGGCGCCATCCGAGAACAATAGTAAGACGGAAGGCACATGTGGCCAAGAGACAGCAAGATGAGCATTACGATCTACGCTGTTGACGGAGAGAGACAGAGTAGCCGTATCGCTACGGCGATTGGAGGCATTGTGAAGAGACATGAGGTGGGAAGTCTGATCTAATGAGCCGTCGTTGCTCCTTCCTGTTTCGCCGGATATAGCATGTATGACCTGCACTTTCACTTCACGTTCTTATCCTGACTCTTCACACCTCCAATCTCTGACATTGTCCTCTAGTATTGTGCACTCGTTCACCCACCACGAAGGCACTGCAGCCTACCATTGCAGCTGGACAATCTGAACACCACATTATATTCTTTCGATCGTTCTGGCGACTACATAAAGTCCGCCAGTCTCAAGGATCTGGTCTGCTGTCACGCTCTTTCGTTGTTCGACACACACGACGATCTACCCATCTATCTTCTGCTCCGTCCTCGCCCAAGCAAGGACGTCAACAACAGCATCTCAAAGGACACGACACAGCTCAATCATTTCAAAGCAAAGCCCAACAACAACTACCTCATCACATCAACTTGACAAACTCACGCATCTCAGAGCCATGGCCGAGAACGAATCGTGGCGAAAGGACCCTACCTTCGACTATTACAACCAGGACTTCGTTCTTACCGCACCCGATGCTATCACAGCTGTACCAGCCAGCCTGGCAGACGTCCTCAAGCTCGATAGACTCATCGCCACCCAAGGCGTCGTCTTCGGTGTACAGGCTGGTATCACAGGTCTTCTATTCCTGATCTTGCTTCTCATGACGAAACGCGACAAGCGACAGAGCGCGGTCTTCTTGCTCAACATCACGGCTTTGCTACTCATCTTCATTACTTGCGTTCTCTGGTGCGTGTCACTCACTGGCGTGTTCTATAATTTCTACAACTGGGAGCTCTTCTACTATATGGCAGACGATCCAGGTGTCATCAAGGCCACGCGACTTTCTGTGACCACAGAAGTCCTCGGCGTCCTCGTCATGTCTACCATCTTCAGCTCGCTGGTACTGCAAATCCGCATCGTGTGCTGTACACTGTCGGAGCTTTGGAAGCGATGCATCCTTGCTGTGTCGATTTCAGTTGCCTTGGCCGTGATCACTGTACGCTTCGTGCTTGCAGTCTACAACATCAAGTACAACATTATCGGCCTACTGGACGAGACAACCGATCAATTCCATTTCTTGGGCCAGCTCGGCAGGGCTAGCAATGCATGCACTGTGTTCGCCATCGCCTTTTTCTCCGCCATCTTCGTCACGAAGCTTGCCTTTGCCATTCGACTCAGACGCAAGCTGAACATGAAGCAATTCGGACCGATGCAGATCATCTTCGTCATGGGCTGCCAGACAATGATCGTACCAAGTGAGTATTATCCTGCTTGCGGAAGTACATCCGAGCTAACATTGTCACAGTGATCTTCGCCATCGTCGGTGACTACGCCACAGGCCATCAGCTCCAATCCCTCGTACAGACAGTCGTGGCCATCTTCCTCCCCCTCTCCGGGATGTGGGCGAGCGCTCAAACAGGCGACGACAAAGTCATTCGCCCCGACGCACGCTTCCACCGTGCCATCCCAGTCGGTGCTACAGACCTTTCTAGTGCAAAGGCTTACGGCAGCACAAAGACAAACGACACAACAGACACCCTCGTCGAGAACGACTTCGACAGCGAGACCGGCAGATACCAGTACACAGCAGCGAGCGGCGATCGCGGTAAGATGATGATTCGCAGCACGAGCAGTCCCCACGGCGCCGTCCATTTTCACCCCCAAGGCTTCGACTTCGGCGCGCAGGATCAGACCGGCGGCGGCTATGGGGCCGGCAAGACGAGTTTCAGCGAGGATCTGGAGATGCAGAGGTTGAAGAATGAAGGGGTGGTGGTCGATCGGACTTACAGTGTGAGGTCTGACTAGGAGTCAAACCAGACGTCTGCGAGGCGCGAGAGCTATAAGGTGGAATGCGCGCCCACGGAGGTCAATCTGCTTGGGCTGACTTGATTTGTCAGATTCTCTTTGCCGACTAGACCGTGCGAGGGTGGTGCATTGTATTGGTACGCTGGCTGCAAGAAGGCGAAGGCGAAGGCGGAGTCACGATGGTGCTCATCCTGTCAAGTGCCATTCACGATGGCTATACCACGACAGGGCTTACAGCATTCGCTACCGACCTACCGATCTACTTGGAAGTGAGATGGCTGAAGAGGTGATGATAATGCTGAGCTGAATCTTCTTAATCGTTGTGCTATCTATCATGCATTTCATAAGCGAGCGAGCGCACAGAGTAGCGAATCGACTATTTCATTGCTTCATCCAGAGTCTTGAACGTTCTTTCTCATCCTCACCGTCCTCTTCTGCTGCCATCATGAGGAGATGTACTGAAAAGGTCTTCGTCCAGGTCTTGGGCATCTGGATCAGCGTACTATGCTTCCATGTCTGCTATTGTGACGGCGCCTATATTCGGGAGAGGTCGGTCGGCTCGGCGAGGATTCAGCGCACGGGTGAAGGAGCGCGGACGGTCGTTCTCGATCATGTTGCGAGTTGTTCTCGTGCTGGATGGCGCATTGCGGCTTTCAACATGTAGGCCAACAGTGAGACCCGAGACTGTTGGAGAGGTCCTCCCGGAGCCGGAGCGATCTCGATAGGATAAGGGCGGAAGGTTTGCTAGAGCCGCGTTTGTCGCGGACGCAGATGGACTATGATCACCGCCCGGAGTCCAGTGTGGTGGTAATTCGGGCCGCGTCCAGAAAACCATGGCTCGTCGGAGTCGAGCGATCTTTTCCTCGACGTCGCGGCTAGCCTGCAAACGGTCATCTCGCGGGCGCACTATTCCAGCAATAGCACGGGTATCCTCTTCACCAATTTGTGCGAAGGATGGCGCTGTGTGAGGAAATGCTCCTACTCCAGGGCTTCGTGGATGGTGGTGTCTCATTGTCCTGGGTCTCCGATCTCTTTGATCCGATCGAGGCGGCCGATGGTTGGTCTGATTGCCAAAGAGGGCGTGGAGATCACGTGCGCGTTCCATGTCAGCCCGCAGTGTTGCCTCTGCTGCCTCCATACGAGCTGCGTCCGTCGGGGTGATTTCCGGTGCCTCCCATCTCCGCCAGTCCTGCCGCGAGGCGACCGCTTCTCTACTGTCGTGAAACTGCTGCAATACCAGCGCGTCCTCCATATCCCTGTCATCATTACGACAATGAACCTCATGTGGCCCGAACTGTTCCCTCAAACACCGCTAGCAGAAATGAAAGCCGCAGGGGCAGGTCATGTGATCGCACCCATCGGTTTTCTGTAGAGTTACACCGCAGCTAGGACACTTCTTTGAGATCTTCTTTATCAGCGTGTCGTTCGCGATACGCTCAGCGTTGAGCTTCCTATTTCGCTGTTGCCTTTCGGGGTCATTGTCGTATGCTTCGCATGTCTTGCCGAAGTGCCAGGGGATGAGATGTCGAACACAGGTATGATGGCCACATTTGAGGCATGTCATGGGAAGATCCTGGTTGTAGTGCACGTTCCCCTCATCATACGACGGGTTGGTGCACCAGTAGAAATTGCTATCAGCGTTGCGGGAGTGTCGGATCGTCATCTGGTTGAAGCGGGTCGATGTAGCGGCGTCTGTGAGGCGACTAATGTCTGCGGGTGTCAAGACTCCGCTACAATTTGGACATCGTGCTTGGCGCCATTGGGTCCTCTCCAAGTCGGATCTCATCCACCTACGCACACACGAGGTGCAGATGGCGGTCTTCCTAGAGCAACGAGCGGCACACAGTCCAAGTGGGAAAGCTGATGGTGGTTTCTCCTCTGCACATATCATGCATTCGAGCAAGCGCTCGCCCTCAGGTTTCGAGCTTTGATCGGCCATCCTGGATATTCCACTATGCGATAGTCGTGAAAGTGTGATGAATAGGCCGATGGCTACTATGAAAAGGATTTCGCCGATAGTGATGATTGTACGAACGTCTGAAAACTGGTATGTGACGTGTTTGATGTTGTGGTGTTCAAAAAACAACATCGCACGGGAAAGACTGCCAGTCATGCCAGGAAAGTCCTGCCTCAAATGACAGTGGCTACCCACTGCCGGAGGGAAATGAAAGTCTTAACCAGGACCGATTTTCGGCATATCATGATGTTCACTCAGCCCAGACAGGTACTTATTGAGCTCCTCGACCCGCTGCTTATGCGTCTTGATGCCTTCGCGTTGAAGACGTTCGTCTAGCTATGCGATGTTAGCATCGAGTATCGTGGACATTCCTAGAGTACTCACTCGTTTTCGTCGCCGCTCCTCGAACCGGCGCTGTGCTTCGGTCTTGCCATATTGCTTAGTATCGTCCTCGCGCTCTTTGGTCAGCGCTCCATCCACATCCTCATCTGCAAGCACTTTCTGTACATCGTCAGGCTCGTCAATCTGCTCCTTGTCGATGATAGCGAGGGCAGTATCAGACGGCTTCACAGTCTGCGACTTCTTCTTCTTCTTTATGCCAGCATTCTTGGCACCTTTGAGCTTGAGGCCTCCACCCACCGCATTCCCATAGTCTGATGACGGCATGTCTCGACAAGCTGCTGCCGATTCTGTCACGCAATGATTAGTGGTCAATATGAGAGCTTGTAGGACTCAGTGAAACATCGAGATATATGTGCTTATGTAACACGATGGCGCTAGCGTCTACGCCACAAATCGCGATATGATTCTTCCGGATTGTGTTTTCACTTCTCTCTGTGCACTCGACGATCGTAACATCCGCCGATAACTTCTCAGTCTTGAGATTGAGACGTAGCTAGACATTGTGCCAGTCGTCAGATTGCGTTTGTTCCTTAACACCTCACATCCCACGCCAAGGATCGATCTACCAGCTACTCTAGCCGAATACCCGCCCCGCTCGTGCACCTCGCATATCGGATCTCTAGTTCTCCCTCACCTTATCCACAGCGTAAGCACGCAATAAAAGGCCCCTCGCTCACCGCAGCTGTTGCTACTGGCAGCTCTTTTATATTCACCGTAGCGAAAGCCGATATGTGCCTGCGGATCTGCCCGGAGAATATGTACTCCTGGTACCGCTTCGATACCATATCTTGAAGCTCGTACGCCAACAGGCCGCGTGTGCATATATATCTGCCGAAGAACGATTGACGAGCATACGGGACACTGTTCAGATCGTACCGACGATATATCAAGATCCAAGACGAGGTCAAAATTATTATATGCCCGGATAATAAGCTTTCACCCTAGCTCATAGCACGCCATACCAACATGGCGCCACTACCCTGTTCACCCGCCTCAAACTCTACCGCTTCTGAAGCATCTCAGTCTCATCCCACCTCTGGGAATGATACGGATGACTCCCTGACCACACCTCGTCCTGGCCCGTCTGACCCCGCACAGCGGACTCTAGCGAATCTGAGTAAGCCGAGCATACCTGCATATTCGTCAAGTCCCGAGAGTGTCAAGAGACTCAGCCTCGGCGAGAGTGGTCCAAGCACGAGAAAAAGTCCATGGGAGAGATTAGCTGAGTTCTCGGCTGAGAATGGAGTGAGGAGGAACCCGTATACGTACAGCTCCTCGCCGAAAAGTACCTCGCACGTGCCTGCCGAATCGGACAGTGCAGAAAGTGAAGATCTGCCGGCGTGGGCCAGACAGGACGAAGAGCGAAGTCCATGGGATCGACTACACGACCCACCACCAACAGATACTCGACCAGGAGTTGCCCTGACTCGTAGCTCACCGCCTAAGGCCACATTGCCTGGAACCTCGGCCTTGCGAGTCTCACCAGACCGACAGCGAAGTGTGAGCTTCTCGCCAAGCCTGCCAACATTGAAGCCAGAGCGACAAGGAAGTTACAGCGGGTCTGCGATGGCGAAGCGGCTTACGCCATCAGTCAGCCCGCATGGCGAGGCGAGGCCTGGGATGAGTGGAGACTTGGGTGATAGCAGTGCGGACGAAAGTACAGCGATCTTCAGACGTGATCGATCAGCTGGCGGCACGAGCAGACAAGGTACATATGGGGCCATGGCTGGTGAAGTAGAGGATGAGCCACACCAGCAAGCAGCAGGATATGATGGTGAGCAGGAAGAGATAACGAGCGATGTGCCAAGACGGAGGAAAGCACCAAGTACAAGTAGTAAGACTCGTGGAGGTACTCGAAGTGCAAATGCTAGTATAATTTCACGCCGTGATCGGCAGGCACAAGGGGGTGCGGAGCAAGAAGGAGATGAGAGTGAGCAGGAAGGATGGTTCAAGAGTCTGGTGGAGAAGTACGGCAGTGTCGAGTTGGAGAATAAGGGAAGTGTGGCTCGTGATCATCTCGCGCTTGGTAAGTGCTCAAGTATCCCTCTTTCCTGCCCTCGAACACTGGTCACGTGTGAGTTCTTACAACTGACACATCAACAGAGCGGACTTTCCTCGCCTGGCTCCGCACGAGTCTCTCCTTCGCATCGATCGGCATTGCCGTAACACAGCTCTTCAGACTGAACAGTTCGCTATCCTCGAATAACTCGAATACCGAAGCAGAGTTCGTATCAACATCGTCGTCAGCAGCTCCAATACAACAGCTTCTATCGCCCGCTAGCACACATCCGCTTCGCCACGTTGGCAAGCCTTTGGGCGCTACTTTTCTCGCTATATGTACGTGCCCTCCTCCTCCACCTACTGCGACCTGAACGTGTCGCATCGAGCTGTGGAAGACGAAGCTGACATATTCGTGTTCAGCTATACTCATCCTCCTCATTGGCTTCCATCGCTATTTCGAGTCTCAGCACTACGTCATTCGCGGTAAATTCCCAGCATCGAGAGGCAGCATCATACTGGTCTCACTCGTCGCATGTGGCCTTATCATTACGAGTCTTGTCGTGGTAGTTGCGATCGCTCCAGCCGCCTTCGAAAAGTGAGCTACTCACTCGAAATACCTGAGCCACCCTAGCAGCTTGAGATTCGAAATGACTACGAGGGATAACGATTCCTTCCGGCGACGGCTTGACCCTACGGCTCCCTCGTTCGAGCCTGCGTCCATTAGTCCGCCAGGATAGTATCTCAGCGCTCAGGAGCTAGGTCTTGATACCCCAGCGGACGATGTAGCACGTGATCCTGTTACGCCACATCATGGGTATCACTACTACAACGCATCTCATGCCGCCAACGCACCATATTCGGACGACACTCCTGGCCTTGCAGAGCGTTCGATCTTCGACCGTGGTCAGGCTGCCATCGTACAGCTGAATCGTATACGCGAGGCTGGGGTAGTTGAGCAAGATGCGACATTGTATGCCCGCATCAACGCAGTGCAAGAACGAGTACGAGTCGCCATGCGACAATCTCGTCGTCTAGCTCATCGCAATCGTCCTGGTCAGTTACCGTTGCTGTGGACACCGGAAACACCGCCGTATGGTCAGCTTCGATGCTTCGAATCAGTCAGAAGTGCTGCAAGGGTCTACGATGTCAACTCGCAAAATGCACATCTAAGTCCACTTGCTTATCGGAGGGCAACTCATGAGCTTTTCTCCACCGGAAATGCTCCTTTTGTGAACATACCACCTCATGGTACTCAGTTCACGACAACCAGCCTCACGAGACGAGCGGAAAGGCTTGCAGAGCAGTATCGCACCGACGATCCTGAAGAAATACCTCACAGCCCAGCCTCACAAACTGCAGATTCGGTGGAGGCTGCGAATGGAGAGCATAACCCAAACGAGGAGGAGGCTGAAGGTCCTGATCTCCAGCGGCAGAATCTTGTTCGCGAGACTTTGTCGCTGGCTCGCGATGCACAAGGCAGACCTACCATCCGAGGCGCGCTTGTACTTCCGAGCACCGCTTGTACAGCCGTGGACAACTCCTCAAGAACTGGGTCCGCTGCCATGCTTACGTCCTGGCGGGATCGGAATATGCGCGAAGCTTACAATCGACGCTGCGTGCGCATCACCCCTGACATGCGGGCAGCTATACTACAGCCGATCATCAGGTACAGAGACTTTGCGACCGACATCATTGGCCAACTCCCCAGCTCTGCTCCCAGTCATCAGGCTGGACAGCTCGAGCGACAGGGACACTTCGGCGCCGAGCGTTTTGTCTACTCGATTCCGCAGATGCTGCAGGTGCGCAACCATCTTGCAGGTCATAGATTTACCGACATGCCATCTGTACAGACACCACCACGCGCCGGTCCTTCGAGATTGCCAGAAGCAGCGACGCCAGCAGAGTCCACTGATGGTCGAATGTTCTCACCGCAGGGAGAAGCATTCCTAGACATGATCCGCCGTGACGAACAAGAACCATTTACTCCACTACCTCGACAAGTGTCTGCGCAGCCCATCGACCTTTCGTCTTCGGTCTATTCGCGGAGGATTGGTGATGATCACGTCGATGGCCGGCCCGATACAGCTTAGGAAGCAGAAACTGCGGCATTTGAGAATGCTGTTCGCGCCAGGCTCGCACTACACGCACCACGACCGGACAAAGTCGAAGTCCAATATATACGAAAGTCGGTCACACCATTCTTGGTCACATATATTCTAAGCTATCGCGGCAGAGTCTTCGACAGAGCTCTAGTCTTCGACTGGCGGAGTAGTCGGAGTTTGAGGCGTGCGTGGAATAAACTTTGTGTTAGTCGGACAGCGATGACGATTCTGGGGAGGAAGCGGTGTTGTGCTCTGTTCCAGCTCGAGCTGTAGGAAGCCCTCGGTCTTCGAGTGATTGATGAGAGGCTGGCCGATGAGTTGTTTGCAGAGCCTTGGTACCATGGGCTGGACTGATTGATGTAGTAGACATGATTGTAGCCGTGTACTGTCGCTTTTGATAAGCCCGGTCGTGCCTGAAGCCGTCCAGGATGGCACCGAGCATCTTACCCACTTTCCATTCAACGCTCTATACTACCTGATGCCACGATGTGTATATTTTGCAATTCATGCTCACTTGAGATGTTGTACTTCGTACAATAAGACGGGGAGGATTGCCGAGCACCACGCCACAAAGTTCGCTACCTTCGCTACAGTTCAATACCAAAACTTGTACAAGCTTTTATCATCGACGAGTCACCATTCGCGGCACCGGGTTCTGGAAGCGATGTTCACACCGTCCGGTGATGTCACAAACACCTGATGGCATAGCAGACGTCACTCATCGCATCAAGAAGCCAGCAAGATCGAAGAATGGTTGCATTACCTGCTTGAGACGCAAGGTCAGATGCAATGAGCAGCGTCCACGATGCGGGCATTGCGAGCGCTTGAATCTGCAGTGCGCATGGCGCGCAAGCAATGGAGAGTCCAGCCGTAGAGGGACGACCGCGACGGCCTCGTCTCAAACACCAGCTCTGTCACAGACGTTGGCTGCCAAAGGCGCAACGGGTTTCTTTGATACATTCGACTTCAATGACAGCATATGGCACGATACGTCCACTCTTGACCCGGCCACATTCGACTGGCCATTTGGCGTAGAGGCCTCTGATTTTGCTGCCACCACAGATGGCTCTACACTTGCTCGTGTGACTACTCTAGATGATCGAGATACGTCGGCTCGCGCAGGTCCAGCGAGTAGTCCTCTGGCGGTACATGGGTACAATAATGTCTCGCCTGCTTCGTCTGCAGACACTGGTGGTCAAGCACTGGTAGAGCATTTCTTGGCCTCTGTCGTACCTCCAATACTGTCGTCCGTCGAGGTCGGTCCACGATGGACTTCCACGAAGATGTTGCTGGCTTCCCTCGCAGAGTCCTCATCTATGGTACGGCATGCTATGATGGCATTCTCAGCGCTCGAGTACAGTGGTGGCGAAAACAGTGTGAGAACGGACCGCCGGGCACTGTACGACAAGGCATACAATGTCCTCGTCACTAATGCCACCAAAGACTCGACTGGGACTGCTGGTAACTTAGTGTATGGGTTAGCAACAGCCTTCTTCCTTGCGTACGCTGACCTGATCACGAACAAAGTCCGAGATGCACAGTCGGTGCTGCGAGATGCTGCTACTCTTCTTGCAAGTCATCGAGGCAAGCAATTGAGCACAGCTGAGAAGCGACTGATAGCTTGGATTCGTCTCATCGACTCTCGCGCGGCATCGGCAGGTACAGATGGTGCATTTGTTGCAGAAACGGACAGAAACGAGTACACTCCGACTACAGCCCGACACGGAACGCCAAATGAAGGAGATACCAGAGAATCTGCGGGTCGTGGTGATGATGCAATAGAAGACATTCTCTTCGACATCTTGTATGCGCCAGGAATAGCATTCTATCAGAGAGTACAGAGCATCATGGCACGAGTCAGTAACATCGATCCGTGGCATCGTACTCGCGGCACTGTCGCAGACGAGACAGAAGTCATGGCTGTCGCTGCTAAGATCTCTGAAGATCTGCGGACGCTCGAAGCACAACGTCCAGCACTGATGGATCATGCTGTAGCTGGTGCTTTGACCGAACGTCACATTGCTCAGGATATCGCGGTTGCCATTACTAGGAGCTACAGGGTGTACTGGGCCAATTATCATGCTGGTCATATACATCTTCATCGTGTTGCCTACAAGCATCTACCAGCTACACCTGACGTTATGGAAGCACGAACCACGATCAAGCGCATCACCAATCTGCTTCAGCAAGCTGGGGATCAGCTGCCGGTGAACTTTATCTGGCCTTTATTAATGGCGTGCTGCGAGGAAGATGGTCTCGAGGAGCGCCAGTGGATGATACAAGCCATACGCAACATGCAGAGCCAAGCATCAAATGCTAAACCAATAGCAGATGTGCTAGAGGAGGTGCATCGGCGTCAAGACACGACAAAGCTGAGAGCTGATGTGCGACAAGTATCGCTTGATCTATTTTCTATGTCGTTTGCGGTCGTCTAGTATGGGAGTCGTCTATGCGCTAGACTTGTTCAATCGCGCTTCTTCTGACTCAAGCGTCCGGACCTGATCCAGGATCCACTTCTGCTTGTCTTTGCTGGTGAATCGAGGATATGGTCTTCTGCAATGTCTCGCCTCCTCAGGATATCCCAGCAACTCCGATACGACCCACTTTGTCCCGTTGATGCCACCATCGCCAAAGCCAAGCTCGGAGACACCAAGAGTGTATTGCAGCTTCTGTGCCTCTTCGAACTTTCCAGCCATGTAGAGATCATAGACTGCCACACAGGATTTCGGGTAGAGATTACCGACACCAGTGATGCAACCGGTGCCGCCCACGGACAAGGCCGGGATGAGCCAGTCACTTTGACCAGCAAGTGCCGAGAATTGCTTTGGGGAGAAAGCGGCACTGACTCGAGTGACCTTGGCAATGCTTCCGCAAGTGAGCTGAATCTCGAGTCAGAATGATACATGTGGCAAGGAGTGGCAAAACTTACCTTGACACCAACGATGTTGCTGTGCTTTGCAAGACGATCGAGCATTGGCGAATCCACGTTGAGGCCGGCTGTGACGTTCGGGAAGTTGTATATCAAGACCGGAATTGGCGATGCATCAGCGACCTCCTCGTAGAACTCGCAAATGGCGTCCTTGGTCATCGCGAAATGGAAGAAGCTGGGGACGAGGATCAACGCAAAGTCGGCGCCAGCCTCTTTTACAGCCACAGAGTCGTCGATGACATCGCGAGTTGATATACCGCTGGTGCCGACTGTGATTGGTAGATCTGGCTTGCCTGCGTGAGAGACGACCTTCTTTGCCAGGCGTGTTAGATCGACTTTCTCTTTCCTGCTCAGTGCGATAGCCTCGCCATTGGTTCCAGCTAGTACGATGCCGTGGATGCCAGACTTTGCCAAAAAGGTGATGTGCTTGGTCTGTGTCTCAGGGTCGAGTTCCTGCCGTGTGGAAGAGTCGAAGAATGTCAATGATGGAACATGGATGCCTGGTGGGTATGGTCTTGATGCGGCTGCATTGCCATTGCTGCCGACGCCGTTCTCGTTCGATGGCATTTTGAAACGTGATGAGTGTTGGAGAAGAGATTGTTGGTGATGGGGTTCACACGGGAAAGTGACAGTCTCGAGGCTGAAGGAAGAAGGGAAGGTGCTACCTCTTCAATCAGAAGATTGTTCTAATGCCACGGCGTACATTTCCGAACAGATCCCGCATCGCGTCGGACACGCGAGGTCCTCCACTAGATCTCCATGCGAGCATTCCACATCATCGACATTCTCGGCACAGTCTAGTCGGAGCATGGTCGCGTTATTTTCAAGGTTGCGGGTCTGGCGACGGTCTCGCGAGCAGTAGGAGGATGAGTACGTCGGAAGTCCATCGGCTGAGCTAGATGTGCTTGCCGATGGCGAGCCGAGCTTGGCATCAGCTCAGTAGACGACAAGGTACGACCCGCCGACGTCAGACCAGATGGAAGTCCCCACACAAGACGTCCCTCGGCACTCTCATTTGCGACGACCTCCATCTTCACCACCCCGACTCATATACTCCCCACACCTGGAGAGCATAATCCATGTTTTCCGCGTGCACCAACTCCGCGTGGTGGCGTCGCTCGAGACGAGCGGAGGTAGTACCGGCATACTGCCGATCTCTATAGATATGCGCGATGCATCCGCATAGGAATCATCTTAGAACTCGGATCATCCATCTTGTCACACTCTCACTCGACGACATCGCCCATCATGACTGGTTTCGGACGTGCCAAGGAGGACAGGCCCACACCGGCTGAGGTCTACAACCGGAGAGTCTATGCCTCTGCCCTGATCGTCTCGCTCGGCGTGATGGCATATGGCTACGATTCGGCCTTCATCGGTACCACTATCACGCAGTCCTCCTTCAAGCGCGACTTTGGCCTGAGCAAGATGAGCAAGGCGCAGCAGAATGAGGTTTCAAGCAACCTCACCAGTATCTACTCTGCTGGAGGATTCTTCGGTGCTTTCTTCATGTTCTTTTCGCTGGAACTGCTCGGCCGCAAGAAGACCATCATCATCTCGGACATCATTTTCATCATTGGAGCTGTCCTGTGTACGGTCCCGACTCATCAGCTCGGGCTAGTCTACGCCGGTCGTCTCTTCACCGGACTCGGTGTTGGTGGTATTGCTGCTGTCTGTCCCATATACGTCAGCGAACTTGCGCCTCCCGCCATACGTGGTCGACTCACTGGTTTCTTTGAATCCTTCTACCAGGTTGGCGCTGTGATTGGCTTCTGGTGAGACAACCCCACGCTGGTCGATTCTCGGCATTAAGCTGACTTCATCGTTCTAGGATTAATTATGGTGTCGTCCACAACATCCCCAAGACCTCTTCAACGGCATGGCGTATCCCGATGGGTGTGCAATTAATCCCAGCAGCGTTGCTAGCGATCGGGATCCCGTTCTTGCGCGAGTCGCCTGTCTGGTTGTTGAAGAAAGATCGCACCGAAGAGGCATACAAAGTTTACAGCTACTATCGCAACCTACCGGTCGACCATCAATACATCCACGAGGATGTCATGTTTGTCAGAGGACAGATCGAGCATGAACGATCTGTCTCGACTGGGGCCCGACCGACCTTTGGCGCCTTCATCAAGGGTGCAGCAAAGGAGGCTACGCTCAAGGGCATGCGTAACCGCTTCGCTTTGGTCTTTATAATGTTCATGTGGCAAGCGTGGTCAGGCGCAGCGGCGATTAACTATTGTAAGTTGAGTCTCGATTTGACAAACATGTCGAGATATTGACAGTGTCCGAAGACTCTCCCACGATCTTCAACTCCATTGGTTTGACCGATGTCACTCTGTGGACAGGTGTCTACGGCCTCATCAAAGCAGGTGGCTCGATCATCTTCTACACATTCTTTGTGGACAGCTTTGGTCGAAAGTGGCCATGGATCGTGTCGTCCCTCGGTTGCGCAGTATGCCAGTACTACCTTGCTGGGTATATAGCTGTCGCTCGACCTAGCGCCACCTCATCTCCATCGGCGAGCACGATCGCTGGAGGAAGAGCGGCAACTGCAGCCATCATGGTCTTTGGCGCGACCTGGTCCTGTGGAGCTAATGGACTTCCCTGGATTATTTCTGCCGAAATATTCCCAAGCAGCTTAAGATCGATATCAGGTCCCTTCGCTGGAATGAGCGTGTGGCTATGGACCTTTGTAGTCACCAAGAGCTTGCCGGAGATGTACACCAGTATGGGCTACGGAGTCTATGTCTTCTTTGCTACTATGCTCGTCTGTGCCAGCATCTATGCCTTTTTCTTCATCCATGAGACCAAGGGACTCAGGATAGATCAGATGGACGAGCTTTTCGGATTCGTTAGGCCCGGTAACAACTACGCTGCGAAGGCTATGGAGGATGGCGAATTCAATGACGATGGTTCTGAACGCAAAGCGCCTCCGGAAGCAAGAGTCGAGGCTGTCTAGTTGTGGTGTGTGGTGCATCAACTCAGAATCACTTTTCGAAGAAGATTTACCGGATGTGGCCAGCGTCCTATGTGCCGAAGAACCACATCGCGTGACTATATCTCTGTCTTCTACACGTTGTCATCATCTAGCGGTCATTGAAGACATCGATACGGAAGATTCTGTGCGATGAGATGCCAAAATATATAAGGGAGTCCATCAGCCGTGCGGCCCTGTGGTGTTTGAGCTCCTTCTATTGGCGTACTGGCATCTCCAGCCTCACTCACAGATGATGCATCAGCTTGTTGAACTGACGTATCGACATTCCCACGGCGCTCGAGGCTCTTCCGCCACTACAGTCCCCTCCACCGAGTGTATCGCGAAACACTTTGTTGAGAAAAGCACCACGCGACCAAGGTAGTGGTCGACTATGCACCGTTCATGATGTATCCTAATGCTTGCCAATAGACGCTTCAGTCTGCTTTCTAATACCAGCAGCATGTACGACCTAGTAAGGGGAGTCTAGCTTGTGCAGCATATTGTATACGACAATCCAATGCTAGCTCGGTAGTATTCAGGCTAAGGCGGTCGTGGCCGACCTGGTTGACGAAGTGACCAGTATCAAGGCCGGCGTCCTAGAGATACTGGCGGAAGGACTCGTTAAAGTGTTGCTGGATAGCAAGAAGAGCAGGCTTGTGTGCGGCCGGAGTTTTGTTGGTATTCTGATGTGGAGACAGGAGGTAGGATTACATTGATTTGCGGCGAATTGCATCGTTGGTATCGAATCCCGCACGGCGGAACCTTCCATCATCTTTCGAGTTGGTGCCGCTGCTGTTGAATACCTGACCTTCAAGGCCACGGCCGAATATCATAGTTTCCTTTTGGCTTGGTTGCACGGTGCTGATGGCTGCACAGACAGCGTCGAGTGCTTGTGGTGGTGTGCGCTTTCTCGCCTCATTATATCAATCGTCAGCTTCCTGGGAGGCCTTATCGAACGCAAACCACTAGTGCCTCACACTCTTCCTTCGATCTTGACATTGCCAGCGAAGGGAGAACGCTTATCGTCAGATAGCGAGTGCCCAAGCCACTCCTCGGACTTGATTGGGTTTGTCTTACACACCAGACGCTGCGCCCGACCACCGACACGGGGCTCGTGGCCACCACTTGCGTCAATTATCAGCTGAGCAGTGTTGGACGGCTTCTTGACCTTGTCGTTTACCATCGTGCGTGATGTGAGACAGATACGATCGAGATATTGCTGATGTACGAAAACCTCGCCTTGGTGCAGAGAACGGGAATCGCTCGGGCTACCGTGTGCAAGAGACGCTCGGTAAGGTTTTCGTTGATATATAAGGGCTCTGCGAAGATGCAGAGAACGGCCGTTGCTCGGGTTATCTAATGCAGGAGTTGTCTGAAAGTCCACTCCGCTAGCGCACAGCGAGGACTCACTTGGCGCGCAAGGTAGGGACTGGTTTGCCCTTCCACGAGAGAGGTGTCGGCTCGCTTGAGATCTTGGTAAGGTATTGGATGCGTGTGTGTTTTTCCGGGTGTTTCAGGATGATGTCTGCAAGTTGGTGTTGTACTTGTTGTTGCAGATGATCTTGTTGTTGCAGATGATCTTGTTGTTGCAGATGATCTTGTTGTTGCAGATGATCTATTGTCGGTGGAGTAGTCTTTTACATTACTGGTGTAGTGCAACCACCTCGAGTGAGCCAGAGCTAAGTGAGCTTTGATAATGATAGTAAGTGAGCCATGCAACAAGTGATACTTAGCAACCGTTTGATGAAGGTTCAGTGAGCGTACGACCAGAAGAATATAGCCCCTGTCGTAAGACCGTCTCGTGCCGTACCAGACTTTGACGTCCGATATATCAGGAAGGAGCGCGGCCAGCAACTCATGTAGTGTATGTTCCTCGAAAAGCTTCAAGACAGCAGTATGTCGATTCACCTAGGCGTGAAGTAAGACTTGAGCACACCAGCATGTGCGTTCACATAGGTTTCGAGTAAGCCCTGATGCACTAGAGACTCCGTGTATCGGACGATCGACCGAGGCCATCACAACAGGAGAAGCAAGTTTGATCACCCTCTTGCATCGAAGCCTAACGGCCAGACTAAATCGCGAAATCAATTGCTCAGCCGATATATATCATCAAAGCAGAAGCTGGTACAGTAAATTCTGCATCCAGCATAGCTTTGTTGCATCAAACTTGCGATAGGACGAACCGGCGGAGTTGTGGGATCAAAACTTGTGCGAGATCACACTCAGGCGACTTTTTCAGGAAGGATTGAGCAGCCGGAGATCCTCGACGCCTCGAGTGTACAGAAAACGGGATATAGAGAGATGTATGTGCGAGTGCGAGCCATTTCCCTTGATTTCGGATGGCTAGACAACATGACACCAGATGCCAATATATCAGGGGTTCAAGATATCCGTCATCCAGTCGTTAGAAGTACACATCTCGTGTTGTGGGTGCCAGAAGTCCGGACGCCGGGAATCCCGAGCCCAGAGTCCAGAAGTCCAAATATCAGCGAAGTTGAAGAGCAGCACTGGAGAGCGAACGCCGTGGGTTTGGGAACAGATGGATAAGGTGGAAAGGAAGATTATCAAACAAAGTACTTAGGTAGAGGAAGCTCGAAGGCCAAATTAACCTCCAGATATCCGAGTCTTGGGGCCAGTCGAGGTCGAGCGCGAAGAAGCAGGATAACCTAGGAGGCAGGGAGGAGTAGTCATATAGATCAAGTAAGGAGAGGAGAATTTCTAATAGAGTGCTATAGGTAGGGTGAGATAGAGAGGACGTAGGTAGAGAGGAGGCAGATCGAATCGAGACAGTTGGAGAGGAGCGAGCTAGGAAGAAGGGAGGTAATAGGGATGTAGAGAGGAGGCAGGCGGCAGGAAGGCAGGTAGTGAAGAGGTAGAGGAGGCAAGCGCAGAGAACGTAAATAGCAGGGAGATGTAAAGGAGAGACGTATAGTGGAGGGAGGTCGAGAGGAAGAAGGCTGAGAGGAGGGAGGTCGGAACCAGAGAGGTAGTGACCAGGGAGGTTGAAACCAGTCTAGGCATATAGAGAGCAGGCGGGAGGAGAGGAGGGGTGTCGGAGTCCGGGAGAGGGAGAGGAGGGAGGCAGCGGCGAGCGGCGAGCGGCGAGGGGTACTGCTAGCTCCGGGAAGCAAAGGAGTAGTAACCAAGGCATGATGTTTGCCGAAGAGTATCGCCTTGTTAAATGCCGTAGAGATTGAGGTAGGCTCCGAGGAGATTGCGAATGGGGCAGAGTTGGACTGATTTGGCTTCGACGAATGCATAACAACAGCGATGAACTCCCCGTCCAGAGGAAAAGTGGTTGAGCTACTATATTATCCATCAGTGAAAATCGCAGACTGAGGCCGTGTGGGCTACTGTTGTGGTATAGACTAATCATTTACAAGCAGATGGCAGCGGATGTGAAGGCATAGCAACAGCAATAAAATCTCCGTGCAGCAAGACCTGATCGAGCTACTATATTACCTGTCAGTGAAAAGTCTGGACAATGTCCGTGTGGGATACTGTCGTTGGATGGGATTGCCATGTACAAGTCTAGGGCAGCTGGTGTGGATAGCTCAGCTGCCTTAGAGAGGTTTCAGGGGATGTGCAACTGTGGTCGATGTAGGATTGAGGCTCCGAGGAGGTCGCTTCAGCGGTGTGAGCGGGTTTTGAGTAGGGCTCTATGGCGACCTTAACAACGTGTATGAGTATTGAGAGGCAACCCCAGGATATTGGTGGATGCACAGAACGATAAGTGGGAGGACAGGCCGGAACCAGAAGAAGAGTAGTGCATGTAGAGGTTGGCCGCCAGTCTGAGATTCTGTGGTCGTGATGATGGCGAAGGGACAGCCTGTACGGGGATGTCTTACTATAGAGTGTGTCCAAGATTGTATTTTTCTGTTATACTGGCTGAATAGAGAAACATCTTAAAGGAAGGTTGACAATATTTGTCGACGCCATGCGTCAAGCCGCACTCTTCCGGGCCTCCAGACCACAACGAAAGCTGCTTCAGATGGATCGTCCACATCGTGAACTCGGAGGATCTGGCTGTAAACCCAGCTGACATCCAGCTTTCGACTGCCGAAAGTCACACCGTTCCTCACTATCGTCATTGCTCCATAGGACACGAGTAACTATATCCTACGACCACCATGGGAGATTCATACTCAACAGGGGAAGTGAACAATCAAGCGCCCAAGCCCGATGGTGTCAACACTGTGTGTCTGAGCCGAGAAAATATCGAGAAGCTGGAGGTCCGAGGTTACAATGACCCAACTCGTGGCCAAATCACCTGGAAGACTGTTTTTTCATCGGATCGCATGCCCACTGATTGGCTCACAACTGGTATTGCTACTTGTAAGCAATTATCTATATTCCGCAGGCATAAACATCACCAAGCTCTGACTATCGTTACCGGGCAAGCCTCGCAGCGACGGGATGCCGTGCCTAGCTGGTGGACACCTTGGTCCGCATAGACACTGGCAGGCAGAAACGTACTACATTATCAGCGGCGAGGGGATCGTCAACGTGGACATGATCGAGCACAAAGTGAAGGCCGGAAGCCATGTATTCATCCCTGGCAATGCCGAGCATAGTGTACGCAATGAGAGTCTGGTTCAGGATCTGGTATGGTATTACTGCTTTGCAACGGACAACTTCGCCAATGTCAAGTACCACTTTTCGAACGATGCGAGCATTGCTTGACTGGAGTACGGAGACCTCGTGGGAGTCTAGCATCACAAAGAGCAAGATGCGTGAAAATCCGAGCTTACGATGGCCAGCCACGACGTCAGTTGTGAGCTTTGGCAGTGAGCCTGCTTCCCTCGGAAGTGCCGCAACATCCGTGATGTACTAGCCGTTTCGTCCGGTTCGTCTTCATGGAGGCAATGGCCATATCAGCGCTTTGAGTGTAACAGCACATCATCTGCAAGGCAGGAGCAATTTCGGTCCTGCCTTGCGCTCTAACAGCGAAAGTGCTGCTGTTGCCGAATCGTTCCAGATGGGTATATGCCACTGAGCAGGAAGTATAGCCATCGCAATCCTGAACCATGCAGTGCCGCCTTATAGCTGTTATGTGATGAGATCCGTGCACTGTAGAGTGGTTATCACAATCACTCCCTGCGTACGGTAACATCTGACCAGATCTAGCACGGGGCCCAAGATCGATGCTTCATATTTCAAACTCCTCTGTACACCTAGAGCATTCTTTACAAACCGTGCGTGTCGAAGTGAGGTCACGCAAGCCACAACCCCGCATCGCGTCCTTGGCCTGCAGGAGCTGATGTGAGGCCAGCAGTCTTCCACGTGTACGAAAGCAACTATAAAAGCCAGAATCCTCCCAACAAGCACCATTTCTGTACCCCAAGATACGTCTCAAACATGACGACAAAAATACCAGCACCGTACCGCATCTTCTTCACGACCATCGACCCGATCCTCGCCATAAGTGGTACTTTGACCTCCCTCTTCGCACCCTCCCTCATACTCGGGCCTTCAGCACCAAAACTACCAACACCAGAGTCAACATTCCTGCTCCAATCCTCAGCGGGTTTCTACGCCGCTTTCGTTCTCCTCCAGGTCTTTCTCCTGCGAGCCCGACCGCATGATCTGACGGTGTGGCGGGCACTAGAAGCCAGTCTGCTGATCACCGACATCTTCATTGTGGTAGCATCATTCGGATTCTACGGTTCAAAGCATGGGACGGCTATTCCATTCCTGTGGAAAGTCGAGGAGATTGGAAATTTTATGATCACGGCTGGTGTTGGGGTCATCCGAGCACTGTTCTTGCTCGGGGTCGGCTTGCCATCGGGTACGAAGTCGAGGTCGAAGTGAGAGGGCAGGGCGTTGTAAAAGGTCGAAGTGAGCGGTGAGAAAATCGAGTTAATGTCCAATTCTCATAGGGTCCCGTCAGCAGGCCAGGCTCACTTCGAGGCATGTATGGCAAACCGGTGGGTCTTCCTCTTGATAGAAGGCGTCCTGCGGCAAACTTTGGACTAGTCGGAGGATCTGAAGGCAACTCTGAGCTCTGTAGTAGTGTATGTACTGAGGTCCTTCCATGTGGGAGTACGCGTTGCTACAAGCAAGCAAACGTGGTGCGGTAAAAAAGAACATGGTTCCCCCCGACTCTCCCTTCGAACAGCACCTCGCGCGGAATCGTGGCTTGGTCATTGCGCAGCAAAAGTTAAACCATCTTTGATTTCAATGCATCGACAGACTTCTGATCCGGCTTTCCTTTTGGCTGCGGCTTAGGCTTCTGTGCACCAGCTTTCTCGCCCTGTGGCTTCGCTGTCTTCGCACCATTATTACCAGCAGGTGTCTTGGCTGCAGCCATTGTGTCGCTTTGACTAGGCTTCTTCTGTGGCGTTGGCTTGTTCGCCCCGCTCGGACTACCAGCCTTGTCTGCTGCACCACTAGGGCGTAGTTTACGAGGCTTCCGCTTCTCTCCTGGCTGCTGTGGCGCTTTTTGCTCGCCTCCTTCGGCTGCTGGCTGCGACGCTTTTGACGATGAGCTTTTGGCTGGTTGTGGACCATCACCCTGCTTTGCACTACTTTTAGCCGATTTTGACTTGTCTTGAATTTCCGTTCCCTGCTCAGGCTTCCTCTTCTGCGGAGTACTCTGCTTCTCCCCGCCCGAAGCAGACTTCTCGCCGCCGTCTGCCTCCCTTCCTCCCTTGCCACCACCACCACCAGACATAAAAGAAGAGGCATAACCCGTCCAACTCTTCTTCTGGTCAGCATACCCCACCTGCGCCCTGTTGACCGTTTCCTCTACAGGACCCTGTTTCTGCAACTGCTCCAATTCCTTCCGGTTCGGAGTATCCGTATCCTTGATCTGACCCATCATTTTCTCGATGGCTTCCTTCTGCTCCTCACTGGCGACCCATCCAGGTAGGTCACCAGTGATTTTGCGTATTGCCCCGCCAGCTGCGTCGCCAACTTTGAACATTGGTCCACCAATCCATCCGGCAAGGGCCCCGAGCCCTGCCCCAAGGCCCCCAGTGATAAGGGACACCACACCGCCAACCAGAGTCCCAGTTAAAGTCCCCAATGTCAGCCCCCGTTCGATTGTCAGCGCCGACAACGTCTTATGAATGGCTGGGTATCATAGCCGTACTTACAGGAACCATCCCCAGTCCACCCCCGGCCGCCATTCCTTGAAAAGTACCAGATCTAAGATACTTTGCCGTCTTACCAAACGACCCTGCTTTGACTTGCTGTTCCAGGGCCTCATTAAGCAATTTCTGTCTCTCGTCCGGATCACTAGCACCAGCAGCAGCCTGTAACAACTCATCGGCTTTCTTCGCAGCCTCTTGAGACTGATTCGCCATCTTGGCCGACTCCTGCTTCGTCTCTTCTTCCGAGAAGCCTCCTTGCTGCTTCCCATCTTGCTTCTGCTCCTTGGCATCTTGTTTTTTTGCATCCTGGCCCGCCATGGCTGAGTGTATTAGATTAGATTGAAGGGAAACGAATTGGGAGATGTAAGAAGCCGTGATGGGTGAGTTATAGACGTTGTGATTCTTGGATATATTACTTACACGTTGCTTACCAGTTCTGGAAGAGTACGCATCAGAGCGCCTACAGCCCAGCGAGCCGTGTTCCAGGTTGTTTCTTGGTTGTACCGACGACGCGCTTTTGAGTTCGAGTTGACGTAACAGGCGGGACGCGCCCCTCGGAGCGGTTGGCCATATATATCATTCGACATGACTATGACATATATGCAGTGTTCGTCATAAGTGTTTATAGTGAGAATGTATGTGTAAGTGTATGAGTATGTAGTGTAGTCCTGTAGGGCTTCGATACGCTTGGATCCTTTCAAATCGGGACAGACGAGCTATTTTCTTGTACGTGCGAGCAGTCTCAGTATGGAGCATACAGGATAGGTCATGCACCCTGCGCCCATGTGCATACTCATCGAGTATACGTTGAGCCCAATATATCCAAGGGTCCTCTCTATCCAAAGCACAATGCGAAATCCCGAAAACAACACCAGGACACCATCGCTCAAAAGTAATCATCCTCTCCAACATGAAATCATCCCAATCGTTGACTACCGCCACCCACCCTTCTTCTCTCCCCTCCCGTCCTCCTCACTCGAAGCACCTCCATACCCACTATCCCGACTCGCCGCCACCGCCGCCTCCTCCTCCGCAAAATCAATATCAAACTCCTTCTCCCTCTCCCCCTCATCAAGAATATCCGCCCCATCACCCTCGCCATGTCCCGCAGCACCACCTGCCCACCCCTTCTGCTCCGCAGCCCGCGTATTCCATCGTAAAGTCCGGCTGATACTATCGAACCACTCCAGTGGCCTGCCCATGACGGTGGGGAAAGGGTAAGCGGAAGCGCGCACCACGACTTCATCCCCACGACCTAATTCTACACGCCCTTTGCCATCAAAGGAGACGAAGGCGCCGCCACGGCCGGAGAAGGGGATGCTTACTTTCAAGGCCATGTCGTCGTTCAGGAGCATTGGTCGGAAGGACAATGTGTGCGGACATATAGGTGTGAGGAGGATGGCTGGGATGTCCGGGTGGACAAGGCTTCCGCCAGCGGATAGCGAGTATGCTGTACTTCCCGTTGGTGTGGAGAGGATGATGCCATCGGCTGAGATGCGGGTGAGGAGACTGTCGTTGGCGTAGAGGTCGAGGCTGGAAATGTAGGATGATGGACCACGATCGATGACTAGTTCGTTCAGCACTTCGTGCGTCTCGCCCTCGATCTTCGTAGACTCGAGCTCATTTGTATTGGTCCGGGTTGGTGGACCGCCTGCCATCGAAGTAGATAGGCTGGCGGAGGAAGACTGTGCGGTGTTTGTGAGCACTGAGGCAGCGGCGCGGTAGACGGTACAGGTAAAGCGCATACGCATGTTGATACGCATGCCAGCGTCTCCCATGATATGGTTCAGCTGCTGTTTGTATTGCTCAAAGTCGAAGTTTGTGAGGAAGCCGAGAGATCCGAGGGAGAAAGCCAGCACAGGTGGGACGATCCGCTGAAAGAGCCAAGAAGTGAAGAGGACGGTGCCATCGCCACCGAGCGTGATGACCAGGTCGAACAGCTCTGGCTGCTCCAAACAAAGCGCGGGCGTCCAGAACCGTAGCATATCTTTAAACCTCTCATCACTCTTCACAAGTCCGTCCGCATCAAATCTCTTACTCTTCCTCAGCTTCGAGTCCACCCAGACATTGACACCAATGTCCTTGCCGTATCTTGGTGTCCCCAGCAGCCACATCGCCAACTCTCTCGTGAGCGAAACCAATGTATTGTCCCTCGCCTTTGTAATGACCATGACATTCCGTACAGCCCTCTTCAACGGTCTTCTCTGCAACTGTCGACTGACTTCCCGCACACTCGCCGCAGTCTGCATAAGCCGACTGTGCGATAATTGATCATCGCCCTTGATCTCCTCGAGCACTTTCTCAATATCCACCGCATCACCAAACCTCTTGTGGAAGTAGCAAGGACTCGTCAACGCAGCCAGACGAGCAATACTCGGCGTTTGGCTGTAAAATTGGAACTTGTTCAGTGCGGTCTCGATGTCCTGGGCGTCTTTGCGCTGACTCCGTTTCTCATCCAGTTCTGCTTCTGCTGCTATTTGTGCAGCGAAGACTTGCGGCGCCGGCATCGGGATGGCATTGGCGCCAGTGCTGAAACGGCGAGGCGTCGAGTCGAGCATGGGGAGAGGGAAGCCATTTGGTCGGTCGAAGGAGTCTCTGCGGATAGGCGTGCGAGTTGCCATTGCTTCGGCCATCGCCCCGCCATGTCTATGCGGTTTGTCTGGCGACTTGGGAGTGCCTGGTGAGGTTTGTGATTGTCGGTCCTCCATGTTGCGATCTGCCTGAACTGAAGACGACCTTCGTAGGATGGAGATGAATATGGTAAGACGAATAGGTGATCAGGCGTATTGATGATTATGTCACTATTCCTTCGGGTTTAAGATGATGCTACTCCGTGCGGGCTATCGTTGATGATCAGACATGGTTAAGGTGTAAAAAGACAATATCAAGAATGACGTCGAGAGCATTGATAGATCCATTGGTGATGGCAGTGCAGGTGTAGTGAAGAGGAGGCTGTCCGGCAGATTTCTCATTCAACATTATCAAGGTGCTGATTGACTGGAGGTACGTTTTGGCGCGAATGTTCCAAACCTTCCTCCTGCTTGGCAGAATTCATGCTCGCTTCCCGATGCCGACTCGGCTGTATTCACGCGAGATCTCCCTTCCTGCAAGCTCACGATCCGCACAGCTTGACTTCACAGAGGGAGACAATTGCAGCTATTGCTAATGGAACAAGTGTGGGGACGAGTTATAAGAGTAGAAATCGTTCATTTCGTTAATGCTTAAGCCACACCAGGAGAGCCCGTAGGCATCACATCTCAGCCTCCAGCTTGCTGCCAAAACCTCAAGATGTTAGGCACGTCTCGTCAATCCCATATCGCAGGTCAAGAAAAAAGCCTCACGAATGCTGTTGAGCTTGACCACCGTCCTACGGCTGATTCTGCTTGTTGATGTCGGCCTCGGCACCACGCTGCAGCGTCTTCCCTTGATCATGCTTAGCCTGCTGAGCAGCCTGCTCCTCACGATCACCAGTCAACCCAGCGACGGCACCCCCAACAGTGCCCGAAACGCGGTCGGCAATACCAGTACCAAGGTCGGACACCTGGCCATGAGCCTCTTGAGCCTTGCCCTGAGCGTTCTGCTGCTGACCCTCACGCTTGAGGCCTTCAGCACCGAGGAGACCGCCGAGAGCCTCCTTGCCAGAGCCTACGGTCTGGTCCCATGAGCCTTGCTGGCGATCTGGATGGTTGGCAGCGACGCCTGAGCTGGAGACGGAGACGCCACCGATCGAAGCACCAGCATGGGAGAGATCGTTCTTGGCATCGGCCATGTCCTGCAACGAAGTTAGCTATCATGTGTGTCGCCACCCTTGATTATGTTGTGTCTGACCTTCTTTCTCTCGCCTTGAGCAGTGTCAGCCCTGTTGCCAGTAATATTGCCCAGAACAGACTGAGCAGCGCCGCTAGCCTGAAAATCATGTCAGTCGTACATCATCATGGTCAGTGATCAGGGCCACCATACCTTGTCGATGTAGCTCTGAAGAGTAGAAGTATCCTTGTCAGACATGTTGAAGGTAGTGTTGGTAGATCGATTGGAAGATGTGTTGCTAGTCTGCTGGGATAGGCTTGGGAACGTTTGTGTCGGAACAGTGATATCGGTGTCGGTCGTGCGAAGGTATGTGCTAGTGTCAGGAAGGAGGAAAATGAAGAACTTTCCTACATGTAGGCAATCAACGACAAAGAGTCACCTGGCAACTGCAGGCGTGTGTGCGTGGCATGTGGAAAAGAAGGCACGCAAGATGATGTCATCTTAGCGCCTGATGGCTTCACTGCAGGCCACGAGGTCCATAAGCGAGCGAGTTCTGGAATGTGCGATCGTTGGACTGGAACTAGTGAATGTTGGATAAGTTCCTCGTTATCATGTGATTAGTTCAGTCTGCGAAGCTTTCCAAGGAGACCGTCCAAACCTCGCCCACCCAAAATCCCGATCCTGGTCCAACAGCATCGCAGCGCTCATCAATAGAGCAGGTATCTGTCATCGCGCTTTCCAAGTCCTACATTCACAAAGCATACTGTTCCCTGCTGTCCGATATCGCCGGTACGTCCCATATCATACACCAGCCAAGTACGATACTTCGATACTAGCACCTTTCCATCCAATCTACAGGCCTAATCCTAGCCCTTCATCCCAACTGCCTGCTGCGGCACCAAAGCCCAGCTCTTCTCCGTGCGCGAGCAAGTCAGCTGGCACACAAATGCCCCTGTACAAGTCATCAGTGCTGCCATTTACACTTCCTGGCCAGGGACCTCCCGCCACATCATCCTTCTGTGGCGGTGAAGGCACAAGTCGCACCCCATCTTCATCCGATGTGAATGAGAACAAGCTCTCCGTCTGTCCACTCGCGTTGCTGTTCGTCAATGCCGAAAGATCGCTCGTATTCGTGTCGGTCTGATATAGGCTCCAAAGATCTGCATCCCACGAGGCGGAAGCGGCGACCGCTGCTTGGGTTGCGGTGGCTGCCTGGATTGCAGTGGCATGAGCGGCCATGGATGTCGTATTGTGGTGAGCAGTATCGAATAGTGCTTCGATGGGCTGACCTCCATAGCAGGCATCATAGATATTTGTCTGGCCATTGTCGAGACTTCCGAGTAGCTTTTCCCATTCCGTAGGCGATGGCTCAGACTTGATAGGGACTGAGTTTGTGCTGTTAGCTACCCTAACACGATCCTCAGACTCTAGGCCAAATGATAGGTAGTCTAGGTTAGGATGGCTACTTGGCTTCTGTTGCGGCTTAGATTTCGGCTTTTGTTGTGGTGGCTGCATGTGCTGCTGCGATGCAGGTCGAGTCTTATTTACGGGGCGAGGCGCCGATGGCCGTTCTAGCATCGACGCTGGTCGTCCATATGTGTTGCTCGGACTACGCGATGGCTCGGAGCGGGACAAGGAGGATGGCTGGTATACCGCTGCCGGCATGGGTGGCGATAGCGAGGGTTGGCTTTGCGTCACGAACGCATTAGGGTGAAGACTAATGTTGTGGACGGTCGCACGACGATGATCAGATGGTGGATCCATCTTTGTCGACGTGGAGGATGAACCCTTCATTGTGAAGCGCGAAGCAATTGCTTTGAGCTGTCTTCGAGTCGATGCTGGCAGGCTAGGGATTGGGGTGATTGTCATAGCGGCGGAGTCTGAATTGTGACGCGACAGCGTCGGTACGCTCTCCTTTGGGGTAGAGAGAACACGCTTTGTCGAGGCCGGCTGGATGGTGGGCTTGGTTGCCGTTACAGCAGGCGTCGCTGGCAAGAAGGAGCGAGCGACGCGACCAAAGTCCATAGCGCAGGGTGCCTTGAATTTGTCCAAAACGCTGATGATTCGCAAGACAGTCTTGTGGTTATCCTTCAGGATCTTGGATGCAGGATCAAGGTCCAATCCTTGGAAAAGCAGACCGAAGCCAGACAACACCAGGAGTTCATCCTTGTTAAGACAGAACGCAAAACACATAGCTCTCTCCTCCAGTAGCTGCACGAGTTGTACGATATGCTTGCATGAGCTTGCCAATGTCATTTTGGAAGACGAAAGGCTGCTACCAGTAGACGCACTAGCTGCAGGTCGATGAATGAGTGCGCGAATGTAGTGGTATGTCATGGACAGCAATGGCGATCGGCTACTGATGGTGCCAGTGCTCGGCTTGTCCTGTGCGAATTGCAAGCGAAGGTGTGGCGCCAGGGAGCTGCTCCAGGCATCAAGCTCATCCGACAGCTCGCCAAGCTTCTTCATCGAAAGATCGTACGACGTCTTGGCCGGAAAGACTTCCTCGAGCACTTTCGACAGGATGCGCGCAGCACGGAAGAGTGCAAGCGCACTCGACAACTTAGTCGACTCGCCAGGTAGGGTAGGCTGAAAACCGCGTTCGGTCACATATTCGTCATCGGCATCTACAGGATACTCGCAATGCACATCGTCGTCCTTGAGCTGTTTTGGAAGACCTAGTGTAACAGCAGTAAAGCTATCGACGGTGTAGAGCGTCCAGAACACCTTCTTCCTCGTCTCGCATGTCAGTGTGCCGAGAGCGAAACGTTTCTGTGATTGATGGAGCCCTAGTCGTGCTGACAGCGTGGTCGAAAGACCTTTATATGTCAGTAGTCTCGTCAGATCGCCCTGCTGCACGCAGTAGATCTGCGCCAAGACCAAGGCTTGCAGCGTGCCCATTGTATTCTCGTTCAAGATTGCATCGATAGCAGCCTTCCATTGTCCTTCAAAGCTTTCCAGATCATCCGAAGCACGAGAGCCGTTTGATAGGGCAGAGATGCCAAAGACCAAATTCAGCTGCGCAATGGCAGTCTTGTCCGTCACGGCATCAGCATCAGCGACATACTTTTCGTACAGGTTCAAGAACGTCGGTCGATGAAGCACCGGGTACAGTGGCGCCCACTCCTGGAAGAAGATGTTCACCAGCTGATCAGACACAAGACGAGGTGGCGCTTTCCAGACCACGGGTGCGGAAGGTGACGGCGACGACTCCGCAGAGTTCTTGAACTTGCTCGCAAGCAATGCATCAGTGCAAATATCAGCCGTCGAACGGCCAGTCTCCTGTACTTTGTGCTTGAAGGCCTCGATGAATGTCCTGCTGCTTGATGTGCCCGAGAAGTACGAATCGCCACCATTCACGGCGCCAGCCAGTAAGTAAGGCGACTGCTGCACTTTGAACACTTCATCCTTCTCAGGCGTCTCCGCGTTCGCACTGCCAGAATCGACGGACGTGCGAGACGGTCGTCGAGAGCAGGGTAGTTGCAAAGATGAGTTCGAGTGTATCCGCGTCAGCATGTCGATCTTCTCGTCCTTCTCGTCCAACAGCTCCTTCAATTCTCTGACTTCATTCTCCAGCCCTCGCACCCGCTCCTCCAATGATTCGGTATACCCTCGCGGGAATGCTCGCCGGCTCAACTTGTCACTAGTCTTGCATTCGAACCCTACATTCGCACACTGCGTACAGCACGGCCGTATGCCGTCACATCGTATCTTCTTGCTTCGGCATCTAGCGCCACATGGTCAGGTGTGTCATGAAAGAATGTGCGACGGAACACTGCATCGTACCTATCACAAGCCTGCGCAATCCTCGTTTGCGCATTCGTGCCCACCTTGATGACCTTCATCGGGAGTATTCCAGGCATGACGGACGAGTGTATGCCAGACTACTGGCAGGTATATTATGAAGCGTCGTCGTACTCAGACTCAACCCAAGGTCGCCCAGTGCCTGGCACACTCCGCGCTCAATGATGTCTCTGCTAATCCTAGCCTGCCGTAGTCGCTCGATGGTCCCACTCAATCCATGGAACGCAATGAAGTATAACGGCCAAAGACTGTCGCCTCGTGCAAGTCTACAGGAGGCCACCGTTTCGCTCCAGAAAATAGACCACACGCACACCACGAGATCGTTCCGGCTCTACCGCACTAGATACACAATCTGGAGAAGAGACAGACACCTTTCCCAGTCCAAGACTAGGCCGTGTGTTCACGGAACGTGACCCTGCAATATACTTCCACTAAAGATGACACCGTCTTGTCATTGGTTCATACCACAGCGCCCAGCTGCCGGCGCATGGGTGGGGAGCATCTCCGCCTGTGCGTCAGGGCTGCTCAATCTGTTAGCACCACCTTTTGCCTGCATTTCACACCCGACGCAGCAGAGAGCGACCATACGAATCGTTCGACCGCCCGTCTGTGGCTCCCTTGATGCGAAACCTGAATAGTTTCCCGGTCTGAATGACGAGAAAACTTTTCGCGGCGAAGCTATCAGTTCTGACACGCACGTAAAAAGCCCGAGAGGCGTTGCATCGACACTCAAATCACAAATGTCACACGCGGCGTCGTGGCCCGGCCCAGACAATTTGTGAGACTCGCACTCAATTTTGCCAAATTGCGGGGTTGGTTTCTTGTGGTGCTCTGACAAGAGCCAATTGTGGTCAACGGCGTGTGGTATGGCTTTTGACTCTGGCTCTGCAGCCGTGTTCGTGACTTCATCGGTCGGTTGTCAAGAGACGTCGACCGACTAATCACATCCCTCTGCTGATCGTGAGACGAGAGTTGCGCGCACTCGTCAAGTCGGTTCAAATCTTTTGCTGTCAGCCACCATCTCCGCCGAATGGCATCAACGACGACCTCCTAACGGCGACGGAAGCTTTGCAAGTCGGTGTTCTATAGCTAGCTCTGCCGCACTTCTGGGGCCGCCGCCACCTAGTCACAAACCAAGAAAGATGCCGTGACCACGATCCTGGGCTGCATCCGGCCTTCACATCCTCCCAATGCGGTAGCTTTGCACAAGACTGCGTCTATCAAGCTGTAGATCGCTGTAGCTGGTGTACTACGGTCATGGCTGCCGACCCGGTCACTGATGACCTTGTGCTAAACTTGCTTGACTAAGCTTCCGAAGTGGTTTAAGTAATGACCCAGGGTATCATTATAGCAAGATACCGGACTCGAGTCTCGCGGAAAGCACGAGATGTGAACTTCGGGAGTGACAAGTCTGGCAGGCTAGTCATGACGACGGTTCGAGCCTGAGGTACCTCATGACGATCTTGTGCCATAAACTCTCTTGCGGACCATTTCGGAGGCATCGCGGATCCACGAATTTACAGCATCAACGGCTAGATGCCAAGTCTACATCAGGCACAGACACTGCCTAGGAGAAGTCTTCTGCGACATCTCGACCTGGTGCATCGTCATCCACAGCCATGGTGGCCAGGTATTTCTTCACGCACTCCGTCTCCGCAAGTTCAACTTTCTGTCCACGATCAGTAGGAGCTTGGTGGTAAACAAAAGTGCTTACACATACCTGTCGCTCGAATTCCTCATAGGCATTCTCCAGCAGCTCGAACTCAAGCCTCCCGAGCTGCATCGCCTGCTCGTAACACTTTGATCTGATATCCGAGCCTGCGCCGTGTGCTACAGCCTCCACGTCTTCCTGCGAACTATACAGCACTTGCATCTGGGCAAAGACTCTCTGCTGCAGAATCGCCACGGCTCGAAGGCGATACACTTCCCACATCTCGCTCTGGCCGAGCAGATCATGAATCTGTCCGGCTCCTCTTGTAATCTCGTGCTCGCCAAAGAATGCATGCATTTCATCGTCCTCGCTATCTACAGTACGAGCAAGCTCAAATCGGAGCCCGTCTTCCGCATTCACGCACAGCAGCCAGATGAAGTCACCAGTCCACTCTATCTTGCCACCGCCAGCATCAACAAGCTTGAACCCAGGCGCGCAGTCTGCTACTGTAGTCTTGGCTGTTCGATAGGGATCATCATCAGGTATGGTCAAGCTCAAGAACAAAGTTTCAGCCGATGTACGATCCTGTTCCAGAAAGCCATAGGAGAAAAGCATCTCGCATGCGCCTTTCTCGTCTCCGTAAGTAACGGTCACCTCTTCACCTTCTCTCGCCGACTTCCCGCCTCGGAGAAGTAGGCAAGCGTTACCGTCGTCATCTTTTTCGTAGATAGCCACTGTCGCTTCCCCAGCAGAATGGTTTGCTAGATCGACGCAAGGGACCATGCAATGGCCTATGTTGGGGTAGTCGAGTGCTCGGGATCGATACATTGCATCGACCTGCTGCCAGTCGTCGAAGTCCAGGAAGCTCGATACTATTCTGTACCATCTTGTGTGTTGTGCTACTTCACATAGCATATCGTATTCTCGTCGTAGACTACGGAGCTTCGAGGCCACGGCTGGCGCCAGAGTAGTGCCAACGAGAAGCTGTAACTCCTCTGGATTCCAGAATGTAGGTAAGAGCTCAAGAGGCAAGGACTTGACATAGCTGCTCTTTGTCAGATGATCATTGATCAGGCAGATGATTACGAGCTGAAGTGAAGGTGAAGACTGTACTTACTCTGTGAACGGGCTGTGGACGCCTACACGCTCCGCAAGATGTGGACAGGACACAGATGCTTGTACGAGAAGACAGAGGAGGATGGCACCACGAGGCGTCTGTGAGCAGAATCAGCACATGTGCTGGACTGCTGTTGTGCTCTGGGACGATGATATGACGGAGGTAGATTCAGACAGAGAGGGTCACATGACCTACCCTGCCAAAGTCGCCCAGCTGCTCGAGCACTTCACGGAAGTCCCTGTCTACCTTGCTATGCTCCAGGACCCGCTCCAGCGACAATATTAGATCTCGAGGCACCGTCAACAACGTCACGTGGCTGTCTCGATCATTATCGCTTGAGAAATCTTCGCTCGCCAGAAGAGCTCCGCCTTTGCCGGTAGTCACACCTGGTACGACGTAGTGGAACGCCACATCGTAGAGCATGGCCCAAGGCAACAGTGCTTCGTCGGGCAGCGAGAGCCATCCTGCTGCTTTGCCACTGCGGATCATTTTAGGTGCTGTGAAAGCAGCAGAATCGAATCTTGCAGAGGCTCTTCGTTTGTCATGTGTAACGGAGCACGCGATGGAGTCGTTGTTTCATATGTGGCTACTTTCAAGCGTTTCGTACAATCTCAGTGGTTGTCAATGCGCACGTGCAGAGTTTGTGGCAGGTGTGGTGGAACACGGACGCAGCGATCCGCTAGCTTCGGCAGGGGCCGCTGTTATGTTTGTACCCGCGTTGCCACAGTAGCCGACTTCAGATCTCCACAACAAGACGACGAGCTAATGGTTTCGTCTTGTGTATACCGCTGGTAAAGCACAACATCGTCCAGGCATCTCTATCATCATCAGCGCATTTGCATCACGAAGCGGCGTACCAAGGATACCATATGGATTACTGACAGGCACTCGACTTGTACACATCACCAGTGCACCTTCTCGAACCACACGATTGAGCACGCGAGCAGGTTGTGCTTGCATCCACATACCGACTCCTTGCACTTGCTACAACAATCATCGCACAGCACACGCAGGCTGAATCACCACTCGAGGCGACAATGCCTCACTCCGCTCGTGCCGCAACGGCCGAGGAGCTTCCTTCCGTCACCAGCTATGGACAAGTCATCGAGTACATCCAAGGTGAGCTTGGTCCAACGACACAGCGATATATTTGGTAGAATACCAATTACTAACATGAATGTCCGCCACTTCACAGATCGACTATACCTCGCATCATATACTCACGCGCCCGACGAGAACACTCCATTCCCTTACCCACCCAAGCCAAGCAGATCGCCCAACAAGCGATCACAAAGAGCGCAGCATGGACCGCAAGCAGTACAGAGCGACGAACAGCGACCAGTGCCATTCTATTTTTCTATCGACCACAGCCTGCTCTACAACGCCTTCCATGCAGACTTCGGTCCACTGCACGTTGGACATCTCTACCGTTTCGCTGTACAGCTGCATGATGTCCTTGGCCACCCGGAGAACGAGACTCGATCTGTTGTGTTCTGGAGTCATCCGGACTCGAGAAGTACGTGTAGATATCATGCTGATGACTTATCGAATCTCCATACTAACGCTACGATCAGGTCGCGCCAATGCTGCATGCCTATTGGCCACATATATGGTGCTAATTCAGAATTGGCCACCTCATCTTGCGCTTGCACCAATTGCTCAGATGGACCCTCCCTGCATGCCATTCCGGGATGCTGGTTACAGCCAAGCAGATTACGCACTAACAATCCAGGACGTCGTGTATGGTGTATGGAAGGCCAAGGAAGAAGGCTTGGTCGGTCTCAAGGAGTTCAGTCTCGAGGAATATGAGAGATACGAGCGTGTCGACCAGGGCGACTTCAACTGGGTGACGCCAGACTTTCTTGCTTTCGCCAGCCCACAACACCAGCCTGTGGATGTTGTTGCGCCGTCGGATCCATCATACAACCAGCTTCCGCGCTCCATCTCGGCACTGCACAAGGACAAGATATTACCGCAGCCGTTCAAGAATGTCCTCATGCACTTCGCTGAACGTGGCGTCGGTCTCGTAGTGCGGCTGAACTCTGAGCTATACTCGCCAAGCTACTTCACTGCGCTGGGCATAAAGCATCTGGACATGATCTTCGAGGACGGTACCTGCCCTCCCCTCCAACTGGTTCGCAAGTTCGTCAACCTCGCTCATACTACGATTAACGACAAGCATAAGGGCATCGCTGTCCATTGCAAGGCTGGCCTTGGTCGAACAGGTTGTCTCATTGGTGCCTACCTTATCTACAGATATGGTTTCACGGCAAACGAGATCATAGCGTTCATGCGATTTATGCGACCAGGTATGGTCGTGGGTCCACAGCAACATTGGCTTCATCTGAATCAGGGCACCTTCCGAGAGTGGTGGTTCGAGGATACGGTACGGGAGAAGATCATGGCAAGCATGCAACCAAGCACACCAACCAGATTGGGCCACTCTAGCAGCCGAAGACTGGCCAGCAATGGACAGACTTTTACTCCACCAAACGGAGACAGGCGTATTAGCAGTCCTCGTAGGTCTGCCCTCGGCGAGATCAAGAACAATGAACAAGGCGTAACATCCAATGGTGGCTACTCCTCATCCGAAGAGAACATGAAGGGCGGTCTTGGTGTTGCAGACGAGAATTTGCCTGCGCCTACTCCCGGTCAGCCTCGGAAGACGAATAAAATCTTTGGCACAGGTCGCAGAGTCATGACAGAGAACCAGCCTTTCAACATCAAGCCCGATAACGAAGTCGTTACCATGCAGCGATCGAACATGACCGCAGATGCCAGCGAGAGCGAGAATGATCGTGCACTCCGCATGATGTCGCGGAAGGCATCACAATCGCCAGTCAGCCGGAGCGGCAAGCGACGAGCCGTTTCTTGCACGACCACGACTACGACCACGACCAAATGGGATGTCCCAACAGACGGCAGCGACGCAGAGAACATGCAGCCCGCTCTCATCGAAGAGCTCGACACCGCCATGACCGACCGCCTCACCAGCCCTTCACGACCCAAGACCCCAGGTACAGTCAAGTCCGGCAACGGCATGGGTGCCCTGAGCGTAGGCAAGCGGGCTTCGCCTAGCAGACGAAGCACGGAGGGCAAGACGAGTGTACGGAAGACGAGCGGACGGGTTGGCAGTGTGGGCACGCAGGCTGTCAAGGCGCACAAGGCTTCGTTGGCTGGCTGATCGGCACTGTAGATGTTATGGGGTGATGTTTCGTATTTTCGCTTGGTCGGCATGGTGTTGACGAGATTCTGGAGTTATGCTTTGTTTCGGAGTTTTGAGTTTGGGAAGGGCTGCATAGTTTGCAGTGCGCTGCGAAGACGCGCTTTTCTTGTTCCTCGGTTTCGCGATGTGGCGATTTCGGATTTAGTCGTTTCCTGCGCGAAGCAGGCAGTTGCGTCGCAGAGCGTCTGGCCTATTCATGAATGTGTATGATCAACGGTCATGGCATGGCAAGCAGGAGCGTTTAGTATTGCGGTTGATGGCAGCATTTCTGTATTATTCAACAGCACCCTTCTCAATCTGCTCGGGTGTAAGGCTTGAAGTTGGTCGACTTCTAATGGCAGCAGCACTTGGTGGTGCTTTCAATTACTAAGTGCTATGCGAGATCCCTGTGATCGTCGTTGCCGCTCAAGCCCTCGCTCTGAAGGTTCGGCTTCATATCGGCCCGCGATCAAGCAATCCTGTGACTTCACACTCCCTGCATAACCTCTTCCTCCCGAAGTAGAATGGAAGACCTGATTGCAAGCAAGAATAACGAGATGCGTTCTGGTAATCAGGCCATTATTCTTCCACTCGGATCTGGTCCAGAGTATGCCGCAACTGGAGCTTCACATCGGCCCTGATTTGCGCAAAGACGAACCCGTTCTACCAGCACGAGCCGTTCATGCGGCCGAGGACGTTGCCGATACATGCAGGGCACCTGACTCTGTGACAATGCGCAAGGCCCACTAGGTAGTCTCTGCGACCAGGCACAACTACGGCCTGCGACCCTGTATCTTGGAATAGGACGACCATCCGACTTCACACTGCAAAGATCTTCGCTGGATCCACTGCCCTGATGCGCCCACCAACCTGATCTCCCTGTTCATAGCTCGCGGATACTATCTATTGCTGCTCTTCTCGGTCTGGTCTCGATGCGTTTTGTGATGCCTTCATACTCCTTTGGGTGGTCGGCACAGTATGTCGACCTACTACCCACCGAGCACGAGCACACAGACGGCAAACCGCGTCGGCATGCTTGACCAAGATTGCCAGTCGTGTCGCTGACTTTCGGCGAAGTGCTTCAGCTGACCCGAGCCCAGAGCCGTGGACGACATGGCCCTGGGTTCCTTGGAAACCTCCGAGCATAGACTAAAGGCTTTAGTACTGTCCTACTACATTTCCTTCTATCCACTTCAGACACTTCTCATCACCCTACCGTCATCTTTTATCGCCTGCCCACCCTTCGACCTCGCAAACACATCTCATACCATCTCCGAGATCTGTCCGCACCTCATCGAGCGAAACCATGGGCTTCCCGTTCACAGACAATGCTCCCAATCTGGCCGCTGTAGTCATAGTGTTATTCATTGCCAGCGCCATCGTCTTTCCTCTCCGGATCTACATCCGCTTGTCGAAGAAAGTGTGGGGTGTGGACGACTGGATGATTGTCGCCGCGGTGCTACCCTTCATAGCTTTTTCGTCAGCATGTCTGTCTGGATCATTTCATGGCATTGGTGTGCGGCAAGAGCGGTTGACTGACGACCAGGCCAAGCAGGGTCTGAAGGTATGTTGATGAGTTCAGCTGGTATCAAACAAGTCGTGTTGGCTGATAAAGCTGTACAGGTCTTCTTCCTCTTTGAGATCCTGTGGTGTATCACTGTCATACCAACCAAACTCGCCATATCCTTTCAGCTTGCACGAATCGCTGGGCCTAAGCAGTTCTATGTCTATATATTATGGGCGATGTCTGCTATCCAGACAATAGTCAGCCTAGTTGCATTATTCTACATCATCTTTCGCTGCAAACCTGTTAGGTGAGACTTTCGCTGCCTTGATCGTCTACAGTGTCTCTGACACGAAATTTTCTAGCTATGCTTGGAACACATCAACACCAGGCGGTCACTGCGAACCCGCGAGCACACTGACAGATATTTATTACGCCGCTACAGCCATCAATATCGTCTTCGACTACGGCTGCTCAATTCTACCAATACCACTCCTTTGGTCGCTGCAAATGAATGCCAACGCCAAGATTACCGTCGCCATCCTTCTAAGCCTGGGCGTCTTGGCCTCACTATCCGCTTGCGTGCGACTAAAGTACACCGTCGCTCTCACCAATGCCACGGACTACCTCTACAGTATCTCTAACGTCGTCATCTGGGGCTATGCGGAAATTGGTGTCGGCTTCTTCGTAGCTTGCGCAGCTACACTACGGCCTTTGGTGCGGAGATTCGTCGACCTACGTGCGAGCTCCGACAAGCGTTCGAGACAAGATCACCTCAATGCTTTGCCGGAAGATGTACAGCTTGCCAGCAGATTAGGCGGTCACGAAAACGGCTGGTATGGTGAGCTGAAGCAACCGAAGGTCTCGACGAGCGAGGAACGCTTGGTGCCGCAAGGACAGGAGATTGTGATTAGTAAGAGTGTGCAGCAGTCTTCTGCTGGGGGAGGAACGTCGCGATGAAATCTCTTGATTGAATCGTGCACAGCAGATGTGTAGACCCTTCGAAGGGCAAAGAAAGAGTACGAAGACGATTGCTACCACTCCTCTAGCTGAGTCAACCATCAGCTCTGGGAACTCTGTGATTCTGATGTCATACATCGTAGCTCTGGCACTCAAACCCTGACTACACGTCCCCTGCCGCCACCACCTGACTACAAATGGACAATCTGTGCTTCCATTTACTCGTCCAGTGTCTGCTCTCGCGCAGTCAGCACCGCGTTCCGCGCGTCTGCGGACTCCTCCTCGCGTTGGACGTGGACCCGTTCAAGATGGTTTGCGACCCTCTGCTCCTGTTCAATCCTTCGCTCGAGGTCCTCGTCTCTGACTACAGCATGCATAGCGACACTCCGCTTATCTATACTAGCATACAAGACACCGCATGCATCTTTGAACTTCTGCTCTGCCTTCCATTCTTCTGACTTATTGCGGCGAACGTTCTGCTCGAGACCATGAATGCGATTCCTGTAGGCCTGGGATGCAGCATTCCACTTCTGTTCTCACACGCCACCAGCAATGGCATTTCACTGACCTTCCCACGCCCTTACGATCTTGGCCAACTCACTCATTGGGACGATTCGGCCACACTGGTAGGCCTTCCATGAGCTTGTGGGACGAATGGCCTCGTCACCTATCTCCACTTCCTCTAGCCATGGTTCAGGCAGGCGTCGGGTAACGCCGATGAACCAGTAGACTTGGGGATGTAGGATGCCCAGTTCACGACCGTTCATGAAAAGGTATTTCCCACTGCAGAGTTGCAGCCAAGCGAGTAGATGATTCGTCAAGTCGGGCACTTCCGCATCGGAAAGAGTGCATGAGTATCGTATGACGGACTTTTTGCCAAGTTGCTCTAGCTCCTTCTCGTGTAGCATCTCGACGTAGGCTACGACATCACTGAAGTCGAGATCGCGCACGGCAATCTTGACGACGGTGTCGTGGAGAGGTCCGCGGTGGAGGATGAGGTCTGTCGCCTCAGAACGGATCTTGGGGCATGTTTGTAACAGCGACACTCTGTTGGCGATCGAGCCGTGATGTTTGATCACGACCAGGTCCAATGAATTTGACCAGTGCTTGTAGATGGTGTTGCGGACTTCGCGTGGTGCATCGAGGATCGGACATTGCTTGATCCTGGGCGGCCTGCATGACCCAGGAGCTTGCAGTGTGCTGGGTCTTGTGGTTCCCATGTCAGCGTGCCACTGTGGTATCGCAGTTAAGGTTGTCTGGTATCAAGTGCTGGATCTTGAGACCGCGGAGAGCTCCAATTGACGATGACGGTCAACCAGAAGGACAAACCGAAGGCAAACAAGCTCGTCTGCATGGTCAAAGGAGGAAGCTGCAAGAATCATGCAATTTTCCGTTCGTTTGGCCCTCCCGATCGGCACGCAAATACAGCGCTGAATATCTGCAAACACACTCTACTGCATGTTTGTCCTGTCGTTGAGGGCCGGGCGATATGCAGACTTGACCTCACATTCGTACACAAAGTACAACGCGCGGGCACGTATGCTCGCAGGCAACAAGATCAATGCAATCTAGACTCGAATGAGGATGCTCGGGCTCGGATGGCTCAGTAAGAGGTGGCAACCCTGACGTCTGCTTTTGCTAACTCCAAAGGGTTACACAAAGCAAAGCCTCGCGCCGGGGTTCCAGTATCCCATCGCGTATTGCTTCACACTGACACCATCGACTTTCTCGGCCTTTCGCGCAAACTCCCAATAGATACTCTCGAAGACTCGCTGCTCTGAATCGCTGCGATGGAAGCGATATTGCTTGGCCAGACGAGCAAAGTGAAGTCTCCATGTATGCAAATCAAAAGTCTCCAGGTCGAAGCTGAAGCAGTATCGTAGCTTTGACGCTTGGTCGAGTGGCATCTGCAGCTGTGACCTGGCGAGCTCCGTGATAAAGGCTTTGACGTTGACGAGTTCTAAGCTGTTTGTGAGTCCGATTCGGAGGACAGTGCTGCATTCCACATTCGGAGCAGGCGAGGGTATGCTTCGGATAGTGTGTAGCAAAGACCAGATGTTGAAATCATCATTGTATACAATGATGTTCGTGGCATAGCTCAGTGGTATAGCTGAATAGAGAGTGCCGAATTCGTGGTAGACCTGCCTACAGACCAGGCTCAAAGGTGGCAGAGTTATTTTAGCAAAACCTGGCTCCAACATCACTGCCTCCATCGATCCGTACGCAACGCACTCGTAGACCTGGTTTCTGAGCTCGCCTGGCAGGTGCAGAAGCATGGTTGCTTGCTTGAGAGTAGTATTTGGTGCAGTGTCGCCTTCACGTATGGACCTATGCAGTAATCCTGCTTACTGTCGAAGCAGACCAATCATAGTCAGCTGAAGCCGTTGGAACACTCTGCCATCATTGACAAGGTGGTTTCCAGCTTATATGAAAGCGAAGGCAGACACAATATGAAATTTATGCCAGCGCAGGCCATCATGGTGCTGGTGGCCCATTTATCGTCGGCCGCGTTGCTGACATGTAGCCAATCGCGTCATGTCAATCTTGTTGTGACCACGATTGGCATCGTCAAGTGCTTAGATGCGCATGTAAGATTGCCCACTGTGGTTTGCAGCATCGATGGCATGGTCGAAGAAGATCGGCCGTAAGCCTGATGTTTGTGGCGGTCGTACAACGGCCGAACCCGCCTGCTAGCCAGGTTTGGCTTTGACTACGACCTGTGCATATACATAGACATCTACAGAATCGACGAGTAATCAACGGAGGACCGCTTCTGGGCAGCGACTGATAACGTGACTATGCGATCATCACGAGTCAGTCGAGACACAGCACGAGTCATAAGCGCATCATCCACTACAGCCCAGATCATGCCTCGCCGGTTACTCAGGCGTTTTGCAGCCGATGCGGGCTCTAAGAATGAGGATGAAGATTCGACCTCCACTCTTGCACTCACCGCGAACACGTCTCGGTCTGCCGACTCACCGAGCGTAACATCAAGTACGGGGAAGCGTAAGCGGGATGCCCTAAAGCCAAAAACAACGACCGCCATCGCCAGCCAGGATGATGCCAATGTACGCAGGTCATCTCGAAAAGCACTCAAGCTTGAGGACGAGGAGGGAGGCCAGCCCAGCGGCCGCAAGGCCAAACGTCAACCATCCAAGCGTATCAAAGGCCAGAACGGTACTACGACCGTTGAGCCGCCACCCGGCTGGGAAGAAGTCTACGACATTACTGCAGTCATGCGCAGACGAGTGCTAGCTCCTGTTGATACTATGGGCTGCGAAGACTTAGCAGATAGAAAGCGGTCGCCACGAGATCAGCGTCTGCAGACTTTGGTAGCACTGATGCTAAGCTCGCAGACGAAGGATACTGTCACCGCGGTTGCGATCAAGCGAATGCAGGAAGGTCTTCCTAGTGGCTTCAACCTGCAAAGCCTAATTGATGTCGAGCCTGACGAACTGAATCGACTGATCGAGAAGGTCGGCTTCCACAATAACAAGACCAAGTTCCTGAAGGCCGTTGCGATCATTCTTCGAGACAAGTTTGATGGTGATATTCCCGACACGATCGATGGATTTATATCGCTACCTGGTGTAGGTCCGAAAATGGCGTACTTGTGTATGTCAGCTGCTTGGGGTAGAGACGAAGGCATCGGTGTGGACGTCCATGTCCATCGTATCACGAATCTGTGGGGTTGGCACAAGACCAGTACACCTGAGCAGACTAGGGCTGAGCTGGAGTCTTGGCTACCGAAGGAGAAATGGCATGATATCAACCATCTTCTTGTTGGGTTCGGGCAGACTATCTGCTTACCTGTTGGACGACATTGTGGAGAGTGTGATCTCGCGAACAAGAAGTTGTGTCCAAGTGCTGTTGCTAGTAGCCCAACGAAGCGGAGAGTAAAGAAGGAGGTTGAGATCAAGATAGATGAAGATGGCGAGAGCAAGCCCGTGGAGGTTGAAGGATTGGTTGTCGAGAAAGCTGATATCGCTGTGAAGATCGAAGAAGAGTCGAAAGAAATGGGCAACGTGGAGGAGGTTCTCTTGGCGGGGGATGTTGATACTGCGGCAAGACAGGACGCGTAAGTAGAACTCTCATGTTGCGTGTAATTGTATTCTGCCTTTCACTGTGTATATTGCCATCTGATCGAATCTGTTATATTCAGGGTTTCACTTGACCTCCTTAGATCATATATATTTAATGTCGTTCATCCCCCGCAAGCAAATCGTGCCTCGGTATGAACTTTCATGCGCAGTACATAACCGAGTATCTACGTCGAACATACTTTGCTCTTCTGACAATCGCACCGTAGCAGACATTCATTTCAGGTTAGAGCAGCTCTTAACCTGATCACGGACATCACTTCAACATGGCGCACTCCTCTGCCACAGCAGACCTGAGCGTCGCCAACCTCTTCACCTTCAAGAATCATGTCGTCTTGATCACAGGCGGCGCCACTGGTCTTGGAGAAATGGCCGCCCAAGCATTCGTTCAAAACGGCGCCAAAGTCATCATCGCGAGCCGAAAACAAAGTGAACTCGAGAAGACGGCCGCAAGACTGAACAAGCTCGGACCTGGCTCGTGCGATTATGTTGCCGCCGATCTCAAGGACAAGGCGGGATGCAAAGACCTTTGCGATCAGGTCAAGAAGAAGACTGATCGATTGACTGTGTTGTTGAACAATTCGGGTGCCACTTGGTGAGCCTGGGATGCAATACTGAACCTCACGAGACGAGCTGACCAACAAAGGGGAGCATCTTACGACGACTTCCCAGAGTCCGGATGGGATAAGATATATTCACTCAACGTGAAGGCGATATTCTACACAACTGCCTATCTTCACGACATTCTCGCCAAAGGTGCTACAGCGGATCAACCCAGCCGCGTGATCAATATTTCCTCCATGGCTGGTATCATGACTTCGGATGTGACAGCAGGTCCCGAAGGAGGTCTTGCTGCTCCTGGTACCGGCACATTCTCCTACGGTCCGAGCAAAGCCGCTTGTATACATCTGAGTAAGATGCAAGCCTCGAAACTCATGCCTCACCACGTCACAGTCAATGCGTAAGTGACTTGAAGTCCTTCTGACGAGTGTAATGCTCACCAAACATGACAGAATCTGCCCTGGCGTCTTCCCATCGAGAATGACAGCCTTTGGCATGACAGAGGCAATGGACACATTGGTATCTGGTCAGCCTTCGGGACGTGTCGGCAAACCAGAGGACTTTGCAGGTCTGGTCCTGTTCTTGAGTAGCTCCGGAGCAGCACACGTTACTGGCAATGCGATCGAGATCGATGGGGGTAGTGTATTGAGTGGCTTCAAATCCAAGAAGAAGAATGAGAGTCGGTTGTAGAATGATCCGTATGCCAAGACTCTTAAGCTGGCCATGCACGTTGAACAGGCGTCATTGGAATGTTCAAGCGATGCTTTCGTATACGATGTGAGACATTGTACGATCACAATAGTCGACTCGTGGACCTGGAGATGTCCGTCTCATAAACAGCAAAAACAATGCAGTATCCAATCCATGGCGCCAACGCTTGAAATCACCTCGCAATATCGCCTGCCGGTCCAGTCCTGCTCAAACCCACCATCGCTCAAAAAGCTGATCACCACCTCAATGCAATCCCCAACCATAACTCCACTAACTCTCTTCACGACCTGGTTCATCCAGCGCTACCACCCGCAGCAGCCGCAAAGATTGCATTCTCGCGCAGATCTCTTACAAGCTCAGCCACATTGCCCAAATGCCTGCCCAGCAGCTTCTGCTTCTCCTCCGTCGTCTTCGTCTTCCTCAGACTCTGCTCGCTCTGATCATCCTCGTCAACATCCATGCGATCACTATCACCCGAATGCGTCCTCGCATGGCCAGCCAGTGCATCGATCTTGCTCGGATTCCTCTGCAATACTGCCGTGTTCGGCGCGGATGAGGACGTCGAAGGAGGCGCTTCGGGCATGAGGTAGAAGTACAGGAACTCTAGTGTGCGCATCTTTACTTCTTTGACTGTACTCCGACTCTTGAAGAGGCTGGTGACGGTGAGTAGGCCATCTACTTCTTCGAACGTTCGGGTGTTGGCTGGACAGTCTAGCAATGATGTTACCAACACGAGTAGTGCTTGACTCTGGTTTTCTGGGGGGTTGTTTGATGGGTCGAGAAGGTCGAGGAGTAGGTTCATGTAGTCTTCGCGGTTGAAGAGAGTTCGTGATGGAGGGTGGAGGAGTAGGAGGCCTTGGAGTATGTCCATGGTGGCGAGGATGAGAGCATTTGTTGTTTGCGAAGGTGGGTGGCCGAGTAATCGTTCCAAAGTCGCTATCAGACGGGACGCAACTATATGATGTTAGTACTGGCTGGTTGTTTAGAGCACTTCGTTCATGCCATACCATTCCATCTGAAGCCCTCCTGTAATCTGAAGAACTCCCGAAACGCCGCATCTTTCCTCAGATCCTTCAGATGCCTGCAATCATTGCCTCTATCCTGCTGGCCAGCCAACTCTCGACTCCCTTGTCGCTTGTTCGGTGACAGCTTACTCCCGGATAAGCATATCTGGGCCAGTAGTCCTTCGATCTGCCGTATGCCTTTTCGTATTCTGGTCGTATCGCGGGAGGAGAGGTTGCCGAAGGACAGGGAAAGAAGGGCTTCCATTGTGATACGAGGATACGACAAGAAGAGGATTAGACGGCGATAGTTCCATGCGGCTAAGGGTTAGGAGGATCTTGTATGTGGATCGATGGAACGATGGAAGAAACGGCTGTTGATTAGTGTTTTGCGGGGGGTTGCTATGGACAACGAGGCGCGGTGTAGCGCGTTCCTGATATGCATGCACTCTACCACCTTATCTTCACCATATGTTCAATGTATGGCTGCATTCATTTCATATCGACACCATATTTCTGGGACATCTCGCCGACATCTAAGGCGACCAAAAACCGGCTGACGCAGTTATACGCCGCCACAGTCGCAGTAACCTCCACCACCTCTTTATCACTGAACAGCTCCCTCAACCTCGCGGACACTGGCTCACTGACTACACATCCGATAGTCATGGCATCAGTATACTCCAGCACAGCTCTATGCTTCTCATCCAAACCCTCGCCTTCCCAGCTCTTATCTTTGACCTTCTCTGCCAGCTCCTCGCTTAGCACACCCGCCTGCTTCAACAGCGGCACGTGATGGTCCCACTCATACCACGCCTGATTCAACACGGCCACACGACTGATGGCCAGCTCTCGAATGCTCGCGTGCAGAGTGCCCTTTGTTCTTATGGCTCCTAGAAAGCTGTTCCAGCCATCTGCTATTGGTGGAGCATGCAGCAGTGCCTTGTCGAGCTCCAGGAGTTTGCCACCTCGACGTTCCTTCACTCGTTCGACTATGGCTTGGTCCACTGCAGAGGGCAGCTGCGGATCATCTGGTATGTATGGGAGACGCATGGTCGCCGGAGTGCTTCTGGAGAAGGGTCGAGCTCGTTGGAACAGCGGGGAGTGGATCGTTGGATGACTTTCTGGTCTCAAAGCTATCTGAACACCCAATAGTCTGGAGGTATACAAAACTCTCTTATGCATTCTTCCAGTCCGCGGACAGTCGCCGTGAAGGTTGAGCATCTTCCACATCCAGACGCTCTTCTGGAGTCGGATGCCGACATCGGCGCGATTGCAGCTACATGACAAGTCGAGGGGTCAGGGTCTCGTCAGACTGTGGTGTACAACAATGAAGCGTCAAATCGCTGATCTCCTGATGTTCGAACGGCCAGAACTATGACTAGCCGCGAGAGAAGGGGCGTATATGAGTATGGACTAAGAGTCTGCGACGAGTGATGTAAACAACCGACGGTAGTGAAGAGACATCCGGTCCTGTAGATGTGGCTTTACCAGTGAGCTCTGGAGAACGGATGAAGTGATGGTAGCGTGCTCTGGCTGGAGAAATGATACTGAGAGATCTCCTGGGGATGGACCTTGGCGGCGAATGCATCAACCCGATACGATAGACAGAGGGAGCATCGGTGACAAAGTGGAAACAAGATTTGGCACAAGGAGTTTGTGTTGCGGGTATAAGAATCTGGAGCCATGCCATGACTCCGTCCGACCATCGACGCCATGCCACGCATACCTCCTTATGCACACCACAACTCTTCGCCGTGTCCCATACTTACCTACATCCCTACTTCACCAACGAGACAGGATCAGCGCAAGCTTTGGCTCATCGCATTGGCCCATCGCCTTACCTCATCAGCCCTCGGTTGATGCATACAGCATTGTGCTGTAGCCACGCAGGACGACGCAGAGCGGACCTATTTCTCGTCTTCTGGAGGCTCCTGCTTGATGTCCCCGTCCTCGTTGTACGAGGTCGAGCTATGCTGGCGGCCATTGGGCGTCTGTGCTTCTCCAGCGCCGTTTGGCGTACTGGTGTTTGTTTGGGTGGCGTGGTCGGCAGGATCATCCTGACGACCAGTACCGCCATACGGACCGCCTCGGCCAGATTGACCCTGACGAGGACCGCGACCTCTGGCACGAAGATGGCCAGTATAGCCTCCACGGCCTTTGGCATGACTTTCACGGCCTCGACCGCGACCGCATCCACGGAGATGGCCCGTATAGCCGCCTCTTCCTCGACTAGAGTCGCCCTGGCCATCAGGCTCTGTCGAACGCTCGTCTCTCGCGTCGCAAGGCACATCCGCCCTTGGCTGATTACATCTGGCCTTGGCCGATGCTTCTCCTTCTTCTTCTTTCTCTTCGTCTTCTTCTCTTCCTTCTTCGTCTCCTGCCCCTGTCTCTCTGACAATTTCTTGCTCTTGAGCCTGCTTACTTCTCGTTAGCAGAATGCTGATGACAGTGCCTTGGCTCGTACGCTTCTGGACTTCTTGAAGAGCCATTTCAAACTCCTTTCTCTCTCTTGCGAGTTCAGTCATAGAGGCAGCGCACTTCTTAGCGGTTACCTCCATAGCCATCTTGTATTTGGCTACCTCGATCGCAGAGGCAGCATACTTTTCAGCAAGCGCCTTTGCGGCCCTCAAATCCTTGGCAGCTTCGATCTTGGACTCGGCATACCCTTTGGCAAATATCTCTGCGCCCCTCAAATTCTTGGCGGCTTTGGTCTTGGACACATATCAATCGTCAGCCAATACCTCCGTGGCCATTCTGTACTTCTCAACCTCTGCTCTCAATCTCCGATTGTCAGCCTCGAGATCGACTGTCCTTTGCGGATCCTCTTGATCATCGCCTTGTGCGATGTTCGCATCGTCTTGGACGTGCTTATACGAAAGACCACAGCGCCGCGCGGCAGACATGTTGTCACCGCTGAGAGTCCCAATGCAGTTGCTGCAGGGAACGGACTGGTATCCTGGCGATCGCAGTCTAGATCAAATTTACGGCACTCGCTGCATGCCTCGACTTTATTGCTGTGCCGCTCTTCGACCCTTATAGGCTGATTATGGGTATTATGGTCATTATGTTTGAAATGATGTTGGTCGGCAGTGCCCATTTCTCGCTCGTTCGTCATCGACTGTACGTAGTGGATGTCGAATGATGAACAGAGCAAGTATTGTGGTTGAAAGGAAGCTCGAGCTGGCAGACAGATCTGGTGCCAAGGCAAACAGTGGGCCGAAGGATTGGCCGCGGCGAAAGCAACACAGAGCGCCCACGCTGACACGAACCTCCTCATCACTACTTTTGCATCGTCAAAAACAGCAGCACAACATCTGCCAGTTGATGCCGCCGAAGAAGAAGAAGAGCGCCTTCGGGCAAGACAACAATAATACTATTACCATACCTCATATACACAGAACACCCAAGCCGTCCACAATGGCGGGAGCTACACTGGAAACACTAGCGATCCGAATCAGATCAATTACATGGTGGCGTATAAAGACGGCGAGTTTGACGTTGATCAGACGCTGGCCAATTTTGGGTACGCCGACATGTCATATATGCAAGAACAAAACACGACCAATGCCACAACAAATGCGCAATTGCATGGTCCTGCTCCAAACATTCAGGCTGGCCACAATGGCACGAGCTACATTGGGAACACCAATGATCCGAGCAATGTCGGTCATCATCCGCTGATGGTGTACGAGAACGGTGAGTTCAACGTTGACCGCTCGTTCGCCAATCTTGGCACAGACCTTGAGGCACTTGTCCAAGAACGGTACGCGGCCAATGCCACGGCAAATGCACAAATGCCATCGCAATTGCATCGGAGTGTTTCACCTCCTCAACCTCGACCACTGCAGCAGCAGCAGCAGCAGCAAAATAGCAACCCAAACAATCTGGACAGGTAGGGGGCATTTTCCAATGATACTCCGACGCAGAGTCGTGCGTCTGACGCGAGAGCCCAATGCGTCCCTTCGCCAATTTCTGCACTCGAAGACAGTGATGAGGAATATCGGCCACCGCCGGTTCTCAGTGCTGATCGTGGTAAGTATCGACAGCTGCCGACTGCACCCAGTGCAAATCAGACACCGACAGATGGTGATCAAGGCACGCAAATGCGCCCTCCCACTCAGCTCCAGGCACCCAATGGTAGCCAACAGCGCCAAGTGCCGGCGCGATTTGTGAGCGATCCTATACAACAAAGCCGCTGGCAACAGACCCAGCGTGAGGCTCGACTTCAGAGCATGAGTATGAGGCAGTACCTCGCCCTGATGCCCGACGGCATACCAACTTGCTCCTTTCAGTGAGCGTGTTCGAACGTCATGGCTGGCGGCCAGCAAATCTCCACGAGCATCAGCCATTTGAGATGACAGAACTCTTCCCGCAACAGAAAGAGATCCGAACACTCCTGGATTTCCATGCGGGCTTCATAGCAGCACTTGAAACTATCCAGTGGAGTTTTATGACACCTCGCCACACCCGGCGCTCGCGAGCAGAAGGCCAACGTCTTGTCCGCTTGCTCATAATCATGACATATATCACGCAGCCTTCGGGCATCACATCCTGATCTCATCAAATTAACGGCATTAGCCCACCTGATGGCATGAGTGACCTCAAGATGGTGCCAATGCAACTCGGTGCGGCATAGCTCCATCACGAACATGAAGTAGGTTGAAGGCGTCCTGTGATGCGCTTCTTCCTCCAGTCAAAGGTTCACAAATGAATCTACGAGCACGTGCAAAGTACGTAAGCCCTTCATGGTGTCTGTGATAGGCGTAACGACCTCTCCAGATCCTCAGCAAACTGAGGAAGCACGGCCTGCAAAGCATAGGTTCGGCCGGCAATGCATAGGTTCCGCCGACAACGCAAAAAGAGATTCGGGCTACATGCAATGATAATGATAGACATGGCTACGGCCTGACTCTCGTACCTCCCAATGGGCTCCAGGCTCAAAGAGTAATGCAGTGGCTTGCTCGTATCACCCCAGAAGCCAACGCTCTTTGCAGCAATTATCCAATGCTACCAATCGTCAAGGCTTCATAACTACGAGCTGTACTCAAGCTGTATTGCAACGCTCTAAAGTGCTCTTGCTGCCAGATCTTGGCTAAAGTCAGTATCGACCACGGCTCTTTGGCGACATGAAGCATTAGGTCATGTCTACGATGTCGTACAAGCTGATGCAGGGGTCAAATGTGCAAAGCATATTTTGATGGGTCGATAGGAGTACATGCTGCTCACACCTAAGGTCGTGCGCCGGCAAGCTCAGAGCTTGGTCAAAATCCAAAAGGTTGGATCTTGGGAGGAGGAGAGGAAGTCGGGGGCGGAGAGCTGCGTGGTGCCGCCTAAGTATTCCCAAACCACGTCTCGGTGGCGGTGAGCAATGGCGATGGCGTATGGGAAGGATGTATATAGATATTCATATCGGAGCACCACAGTTCCAACACTCTCCTCTGTCATGTCGCGCCTGGGCTTTGTTGCTTTCTTCACTGCCTTCCGCCATAACCTTGCGTATGACCATCCAGCATAACCCTTCTGCGACATGACAATACCAGACTGCACTTCTCCAGGTGGTGCATCGATTCGCAGGCATTTCACTCAAAAATTTCGCAAGCGTGCAAACGGAAGCCTCCTTGCAATCAAAGAAAGTTGAAGGCGACATATGTTACATGTTTCTATGATTTCGTTCCTGCATGCCGATTTACGTCTGCGTAGTGAAGGCACTCTTCGTCTTGATCCAGGTCTCCATATCCATCAATCCCGGGTGCTCCTTCTTCCTCGCCGCAATATCAGCCTTGTATCCATCACTTCCGAACCAGTTGATCATGACCCCGAGCTCAGCTACCATGTACTTCAGGAAGCTGCCTAGGAACCAGAATGTGCCGTCCATTGGCTGACCTGTAGCATTCTTGAATGCTTGGCTTAATTGCTGAGATGTGAGCTCGTCGCCTGCGAGGCCGAGGGCGCGGTGGTTGTAGGTCTTCGGGTCCTTGAATGCGAGGGAGGCGAAAACACCGATGTCGTGGGTTGCTATCCATTGGTTGGGCTTGGTGCCGAGGGTGTCACGCATAGCAGCCATGAAGACTTGGGTGGGGAAGCCGGGCGCAAGATTGTCCATGAAAGCCACTATTATCCAGATTAGTATCTCTGCATAACGTCTAAAGGATATGATCTCGACTTACCAGGCCTGAGAACAGTCCATCCCATACCACCCGCCTTCTCCTTCAGGTAGTTTTCAATGACATACTTGCTCTGGAAATGCGGGATAGGCGTCTCGGTCTTCCAGCTCGCCTCGTCACCACCCCTCTCCACACTGCCGTACACAAAGTGCTTGACACCGGCCTTCACACTCTCGTCGATCATAGCCTTGCCCTGCTTGATCTCGCCATCGTGCGTCACACCCTTGCCCTGTGACACCTGCACACTGTAGACACCCCAGATCCCACCTGGAGCTGCTGCTTGTGCGTTCTTGAAGAGGCCTGGGACGTCGTCTTGATCGCCCTGGACAACTTTAATATTGCTGGCTTTCGCGGCTAGCTTTTCTGCGCCGCTGCCTGTGGCATTGCGGGTTTGTGCGAGGAGAGTGAACTCTGGGTTGTTTGCTAGAGCGTCGATTACAGCACCGCCCTGCTTGCCTGTTGCACCTGTAACTAGAATGTTCTTTGCCATGGTTGTGGTGGTAGACTGAGATATTCTATGATTTGAGCGTTCTGGAATACTTGGCTTAACTGCTACAAGAACTGTTGGAATGCTGTATTGGTACAATGCAGGAAAACAATTTGTCGTCGTTGCAGAGACGACACGGTCACGACCTCAACGATACATTCCCGCCCATCTCACCGCGTCACACATGCCATCTCGGCGTCTGCGTGGGCTACACGCCGACATGCAGGTACATTCCCAGAAATCACCACAGTGGTCTTTCGGAAGTGCTGCATTTTCACATGCTTTTCGGAGATCTGCTTGCCGATCGCTGGCCCTTTAGCGTACGATGAGTTCGGGGAGATATAGCGAGGAAGCTGGCCAGAAGTCGTGGTTATGCTTGAGCGTCTGCTGTGGCTGATGCAATGCTGGGATCCGGCGCTAGCACGACTTCACGCCGTCATCCATTCTGTAGCACATAGCATCTTGCATGTCTTGTCATATCGCTTACATGCGAGAGCTGCTTGCAGACCTTGAATCCAGCCGTGACCAAGTCCAGAGATGATAGGGAGATAGTTGACCCCCTCTGCAACTCCTGTCTCTGCTCGCAAATTGGCACGACTCTCCCTGAAAGTCACCTTGAGCTTGAGTTTGGTACCTGCAGTCTGTCTCAAACACTGTTTATCGATGATCCGCAGCCAAACTACAAGCCACGGCCCCTGCCATGCGATGCCAACCAAATCCCAGCAATCTGCCATTGGTGCATTTCTCTTGGCAGGTAAGCAGCCCAGGATTACCGGCTCCGCATTCGCCGCCAACCATGATTCTGTGATGGTTGAGAGGGCATCAGGAAGCTCGCCACCAGGCTCACAAGGATTGGTTCTGAACGCCATTTGGCCGCCTTGCACGTGATGCACCTTTCTGCGTTGCGTTTGTAAGGCAAGACTCCTCTACATTTTGCGTTCGCATTTACGGGCTGGTCATGATCGTACCAGTCCTCGAGGACAGAGGGGCTACTACGGAGACGCCATCAAAGTAAGCTAGAAATCATCCTTGTTGACAGATGTCAAACGCTGGTCTAGCATTAACGAGCATGTGTGTTTGAGCCCAGACCGCGTCACACACACCGAAAGACGGGCCATCTACAGTAAGGTCGAGTTCTGCTGTAATGATAGATATCACATGAAATGTAAAGGTTCGAATTGTCTAGCCATTAAATTGTTGTTCTTCCTTATTATCAGAGTGACATTGCACTAGTAATTGTTACAACTTGACCATCATCGATGCAGATTGAGTCGTTCCAGAAAACGCCAAAACGCGGAGCCAGAAACGTCGAGGCAAATCGCCAAAGTACTCGAGCAGACGCGTGTAAAGGTATCATAGCACATCCGCAAGTATATCGCCTAAGCGGCAACAGGCACGGCCTTCATCTTCTCCTCTGCAGCCTTCGCGAAGTCGGCTCGCTCTGTGCGATCCTGGAGATCACTCTCCTCCCACTGGCTGATGATCTCTGCCTTGCGAGCTGCACTTCTTGGCTCGAAAGCCAAGTCGTATGGGTCGGGCTTGACAATGAGAAGCGAGTTGGACTTGCTGATCGATGGCTCGATGATCTGACCGTCGGGACCCTTCTTCTTGATGATGTTGTATGCCCACACAAGTCCACCGCATGCAATGAGTGTCTCATCACGAGTGAGAGACTGACCCAAGCATGCACGTTGACCCCAGCCGAAGGATGTCATGCCCATGATCGTTGGGAACTGGCTGAGAGGCTCCTGGTATGTGGGCCAGCTCGACTCGAGCCAGCGCTCTGGTCGGTAGTTGTCAGGGTCGGGATACTTCTTCTCGTTTCGTAGGAAAGCCCAGTCGAGGGGCAATAGTCGGGAGCCCTTGGGAATGAAGTAGCCTTGGTAGAAATCATCCTCCATCAACTCGTGCGCAACACCAGTTGGTACATTGGGTCTCCATCGCATCGTCTCCTTGATACAGGCGCGGAGCACAGGAAGGTTGGGCATGTCGGTAAGCTCAGGCATGCGACCGCCACATTGCTCGTCGATCTCGGCCTGCACCTTCTTCTGCCACTCAGGGTGGTGGACCATAGCGAGGAGGAAGTAGTAGAGAGGTCCAGCGACAGTAAAGATGGCGACCAGCGCCATCATACCAATAGCCGAAGAAGCCTCGTAGTCACCGGAAAGACCACCAGTCTTCTCACCCTCGAGGTAAGTCCTGGTGAACGAAGGTCGTGCCTTGCCCTCAGCCATCAATGCACGGGTCGTGGTAAGTCTCTCCATCCACCATGCCTGCTGTTCGTCGTGGCGCTTGCGCTCGGCAATCTTCCACGGGTTCATGAAGAACGGCAGGTGCCATAGAGGCGTGACGACGTTGGTGAGCGGGCCGGCGGGAGACATCTGAGTGAGGAGACCCCACGCGCTCTTGTCGCAGTACTCGCTGAGGGTTGGGTCATCCCATGTAAGCGAGGTTGCGACCTTGGCTGCCATATCCTCTAGGTAGAAAGCAAAGTTGTCTGGGTCGTTGATGATACGCATGTTCCATCGCTTAGCCTCGTGGTACAGAATGCCGTAGTAGCGCGAGTTGGTAGCCTCAGTCAGGTAGGAATGGGTGAACTTTCGTTGACGTGCCCAGTACTCTGTCCAACGTTAGCCGTTGTAGCCAATCATGGTGTACATTCGCACATACCATTCTTGCCCATGAGAGGCAAGTATTCCATCGACCCATTGGTGCTCTTAGCATCGAAGAGCGATCGAATCTGAGGTCGGTCGGAGTAGATCTTGCCTCGCTTGACAAGCAGGTCTTCAGCGATCTTCTCGTCGGTGATGATGATGAAGTAGTCGCCAAGCATCTGTGTCCTATATAGTGGACCATATGTCTTAGCCCACTCGGCGAACTTGAGCCACATGTACTCGACCGGCAGATCGTGGATACGTCCCACCCATGGGATGAGGCCAGGTCCTGGAGGCTCGCTGGACTTGTTCTTGTGCCATGCTTGTCGTCGTTGGAGAGCGTTAAAGATCGAAAGCAGCCCGAAGCCAACGAGGGCGACGACCGCGACGGCGAATGTTAGTGGCTGCATAGTGAAGTGGTGGCGAAGGAGTGTTGTGAATCAACCAGCGTACTCGAGGTAAGGGAAGGAGGTAGGTTAGCAAGTGTTGATAATGAAAAGGCAAAGCATAGGTCGGCGACTGTTATTGCCGTATGGAGCACGATGCCGTCGGAGACTTAAGGCACGATATGGTTGAGATAAGAATATCTCGGGGGGAGAAACCAAGCACTGAGTTATTTGGCGTCTGAGTGCTGACAATCTAGATCATCATTGGTGATCTGTAAGGTTAGCGTTTAGATGCGCCAATGCATGGGTGTCGTTCTCCACCCTGTATCGATGCAAGGGATGACACCAAGAGTCGGCGCCTTGGTACCGTTTACCGGTTGTGGAGAGTATTGCTCGTCATCTGCATGAACCGTTAGATCTGTGTCACACTCAACGACATGTCAGTGGTGATCGATACGATGCGGTATTTCCGTGCAACCAGCACTTTTGGTGCGTTACCACAACACCACATTCGGACGTAACGCAAAGTTCAGAAGCTCTGCAGTATTCTGAATGGCCGAAGCGTCCGTCCCCCTGGAGTCTAAGACAAGATTGTGGCTTGATGTATATTATGCCATGCAGCATCCTTTGATTGCATGAGACGGCAGGCCGCAGAGATTGCGCCACATCTCACCTGTGGCACTAAGTCGGAGTGATACTTCGCTCGTTGCCAATACTCGTGGTGTACCGATGCTGAGGACTCACGCACGAACCGCGGATGTGCCGCCCTGCCTCAGCACTCCTGAGTCTTCACCTCTTATTATTTGATCATGACGAAGTCAGACATACCCGTAACGATGTGGGTCATGGAGCGGAGGGGCGGCAGCGCGGGCCCGGCTCCATGACAGCAAGAGTCTGGGCGAGTTCGACGTCCAAGCTACCTGTGAGCATACCAGCGAGCATATGATCGTATTGAAACCTGAACCAAAGGAGTCCAATTCTCAGCCTCGTGTATACGCCAGGGGCTTATCATGATCAACCCATAGACTCAGAAGTGGTCTCACTGGTCTAATTAGGAGGATGAGCAGACTTCGGCCTCCAAAGTCAATGACGGTCACTCAGCCGTCGCTCCGAATCCCAAATAGCTAATCTGGTACAGCGCGGTAAAAACATAAGCCACTCTTCCGATGCTTCCTTCGTCCGTGGGCTGGTGTATGGACAACTCCATTACTATGGCGGCCATCCACTTCCCGCGGTGGCGATAATGCGTAGAGGTGCATATAAGCTACATCCAGCCAGATACATCGATCGTAACAGGCTGTCGTGAGTCGTGACAAAACTGCTGAGTTCGTGTCAGCACGGTTGGGGGAGACGCGGGTGCGCCATCGACGGCCGCCTTGAAACAAGATTGCCCGCATCTCTAAAATCATCCTGGTAGATTAGATAACCGGCAAGGCTGTCAGAAGTCGTTGTCAGCCACACGCAGTACTACATCATCGCCAGCCTCTCACCACTCCCCGGACATCTTCATCTTCAAGATAAGTGTGGATATCGATGCTTGTCTCGTTGGATCGTGGTCGGTGAAGTTATGCTCCGTCAACGAGCTCGGCTTAGGCCATTCCGATCGCCGTGAGACCTTTGGTACCTGCATAATGGTGCCAGGGTGTAGGCGTAGTGACAGCGAGACGTGAGCGGCGAAGAGAGTTTCCCAAAATATGTAAGGGTTTGGTATCTCCATTTTATCATAGCCACACTTGTTGCCTTCTATCCCACCATACATCGACATAGCAAACATGACTGTTCACGGCGTCGAATCAGAGCCTATTGGCACATTCCCTTCCAGCGGGCTGGATGTCCTCGTGGTTGGTACTGGTCTGGCAGGCCTGACTGCTGCCATTGAGTGTATCCGAAAGGGCCACAATGTGCGTGTTTTGGAGCGAGCAGCCTCCATCAATACCTTGGGTAAGCTGTGTTGGAAATCATGTGCTGAGTACACTTGCTAATGTGCCCAGGTGACATGTACTTCATGGGTCTCCCAGCAACCAGGTTCTTCAAGCATTGGCCTGAGATGAAGGCCGAGTACGACTCGATCGGTCTGCACAATGCCTGGATCGAAACTTTCAAGCACTCTGGCGAGCAGGTCGTCAAGCCATTGTACGTCAATGAGCGTCTAAAGGCTGCTGGCCTTGACCCAAAGACTCCTCCAGGAACTTTCCAGCTTCGCCCTTTGATCTACAGAATGTTCGTGAAGCAGGTGGAAAGACTCGGTGTGAAGATCGAGTTCAATACCAGAGTGGTGGACTACTTTGAGGATGAGGCTACTGGCAAGGGTGGGTGCATAGCTCAGGATGGCACCCGGTATGAGGCAGATGTCGTCATTGCTGCGGATGGTGTTGGATCGAAGTCTCAGAAGCTCGTTGGAGGACAAGTGCGTGCTCAGTCCTCGGGACGTGCTATGTGGCGTGCTGCATTCCCGATCGAGAACTTGGACAAGGATCCTGAGGTCAAGGAGCATTACAAGATGATCGGGCCGGACAACAGCGAGCCGATTGTGCGAACCTATTTGGGTCCCGGTACATACGCCATGACTTTGACCCGACCGGAGACTATGATATGGATCATCAACCACAACGTAAGCTAAACGTCGTCCTGGTTTGCAACCTGAATATTGCTGACATAACGACAGGCCACTGGTAGCTCGGCTGAGAACTGGAGCAACACGATCGAGCCAAAGGAAGTGTTGGATGAGATGGACAACGGTGTAGGACCAAACCCATGGGCGCCCATGATGAAGCGTCTGATTGCCTGTACACCGGAGAAGACCATCGTCAACTTCGAGCTTCTCTGGAGAGACCCTCAGCCTAGCTGGAAGTCGCCGAACGGACGTGTGGTCCAAATTGGAGACGCTGCACACTCTTTCTTGCCTGCTTCTGGTAACGGTGCAACACAAGCCATCGAGGACGCCGTGTCACTCGCTGCTTGCTTGCACCTCGCAGGGAGCAAGGAAAAGATCCCAGAGGCTGTGAATGCTCACATTCGATTCCGGTAAGCATGATCTCATGATTCGTGGGTTTTGATCATTGACTAACGATGTTTCCCAGCTTCATCCGAAACGCTTGCGCTCAAAAGGTCGGCTTCTCGAACGCTGAGCTCCTCCAGGACACCGATTGGAGCAAGGTCAAGTTCGACCCGAGAAAGGCGCAGCCCAAGCACCCAAAGTGGGTGTGGGAGCACGACCCAGAGGTGTACACATACGAGAACTATGCCAAGAACGTGGAGACCATGAACAAGGGCATTCGCTTTGACGAGTCAGACATCCCGCCGAACTTCCCGCCAGGCTACAAGTATGAGCCGTGGACTATTGAGTGGGTGATGGACTGCATGAAGAAGGGTGAGCCAATTAATCTTGGCCCAGGGAATTGGGATTAGACGTCTTCCATGTGTCGAGGAGCTCCATAGTACCGGGAGCCATCAAAGATGTATAGGCCCATCGTAATCTACCAAGAAATATCTGTCAAGGCCGATTTTGTGCTCCAGTACTTTGCTAGCTCTCGTTGCTCTTGCATGTCAACCAACTATTGCCTAGCATACATCCCACCAGCAGTGCACTGCATTCGGAGATCCTCTGGGAGCATTTGACGTACCTTCTTGTTTCGGATTGAAATATGGACCCGAAACTTTCCAGGTCAAGCGAACAAGTCTTGACGTTACTCCAACTAGACAATGTATGTTATACAAGCAGTAATCAGTTAAAGAAGATCTTAGAGTCCAGCTCCAAGGATTTGATGGAGATGTTATAGAGCTTCGCTAGTACTTTCAACGAGTGCGCTCAAGTCCAACACTTCCTCGAATATAGCCTGGTCTCTCTCCTCATCCGTAATAACACGGCTATACGCATGTCAGCACTGTACACAACTGCAACACATTATGTCGAACGACTCACGACCTGCCCAGATTGTAGTAGACACCACGCTCTCCAGCCAGAAGTCTACGAGTCAAATACGCCCATTGTATACCATAGTTTCCGCCAATATGATCCAGTCGACGAATGACCCAGGCCAGCTGCACCGAAGTCGCACTGTTCGGATCAAGATGCAAAGTCCGATTGAGCAAAAGAGTCCGGCTCCCACCTGGGGTCGTGCTAGACTCGGCCAGTTCTTCCAACAAGCAGGTACCGGCAATATGGAGTGGCCATATTGAGAGGAGGCCAGCTGCTACAGAGCCCGAACGCACTTCAGATGACATGTCGTCGCCCACTCTTTGTGCAACACCTGCACAGATATCGGTGGTCATGCTCTCGCGTATCTCACGGTAGTGCTGTGGAGAAGGTGGTACCTGGGTCAGATGAGGCCATGATCTTCTGTACACTGCTTCCTGGACACGACTTAACAGGATGCGTAAGCAGCGCCAAAAGTTCCACGAACGACTCTCTGCTGGAGGCGTCGAAATCTGTCTTGTGGAGTGCGATGAAGAGGTGGACGGATTCTGATGTGGTCGTGCTTGCACATCAGCTGTCACTCGGAAAGTTAGCCTCTCTGAATATCGGACAAGGCACAGTTAGAGTCTAGTCTTGCCCATGGCACACTCACCTTGGCGCATCCTCTCCGACCATCCCAGAAGATCCGTTTCTATTGTCGCGGCCTCGGCTTCAAGAACATCATCACGCAGACTCCTATCTGCAAAGCTTGCTTTCACCGAAGCCAATCTCGCTGTCAGTAGGCTGAGGTCGTCCCGCAGACACTCCGATTCATTGGCTGCAATAGTCTCCGACCAAGAAACGACAAATTGCGGCACTCTTTGCTCGGCAAATAATGCATTTAGTAAAATGTTCTTTCTCAGCTCACGGAACAGCATCCGTCCAAACTCAGTGTGCAGTTGAGCTTGTCCACGAAGCTGTAAGACCTGGACAGCGCCATTCATATGTTGGTCCCAGGAGTGCAGAGCATGGTTGCTGTCTAACCACAGTGGCTCGTGGAGACTAAGTAGCATTATGGCGATCAATGTGCGATCCTCCCTGACCAGTGTAGGGTCCTTGAGTACCTCGTTGAGCGCCGTTATAGCGTCGACGTAGTACTTTCGGGCCGTATTGCGCAACGAAGTGTCGTTCGTAACATTGGAGATGGCTGCTAAGCCACAAGCAGTGATCGGAGTCAGGAGAAAATCATTTATATCGTACCCAAGCAAGAAGTCGAAATGGTCGCCGGCCACGAAGTGATGAAAGAAGTAAGTTCGCGCCATGGTCTCCTGATCCTGCGATGGTCGCCGTCTTGGTGCATTGCCTAAACCAGAACCTGAAGTAGCTACGGCGGCTAGCGACTGCCCACTCGCCTATAATGTTGTTAGCTGTGAGACCGGTCACACTTCTCAGCACAATCACTGCAGACTTCTTTGGCCCTAGAACTTCTTGCCCGGCTCTTGCGAGTCTGTCCTCGGGCTTTAACAATGTGACATGGCTGCGCAACTGAGGAAAACATACCCTTCTAGCCACACTCGAGCTTTGATCGCGGAACATCAGGTCGTTGGGATCACGGTAGCCACCGCAAGCCTTTCCCAGCCGTACACACCGCCCACAAGCTGGCAGCTCCTGATCGCAGCGTTTCTTCGACTTTCTGCAGCTCTCGCAACCCGCGCTGGGTTTGCCAGTGTAGACCATATTCTGAAAGATGGGTTGATTTACATACGCTGTAATCAGGTTTGAAAGGACGGCAATAGCAAAAGTGTGAGCGCCACGGTCTGTGGCGTCAGGAAGTACTTAGCATCTCGCATTGGATATAGCGAATATGACTTTACGACCGACTGCGCCGTCAGGAGTCTTCCCAGCTCATCGTAGTGCCCAAGGAGGCTGTTGGTGTCAAGACCATTGCGGCATACTTAGCGCGCTCTCGGCCATAGGTTCTGTGTCCATTTGGCTACAATGACACTGGATCTCTCGACTCAAGGGGCCGGCGAGACCGGCCATACATTGTCAGGTTCAATGGCAAATAGTCCACATCACGCCAGTTGGCAGGGTGGCAATGCCATGGCATCTGGCTTCGCAATCGGGAGCTTGTTGCGCCGTTGCACGGTCGAGACTGGCACTGTACACAATGATATCCCTTGGTCGACGAAGCGGCTGATGTCGATCGAGGGCCTGCGCCATCTTCGTGGCAGAGAGGACAAGGAGTGTAGAGCTGTGCACTGCAAGCTGGTAAGGCTGATACACTCTGCTGAGAGACGGCGATAGCCATGCGCTAGTCCCGAAGTGGTCTCTTTTGCGCTGGCACAGTTGCGCACTGCACTCCCTTTCGAGCCTTTGAGCATCTTTCCCAATTCGACAACCATCCCGCAACACCAACAGTAGGAAGATCAGACTGGATCGATCAGCTAGCCTCTGCCGTTGCAACGAGATACCGAGCGAAAATGGTCCGCCATGTCCATCTTGGCCTCGTCATGGTGTTGAGATTCTACCCAGCTGCTTGAGGATGGAGTAGTCTCAGTCAACGCCATTGCTGTCCTTGACACGACTGGGTCGCTTTGGCCAGCCAGAGAGTCATATGGGAATGGTCAGTCTTCCGGGGAGCGGTCAGATCGTCCTCTCGAAGCTGTGCATGCTGTTGTTGAAGTGCTGTCAAGTGGCGATGTTCACCCAGAGCATAACCTTCGAGCAGTCTGTCCAAGTCCGCATCTCGAAGCAGACTATGAGAGAAGAGTCTTGAGAGCGACACAGGAGCTATATGTCTATTGCGGTGCCCTAGGTGGGGCTCCTAGGACCAAGCCTTGCGACCCAGAAATCAACGTGACCTACACCTTACTAGAGCTCATGCGAGGAATATACATTCTAAAGCATGAAAGTGGCCCGTGAACAGCTCAGATACCATTTCCGTGCCGTGTCGGAGCCCTTCGGCTTCTGGGAGCAGTCACCAAGCATCTGGCGACTCGTGTTCCGCCTTTCCGAGCCACTACGTGGCGTGGTACTCGACCACCATCAGAATTCTCCAAGTCGGAACCACCCGAAAACGTGATGCCCGCCTATATGTATACGTAGAGCTGACTATACCTGATTTATAGCTCTGCCGTCTCTTGAGCTTTTACTGTTCAAGGCTAGCTGGCTTATGGGCCCTCTGTCTCGCAGCAGCAAGCATACCGCTTTCCTGCACATTCACTGTTATACCAACGGCTATGTGACTGTTTCGAGACCAACTTCTGACGACCTGCTTGGCACCTTCACTCTCATCTGCAATTGGACTAACAAGACGTGTATTGAGCATGCTCGCCCAGTACACTGCGCAACAGGATCTACTCACGACAAATCTCGAAAATGATTGCCTACGGCTACGTGAAGGAGCGAGCTACGACGCTCCGAGCATGTCCACGCTGTGTAGAAGCCCCAGTGTATTGCGAGGGTGAGGCGTCTCCAAGCACAACCAAGCCCGTCGCCCGACTTCTCCCACACACTCTCAGCCAAAACCATCACCTCCCCAACACCCCACCAAGAACCTCCCCCAATCTCCTCCTCGGCAAATAAAACCTAACAACACACTTCCTCCTCCCACCACCAACCACAATCTCATCCTCCCCATCCCTTTCGAACACCGCCCCAAACTTCCTCTTCATACTTCTTCGCTTCCGCGTCGCTTCGCCCACAGCATGGGCTGGTACAGGCGGCTCAGCGTTCCCCATCTCCCTCAACCATTCCGCAGCATGTGGGACGCTGCCGCGATGACGGACGAGCGCGTCGTGGTATTGTTGGATAGTGAGGTGCGGGAGACAGCGAAGCAAAAGTTGGAGCTGTTCGATTTTCTTCCTGGTGGCGTAGTCGTCAATGCTGGCGAGGAGGGTGTAACGAGCACCGTTTGGTGAGGGCAGTGGTCGGGAACGGACCTCAGAAAACGGGCAAGATGGATGCTGAGGACTTGACGCACCACGAGTCGGTACAGTCGTCGGCGTCGCTGCCGGAGCAGTCCCCGCAGCAGCCGGCCTGGGCAGAATTCCGCTCTCCCCTGGCGTCTCGCTCACATTGTTCCCGCTCTCCTTTCGCCCGTTCCTGGTCTCCACGGCGCCGGTGCTCCCCTTCTCACTGCCAACATGACCTGAGCGACCTGTTGAACCTGCAATAGTAGCGGGCTCCAGAACTTGAAGAAGTGGTCGCAACGAAGCGACCTGCTCTGCGAGCCGATGCTGCAGTACCTCAATATCGGTGATTTGAGCAAGCATCTGCTGGAAAGGTGACAGCTGATTGGTGGTTGCTTCTGCTGGAATGGATTGGGCTGGATTCGTGGACGCCATCATTGGCATTGCAATGCAATGCAGAGACTTCTGTCGTGCTCGCTGGCAGCGGAGAAGTGCAGATCGTGCTCTTTGTGAGTGCGTGAAATGGAAACGAGAACGGAGGGAAAGGGAGGGAGGGAGGCATCTCACGTCCCCAAACTGCAGCATCACCACAGCTGACGCTGGCGAAGTGAAGCACGGCAGTGAGCTTTCAATAGGCAAGGGAGTGACGACTTCAATCTTCGAATAGAGTCGGATGAGCGCTTGCAGCACGCCATCGATTCGCCAACGACATGCAGACCGGTCGACGGAGCGCTAACAGCCATACTTGATGCATAAGGAGAAGGAGCCGAATTGGCCGTTGCACAACGGGTGAAGAAACCTGCCATAGATCTCATCAATCATGATTGTGCGAAATGTGAATCCAGAGGCACGAGAAGCCCCGAATCTACCTCCCACCCCCCCCCCCCCCCCCCCTTCCCCTCAATCCTCCCTCCCTCCATCCTTCCGCCTCCCCCAAACCTCATCCGCGTCCCTCCTCCCCCTCGTCTCCGGCACAAACCACGCCGTAAACCCCCCAAACAAGAGCGCGAACCCCGCAAAAATGAAGTAAACCTGTCCCTTCCCCAACCGCTCATTCACAAGCGGGAAGAACTGCGCAACCGCGAACGTCGCGATCCAATTTGCCGCTAGGGCCCAGGATTGCGTCGCCCCGACCGCCTCGGCGGCCACGAGCTCGGAGCTCAGGAGGAAGGGAACGGGACCGAGACCGATGCCGAAGGAGGCGACGAAGAGGAGGACGGAGATGGCGGAGAGGACGGGGATGGCGTTCATTATCCCGAAAGCGAGGAGGATGGAACTCGTGCCCATACCGCCGATACTAATCAGCAAACACGGTTTCCGCCCGATCCGATCTACGAGCGGTGCGGCGGCGGTTGTGACGATGACGTTTAGGACCGCGACCAGGACGTTTAGCAAAGCGGCGTTGGCAGCTAGGAGGTCCGAGAGCAGGGAGACGCCGTACATGACTATGCTGTTGATGCCGCAGAGTTGTTGGGCGAGCATTATTGTTACGACGGCGAGGACGGCGGGCCGGATGTCGGGGGATTGGAGCACGGCGAGGAAGCCGAGAGTCTTAGCGGCCTTTTCTGCTTTCTTGCCGGGTTTAGAAGAGGCGTGGATGTCGGGTGCGCCGTCGGGTCCGGAGGGAGATGCGGGGTGGGAGGACATGTGGTCTTGGCCTGAGAGGAGCGTTTCTTCCTCATCCTCCATATCCTGCACACTCTCGATTCCCCACCCCTTGACTTCTTCCTCGATATCTGCTTCATGGCCTCTTATCCTCTGTAGAGCCTTCTTAGCCCTCCCCGCCATGCCGTTATCAGCCAACCACTTCGGACTCTCCTGTCCGGCCAGATACAACGCCCCGAACTGCAGCACCGCTATCACGCCACCCACCCCGAGAATAATGCGCCATAATTGCCCTTTACTCAGGAACAGTCCCAGGAGTTGGGTAGTGAGAATCCCCATGTTAATCATAATCTGCGTCGTGCTCCCGAAAAAGCCCTTTTGGTTCGGCGGCGCAATCTCGGAGATGTAGATGGGGACGATGACCGTAGCGGCACCGGCTCCGAGACCGGCTATGAAGCGCCCTGTAACAAACATGGGGATGTTGAGGGTTGTGGCGGCGAGTGCGGGACCCAGGGCGGCGAAGACGGAGGACAGGAGCATGGTGGGTAGACGGCCGTATTTGGTTGTTAGGGGCCCGCTGGTCAGGGCGCCGAGGAGGCCGCCGAGGGTGAAGATGCTGGAGATGAGGGCGAATTGGGGAGTGCTCATGGGGAGGCATTGGGGGAATGTTGATGAGGTGGTGGTGGTGGTGGTGGTGGTGGGAAGGGCACATCGTATTACTTGTTCGGGTTCGTTGAGCTCGGCGAGGTGGTAGCCGAAGAGGAGGGGGCCGAGGGCGGAGGTGAGGAGGAGATAGAAGAGGTAGGGGGTCCAGTCGTGGTAGGTGCCGCGGTCGGGCATGTCGTCGGTGATGGATCCGTGTGGTGGACTCAATGTCGTCGGGTGGTGCTCGTGAGCTTCTAGTCGTGGCCGGCGGTATGATTGTGCTCTATTGCGCCTTCTTGCCTGGGAGTACTCCCCCTACCATTATCGAGATGGCACACTCTATCACTGTCGTAAACTTCACGTCGCGAACTCCACTTCATCAATGCTCTCGCGTGTCATTCTGACGAAGCTTCATTAGCGCCATCTTGTCCGCGATCCACGTGGTGGTGGCGGGACGGAGATAGGACGATAGCGCCGCTGCACCATGGTCCCCTGCAACTGTTCCGTTCCTTCCTCATCCTGCAGATACTAATAGCAACACCTTAGCTTCATCCTTCGCGCATGCAACAGCTCCGACTCGTGACTACCTCACCAACGACTCGAGGCTGCAGTCGTTATCGTCATATCCTTCTTCACCGGCGCGTCGGACCGATGCGAACAAGATCCGGCCCTGAAAGCTGACTCCGCTCCAGTTCACTCCACTCGGAAGCAGTGGCAGAAGTCTGAAACTCCGCACCACTGCAGCGCCGGCGTGGATTATACGAAAACGATGTCGAGTTCACGGATCTCACCCGAATAAGCGGTCTGCCGGGAGCCGAAGGACGAACGGAGTAGTGGCTACGACACCGCAGCAATCATGCCAGGTGGAGCTCCTGCCTCTGCGGCTGCTACTGCGGCAGGTCGGAATAACAATATTATTATTAATGGCACTGCAGACGCGACTGCCGCCGAGACGCTGCCCAGCGTGCCTGCCGTAACTAACACTAGCGTGAAGAGGACGGCCCAGGCTGCTTTTGAAGGTGAGGATTGATTTTGTTCATGTTTGCTGTTGCTATATTGCCACCGCCTGCCACTTCCTCTCTCTCACTGCCCAACCATTACCTCAGCCGTGCAGTGTCTATCAACCATGGCCAAACATTGTTTCTCATGACTGCATACCGCGAGCCTTATGTCATAATGAAGTAGTCTTTGATGGCTTACGATTACGATTCTGCTCCCACAGAAGCTCCAGACACGCCACCACTGGTCAAGATGAACGTCAATCCATACCTCCCCCAACGTCACATCAACGACCACTACGACATCGTCGGCTTCATCAGCAGTGGTACATACGGCCGTGTTTACAAGGCCGTCTCCAAACGACCTGCCAACGGCCAAGCACCCATTGTCAAACACCCATCCGGCCGCACAGTCGAAGCCTTCGCCATCAAGAAGTTCAAGCCTGACAAAGAAGGTGCCGAACTGCAATACACTGGCATCTCCCAATCCGCCATCCGTGAGATGGCCCTATGCACCGAACTCTCCCACCCAGCTCTAATCCACCTCGTCGAAATCATCCTGGAAAGCAAATGCATCTTCATGGTCTTCGAGTACGCCGAGCACGACCTCCTGCAAATCATCCACCATCACCACAGTCTCTCCACTCGCGGACCCATCCCTGCCAGTATGCTCCGTAGCTGCATGTACCAACTCCTCTCCGGCCTGCTCTACCTCCACCAAAACTGGGTTATCCACCGCGATCTCAAACCCGCCAACATCATGGTAACTTCTTCGGGAGCGATCAAGATTGGTGATCTAGGCCTCGCTCGCCTCTTCTACAAACCCCTCCACCCTTTATACAACGGAGACAAGGTCGTCGTAACGATCTGGTACCGTGCCCCCGAACTCCTCCTCGGCTCACGCCACTACACCCCCGCCATCGACTTATGGGCCGTCGGTTGCATCTTCGCCGAACTCTTAAGTCTACGCCCCATCTTCAAAGGCGAAGAAGCGAAGCAGGATTCCAAAAAAGCCGTTCCGTTCCAACGAAACCAGATGGGTAAGATCGGTGAAGTGCTAGGTTTACCCAAGAAGAACGAGTGGCCGCTTCTGCAATCCATGCCCGAGTACCCGAGTCTAAATTCTGTGGTCGTGTATAATGCTTCTGTGAACCGGCCCGTAGGGTTGGAGAAGTGGTTTAGGAATACGGTGCAGGGGAATGGGTATGCTATGCCGAGTAATCCTCCACCTGCGGATGAGGCGCTGGAGTTCTTGAGGAAGTTGCTGGAGTATGATCCCCTGAAGCGTATGACGGCGGAGCAGGCATTGAAACATCCTTATTTCGTTTCTGGTGGGCAACAAGCTGGACAGAGTGGTAATGGTATCGGCGGCGTTGCTGGTGTGAATGTGAAGCTGCCGAGCTGGAATTGTTTCGAGGGGCTGGAGACGAAGTATCCGGCTCGCAAAGTGAGTACCGAGGCCCAGGAGATCGGGGCCACGGTCACGGGTGGGATTTCGGGGAGTAAGAGGAGCGCGGCTGTTATTGGGGGGTTGGGGGATGAGGTGGGGATAAGGAGTTCGGCTGTTGGGAGTGGGGTTAAGAAGATGAGGGAAGGGTGATTTGGATGGATGAGAATTTGAGAGATGGACTTTGGCTACATTTGGGGGCGTAAGAAAGATTGTTTGACAGATATGCTGATTTGCATCATTGTGTCTGATAGATGGTCACGAAACCTGTCCGCCCGCCTCGCAGACCGGCTCGAGCAGAATTTGAAGGGAATACCACCCATCGGGACCGCATCGACAGCCACATCCCACACCTGACCAACCCGTACGAGAACATATGCATGATCTGCTCCGCACCGCTCACACCTCCGCTCTACGACACAGCCCCCAGCATTAAACAAGCATGCAACGCCTGCAACACCATCTATGCCATGGATATGTCCTGCGCCCTGGACCTCAAGCAACTCTGGTTCTGCCCGGCGCCTGCCTGCAGAGCGAAGAACAGGAATGTTTTGGTACTGGATGTGGATTGTGGGCTTTGTGCGGAGGCTTTGCGGGATCGTGATGGGGTGGTTGATGGGGTGGTGCTTGTGAGGTGTGGGGGTTGTGGGCCGAGGAGGGTGCATCGGAGTTGTTGGGAGCTTGATATGGTGGCTCGAAAGGAAGAGTATCAGACCGAGGCTTGGGATCTGGGATTGCCTGCTCGTGGTCCGGGCAGTGCAGATGTGGCCTCGCCGGCGGCTTCGGCTAGGAGGCTCAATGCTCCGGAGGGAAGAGTTGCGCAGACGGACGAGCCGGAACAGGAGGACGATGCTAGGGAGCTGGATGAGCAGGATCCGCAGAGGAGTGGAGGTCATGTTACTGTAAAGATGGATCCGGACTGGCTTTGCAACGGCTGCGATTAGGATCGCGCCGCTGCGGCTTTCAAGATCATCAAGCGAGCGGATTCGCAGACTTTGAGCGGTGCGACTTGTATGTTGTGTCTGGAGCTTGCGAAATATGGGAGGTGTCAAGTTTCACCGCTTCTGGTCGGCAGTGCGATATTCGACCAATATGACGATCGGACGGCGGGATCCGGAACGGAGGATATGGTTAGGGTACTCTGTAATGGTGGTTGTGGTTGGTGTTGGGTGCATGAGGGATGTGAAGCTGAGTTTGTGGGGTTGGGAAGGAGATGTGGAGGATGTTGTGCGAGGGCCATCATGGGCGCGAATTGGTGATTGGATCGTTCCACCGTGTACAACAACGTTGACGAGATGAAAGAGATCGTCCATCCTCACCAATCCACCCTCTGCGCCATCCCCTCCACATCCGCACTCCCCCTCAACCTAATAAAAACCCCCCTCTCCATCTCCGCCCACACAGGCAAGCAAAGCGGCATAAATACCTCATCCAGTTCTTCCTGCAGAGCCTCCCTCGTCATATCCCGACACACAATCTTCTTCAAAATCGGCAGACTCCGCTCCGAGATCCGGAATGTAGCCGTCTGCGACACTAATTGCCGATACGTAGCCAGTAATTCCAACCAGCAATCCCCCAACTCTGCTTTCCCCACCCGAGCCGGATCATGCAGGATATTTGAAGTCATTAGCGGCGCGAGCTGCAAATCCAACTCCTCTAACTGCGGCAACAACTCCCGGAAATCAAGGTGCGTGCTAAACGGGAATATAGCCACGTACGTCAACTTCCGCAGACTTTCCAGGGGGCGGGCTGATAATCGTTGCATATTCGCGCCGTAGGTTGGTCGCGGGGTGAGGGTGTGCAGGAGGCTGTAGAGGAGGCTGGGCGGGCCCCGTTCGAAGAACTCGTAGGTTCCGTAGGCGGAGAGGAAGGCGGATTCGTTTAGGGTTATGTGGTGCCAGGGGAGGAGGTGCAGGAGGGAGGAGGGGGAGAGGCCGGGATAGCGGTGGGGATGGGGTTGGAGGGAGGCGTAGGTGGGTGGTTGGGTAGGGGGCAGTGGTGGGGGGGTTTTGTGGGTTAGGGTTGGGTTTGGGTGGGGGGGGAGGGAGAGGGTTAGGATGTGGAAGGTCATGTCTGTGAAGGCCCAGGTGGCTGAGGCTATATTAGTTCGCTTTCTAAGTCCGAATGTTGTGTTGCTCCTACACGTACCAGACGTGTCGATGGCGCAGTTTGTCAGGCAGGCTAGGTCTGCTGGGGGTGCTAGTATGGTGATTCTCCGTAATTGCGGGAGGTCGGACAGGAGTTGCGGCCAGAAGGCCGCTGAACATTGGTATCGCCAGTCGTGCGGCCAGGCGGCCAAGTTGGGGAAGTGCCCGAGAGTGTCTGGGAGCATTTCTGTGGTTGACAGGATGAAAGATTGTACTTTTGTCGTCAGGTCGTGATCGTTCAGGTAAGCGAGGAAGTCTTTCAAGTGGTGGTAGAAGCGCGGGAGCCATAGTTTCAAAGTCTTGCGCATACTCGCGAGCTGTTGAACGTCTTCTGTCGATGATTCTCCCCTTTCGTGTGCGGAGCGATGAATCTCAAGGTGCAACTTAGCATCCTCACAGAGGTCATGGTGAAAGGGATCAGCTATCCGCACATCTCCATGATCTGGGTCAGGGGCTGTGTAGTCTAGGTCAATTGCTCTACGGCAGGCATGACAGGCATTCCATTCTTGTCGTGACGGAGCATCGAGTCGAAGACGAGTGTGCTGGAAGAGCAGAGGCAGTACCACTCGTCGCCATCGTTTGGAGACTTGTGATACAAATTTCAAGGTAGGCTGCTTGGAATCGAAGACGCCGATTGCTGGCTCGTCGCGATAGTCTGTCTCCGAGGGTGGAATGTCGTCCAGGTGGATGAAGATCTGTAGTAGTAGCTCCTCAGGCAGTCTATCGATCGTGGCAGTGCTTCCCGCCATGACCGTCTATGGCTGATTGCTTCGCGGTCTTGTGGTCAGCGATCTGTTTTGGGCCTCGGCGTCCAGCTCGAGAGTGTGGTCGAGCAGAAGGTAATAATAATCTAGAGCCGACGAGATAATCGCCCGATGTGGCCGAAAAGGTGGAGCTGATACTGTAATGTGAGCTCCATTCGCGCGAGATTTGGGCACTTTCCAGGCTGATTTGGTCTCATTCCACTCTCGTCGGAGCGATAATCAGTAGAACATCCAGACACAAAGTCTAATATCGTGCGGCGGAGGCATGACAAGGATGCTCATATGCTCACTAATGCCTTTCTTCGGACATTACGAGGCGTTCCAGACTAAGAAGCGGAGCTCTTACGGACGGAAACTACCTAAGCATTGTTGCTCTAGGTATTGCTTATATGGGACGCCCTGTTCGTGTTCCAAAGTACACTATGTCTCTAAATTTCACACCTTTCGTTCGACCCTTCGTTCAGCTCACAAGAAATTGATAGTTATCATACCGCAAGCCATCATGGCTCCCGCACCACAGCCAAGTCTGCTAGACAAAGTGGCCTTGTTACCAGTAGCCGGCAATGCGATACTCGCCATACTTTACAACCTCATAACCCGACCAATTGCCAGCGGATCTCGTCCCGTTGATGCCTTCCGGGATGCCATGTTCAGCGCCATGCGTTCGTTCCTGTCCAGCATCGACACGCCAATCGAACAATGGAGCGCAAGCACCACCGAAGCTGAATACCTCGCTGTGGCAAAGAAGCAGGGTTTTGCCCCTGATACTGAGGTTCTAGCAAGTGGTGTCAAGCTCCACCGTTTGGGGGTCAAGAACCCGCAGTACACGATCTTATACCTACATGGTGGTGGCTTTAATCTGCCTGCCATGAACGGCCACTTCGAATGGCTCCTAGATGTCATCAACGATCTTTCACCGCACGCGAGTGTTGGTGTGGTCTTCTTGAGCTATACGCTGTCTCCAAAGGGCCAGTATCCACTGCAGCTCCAACAGGCTACCGAGTCTTTGCAATGGTTGATCACGAAGCAGAACATCAGCCCAAGTAAAGTAAGTCCTGCCCATATCCCAGCTTATGTACGTGAAGCTTACTCACGGCCCAGATAATCATCGGTGGCGACTCTGCCGGCGGCAATTTAAGCATGGCTGTACTCTCGCACGTTCTCCACCCTCATCCCGAAGTGCCGAAGCTCGAGCTGAAAGAGCCACTCGCGGGTGCTCTGCTCATATGCCCATGGGTGCATTTCGAGCCCAGCGATGATGGAGTGGATCGCAACCAGCATAGCGATCTCGTAACACCTGTAGCGGCGAAGAGATGGTCGGCCAACTACATGGGTGAGTAGAATCCGTCACGATAAGCTAGGATTTGAGCGAAAACTGACCACTTCCTAGGTAACGCAAAGCTGGACAACTACACCCAAGCGGCAGACGCGGACGAGAAATGGTTCTCTGGTCTGGATAAGGTGGTGAGAGACGTCTTGGTTTATGGCGGTGGCGGCGAAGTCCTGATCGACAGCATCAAGCTCTTCGGAGCCAAGCTGAAGAGAGCTCACTCCAAGGCGGAACTCGTGGTGCTGCCGAAAGCGGCTCATATTGATATGATCATTGACAAGTCTTTTGGGTACAAAGGCAAGGCGGAGGGTACGCAACTGATCGAGAGTTGGATGTCAGCGGCCATCTCGTGATGCTTAAGATGCTATGAATCTTGACGATACTTCGCGCTTCTGACAACTTGACCATATGGACCAAGCTCCTGTTGAGACTTCTCGGAAAGTGTTTGTCTCTGCGAATGCTAGACCCATGCGAGTTCCTTAAATGCCCACTCTACATGCAGAGACATACAGCCATCCATGTCTCAGACATGACGACGTAGGACTGCACACCCATATACGTCAACCACTCTCCATCGTCTTCTCTCTTCCCTTTCGCTTCTGCAAATCAATCCCAGGCCATCCTACCGATTTACGACCATACCAATTCACCCACCAAAGCCATGACTACTCACGCCCCACCCACCTTTCCAGATACAAGCGCAGAAAAGGCCAAGATTCCCCTCAAAACCTCGACCATCGCACATAATCCTTCGGACATTCCACCTAGAAAGCAGCACCGCTCCAAGACCGACGAGCCTTGAAATGACAGCCAGGTCATCTCCATCAAGGTACCTACGCTCAAGCGGCTCCTGGAGGCTACTTTCCAAGAGCTTCCTTGTCGTGAAGAAGCAGCACGTCTTGAAGTAGTCCGCTGGAAAATTAGTCGCAAAGAGGCACGCTGTCTGGAACTGGAGGGGAGGCGAGTGCATCGAAGCAAGCGAAATTGTCTGTGTCAACGTCGCCGATGACTCCGGAGTCTCCGTTACGTTCGTCTTCTTCGTGGTCTTCAACCGCGGCCGTGAAAGACTTTCCCACCGGACAGGGGACGCATACATCGAAGCAAAAACAGCAGAAGCCCACGAAGCAAGAGGAGCGAAAGACCACAAAGCAAGAGCAGCCGAAGCTCATGAAATAAGAGCAGCCGAAGACCACGATAAACGTGATAGGGAGGAAGACAGTGGTGGAGAAAGATACTTCTGGGGATCCTCTCAGGGTCGGTTCGAAGGGAACGAGATCAGCCGACTGGCTTGGTTGAAGACGTCATGCGCATACCATGCTGACTTTGCGTTGCCAGTGAGGCGCTGGGCTATGTGTTCATAGGGTGGCGCAATTGATATTTGGACTCATCTCCTGTTGATATTGAACTTCACTTTCTCACCAGAACGTCGTGACAAGTCATGTATCCAGTAGTCGATATCGCGTAGCTTGCTTGTACTAGAAGACACTGCAGCGACCAAGCAGGCTAATCAAGTATCCTCTGGGTTCAGTTGCAGGCTGCACGAGGAGGTGGCAGGCAAGCACGTTATCGCCTTCAACGTTCCAGTTCCGTAGCGCGTGGTCAGGCTCGCCGCAAAGATCCTTGCCGCAAAGATCCTTCTTGGCATGGCCTACGCAGAGGCGATATTGATGTTAAGTCGATGACCTCACATCTGCCGAAATAAGTCGAAGCACACTAATACTCTCTGCGAAGAAGGACAAACTTCTCGAGCTCCAGGGTTGCGAAGTGCAGGCTCTTACAATCGCGAGCCTGACTCTGTTCGTGCACTTCTACTGGTTGTTCAGCATGTTCTCTTTGCTGGAGCTGTCAACATTGGTGTTAGCGTGCTTATCCTCACACTTGGGCTGGCTATCGCTGGTGTGATTGCAGTTGGGATCTGGGAGAAGTGATCGTGAATCTCGAAGGGAGAAGGTAGTCGGCTTCGGGATAGTCCCGACGGGTCAGGCCTAATCGACGGCACCGGCGAGATGTGGCGGGTGGGCATCATAGAGGTAGTACCGTCGGCAGTCATGCCTGATGGTCTTCGCATGAGAGCTTGGCGTGGCAGTTCCACGGGAAGACAAGGAAGGGAGAGTAGAGCTGAGGCCGCCTGATCATTTTGCGGAAACCTCTATCTCACGACAGCTTGATCCTCCATCCCTTGACCACATACCCTCCCAGTAGCTTCCCAACCACAGCCCCAATGTACATCCCAACGACAACAGTCACTGGCCATTTCTGCCACTCCCTATCCCAATCCAATGGTATCGGCACGGCTCCCATCCACGCACCAGCCAAAGCACCCAGACTCAGACCGTACGTTTCATCCAGTGGAAGCTGCAGACTCGCTATTCGCAGCCATGTCTGAGCATCCAGACCGTGGACGTAGTACAAATGTGGCGTTACCAGAAGAGCGAGGTGGAGTGCAAGTAGCAGCGTGTGGGCGTTGTGTGTCATAAGTGGTGCACCGAACAGCACAGTGAAGATGTAGAGCAGTGGTGTGGAGAGGACGAGTGTGAGGGTCATGGAGAGAAAGGCAGGCTACATCATCTCAGCATGGTACCACATCCTACGGCATGTAGTATACATACAACTAGCTTGGCCCAGATATCAGGATCTTGTGCTGTCTTTGTCCCCTTCTTCTTCACTCCCACTCCCACCCCCGCTCCTGCTCTACTCGCCGCCTTCCTGCCAGCCTCCTCTACCTGTGCCGCGATCGGTAGACATATCACACAATAGAGCGTCTGTACGATGGCGACCGTAGGTGCGAGGCCAAGGAGCGTACCGACCGGATTCGCTACAAGACTGCGAAAGCTGAAGAGGACAGTGCCGAGTAGGAGGATAGGTTGGAGGTTGGCGAAGAAGAGGGCTGGTTGAGTAGAGAGTACGGAGATGGGTTGAGAAGGTGTTTCAGCCACTGGTGTGACCGGTGTCGCCATCGGGATTGACTGGTGCGATTGATGTAAGAGTATATCCTTGGTGAAGCATTTGGAGCTTGATCGAGCGGCCTGATCGGGAAGGCACGGACCATGCCAAGATACAATCTGACAGGCATTGATGTAGCGCCTCCCTTCCTTCTCCCTTCTTTCATCCCAGATGATGTTACAATCATCAGAAGCGATGAAGCCAATACGTTGAAGCTACTGCATCCCGAGACTGCTATAGGCTCCCGCTGGTGCGTACATGAGCATGTTTGGAATCACAGCAGCGTGGTGACATTGTTGCAAACGTCTCATCGTGTATGAATACAACCCGATATCGTTCTCGCCTGACGAATGGCAAGGCTGGCGCCACAGTTCGGTATTACAAAGGCGGCGATACAAACGCCTGTCGATGGCTGGAACACTGATCTTCAATGCATTGACAAGCTGACTGCATCCGAATAGCTGATGCTCCGCCTCCGATATGAGACTCTTGTCAGAATCACTCGCGAAGGAGCTGCACGTCTCAAGCAACGATCGAACTGCAATTCCTATCTACTTGTACTCGACGAAGCCGAGTTCGCTGACACCCTCCAAAGCCTTGCAAGCCTCACTCCAAGAATTGCACTCATCATACAACTCACTCCTCAAATACGCCGCAGTCATCCTCTGCAAAACAGCCACCCGCTCAGGACTCTCATCATCGCACTCCTTGGCATCATACCCCGACACCCCACCAAGTCCATGCTTACCTCCCTTCAACGTCAACAAGCTCTTTGGCCCTGGTGCCCGTGTATAGGGATCTGCATGCCAGTCTGCTCCTCGCACGGTCAGATGAGGACCCACATCCTCGTCACCGACTACGACGAGCGCTGGTGTCTTCATGGTGCTGAAGTCTGGATGACGGAGGATGGTGTAGTTCTCGTACGCCGTAGCGCTGAGGTCTTTGCCACCTGAACCGGGAGCTGCGAGGATAAGACCTGCTTTGATTCGGGGGTCATAGAGGTTTACGACCGAGTCGTCCTTGGGATCGATGGTCTGGGTGCCGAGCAGGAGGCAGGCAGTATGGCCTCCGAGTGAATGTCCAGCAACAGCAATGCGGTCACGGTCCAGGCTGCCTCGACTCAAGAAGGGCGCGGCATCCTCGATCTCATCGAGGCGATCGATGACGGTGCTCATGTCGTCCACCCTGGAACGCCAGAACAGTGGCGCATCCGGATGGTCGGTGAGGCTCAAAGTCTTGGAGCTGAGATGTGTGGGCTGAATCACCGCAAAGCCATGGGCGGACCAGTGGTCGACTAAAGCACCGTAGCCGTGCAGGGAAGAGAGGTTGTTACTTCGACCATGTCCGTGGGAGAGGAGAATGATGGGCAGTGCGGCTCTGGCCTGAGCGGGGACGCTGATGCGCAACTGGAGAGGGACTGAACGCTGAGGTACCTCCAACGTGATAGGCGACATGGAGAGCGCTGGTTTAGAAGCAGGCTTGGGCAAATTGGCAGCAAGGCCGATGAGTGCATGATCGGACAGAGCTTTGATTCGTGCCATGCTGCCGTGTGCTGTTGTTAGATTGTGAAAGGTGCGTGATCTGTTGGTGAGCAGTAGGACAGTGTAAGAGTCAGAGCATCCCTTTACTTATGGTTTTCTGCATGCTTTATGTAGTCCTCATGCTACTTCGATATTCGGCTTTATGCTGGCATCGAACGGACTTTAGCGACAGTTTGCAAAATGTTACCATGCCTGTTTAGGAAATGCCGCCGAGTCACTTTGTGTAGCAACTTGAATCAATAGTCAATGGGACACATGCTGGGACGGAAGATCTTGCAGTGCAATTGTCAAGTTCTCTAGCACATGGTCCATGGCGCAAAAAATTTTGGTGGGCCGGCAAGGGCCTAATCATGGAAGGAAAATCTGCACTCCCGAGTGACAAAGAGTGCCACCATTCGCCAATAGCCAAGACTAAAGCCAGGCACACTACCGCTCAGTGTCTTACATGGACGAGTAGTGAGGTACCTACGTGGGGTGAGATCACACCACCAGAAAAAGCTCTAGCGACAAGGCTGAAGTCAATGATGGCAAGACACGACATCTCGGCACCCAGCCTGCTGGCCTTGAACCTTTCGTACTACTGATACAACCCGATACTTGCTGACTAGTTGGACGTGAAGTTGAGAGAGCAAGATGAAGAAAAGGAAAATCACAAAGTCAACGCTCAAAATGACTTTCGAGCCACCAGCCAAGGACGGTTCGTACTTACTCGACCTACCTGCTGAGCTCCGCATTGAGATATATGAACACCTCGCCAGCCAGACCAATGAGCATAGTACGAAGAGAATTCGAATCACAAACAACATTCTGCCATGCTCAGAATCCATGATCCTCGTCTGCCACCAGCTCCACGACGAGTTCAGAGATGTCTTCGACCGAGTACGAGGAGTGGCGACTCACATTGCGATCAACACGACAAACTTCTCCTATGCCGAGATCTCTCCAGTGGCGAGGGATATTGAAGCTGGAAGGTTTAGTCCGATAGCGAGGTTCGACTTGGCTGTCGAGATCAACAAAGCATTCAGGTGGCCATTTGACGATCTAAGATTAGTGCAAGCTGGATTTCTCGTAGGCGATGCTAGAAGCGATATCGACCCGACTGGTTCGCCATACTGTATACCCTACGATTGCACGGTGCAGTTCATGGACGACAGCGTCGATCGAGACTACTGGAACCATCTCGTCAATCAAGTCATGCCGGGCTTTGTAGTCGAGCTGGGCGAAGATATGCTGCAAGTTGATAGAGTAGCGAAGGCTTTCGAGGCAGCGCTACGTGAGGTCAAGAAGGGATCTTGCACTTACTACAGCGTGCCGCCACGACGGACCACGTACACTATGAATGGTGACAGTGTCAGGAGTATTGTGAGCCCGGCGATGGACAGCGCCCAGCGTGCAATGAAATGGTTCAAGAAGAACTGCTCGATTACTTCTAGGCAGCCCGAGAGGAAGCATGAACGATTCGACAACCGGTGGAAAGTCTGGCAAAATAAGGAAATACCATTCAAGATTGAGCATGTTACACACGATGCTAGCAAGAAGAGTCATATGCCTTTAGCTTATGAAATCTCTTCGCCTTCGGTCAGTCGGACGGAGCAGACAACATTCAACATCCATCAGAGAACAGGCTCGGGTGGTGAGTCCGAGGCATGGCGGGTTTCCAATATCGTGGGCGCACCTGTGATGGGAGTCTACGATACCGTTTAGCGTTGCGGCTGCCGTGTATAGGAGAGATACCTCGACATCAAAAGCACTCTGTAGCTCTCGTACATGCATTCGCAGCTATCAAGTTGTCATTTGCAACAGGGACACGCATACCGGTGTCGGTCAGCCTAAATACCTTGGTAGTCCTCGCATATCCCTCTTCACCCGCACACTGTCTTCATCAATCTCCAGATCGCGATACAGGTCCGCAGCGCTGCCAAGACTGGCGAGAGAGTAGACTTGTGGAAGGCTTGGCGGAGCTGGACGTGTAATGCTTGATGGCGGCTCCACATGGTAGTGGGATGGCGTATATGGCGTCTTGTTCGTCGTATTGATGCCTTTGATCGGTGTGAAAAGCTTCCGGGGACTGCTCTCGCCGTTCTCGATACGAAACCCGTCGCTCGCCACTGATTCTGTCACTTCATCATCCATACCCATGCCATCAATGATAATTCCACTGCAGCGAGCTCCCGCCCTTCCACTCCCCACATTGTCCGTGCCTCTAGATCTGCGTGATGCGATGCGCTTGCGTTTGATGACGAAAACGATGAAGACGCTTACCATCACTGAGAGCACCACTGCCAATCCTATACCGATAGCTGCACCCTTTGCGAGCCCTCGTCGTGCGAGCATGTCCTTGGAGAGGGATCTCATTGCGTGAAAATATTGATGAGGTGGTGAAGCCCAATGTATTGATAAAAATGGAAACCAGTTGTCGTCTGAGTGTGAAACGGTGCAAGCTTTACCAGAGCTCTGATACTTCGTAGCTAGTGTATCTCTCGCTCCAAGGTCACTTCACACCCGTTGACTCCCACGGAAAGGCCGGCTGCAAGACGATGTCTTGCCTGCGGGATCGCTAGAGCATCGACTTGACTTGACTGAGATGGACGTTCACCACCGGTGCCGGCCTGTGTCAGCATACCACAGAGAGATCAGGTTTAGTCAAGCCATCAGCATATTGGCCATAAGTCGAGACCACCCAATGGCAGAACGCGTCCCAGTCCTTCGCAAAGATATTCATCGCGCGGTCGATTTCAGCTTCAGCCAGGCAACTATGCTGGATGCTCCATTCAGCCAGCTGTTTCCACCCATGGATGTTCATTCGTGTGTCGCCGACCATGACTTGGTAGAACTCGTACGACAGCGACGAGCTGTCATGTGTCGCGCCACTGCATATTCATATCAGCATGGTATTCCCGAGTTATGATTGTCATATGGAGCTTACCGATATAAGCCAGGATTGTCCGCGTTCAGCGTACAGTGTAACCCAGCCGCCAATAGAGCAGGGAATGGATGTTCTCGGGCGTTGCCGCACAAATGGAGAAGCTCATTGGAAACCGGACAGAGTTCGAGTGCAATGTTCTGCTGCTTGTACTTCTCGATGAGCATCGGATGCTTGAGCAACGCATAGCCATGCCCAATACGCTTGCAGTTGAGCAGTAGAGCATCATACAAATTGCTGTTGTCCGGATTGGCAGTGCCACCAGCGTCGAGTAAAGTCTCACCTGCATGGAACATGAACGGAATGCTGATTTTCAGCTTCTTGCACGTTTCCGTAAAGCCTACCAGCAAGTCGGCGTAGAAGCTGATCGGGTTGCGCCTGTCTTCAGCTCCCACCAGATCGAATCCGCAGATGAGATCCGGAAACTCCAGCTTCAGCTTGAGACAGTCCAGTAGCTCGCTTTGCATCTTCGGTCTAGGGATGCTGCGAGGCGTGCAATATATGATCTTCAGACCAAAAGGAAATTGGTCGGGCTTGCCAGCATCTTGGAGCTGTTGCTGCTTCTTCCTAACCTCTTCACAAATGATCTTCATCTGTGCGTTGAGGTCTATTTGCAGTGTACCGTCGTCGGAGGGAATGCTCTTGTCCATCAGCATAGGTCGTAGCTCGGCATACATGACATTGTCTCTGATCATGCTGTCTATTGCTGCGCCAACGTACCACCTGTACACAGACTTATAGTTGACCAAGCCCTTAAAAGCCCGGGTGCCTTGGTTGAAGCACGCCCAAGCGCTGTTCACGGTCTGACCTTCGCCGTAGACATCGTGAGCCGTCAGAATCATCTTCTCTCGGACCCAGCATTCGGCCTCGTCCAGGCCGTCGGGTCGTTCTTCTAGGCCTAAATCTGCGGGTGCTAGCTCGTGAAATCGCTGGCGGAAGTCTGACCACAACATCCATGGTGAATTATTCTTATCTTTGAAGTCTGGATTATAGCTGGTGGCGAAGCAATCGACTTTGACTGTGGTCTTGGGTATGACGCTGAAAACAACCTCGACATCTGCGTAGTCCTGAGGCCGCATTAAAGGCTTCGTAGTTCGAATACACATGAATGGCTGCATAGATGAGCTCGCCGCCCGGGGCAGTAGCTCCTCTGGCGGCAGCTCACAGTTGAAATGTATGTGCAGATGGCATCCTTTGGGCATTCGCTGCGCCATGGCAAAAATCTTACTTTGATCGATCCGAGGCTTGTTGATGAGGAACCGACCACCCATATCTCGAGTGTTGGAGTCTGGTATCAATTCGCTAGGCATATTACCAAACAGCTCCGGATCATCTCGCTCGCTTTCCCGGATGGCTAACAAGATCTGCTGTGCACGATTTTCAAGCTGCGAGGCACGAGATCTAGCCCCAGCATACCACGAGAGCTGCTGCTCACTATCAAGTAAACCGTGGCGGGCATCTTGGTAGACTGTGGAAGTCTCGGCTGCTCTGAAGCCTTCGCTGAGTAGGTCCTGCGCCTGCGCCTGCGCCAAGTTTGGCTCTTGCGTCGATGGAGGGTCGACCATCTTTACGACTTCGGGAGCTACTCTGTTGGACTGCTTGCGCCGCGGCACTGGCAGCCCGCACCAAGACGAATTTCGACCTGCTTCACCACTCGCACCGCTACTACTGCTGTTTGTCTTTGCTGACTATTTCGAGGTCAGATGATGCTCTCTGAGCGATGAGCTAGCGAATCGTAGATATGTGCTCGTACCTTCGTTCTAAACATGCTCAAGGCAGCGAGCCAAACGCGACGCTGTTCACAAACACAGTCACGTTCCAGGCATAGTCTGATGTGCGGAGAGAATGGTTTCAATTGAAGACCCGTAAGCTCATGACAGTCAGATTCGCTGGCCTCTTATACGTTGATCGTCAGGGCGACTAATGTTTCGCTAAGTCCCACAGTCGAGGGCGATGCGGTAATTGTCTTTCCAGTCACAGCCTTGCTCCCGCCGACTAGGCAGACTGGTGAATATTCGGGAGTCAATGGTACGAATAGCAAGGTGTAGGATCGCATACGGTCTTGGTCATGAGCCGTCGGCCTCAAAAGTGGGCTGAGAAGAAGTAGAGGAGGCCGGGGCTCAAGCCTCACGAATGCTGCGCCCCCCACCGAACCGAATGCCAATCAGGCACTGGAACAGTATCTGAGGGCTCAGACCCAGACACTGTGCTTGCAAAAGCAGGACGACATCCTCAGATGGACTCAAGATGGGACACCAAAACTGTGATCAACCTCCGCAGAACACGGACATGTTGGTGAGGTTCGGAGATCGTTGCAAGTACGACGGAGTGAGAAAAGTGTGGTGAACACGGACTCCATTGTTAGCGAGCTCACCTTTGCTTCTACTAACCGCCCGTCCCATCTGTTATCTGACGATCATCCTAAATCGGGCATTTGGTTTCTCCACTTGCACATCAGCCTTTGTTTCGACCTAAGGCTGGCCTCAGTCTCAAGAATGTCTCCTTCTGACGCTTGATGAGGCAAAGACTGCGTCCTCATACCTCCCATGCGCCAAGCGTGATGCCAGCGCTTGACCGGTGGAAAGACACGGCCGTGGGGGCTGAGACGCAGCCACCGCATCAAGGGCGCACACGCAGCCTGATGGCCTCGTTGCCTTCTCCTTGAGTCTCGTCACACCACCAGTATCTCCTGAGCCACGATGATATATATTTATCCATGAGGAGATCATCTGCACTGTACCATAGCAGCCATCTCATCAACTCCAATTCTGGCCCATCGATAGAGACCTCGGATCTGCCACCACACAGGAGCGATAGCAGCTATGAGTGGAGGCGGCAATAACATTACGATATCCTACCCTGGCAATGGCTGGCAAATGCTATGGCCCTCAGCATTTGGTGCCTTCCAGCTCGACATCGTTGGTTTCCTTGCCATCCTTGGAGAAGGTTCCGTGGCCGTCAATGCTCAGGTGTCTGCTCTGTCCGACCTGTTCTTCCTCCCTAGACTTATGCCTGCACCACAAGCGTTGCTCTTCCCCACTCGACCAGTACGACTAGAGCCAGTCACGAAGGCGTATGTTACTGCTGTGCAAGCCGGGAATGTCATTGATCACATACATCATGTAGCATCTATTCTACTATCCAAGTAAGTCAGCATCTGTCACTGTCTCAGGCTAGACTAACATACGGCAGAGCTGAAGACATGCCCGAGCACATGGTACGATGCGTCGAGATCAGAAAGAGTGACAAGGCAGGCAGGACGAGTACCTCATGGTCGGACAGAGCCTTAAAAGGCCAGCCTTCAAGAGCAGGGCAACATTCCATGGCACCTGTAGAGATTGAGCCATCAGTGACAGCGAAAGCTTTTGGTCCGTTGGCTTGGGTTACACTGAATGGTCTGACACTGGCTACAACACTCTTTCTCCTATCTATGTTATTTGGAGATGGTATGTCCATGCTGGCCACCGTGGTGCTCTCCCTACTCTCGACTCTCATCGGCGTTAGCAACAAGTGGAGTCTGACACTGATTAAGAGACGTGCCGGCATCGTCCCTCCCGGAGACGTCGTCATTCGCTATCCGAATGGCAGCTTTCTGGTCGTCAAGTGCGCTGAAGACATCGCTCGCGAACTGTTCTTTGCTCCCGAGAAGATCAACTATATGATCACGAGCCCGGCAATTCACCGACTCATCTCACTTGTTGGCACGCTTATGCTTATGTTCGGCGTTATCGCGCTTGCCAATGCCAGGCTGGAATTGCAGTTCGCATGGGGCGGTGCTTATATCATTATCAATGCCGTTCATTGGATTGCTGCTGCAGTACCACAACGTATGCATTGGGACTTCTCCTGCTACGTTCTCGCAGAACAGGGCATTGATGGCGGCAACGAACAGCTTGGCTACACAGAGGCGCTTTGGAAAGCTATCATGATTACGCAGTCGATCGACTGGTGCAGAGCCGGTGCGCCTGCAGCGCCGCTCACCAAGGTCTGGGACGAGTGGCTGGTTGAAGCAGGCAAACAAAGTGCTTCTGTCGTGGAGAAGTCAGGGTCTGTGGTTGCGCCTTACTGGGATGAGCAGCCAGACTCCGAGAAGGGACATGCTAGTACTGTGTTATGGAGCATACCCAAAGAGTGGGATGCGAAGAAGGCCTGGAACGACATATTACAACGACATCGTGCTGCACCGACTGCAGCACCAGCGAATTCTTCGTGATTGTAAAAGGCTGTGCTCGGAGAATGTTTTGCAGACAAAGTATCAAGCGAGGGCGTTGGAGGAATTATGTTCGTGTACACCATAGTTGATTTAGCCGAGCAACCTGCAGAACTTGCACACACGGTGTCCACATGCATTAAAGCCCTTCTATTGCTGTGGAGCTCTTTCTTTGCATCCAGGACCGTCGGCAGTCCTCGCGATCATCAAATCTCAGCAATATATTGGGCACGGGTACTCCCGCTTTGCTCAAATGTGCTTCTGGCCCTGTCCAAATAATCCACCGCCCGTCTGAGCGCGAGCAGTAAAAGCTACGGTGGCCGAGGTGGGTGATCCCTGCGAGATCTCTGCCAGACGTGACAAATGCTAACGACCAGCGGAGTGGTCTAAGGCGGTAGATTTAAGTAAAGCATTGCTTGAAAACTCTACTGGGGAGACCCGCGCGCGTTCGAACCGCGTCCGTAGCAAATTTAGGGAGAATATGATAGCCCTTTCATTTTTGCTCTTAGTCGGTCGAAAAGACTGTAGAGTTCGACAAACTTGAATGATGTTCGAGTGGACGGAAGAACTTGTTCGGCCCTTGCTCGCCAGGCCGCCTCGTGTCCGAATGCACTCTCGATCTTGCTTGCCGACTTCCTGTCCCCGCAAGAGCTCGCAACCAGATCTCGTCATTTTGGGAGCAGATCAGAACAACAATTCAGCCTGATTGGAAAGACCTCGTACCTGGCAGTCCTGATGGTATGCCGAGTTGCTTCTAGCAAACGCCGATGAGGAGGCTCCGCACTCGTGGTCTTGTCATTGTGCATCCAGTGTAGTTCGAATATAACCTGGCAAGTATCCGCTGTCTCGATCATCCAACGGCCAATTATCAAAATGCATCTTCTTGCTTTCTCATTATTCGCAGGCTTCGTGGCAGCAGAGAGTGGTCTGGCAGCATGGCTCCGCTATGCACCCCTGTCTGGGAGCCAACACCTCCACTCTTCCTTACCATCTCATATCGTTGCACTGAACAGCACCGTGGGTAGTCCCGTTTATACCGCCGGACAAGAACTCCACAACGGCATACAGAGCATCTACGGCAAGCAATGCAACATCCACCATGGGCACTGGGACGCTGCCTCCTCGGTGGTAGTTGGGACCGTCGACGAGTACACCAAGGCATATGGACCTCTTCACAATGCACCCACGCTCATCGCGGACGGCTACTGGCTCAGCACCGAAGGCGGGACCATTCAAATCCTTGGTCAGAACGAACGAGGTGCTCTGTACGGCACTTTTCAATATCTCTCCATGCTGGCTCAAGGCAACTTCACCAAAGTCGCTTATGCTTCAAACCCAGACGCACCAATCAGATGGACCAACGAGTGGGATAACTTAGATGGCAGCATCGAGCGCGGCTTTGCTGGTCCCTCGATCTTCTTCGCCAACGGAGTTATAGTGAACAATCTCACTCGAGTCAGCGAGTACGCGCGGATCTTAGCATCCATCGGCATTAACGCCGTCGTGGTCAACAATGTCAACGCCAATGCGTCCCTCTTGACGCCGCAGAACATCCAGGGACTAGGCAGGATCGCTGATGTCATGAGACCATACGGTGTGCAGGTTGGCATATCCCTCTTCTTCGCCTCGCCCACCAGTGCTGTACAAGGTCAGGCAAACCTGACCACTTTCGACCCCATCGATGAATCCGTCGTGGCCTGGTGGACCAACGTCACGGATCAGATCTACGAGAAAGTACCAGACATGGCTGGATACCTCGTGAAAGCCAACTCGGAGGGTCAACCGGGTCCGCTAACATACAATCGTACCCTTTCTCAAGGAGCAAACTTGTTCGCCAAAGCACTCCAGCCACACCGTGGTATTGTGATGTTCCGCGCATTCGTGTACAACCAATTAAACGAGTCTGACTGGAAAGCGGATCGTGCCAACGCCGCAGTCGACTTCTTCAAGCCTCTCGATGGCGAGTTCGACTCGAATGTCGTAATTCAGATCAAGTATGGACCAATCGACTTCCAGGTCCGTGAGCCAGCTTCGCCATTATTTGCAAACATCCCACAGACCAACACTGCCATCGAGCTCCAAGTCACGCAGGAGTATTTAGGACAGCAATGCCATTTGGTCTACCTGCCACCTTTATGGAAGACAATTCTTGACTTTGACATGCAAGCCGATGATAAACCATCTTTGGTGCGCAACATCGTCTCGGGCGAGCGCTTCAACAAATCTCTTGGTGGCTATGCCGGCGTCGTCAACGTAGGCACGAATGAGACATGGATTGGCAGTCATCTTGCCATGTCGAACCTCTATGCATACGGTCGATTGGCATGGGACCCTACCAGCGACCCAACAAGCATCCTACAAGACTGGATCCGACTCACCTTCGGCGCCGATCCGAGTGTGGTGAACACGATCACTCAGATGTCGCTGGAGTCATGGCCGGCCTACGAGAATTACAGTGGCAATCTGGGCATTCAGACTTTGACCGATATCCTCTACACCCACTTTGGACCCAATCCACAATCTCAAGACGGTAATGGCTATTGCCAATGGACTCGTGCGGATCAGAAATCCATCGGTATGGATCGAACAGTGAGCAACGGTACAGGCTTCTCCGGCCAGTACCCATCTGCTGTAGCCTCTCAATATGAGAATCTTGCAACCACACCCGACAATCTCCTCCTCTGGTTCCACCATGTCAACTACACAACCATCCTGAAATCCGGCATCTCAGTTATCCAAGACTTCTACAACCAGCATTACGCCGGAGCGGCCACGGCACAAACCTTCCTCACACAGTGGCAGTCACTGAAGGGCAAGATCGATGAAGAGCGCTACACAGACCAGCTATTCCGACAAAGTTTTCAAGCCGGCCATTCGCTCGTCTGGCGCGACGCCATTGTCAACTTTTACCATAACCTCTCCAGCATTGCAGACTCGAGCAACAGAGTAGGCAACTATCCCCACCGCATCGAAGCCGAGAGCATGGAGCTGGATGGCTATAGCATATACGCCGTCAATCCCTTCGAGACAGCCTCGAACAAGACCGCTATCGTGACTTCGAGCAATACGACCGCGGGCACAGCATCTTACACCCTCACCTGCGGCAGTGGAACGTACGACGTCGCAGTGAACTACTTCGATCAGTACGGTGGGAACTCGAGCTATGTTCTCAGCATCAATGATAAGACCGTGGGCAACTGGACTGCGAACTTCAGGCCTTGGATCGGTAATACCGAGGGTCCTCGTGTACTTGGACATACGCCGTCAATCTACTTGGACGGTCACTCGGCTATCCGGGTGACGTTTAGTGATGTCACGATTGCGATGGGCGATGTGTTGAAGATTGTCGGGACACCGAATGGTGTTGAGAAGGCGCCGTTGGACTATGTTAGTGTGCTGCCGCTAGGCGTGGTGGACTAGGGTGGGTCGAGGAGGATATAGCTTTCATGAGTATGATCAAACAATATATCGACAGAACAGGCCATTTATTGGTTCAGCCTTCCTCTGATTCTAGCGCCCGACTTGCTTGTTGATTCTTGCATTCTTCATGGTTGTTTGCCAGCGCCATCCCACTCCCTCACAAACTCCTCCGCCTTCACAACCCAAGTCCACTTAGCCAAACACTGCTGCATCAGAACATCATGTAATCCCTCCGCAGGCTCCGCACAAGCATCCTCGATGACCGAAACCACAAACCCATCGTCCACGGCCGGCACCGCAGTCCTAAGCACACACCCGGAAGTCGACAAACCACAAAGAATCAACGAATTGATACCATGCTCGACCAGTAACTCCATCGCGCCTCCCGTCTTCAGAGCAGAAGCAACGCCAAGACTTTTGAGAACAAGATACTCTCTAGTCCGTTGCTCGAACGCTATATCCTGGTGCTCCGCAACGGCATTGGCGTCGTCTTTGACAGAGGTGAATAGAGCCTTGAAGCGATTCTGACCTTTTCTGGTTGACGGAGGTGGAGGGCCGGTAATATCAATGATAGAGTGCACGACCATTATGCCATTGTCGAGAGCCCAGTCGCGCATGACTTTTGCTTGGGAGACAGCGGCTGCACCAGGTGAGCCGCAGTGGAAGACGATGAAGTTTTGGAAGTCCATCAACACCAGCGCTGTTTGTGAAGCAGGATAATGTAGTGGCGAGGATGGGTCATCTCGTGGCAGTTGTGTTGTTGAAGCCATTGTGGGTTTGGCGAGGACTGTATCTTTGGTTACTGGCGAGTCGATCTCGGTGACGGTGCGTTTAATCGGGAGCGTTTGGACCAGTCTTTGTGTTCGGGAGGTGAGGAAGGTCATATATGAGCTGAGGGCAGGTGTGGTGTTAGTGTTAGGCGGCGTAGGTGACGTGGAGTTAGCAGGAATTAAGCTCTGGTCGTGCTCCGTGCTTTCCGGTTTCGGCGGCGTGGCCATGAACATCATTGTTGGTGCCTACATGTTTGTCCGGAGAGATGTTAGCATTCTCGAGGATACTGTCTTCCTTTCTACTATCGCGGAATGTCATTCAATCTCGTGATTTGGACTTCGCGATCATGGTTCGACCTTGCAGGCGAGATCGACATGACATTTGGTGGCTTGTCGGGCAGGTTGCCTGCTTTGGGTATGCTGTGCGATTCACCCGCTGCTGTAAGGTTGACCACCATCAATTTTGCGCAGAGCAGACAATGCCAAGTGCTCGTAGGCCATGCTAGCGGACTTCTTGTGGTGGACTTTGTTTGTCATTCGAGTGCTTAGGTGTAGCGCTAAGCTGTTTGAGTAAGTATCTGTACATGAGGTGTATAATACGATCGAGAACCGGTGAGATATCAATCACGATCGTCTTTCTTAGTGTTCCGCTACTCCTCGCGCCTTATCATCTTCATCGGGTGATCCTATTCTCCATGCTACCACTCATCGTTTACGGGCGTAGCACACGCAGACCATCGCGCGAAGGTGCTGTCGCGCGCTTGAAGCTCTGTACGCACTACATTAGCAAAGCTCACCCGATCGGACATATACTTGCGACCCCCTGCGGGCGCGAGCTCGTTGTGTGCGCCCCCACGAGAAGCAAGTAAATGATACATAATATGGCATGTGTTTTGACGTACCGAGTCGCACTCTTCCCAGGCTCTGCCAGCACCAAAACCGGTTCCCAACCACACTGGGAATGCTCTTCGCTTGAACAGGAGGACTGAGAATATGACACCGAACCCTGCGCCAATTCCGCTCCTTATGAGCATCGTGCTCAAGCAATGGTCCCACTGCGATGGACAAGTCAGCTCAGCTCCCCATGCCATGTCCTTGCAGCAGTCCGCTAGTCCGTCGTGCGAATCTATCTCTAGTGCGCCTCTCATGTATTGTGTCCTGCTAGTTGCGTACCTTCTCATTCAACAGTGCTTCGCTCATGGGTCTGCCTGATCGTGTTGGTGGTGGGACATTCGGTGTCACTGAGCTGGAGTCCACCATGGTGATAATCCGCTATGTCTTGTCCAGTTGTACTATGTCTTGGATGGGAGAGGGTAGTCGAGATGTCGCGTCGCAAGATACTCAACTCTCAATGGCAAGCACAGGAGATAGCTTCCTGCTTGAAGCTGCAAGCCGGGATCGTCCGGTGCATGGACCACTGTGCATATGGCATATCAAAAAGTTCGACTTTCTACAAATGCTCGCCAGTAAAAGCGACTGTGTTAGGACGGACTAGCCTGCACACCACATTATCCGAGAGTCAAATGGCGAAGGCGAAGATCTCAGCTGCTCCAGCAGATCAGACGTCCTTGGAGCGGCTCAAAGCACTGGACACTTTATCCGATCTGCAATCTCAACTCAAGGAAGCACGCCAACTATGTACACACGCCGCTCGAGCAGACATGCTCGCCAAATGGCTGTTAGTGAAGCTTCAGGACGATGCCGTCGCTCGTGCTGCTCCTGAGTCTTGGTCTCTACTGGATCTTATAGTTCGAATCTCGCCACCAGAGCGACTAGCAGCTCTGCTCGGCACCTCAGACCTCATTCGAACCATCACGAAGACCATGAACGAGAGCACAGAAGGTACTAGAGTCATTTGGGAGGTTGATAACTGCTTGTCATCACTTTTCTCTCTCTCCGAAGGGCCCAGGTCTGCTGCAGTCAAGGCACGATTGAGCACGAGCGCGGAGAAGGCTGCGCAACTCCTTGGAGCCTGGGTCGGAGCTATGTTAACAGTGGAGTTCCATCTCAAATGGCCTGATAGACTGGACTTATGCGTAGATCAAGTCGTCCGCGTCTGGAACCTCCGCAAGCATGATCCGCACGAGAATGAGCATTTCGCTTCGCTGTGTCTTGTACCAGCCACAGCGCTGTTGGGTCAGCTGAGCTCAGATGGCGACTCGACACGGACAAAGCGAAAGCGCAAGGTGCAGGGAGCGCTACAGGCTGATGCTCGATCCTGTCTGGAAGCACTTTTGGCGAAACATGTATTCTTGCCAAGTCGATCGGCTTTCTTCGCCAGCTCGTCGCAGAAGCAATCCAAGAGCCAGTCGGCTGCCAACTTCATTCCTTTGCCACAGCGTCTGAGCACTATCGAAGATACGATCGCCTCTGATAAGCTTCAGCCATTGAGCGTATCATTATTGTTGGACATCGCACTGCGCAGTGCGCCTACGCAGAACTCTCGACAGCGATTGAAGGAGAGGCCATGGATCGAGAACATCTTCCCTGCTCTACTGGCATGCTTGGCGAGGGTAGAAGGTCCCAGCAAGCAAGGTGCATTAACGGCTATGCTCAAAGTATTGCAAGTGCATGGAGCATCATTGTCGAGGGAGACTCTACTACAGCTCGCCACAAATCAGGCTATATCTGATCGAGATGAGCAGTCCACGAACTGGGAAGTCCTAGCGCAGATGATTTTGCTAGACCCTACCGCGTTTGCTAGAGTCGAGAAGGATGGCAAGCATCTCGATGCTGCGCGTCTGTTCGACCTGATTGCGAAGGCCGAAGAACCTAAACATGGCAATCTTGACCTCATAAGGGAGTCGGTGGTGATTCCTATCATGCTTGCTTTCGCCAAAAATCGCGGACTGCCTGCGTTCATTGACTTGTGGCATACCCAGCTGCGTAAGACAGATTCGCTGAGTACGGTATGGTTGCAGCTGCGAGAGTCCTTTGCCAAGCTTGTCGAGGAACACCTGTCGTTGAACTACATCGTGGACTGGATCACGCGCTTGCGCCAATCAACGGAAGCGACTGCCTCCGTTGCGGATGTCAGCGACATGGATCAAGGACTGTTGAGTGCCAACTGCACCATCGTTTCCGCAATGCTTTGTGGATTGCAGAGCGCTGCGTACAGAGACGCTGTTTACAGCGAGCTCGATCAGCTGATCGAGCCTCTTTACTCGCTACACACTAGCAATATTGACAAGATAAGCTACATTTGGTTCTTGTTGAGACACGTGCTTGAACTGTGGTTTCCGACTTGGGCATCGCGGCAGTCGAATCGGGCGACTGTTGTCAAACGAGCAGAGGACATCTATAACACGACATTGCAGGCTACCGCAGAGAAACACCTGGAGCACTATGCCACCGGTGCTGCGCTGTCTGGAGTCACATTATCGAAAACGCGAGACATATGTGAGTACGTCGCTGTGGCGTCACATCTCCTCAAAGCGTACGACCCACGATTCATGGATGCCTGCAAATCTGTGGCAGCCAAAGCCAACCACGACTCAATGTTGGCATATCTGCTCCGCGCCGACTCCGAGACATCGAAGAATGCAGATATCAAACGTCCATCTGGGCACAATATGAGCCATAGCAGTGTCCCTGAAAGCCTCAGGAGCTTCAGTACGCTGGTAGACGAGTGTACAGAGAGTACGGATCAGTCAATCCCCATGACTGTCATCAATTCCGCAACGAAACATCTGGAAGGCGACCTTGCACCGACTGAGTACTCTTGTATTCTCGCAAATATCTCACGCTACTGTCAGGGCGCGAAGCCACGAGCACAGATGGACATGCTGCACGGTCTACTGGACTCGAATGGAACCCTGAGCCACTCCACAATCGTTCTGGCCAAAGCCGTTGTCTCTAGTCTTAGGAGAGTAGACTTCGCCGACAGGAGTCCAGCAGACGGTGCAAACAGTCCTCAGTCACTCATGAGTAGCCTTCTTGCCATTGCTGGGCAGTCAAAGAGTCTGACACTGGTCCGTGGAAGCCTAGACTGCGTAGCTCTTGCACTGCGAAGCAAGCCCTTCCTAACGAACCAATGCGTGGTAGAAACTGTTATGACAACGCTCAAGACTCTCGCAAGACGACAAGATACACATCTTCGAGTCCTATACCTAGATATCAGCAGCACCTTTACCGCGCTGCTGCAGCACCACCTTTCTCGGCTTCGCGATCGCATGCACCTCATGGTAGAGCTCATACAGAGCCTCATCTCGTGTCTGTTTTGCAGGCTGCCAGCGAGTGATGGTACCAGCAAGCATCTTACTGCTCGCCACGCCCGCCTACTTGCTCGGAATTTACAGCTCCTCTGCAGCCCACCTCGCCTGACCAGGACTTGGAATCACATTTCCGATCTTGTAGACGAAGCGCGAAAGGCACAAGCGCATGTGGGACAGTACATGCAGTATGTATTACACCACTATTGCGTTGAGGTACTCGGCGGGACGCCTGGCGAGGATGTGCGGGAAGCTCTTATGCCTGGCTTGTATGCCATGGTCGAAGCTATGGAAGTCAGTAATGAGGATGCAATCAAGGTACTGGGCGCTGCGATGAACAATAGTGAGAGAGCGGTGTTGAGAAGTGTCTATGATGATTATAAGTCGTTTGCGAAGTGGCGTGGTGGATGAGCGAGATCGTCGGCATGGTTTACGTTGGTATCCGAAGCAGACAGTCTGGCGTCCTCTTAAAGCTGTCACTCGAGATCCACTAGCCATGGCTTGCCGTAAGGACATTGAAGCCGATTTGCATCACGAACGTGGCTGGAGACGAACGAAGTGCTGGTCAGGTCTGGACGGAGAGTGGTTCCGACAGTAGGAGATGCTGAAGATTGCCCCTGAAGCTGTGCCTGAAGGCGTGAGTAACGATGGTCCTGCTGTCAGGGATTGAAGGGCCGGCATCCTATTGGTTACCGGATACGCAGGTGGATGAGGTGCTGGTGATCAAGATGCGCGATTCTGTGGCTATGCGATAGCATGCTGAGGAGGAGTGAAGTGTAGTACGTCCGAGTCCTGATCCGGGTGATGCTGCTCCTGAAGAGGCGAGTGAAACTTTGAAGGCTAGAGCTATTGCTATATGGTAGATGCTTATATGAGTATCTCTTGGGCTTGCTCCGTATCATAAAACCGCTGCATGGGAAATACAGGTGAAACCTTCATCGCAGCAAAATGAGCTTCCACGTCCCAAGCCGCTTTTAATCAGTCTGCGCTACCCCTTTCGGAGAATATCTGCGGCCTCCTCTGATCTATATTGCTCTGCCTAGGGCCCAGTGAAGTAGCGAACGCGGTGATGCAGTGCATCCATTCAATTAATCATACCGCACACGATGTTGCCAGTTTTGTTCACTTCCAACTCCGAAGTCTTTGTCGTAGTCACCACTTCCTCGCCTCCAGACACAGTAGTGACCAGAGTCGTTGGAAATCGAAGATGTACAAAACTTGACTGGAAGGTGTCTTCAGTATGCTTCCAACACACATCTCCCGAACAGCCTCCTGCGAAAGACGAGGATATCGTTCGACGCTTCCAACCACGAACCAACACATAGCCACGACCACTACCACTACAAGACTCCAGACACACCTCCCTGACCTCGATATCCACACACCATGTGTACCTGGCTAAGCGGTCGCGTCACCTATGCCTGTGGCCACATCAGGTCCCACGGCACCCACATGCCATGCCCGACCTCTCAGCTCCGGAACGGGGGTGCTCCATGTACTGCCAACCATATTTCGAGCTCGAGGACATCTCGAAGCTGTCAACGTTGTGTGCCCATGACACCAGATGGTCGCACGATCCTTGGTCCGAAGGGCAATTCGAGGGTCAATCCTTTCATGTGAGTCGGTGGTAGTGCAAGACATGGTAGCAGAAGACGACTGTCGGCGGCAAAAAGTCGGAATAGCTCGCACGCAACGCGATAATTCGGCATTGTCCTATGCACAAGTGATATCGGAGTGGAAGATTGCAGAGGTTGTCCTGGTGGAGTGACGAGATATCCATATTAGGCGGAGGGCATGGCGTATAAGCTTTAGTACTGGCAAAGGTCAGTAAGGACATCGCAGCGCTCATATCTTTCACTTTCGTGCCAAGACCAACGTCGCGCCTTCCGCTTTCAGCGCAGAGTTTCCACTTCACTCCACAACTTCCGCCACAGCAAAATACCCCTTGTTTTCCACAACACCACGATTTTTGACCACAGCCGTGTACTTCACCACCCATTGCGGCTGCACCTCTCCTCTCAGCGCATCGCCACCAGGAGCATCCCCATTTGTGCTCTCCTCACCATGAAGACTTTTTCTCTTATCACCAGTCTTCGTCGGCTCGGCCAACACACCTGCTCCACCTTCACCGGGTCCCAGTAATTCGCGAGTAGTACCCCGTGGAAGGATATTCGAGCAGTCATTATGAACCAGCAGCTCCACGCTTCGGCTCTTGGCCAATGCCATCAGGTCTTTCGGCACTGAACAGCAGTCCCGGAGATTGATCTGGTCGACACTTGGTTTGATTTGAGTTCGGTCTAGGAAGGAAAGTAGCCTGTCGTGCCCGAGCTCTGCCACACCGAGTTTCTTCACTAGTCCTTCCTCGTATAGCTTTTCAAGGACTTTCCAGGTCTCGATTTGTGATTGCATTGTCTCTGGCTCCGACTCGACAGGTCCACGGGTCGAGATCTTGTCCGGGCAGTCCTCCTCTTCGTCAAAGTAGATACCAGGAAAGGACACTATAAGTAAGTCCACAGACGGCATATGCAGATCCTGCAGCACCAGATCCAGAGCCTCCCGAGTCTGCTTCTCGCGCTCTGCGATCTTCGCGCCTGGGAGGTAGAACAGCTTCGACGTGATGTCATATTGCTCTCTCTCCTCCTGCAATGCCGAGTCAGCGAACTCCAAGGCAGGTACTTCCAGACAATTCTCTTTCCGATTCGTCCAGACTTCGTAGTTCGCTTTCACAGGCTTGGCATCTCCATTACTGAGACCATTGGTCGTTGTGTAATGCGCTTCGAAGTTCGATCGCAACGAGGATATGAGCTCGCTGTTGCTCTTGCTCTTAGTCGATCTGCGTATGGACGAGCCAGCGCCCATGATGTTCGAGGTTGACAGGATGAGCTTCATCGTGGTGGATGGATCGAGGAACGCCAGGCAGCAATAAGCTGATCTTGGATATTATCGTTGGCGTAGTATTTACATGAAGCCAAGAATTATGTATATGTACAAGTAAGGTCTAGAATATGTCGAGAGAAAAGCAATGGCAAGATACAGTTTCTCCCAGTAAGCAAGCACGATGATCGAATAATGATTTAAAAGCCGGCAATTGATTGATCCCGCTTACCCGTTGCGGTAATCTTACGCCGCTGGTTTCGGTGGGGTCGCGGCGCCCGCTAAATCATGCTTCGTTTCTCGCTAAAGAAAGGCACCGGCACCAGCACAATCACGCACCACACATTTTCTTCCTCGTCGAGTCCGCAATGGCTATTAGGTATTGCATGACCTAGACATCACGCTCAAGCATGATCGTGACTGACATGGACTTAGATACCTGATCCTGCTCTCGCGGCAGGGCAAAGTGGTAGGTGTGATCGCTGTGGCTCCGTTGCCAGTTGGTGATTGAGGATGTGTTGCTGACTGGTATAGCGACTCGCGAAATGGTTCACCACCCTCTCGCCAAAGGACAAATCCAAGATCGTCAAGGATGTCTCGCAATTGGTGCTGGCCCGTAGGACACGCATGTGCAATTTCCTCGAGTATAAAGGTGAGCGAAGGCCATTTCACCATTCACTCCACCACCTATCACTTTCACATTATCGAGCGATGTACTCACTCGTACATCAGACACCAAAGTAGTCTACCGCCGTTACGCCTCGCTCTTCTTCATCGCCGCCGCAGACAACACGGACAACGAACTCATCACCCTTGAAATCGTGCACCGCTATGTCGAGCAAATGGACAAATACTACGGCAACGTCTGCGAACTGGACATTATCTTCAACTTTCAAAAAGCATACTTCATCCTGGACGAGCTATTATTGGCAGGCGAATTGCAGGAAAGCAGCAAGAAGAATGTGCTTAGAGTGATTGGTGCACAAGACAGTCTGGAGGACATGGAGGTGAGTGAAGATGACTCGTACACTGGGTCCCACGTGTGACACTTCCATGTTCGCCTACCAATACCTTTCACACCTCCTTCTCCTCTCGCCACTCGCTGATCATGCCTGCCATTTCACAACAGGTCGAGGACGATGCTATCACGAAGATTGGTTGAATGAGGTTCATCATCCTGCTATTACCATGTCATCAATCCCTCGTGCGGCCAAGCAAGCTCTGCCCACTGACTGGACTCATGTAATTTCAGACCACCACAGAGTTCAGCGCAGAAGTTGAGAAGCAGCTCAAAGACGCAGGCTTGTTGTAGCATCCGCACAGCACAGCACAGTATTGGCTACTTAGTACCTGGCTATGGGGGAAGAGTATGCCGCCATCACATGACGAGCTCAGTGAGTCGTCGATGGTACAGAAGCGGCGTTCATCGGGTCATGTACCCTTTTCTACTGAAGCCACATTACAGCACATTCGATGCTGATGCACTTGTACGGTACGATTGCAGTATTCTTGCAGCATCATCGCCCTTGCATTAGGCAGGGCGGAGGCCTCAGGTCTCCTCTAAATGAAGAACATTACTCTCATGAATCACGTACTCACTACTCACGTTCACACGCAAAGTCTACTGCGAGATCTACAGCACGACATCCTGAGATATGGAGCATTTTTCGCTCAGCATCACGTCAAACTCAGGTTGGTCTCTCCCTCTTTCCCATCCTCTCGAACATGCGCTGAAACAGATCGTCTCCGAAGTGCTGTACATGTTTTGACTTGCCAGAGACATTGTCAAGCTCTGGCAACAATGCAGTCAATTTGCGGCTTCTCACGGCTTGCAATGGTCATGCAATGACACAGGTCCCACGTGTAACTCGAGCTCGTGGCATAACGACAGCAGGATGTTGGTCAGAAGCACACAGCTCAAAACGTTGGCCAGAAGCACACAGCTCAAGACGTTGGCATGTATTGCAGTCGAGATTGCACGAGCCAGCTTATCGTTGCCCAATTGGTCAGCCGATCGGTGCGGACAGCAGATGGAACTCCGGATCTCACGACACGTGACTTGGTTCGCGCTGAGCAAGCTTGAATCAGGCGCCTCGCATCCCCGCAACTCTGATCCGCGCCTGGCCTCAGCGCAACGCAACACCTCGTCGACCTGGCTGTCATCATCATCCACCACCACAACCGCGACTACAACCACGACACCCACCCCGACGACGCGATCACGAATCTTTCAATATGGCCATGGCGACCGCTACGTTCTTCTGAGCCTGCTAGGCGCGCGTCAGCTGCGTCTAGTACTCCAGTCCTCCCCTGCGACGGATCCGGCTTCCGATTGAGGGAAGTGAATCGGGCGAATTCGACTCTACTGCCATCGGTGTCACGAGCGAGCGCGAAAGCGCTATCACGACGCGAGGACGGACGAGCTTTGAAGGGTCTTTGGGAGGCAGAGGAAGCATCGGGCTGGAAGCAGTTCGAAGCAGGGAGACCGCGGAGACCACAGACAAGGGAATATTGCCTATGCACGGAACAATTGCAAGATGAAGGTACGTTATCAAGGCTAGTCGGGCTGCAGCCATGCGAAAGTGAGGTGATTTGGGAGCATTGTTATGATGTTTACAGCCGGCTGTATCCGCAGCTTCGAGCGCGCAACGCCACCTCACGAGGACTGCATGCGCTTCACACAGGCCACGCATCCAGCTTGGATAGACTGAGCTAACGAGATGATAGTATTTACAGCTTCGCGACTTCGATACAGTGACGAATGCGCTGAACTTCTCTACGCCAGACTGCCACGTCATTGGAGGATGTGATCTGTACACCACAAAAGCAGCTGGCAGCGACAAGAAGCTGTATAAGAACATCGAGCATAGTCTCGAATCACAATATGAATCCCTGGTCAGGCTATCTGCATCGCTGAGTCCGCCCTACCGTTCTGCGGCCAGCGATGATGGCAAAAGCAGCGAGAAAGGCAGTAGTAGCAGGAACAAGCGAAGTCGAACGGTAGAGGCACCGGAGATTGACCTCTCGCGGGCATCACCATTTGGTCCACTCAGTCAGATCAATGCACGACGAACATTTGCCTACCTGATCGCGACATTGAACGCATCACACCCGGATTACGACTTCTCGCATCTCCTACGACCAAGCGACTTCCGCAAAGAGCGGAGCTTACGAACCATCATCCAAACTGTGGACAGCACACTCCAGAATCTACGCCCAAAACCCTCGGCTTTCTATCTGGCGCCTCCAGTCCTCTCACATTCCGCACCCGTAATAGCTAACAGTATGGGCAACGAGATCTGGAGCCCACGGATGTGGACACTCATCGACAAGGAAATGGGCTTGCGACAATGCGAGAAATACTCCTACGTTCCAGACGACGATCCTTTTGATGGTGCGGGCGATGGAGGCAGTATTTGGAGCATGCATTACTTCTTCTTCAACAAGGAGAAGAAACGGGTCTGTTATTTGCATCTGAGGGGTCTGTCCGTTATCAGCCATAGTCCGGTCAGTAGCGCGACATATATCCGCAAACCGTCTGTGACGAGGAAAGTTTCCTCCGTCTCGGTAGGCGAGGGTGCGAGTAAACGCGCGAGTTACTGGTTGGGACGGGACGTAGAGGTCGATGATGTGGAAGACGATGATGACGATGACGCGGGGATGGTGATTGAGGATCGGAATGATGATGAGGTTGAAGTGCCGCATATGGATCTCGATGACATTCGGGGTGAACTTGCTCGAGGCGGATATTATGAAGGATATGAGGGTGAGGACGACGAGGAAATGTATGATGATGCTTGGTCTGTTCCTGCACGTCCCCGGGGTGTGAGTGAGGAGATTGGGGAGATCATCGAGATTTGAGCTGCGGGATAGGCAGGGAAGCGAAACTGTGGCTCAACAGACGGTGCCGTGAATGCGTCTACAGCATGTCACGAAGGAGGAGTTTGAGGCTACCGGGATCTCTGGGTATTGCTCGTTAGCGGGCTGGATGAGTGAGAAGATGATGGATATGAATCACGCTTGAGCTCGCCAGTGGCGCGACGAGCTCGGCGTTCTCACATGGGAGGGCATGTAATGATACCCTGCTGGTTTTACTCGTTGCTTTCGTATGTATAGACTTTAGTATGCATGCATTACGTTTTCATGGTCAGAAGTCCTAGCGCTGTTCCTTAGCGTCGATGCTTGCTTAGCGTAGGTGAATGGAAGTGTTTGCACTTTAGCCACCACTAACCACGTATCACTGGTTTTGTAGACTGGTAAATGCAGGGAGAGGAGGAATTGACACCGTCACCACTCATTGTTGACGTGGTATGTGAGGCCGCAAGAATGTGTTGCGCCTCAAGTCTGCTGTGCACTGCCTCGCCGTGAGCTGAGCCGCAGACTTGCCGCGTGACCGTCAACCACACCTCGCCTGCAGCACACGCGATCCGTATCATACACTGCACAGCGCAGTCACCATCAAGCACTGTCTAAGCCCTGCGGCGAAGACTATCGCTAGGCGGCAGAAAGTCTCAAAGGCCTCACCTTGCGGCAACGAGCCTTCATTCTCCCTTTCACTGGTCGATGACGGTTCGCGTGAGTGCTTGCCGGGAGGCTGCCTCTGCCTCAGTACGCGACATATTCGCTGAGGCATGACCACGACGGCACTGCACAAATGCAATGGCGCCTTTCTGACCTTGAGCCGTAGCACGTCTGAACTACATAGCCCGCAGCTTAGCCACCGTATATACCCACAATCCGCTATTGCTTCGCCTTCAATCTTGTGTCTAGTTTACTCGGCATGCCTTCACTCACCCTTGCCGGTGAACAAGAGTCTGGTACGACAAAACTTAAGGGATCTGCAACTTCCTTGTCTGGTTGCTCGCGCTCCCTTTCGCACTTCCCTGCTCCGCCAACCACGTTATCTACTTCAGCTCTGGCTAATTCGTCATCGCCGCACGTTACTTTGAGGGTCTTGGCTCTTGTCAAGGGCATCTGTCGACGCTTTGCTAAGAGGGCGCCAAGTGAAAGGACAAGGAAAGTCCAGGGAAGAAAGACGATTGGCAAAGACTTTTGTCCAGATCTTGAAAGTCAGGCTTACGCTGAGATCGACAAGTACTTAGGGAAGAAAGTAGTGTACCCACATTTGCGGAAGACGAAGATCGACGATCGCCGAAGCCAAGGAGTTGAAAGGTACGTGCCTCCCATATGTAGTAATGATGCCGGGATCTAGCAACTACTGACTAATATAGTATATTGGACTTGCTCGACAACGCTATCCACGACCAAGGCAATGGCCTCATCGCGGTAGCAAAGGATCACTCGGGCTTCCTCGATCGCAGAACAGAGTTTAAAGTCTCGAAGCTGTCATTGCAGGAACTCGTGGCCCTCTTCGTTGGTGTGAAGCAATTATTTTCGCAGCTGAGTGAACGATCTCTGGTCAAAGGTGACGAAGTGCTTGTGCCGGACCTCGACGACTTGAGCTTGGCGAATCTCGAGCACCTGCTTCTGTGCTTGCTGCATGTTCTGCTTCGGGCACTAGCAAGTGAAGCTCTTGGTCAACCACATCAGCACCTGCTAGATTGCCAGAAAGACCGAAGCGTTCACAGCGAGGAGTGGTTCTTCGAATATCCTAACGCTCAGCATCCTTTGAGCACGACTTGGCCGTGGTCGTTGAGGCCGTCTTTAGCTGTGTTGTGGGGCGTGTGTTGGATGTTCTATGACCGACCGGTACATCTCGACAACGAAGGAAATTTGCGAAACGACCTAGGTGAGGAGGTGGTACCAGCTGACATAGTGCGACTCCATCAAGGTCTCACACAGTTCAGGCAGACACCCGCAGCCACAGGTACGCATTGCTCAGTCTGTCGTATTCGCTACAAGCTGCGTGCACGTCGGCTTCTCCTTGTGGCTCGTCTCGCAGGCACGAAGATAGCAGCTGACTGAAGACTTTGCAGGAAACCAAACTTCGCGGCCAGAACGTCAAACTCAAAACATGCTCGCCATGAGTCAGCAACCGGGCCGATCCTTGATGCCTGACCGACCAGGCTTTCATCACTACTCGCCACGATCATCGTATCCGCATGATAGTACTCAAAATCATCACACCACACGACCGAATCGTGACTCGACCCTGCTGCCTACTGCCGCCGCCACATCGCGTCGCAATCGTCAGCGGTCACAAAATACTGACGCGAGAGGCTACAGGAGTCAGAATACAAATACGATCGGCACTGCCGCAAGCAACTCGCCGGACGCCGCGTGGCTAGATTCAGGCGCAGCAGGAATCTGGCAGCCTGACGGTTTGCCTCAGTCCCATAATCCACCTTCGAGGCACTTCATCACCAGCGCCATCCGCCCATACGCACACCCAGGCCAGCCATCTCAGCAGTCACAGTCGCAGTCGTACGTCGGATTTGGTAAGCTCGCGCTGCTGCCCTGCTCGCCACTTCGCCTAGACATTATTCAGAGCTCTCTCATAAGAGCACAGACTAACCATCGTGAATCCATAGGTCTGCCTCAGGACAACAATCCAATCTGGGAAGGCACGTCAAACTCATATCTCAGTCACCTGTACCCGCCAACCTCACAGGCATTTCCCAACATGGCTGAAGTCGCCACTCCCATGGTCAGCGCGAGCACGCATCAGATCACCTCGCATCGGGGCGACCACTCGCCACACGACCCCAATCAACACCAAGGAATGCACGATCCCGCACTCATGGGTAGGAAGCGCTCCCATGACGAAATGATGAACCAGAATATGGATCAAGCAGATTCTCATCAAAATACTATGCAAATGCTGCGCAATGAAATGGAGTCGCAGAATGCAGTCTATCCCGAGCCACCAGACCATGCCGATTATCCTCAGCCAGCGCTACAAGGTCGGACTTCCGAACAAGATCGCAACGCTCAGGATTCTGGTCAAGATGAAGATCAGTCAGACTCTCCTCAGCGTGCCCGTACTATTCGTCGTGGCGATCCGCCGAAAAATGCCGAGGGCCAGATGATCTGCACGTACGCGGACGGATGTGCTGCTGAGATCTTCGACCGCAAGTGCGAGTGGGGGTGAGTAGAAAGATATGACATGTGTCTGAGCAGCAAGCTAATTAGAGCATAGCAAGCATATGGACAAGCACGATCGCCCATACAAATGTGGGGATCCCGACTGCGCGAAGATGCAAGGCTTCACCTATTCCGGCGGTCTATTGCGCCACGAGCGCGAGGTCCACCACAAGCATGGAGGACCAAAAGCAACATTGAGATGTCCAGTCGCGGAGTGCAAACGCCATCTCGGCAAGGGTTTCACTCGTAAAGAGAACCTAAACGAGCACGTCCGTCGTGTTCACGATGGAAAGGTACCAGAAGCACCACAACCGACCACGCTTCAGGACGAGCTCGAGAATGCGCTTGCTGGCGCCGAGCAGGGCGCCGACCAGACGACGGACCCACAGCTTCCAACCAGCATGCCTTTCCCGGATCCAAGCTCAGAGCACTACCAAGTAGAGACAGCCCAAATGGCAAAGCGCCAGCGAACCGACGATGGCTCGGATGACAGCTCAGAGCTTGAGCAGCTCCAGCTCCAGAACGCCCGCCTACGAGCCGAGAATGCGGTCCAAGGCGATCGTATACGTGAGATGGAGACACGTGAGGCAATACGGGAGGCTCGTCTTGCCCAGCTGGAGCTCTTCTTCGGTGGAATGCAGCAGCCGATACCTGACCAGCAGGAAGACCAGGAGGGAGCAGGTGGCAAGGTGGATGCAGGTATGGCATAGGATGCCTACACGCAAAATTCCTACTTCGTTGGCTAAACATTGTTAGAAATTCTCTGAGCAGGTCTAGCGGTGTACACGTCACGATCATAGAGCATTTTCAGACTGAATATGTTCGATGGAGCACCATGGTACTTCAAGAGTGGGGAGTCTGCTGCCGGCCATCATCGCAAGGGGTGTGGCGGAGTTCTGGTGTTATGGGCATGGTTGTTTCACTTGCAACAGATTGCTTGACTGCTTCCTTCTGATACCCCATGCTCGAATAAACCTTGTTTACAGTACTGTTTACGTTGATACGCAGATATGTTTGCATAAACTATTCCGCTCTCTTCTGACTCTATGTCGCCATCCTCCCGGAGCAAACCAATACTAGAAATGTCTTGCATGTGAAGGACGCGACCACGAATACTGGTGTCTCTGAAGGGTGGTGAGAAACGTTGAATGCCCACGGATGTCCCAACCGGGCGAGACCGAAGGATAGATCTCGCACGTTGCTTCCAACTGTAGTTTCGCTTCGTCACAACGTCCTTTTCTGCTATCTTGCATCTTCGTTTGACCCACTCCTTGGCTCAGCCGGACTCTCCGATCAGATGGGTCGACTGCGTGCTTAAACTGTCAAGGGTGGCGTTCTCGCCGTTCTTGGCGCAACGCGAACTCTTCTTCTTTCCGCAACCCGATCCTGTTCCCTAACATCATTGCACCACAACATTTTCTAGCCAAACACTCCTGACAGGCCCACTGTCTGCACCGCATGGGCTGCGACATCTCAGCGATGCTACATTCAGATCGGACATCGCTACTGCTGATGGCCGAATGTTATTAGTCCAGCACTACTGAGCGGCCTAAAGTGGACCTCGATTCGTTCATGAACCATCACAACGCTGCTGACGACACACGTGCGAATAAAGGCTACCTATATAGCTATAGCTATGCTTCGTAACCCAAAGGTAGGGAACAAGTGGGTCACTGATAGCACCGGCGAGCATCGGGTTATGGGTCCGCTATTCATCGTAGTCGATGGCCACTGCTTGTGTCTTGTTTCAGCGTCATTGCTGTGGTCCACCTCAGATCTTCCTTTCCCTATCTCTACACCTCGCGATGCTTACCTTCTATACACGACAGTATCATCACAGCAGCTCATCGGGAACACAGAACACTGTTGAGTGAGCAGGAATAGCGACTTTTCGCCGACTTTGCAGCTGTGTTGTTGCAGAGTTTGCGGTCTTTCTGCGGCTCTCGAATCAGCACGCCTCTTTGGATCGGTACCTCTGTACCTTTCGACCACATACTGACGCTGACCGAGCACTTGAGCGAGAATACTTCTACATTGCCTTTGCATTCTTCTACTATCTGTTCCTTTCCTCTACCATCGCTCGCTGGCCGACAACATTAATCTTCACCTTCACGACTTTACGATCACGACCTCACGACACATTCCGAACTCTAATTCTGTACCATCGCTAAAGGTCAGGACCAAACCCGGCAATTCGTCTGCATTCTTTGTCTAAGCCACTAGTACCGGCACACCGGAGACGGTATACATCATGTCAACTCCTGTCGATTCACCCACAAATCCTTTCGAGGACCCTGCCATAGTGGCAGACTTACTTGGACCCATGGATAACAGCCATCCATCTACGCAGGACCATAGCAAGTCGGCGAGTGCAGAGGCTAGCCAGCCTGGAAGCGCTGGCGGCAGACGCAAAGAAAAGAAAAGGGTCGGCTTCACAGGGGGGACCAATTCGGCAGAGATGAGTCCACGAGGGAGCTGGTACGATGGCCAGCCAACGACGAATGCTCGAGCACTGTCACCTCCAACGATATTCGCCACACCACCGCAAGGATCTGCTGATGCTAGTGGTGCAAGCACACCTGGCCACTCACGGCAGAACAGCCGTGACATCATGTTGCCACCTGCGCAAGACGATAGCAGATCGCATCTGCCTGAACTTTCACTCCAGCAAACGCAAGAACTCCATAAAGCGTTAGGATCGACGCTTCCGGTACCAAAACCAAGGCCTGCCATCCGACGAACATCATCCGACCATCGCGACAGCGACGCCCATATCTTAGCAGACACACCCGAAGACGACGATGTTGCACGACATCGACATTTGCGAGCTGTAGATGCTCACGAGCGCGCGAAGAGGCTCGAGACTGATGAACGCATCCGCTCAGAGCCGAACTCACGGTTCAACTCTCCTGAACGAGACTCGAGGAGAGGTCGTCGGAAGGCTCGGTCGGAAGATATAGCGCTGAAGGACCTACCTCCTATGTCCTACGATGGCCCTGACTCCGACTCTGACGACGGGCTAGAGATGCCACGAAAGGGTAGAAATGTAGGATCCACTGCTGAGGCATTTGAGCTAGTTCGCAAGCATACGATGCATCAAAGTTCGCATCGTGATGTCGATACCCCTCCTTCGCCTGGATTGCCGTCCGGTGCTGTCACGCCTATTGACGAGCATGGGGACTACGAGTTCTATCGCCCGCGACCCAAGAAATATCAAGGCGGTATATTGTCGTCGCTGATGAAACTTCACGCACAACAGCGAGGTGGCCATAGCAGGTCTTCTAGTGCAAATCCCGGCCACCAAAGACATTACAGCGATGGCTTCAGTCAGGCTTCCACCCCTCAGCACTCTCCTTCAGAATCTGGCGCATCCACACCCACAGCGCATTGGTACGCTCGGAAACATAAGAACAACTCCTCGCCATCACTGGTGCATCTTGTTGGCAGCTCCGCAAGTCTTAGTAGTGCAGCCGCCTCCAGTTTCGGAGATCAGCTTACAGCGAAGCTCAAGGAGCAACAAGATCTCCATCATCCTGGAATGGGCAAGCGGACCCGAAGTGGAAACGCCTTGGCAGCACTGCACCGTGCGAGTCGACCACGCATGGACGAAGAGATCAGGATCACGGTACATATCGCGAATTACATGATACGACAGAAGTACCTGATCAAGCTCTGCCGAGCATTAATGTTGTACGGCGCGCCAACGCATCGTCTGGAAGAGTACATGAACATGTCTGCTCGAGTGCTGGAAATCCAGGCCCAGTTCTTGTACATCCCGGGTTCCATGATCATGTCTTTTGACGACCCGGAGACTCATACCACTGAAGTCAAGCTGGTCCGGGTCACCCAAGGATTGGATCTGGGCAAGCTGAGAGATGTCCACGAAGTGTATAAGGAGGTGGTTCACGATCACATTGGAGCGGAACAGGCTAGAAGCCGGCTTGACGAGATCTTCAAGAAGAAAGAAAAGCACAATAAGTGGTTCCGCATCTTGATCTACGGATGCGCGGCTGCTTGCGTGGGACCATTCGCTTTCGGTGCACGCTTCATCGACTTGCCAATTGCGTTTCTGCTAGGCTGTATACTTGGCTTCCTGCAATTGGTGGTCGCGCCAAGGTCGGACTTGTACGCGAACGTGTTCGAGATCGCGGCTACCGTGATCACATCGTTCCTTTCGAGAGCTTTCGGCAGTATACCCAACGGCCACGGAGGACGACTCTTCTGCTTTTCGGCACTCGCCCAGTCGTCCATTGCGCTTATTCTTCCTGGCTATATAGTGCTTTGCGCATCTCTTGAGCTGCAAAGTCGGAGCATAGTTGCCGGCTCCATCCGTATGGTCTACGCTATCATCTACTCTCTGTTCCTTGGCTTCGGTATCACTATCGGCACAGCAATATACGGCATCTTCGACGTTAATGCCGTCTCCTCCACCACTTGCGATGGAGGCATATCGGAACCATATTACTTTCCATTCGTGCCAGCTTTCGCCATGACTCTCATCATCATCAACCAGGCTAAATGGAAGCAAGCTCCAGTCATGCTGATCATTGCGTTCGTGGGCTTTCTTGTTAATCATTATTCGTCTCGTCGCTTCGCCGGCAACACACAAATCAGCAACACTCTCGGTGCACTCGCCATTGGCGTCCTAGCCAACCTATACTCCCGTGTCGGAGCGCCTGTAGAGAACAAGCTACTCGATCTGTGGGAAGACAAGTATCGACACTACTGGAAAGACTTCCAGAAACGGGTCCTGCATATTCGGCGCAAGGCCTCCATCACGAAGTCCGCCAAGGTACTGGAAGAGGGATCGACTCCGGAGACAGAGTCGATCTATGTCCGCCAAACTAGGAGAGTAGGTTATGGTCTTGCTGCCGCTGCTATGCTGCCCGCCATCTTTGTGCAAGTGCCTTCTGGTCTCGCCGTGAGTGGATCCCTGGTGTCTGGTCTTGCGTCTGCCAATCAGATTGCGGGTAATGCGACGAATGGGACGACAGTTGTGAACAGTACCACCATTACTTTGTCATCCCAGGGGTTGAACAGTATTGCTTTCAACGTTGGGTACTCAGTCATACAGGTCGCTATTGGTATTACTGTTGGGCTGTTCTTGAGTGCTGTCATAGTCTATCCTTTCGGAAAGAAGAGGTCGGGTCTATTCAGCTTTTAGTGCTGGAGATTGGGATTGGGTTTAGCGCATGGTCGTTTCTTGGCGCCTGGGCAATTTGCTGTCTGTATGTTGATACCCCAAAGATCGCTTTTTGTGAAGCATGAATCTATCTGTGCCAGGCAACGTCTTCTATGCAGTAATGAAGATTTGCTGGAACCCCTTCATACACACATCAATGCCGATGCCGTGTGCTTTTGTCATCATGCTTACTCAGATGAGGACTAGGAGTTCGGGCAAGATGTTGTCTGCTTCTCGTTTTATTACGATCTCCCCATCCATGATACCATGCACGTAGCATGGTCCTACGAATCTATACCCGTGGCCATCCACGGGCCGTAGAATCACGGGAAGATGGTAACCAAGCAAAACAGCCAGGACGTCATTGGCGCTTATGTATGGTGGCCCGAGACCAAAGAAAGAATCAGTGCAAAAGAATGTTCGTCGAGGTATTGCCTCCCACATGGCATACGCATACCGAGCGGCTTCCTGGTTCGTGCCTTCGGGTACCTCGGCAGCCGCAGCCAGCCCCAATGGTGGACCGTTGGGCCAGAGGTCGGCGCGGGCCATGGCACTTTCGCATATCTCGTGGCAATTGCCTGTGAATCGTTGCCGATCCCATGTTTTCCCACCCACGAGAGTATAAGCCACGACCTCATTCGCGGAAGTCCCAGCTTGGTCGTCGTTCGAACTGCGCAAAGCCATGTCGTATGCGGTGTGATATGTCTTGAGCAAGCTGGCAGAAGATGTAGGCTTCTCCTGCGTGAGCGCGACCTCGCTAACGACACCCAAGGTATAGCCACAAACTTTCAGTTCATTGGGTCTCTCCAGGAAATGCGGCTGATAGGGTGAGCCATTCGAAGCATTGAATTTCTGTGACCCATCGAGTTGCCCAAGGGATGAACTTTCAAGTAGGTAACCCACCCATGACGGCTGAGCGAGATCATTAATGCTTGTCTTCGAGTGCTCGACACCATTCAAGACGTGTAAGCTGCGCCTTTCCTGGAAGATGTATTTCGTCGCATCTGCAAGCACCACGATCCACGAACGGCTGTAATCAGGGCGAAGGAGTACGGGCAGCTCGTCTTGACTACCAGCCGCCTGGAACAGTCCTAACAGGCCATACAATCGATCATGCGGTACTGTTACCTCGCAGTGGTCGCTGAACGTAAGCAGCGCGTCGAGCAGTTCGCCATTGTTCGCCCACGGCTCCGCATATATCACGGTGTACGTGTGCAAGACGTACGCTGCGTAGATGACCTTGTCCGTACCCTTGGGTAGATTTTCTTCCCAGCTCATGATACAGCGTACGGCCAACAGAAGGGTTTGCAGAGAGATGGTTTCTGTACCCCAGCAGCAGATGTTCTCTGGTGGGAGAATGCTTTCTTGTATTACCCACAAGCGTCTAAACCACGACGCTCGAAAGACCGGCAAGACCTGCTTGACGAGGTCGGCCAAATCCTGCGGGTTTTTGGGTGGGTGACGCGCACTTTGAGCAAAGATATCTGCAATGTTGCCGACCCACATGTACTTCTCAAGCGCTGCTCTACTTTCCAGATTAAGATGACGCATTGTGTACTGGATAAGATCTTCCAGTGCTCGTGTGAGGGTGATGTCCTGGGCGCCGCCTTGCAAGCTGCCCACTGGAGGAGCTGGCTCGCCCAGGTATATGATATTACGCCAACATTGTCGATATATCGAGGCCATGAGAGTGAGCTGCTGATTCCTTTCCCCGACCTCGGATTGGTCGATACAAATTGCATCGATCCAGATCGCCCGGGTGCTGTGTTGATAGCGACATCGCCGGAGAACAGCAGCCGAGCTTGCTGTCACCATCATCGGAATACCATTGACGAAAATTTGATCATGGATTGAAGCATCGCCCCAAGCGTATGAAGTTCTGCCGCGGGTCAGATCGTGTACGCAGTGATGCTGGCCATGTGCTTACGTCTCAAACTTGGGCGGTGGATTGGACTTCAAAGACACAGTACGCATCGTGCAACGGATGGCATCATCGCTGTTTCCAGGATGCAGGTCGAGGACTCGAATTTCTTCGCTCTCTGTACTCAAAGGCTGATACAAATTATCATGGTGCTCGTCGATCTGGGTGGATCCAAGAGGCGGTAGTACAGGTCCCTTATAGCGCCTGCCAAAGTACTGTATGATACGATGTGGTCGAGTAGTCCCTTGTGTCGAGTCCGCCCTGATGTTGGATGCTTCCGGGCGTCTCCCTCTTGTATTCAGCAGTTGGAACATCCGTGAGTACATTGTGCCTAGACTAGAGTTGAAAAGCAGGAACGCCAGTCTATTGTCTCCGAAGCTCTGCTCACATGGGTTCTCATGTCAGGTCCTTTGGGGACACTGCCAGTGGTGCGGGCTCGAACACTACGAGCCTTCTCCACGCACGATCTCGTGATTGACAAAATGCTGGAGACAATGCAGCTGAAAGGGTATTGCTTGATCCTCAGGCACACCTACATGAAGCTGAGCTCTCCATTGCGAAACAGGCATAGGATAACGGGAGCAGCTCGAAGCCACTTGAGGAAGGTCTCGTCATTCCAGAACTCATATCCCTCGTAAGAAGCCAGTACTTTGTCGCATGAGGGAGATTGATTCCAGGGTGACGAACATTGCTGTGGCGCAGCTGTGGCGATGCAGTTTCATGATCTTGAAGCAGTAGCGATCGACAGGTCCACGTGCAAGGTCAAACGTCGGCTCTGTGGCGTCGGTGATGATCCGAACAATCTTCCGTAGCTCCCGGATTAAAATAGCGAGCAGACTTGTTTATCATTCGCCAAGTCGCCGGCTCAACCCTGGCGCCTAGCATGATCATGATCATTATTGATCACGCTACATAGCAAAGCCGCCGACGTCCATCCTTGCCAAGTTTCAGCCCTGCTTTGAGCGGACGTAATCAGAATGATCAGATGTCACAAATAGATCGCCGCCAAGTGCCCTGTGCGTGCCGGTCAAGCCTGCTCTGTCAAACCTGCAGCGAAGCCCAGTTGCCATGGCATGCATGACGTTGCCGTAACTTCTAAATAAGAGTAAAGCCTGCCTTCTCCTTTGCCTCTCAGCCATCTCACAGCAAACAAATCATTGGACTTTGAATCAGTACCATACCGAACACCACAGCAACTCAAACAACAGCAACTAGACCACAACCGCCAACATGCCTTTCACTGGAAGGTAAGCACATCCTCATTCTGCGCGACGCGCCGGCATAGCGCCCATCTCAACCATTACTGTTCTGCATACAAGATCGCATCAACTGACTCAAGCACTACAGCGACATCATCAAGATCATCTTCGCCGTTATCCTGCCCCCTCTTGGTGTCTTCCTCGAGCGCGGCTGCGGCGCTGACCTCCTGATTAACATCCTGCTCACTTGCTTGGGCTGGATTCCTGGTGTAAGTTGATATTCGCCTCTTCCAACGCACGACGCTGACTCCGCCTTCAGGTTATCCACGCGCTATACATCATCCTGAAGTACTAGAGGACGCGTATCCGGCGCGTCCGGCGAAGCAATAAATAGCGTCTCACGTACGATGAGGAGCAAAACCCCACAGGCAACAACAATCAGCTCTCCGGCGCGCATATACACAGCCTGTATAATTCAAGGAGGGCATCGAGATACCCAGAGATGGCTAGGCGAAATAGCAGCATGATAGTGTCGTTAATGTGTACACTAGCGAGAGAGATGAAATGAAATTTTCGAGCTCATTTTGCCGCACCGCATTTCAGGTCATGTTTATTGACATGTCTATTGCTTTGGGCAGCTTGTCGTGCCCTGTTGAACGCCTCGCTGGTATCCATGAACAATCAACCAACACCATGCGTTTGAACATGCTTCACCTACATTCTTTCCATCCAACCATACCCAATCTATTGCAAAGCCTTCTCCGCAAACTTGGGCAACACGAAAGCCGCCTCATGCACTGCCTTACTGTAGTACCTGAACTGCTGGTCCTCCTCCTCGGCACTCAACGACCGTAGCGGCTTCTTAACATTGCTCTTCGCGTCCTTGCTGCACACCATGAACCCGATCTGCCCACTAGGATATGTCGGGATGGTGGTCCAGCCATACTCGGCAACAGGGAAGATCTCCTTGCAGGATTTCTTGAGCTCGACGATGAGCTTAAGGTGGAGCCAGGGGTTCTCGGCTGTAGAAAGAAGAAGAGAAGGAAGTCAGCATGAGTGTTCTATTGTGAGCCCTTCTGTCTGGACGGAGGGCTTTAGGGAAGGGGCTTACAACCTTGGGTAGTCATTACACCGCCTTCTCGCAGCGCACCATTGATCAGCTCGAAGTAGGGTTTCTGGAAGAGTGCCTCTGCCGGTCCTTCGGGGTCGGAGGAGTCGGTGATGATGACGTCGAAGGTGTCCTTCTTGTCCTCGAGGAACTTGAAGCCATCTCCCACATGCACCTTGACCTTGGGGTGCTGGAATCCTACGCTCATGCCGGGGAGGTACTTCTTGCTCAGTCTGATCACAGCCTCGTCGATATCACACAGCACCGCCTCCTCCACACTCTCGTGCTTCACGATCTCGCGCAGGACTCCGCCGTCTCCGCCGCCGATCACAAGGACACGCTTGGGGTTGGGGTGGGAGAAGAGGCCGAGGTGGGCGATCATTTCCTGGTAGCTGAACTCGTCGCGCTCGGTGCATTGGATGACGTTGTCGAGGACGAGGACCATGCCGTAGTCGCTGCTTTCGAAGATGAGGACGTCTTGGTATTTGCTCTTTTCGTGGTGGATGATTTGGTTTACTTTGAGGGTCATGGCTTGGCCGGGCCACATGTCGCTGCGCTCTTGGAACCTGTCGATTGCATGTGAGCTAGATATATCAAGTGGATGGTTCTTATGACAGCTCCATACCAGCCATCCTTGATCGTGGGGTGTGTGATTTCTGCCATTGTGCTACTGTTTCGGCGGAAAGAAGTGGGTGAGGTGAATGGCTTGATCGTAGAAGCGTAGGCTATCAAGCAAGAGTTTGTATGAGCAGCTCGACCAAACACCCGCAACATCAACACGAAAAACTTCCGTCACATGGCAGAAAATCGTGAACTGCAGCGTCATTGGCCAGTGCGGAGCAAGTGGGATGAACGGCCGAAGTGGAACCGCATTCCTACTCACTCCATCGTCGACAAGCTCGGTCTTTCACCACCCACAGTATCTCAATATAGTAGGCACGAGTGCTCAAGACGCTGCTGACAGACGCTGTCGCTACCACCGGCGTAAATACAATCCTACCATCGCCTGGCTGGTGATCACCCTCACGCCGGTCGGATAGATGACTACCCTCACCGGAGCTGTTTGAGAACTACATACTTCCGGACCTCCCACGTCTCCGTCAGCTGACCAGGCATTCACTGAAGATACGACCTTCCAGAGCTGAGCGGTTTGATTACTCCCATGTGTGGAGATATGGCTCTGCTATTCGCACCACACTTTGACCACACCTTTAGCCTGTCCCAAGGAGGCTCATACCCAACCTGCCTCTGGCGGATCCCAGGGTAGGAATGATGATAGCTCCGTAGTGGAAGATATATCTCGGTATTGCAATGCTGGATCCCGAGCTTGCCCTACTGGACGAAACAATCTCCGTGACGAACAAGCGCTATATTCATCCCACGATTAGCAAGCACATGCGGATGTGCTCCGCTGTTGAGAACCTGATGATGTTACAGAATGCCGCATGAGGTGCCGACCCTAGTCAAGGCGATATAGACTGAGACCAGCCGTAGGATCTTTCGCTGTATGTCATATATTTTGATTGATGTCCAGACACTCTCCTGATGGTAAGCATATCTTGTCCCAACAGCAGCCCATCCATTCAAGAGACCGCGCGGCCAGTACATAAAATTCCATCATGCTTGTGTTCCCGTGGTCTATTCTGCTGCTCGTAGCAGCCTGTGAAGCTACTGCCAGTCGAGCATACCGCCCCTCCAGACCCGCCCTGTATCCCGACATTGCGGACACTTCTCATGCCTCACCAAACGCAATCGAATTCTTCCGCAAGTTCTACACTCTCAAAAGCTCAGACAGCCCGAATATTGTCGACTGCTACGACCCCAACCAGACGGAGTACTACGACTCTACTCTTGGTCTTACAGCAGGAGCCAATCGCTCCAGTTTGGTGGCCACCCTCCGAGCCATTGAAGCTCAGTGGGCAGAGACAGCTCCGAACGACAGATCCTACCCTCTCAGAATCTTAGGTGACACCATTCATGGCGCTATCGTCCACGCCGTGGACACACCTGGACTCTTTGGTGCAGAGATACGGGAGCTATCAACATTCGATTTCGTGAACGGTACAACAAGTCGCCAGATCGATGCCTGGGATGCCCGTGGTAATAGTGTCACATCTACACTTACTGGAGACCCGGTATACCCAGATCTGGGACTACCTGGCCTTGCGGAGCGAGCGGCGGCGGAGATGGGAGTAGTAGTGGATCTTCTGAATACAGCACTCTCGACGGGCAACGCTACAGCAGCAGCGAGCCTCTTCAGCTACGATGCAGTGCTTGAAGACATGACTCTCCGTCTGCGTGTCGAAGGCCGATCCGCGATTACCTCGTATCTGAATCGTACAGTGCAATCTTTACCTTACGGCGAAGGTACAGCGGTTACGCACGTACTCGGCAGCGCGATGGGAGGTGGCTATGAGTGAAGACCTAGCAGGACTGCTGTTCGTTATGGAGTTACAACACTTGAGCTTTATCGAGGTGGCGCCATTACACGGTTCACTGCAATCTGGGATGGTTCCAGGCTGAATCAGACGGCTATACGAGAGCTGGCTCAACAGGCACCGGAGCCGTAGTCTCTGGTGCTTGTGGGAAGCGATCGCAAGCTCTCAATGATAACACTGGGATCGGCTGGATATTATGCATCGCTAAGAAGAGATCATCTCCATATCCCAGCTCAATTGAGTGCATAATCAGCGGTACGAGACATAAGTGTGGTTCTTGGTATCAAACTTGCCATACTCTATCTTCTCGACCTTATCAGGTTTCTACCATCCATCCTTTCCATCGGTCTCTATATTCGCAGTATGTTTGCACCGTTATCGGCCTCTTGCAACACGATCTAACGTACTTTCGCGGCGATAGATACTATATCCGAAGTGCGAGCGCTCGGCCGAGCGAAACGTGCCTGCCAGTAGTGTCGTCGTCATGCTCTCCGTCAAAAGACATTCCATTTAACTTGACATGATGTTGTTGGCCACACCAGACTGAACCGACAGCGATATCATGGCTGACAACACCGACCCTCGAGCGGAGTACAAGGACTTCTACACCGAGGACCTAAACCTGACGGACAGCACCAAGAATGTCCTGATCAATTATAGCAAGATCCCGGCAGACAAGCTTGAACGTCATGTCAAACAGATTGTATGTCCTCCAACCTCACTTGCACTACTATACCGTCTGACATCTACTAGCGAGAAAAGGCATGGGCAATCCATCCATATCCATGCATAGGCATGTTTCGCTTCATTCAACTCGCAATCGGCCAACACGCACTCTACAAAAAGGAGATCCTGCCACGAATGCTGACGGGACAACAAAACTATCTCGACCTCGGCTGTGCATTTGCCCAAGACGTCCGCCGTCTCGTTGCTGACGGCGTGCCGAGTGATCACTGCTATGGATCTGATTTGCGGTTGGACTTCCTAGAGCTGGGCTACGAATTATTCAACGATCGGGGCTCGTTGAAAAGCAGATTCATCGAAGCTGATATCTTCGATGCTGATAGTCCGTTGAAGGAGCTGTATGGTACGATCGATATCATGGATGCTTCATCTTTCTTCCACCTCTTTAGTTACGACGAGCAGAAAGCCGTGGCGAGGTCGACGATCAAGCTCCTACGTCCTCAGAAGGATAGTCTGGTTGTTGGACGACAAGTAGGCGTTGATGAACCAGGCGACTATACTCGACGGCTGGGCACGGGATCAATGTATCGACACAATATCGATTCGTGGCGGAAGATGTGGGACGAGGTTGGCGGAGAAGTTGGAGTGAAGTTCCATATTGATGGTGTTTTGAGGGAGGTTGACCTGAGTTCAAGGAAGCATGTACCTTCCGGCCCGCGGACTGGGAAGATGATGGAATTCAGTGTCAGGAGGCTTGGGTAGGGCGTGAGAGGGGAAGGAAAGCGTGTTAGAGATCATCATCGTTTGAGACATAGAGCATAGTTGAGTCAGCTTGGTCAACCGCAATGCTTGCGTCTGATCATCTCGTGGTTTGAGCACCAATTGCAGCATGATGAACATTTTAGGTGAGTCGCACCTGGCCTATCTATGCATACCTCACAGAGCGATCTTCCCAGCGATCTTCTCGGCTTCTGATCACACAATAGCCATTACATCAGCTTGAGATCTTCATAGTGCGACCAGGCGAGGGTCTGTTCGATCCAGTGATGCATTTGCGTAGCACGGCTCATCTCCACGATCAAGATAACGTCGATCATCATCACCACTTATGCAATTCTACCTCATGAGCTTGTCATTATCTTCCCGGCTGAAGCCAACCAAGCAGGCACCCTGCCCATATCTTTCAACGCCTAAAAGCCTCAGCGGCCTTCGTCAGCTAGCTCGACCAAGTTGACGATAAGAGCGTGTATATGCTGGCGATCTGATGAGGATCAAGGTCAGCAATGAATAGGCATGGATGAACAATAGGATATCCGACAACAGCAAACCGAACACAATGGAACACGAAAGTTTCAACTCCCGCCCAACGTCGGTGCATGAGAATCAAAAGTCCTTTCTAGTAAGCAGTAGCAATACAGAAGACTCCGAGAATGCCAAATCACACTACCATGCATATCCTATTACAAGCGGCCATGACACGGAGCACTTCCATAGTCAAGAGGCTTCACTTCGCACTCTCGTCCCCCAATCTTACAAAAGCGAAGCACCAAACAGCGTGCTAACCAACACAACCGCACCGCAAACGAAAGGCGCCACGCCGAGCTCACCGACCAGCAGAGCCTGTGCGGCGCTGGAAGCAGATGCTGTGGAGGTACCAGAGTGCGAAGCAGCGCCCGTAACAGCACCACTACCAGGCGTAGCAGTAGCCGAACTCTGACCACCTGAATTTTGGGATCCATTGCCAGTGAGACCAGGGCCGGTACCGGCACCGCTCTTCATGTACTGAGCGGCGCCGGATGGTAGAGCGGGAAGTTCCTGGCCGGAGAAAGCAGTGACTTCCCAAATATCGCTCTGAGCCGGGCAGGTACTCGGGGTGCCAGTAGATCTGTACCCGCCGTCGCCAGAGACCTGAGCGTTCTTGAAAGCGGTCACGAGGTTCGTGAAGCCGGTAGTTTCGGACACGCCGTCGCCATTGATGGTCACGAGGCCGTAGTTGTTGCCTTCTTCGGAGTATTCGTAGACGAGACCGCCGGAGTAGACGGGCGTCATGTCCGTGCCGTAGAGAGCAGAGACTTCCTCGAAGTTACGGGGGCCTTTGATGCATCCGTACTCGGACAAGCTGTAAAGAATCAGTATGAGTGCGACTTTATAGCGATGTCGTGCTTCTTGACTTACAAAAGTGGAATGCTGTAGTTGCCATACTGCTGCACCTTCTGATCCCACCCGGCTTGCGTGTACGAGGAAGGGTCACACCACGAGTAATCGTTGAACGCAAAGAAATCAGATCGCTGGTCGTCAGTGCCGCAGTTCATGTACGTAGCCATCTCGTATCGGTTGCTGGAGACATCGGCGGCCGAGTATCCGACAGGGATCGATCGGTAGCCACGCTCGCCAATGTATTGCTTCATATCTCTTGTCACGGCTTTGACGTAGGGTGCACAGTTGGTGGTGTTGTCCGAGTTGATGACCTCGTTTCCGGAGAAGAAGAGGAGAGTATTGGTGTAATTGGAGAAAGCGTCGATGGTGGCGAAGATGCTCTGGAGGTAGGTTGGGTTGTATGATGGTGCTGGGTCGCCACGGTCCAAGCTGTATTTGGGCGTGTTGACGTCTAGAGCAAGGTAGATGCCAGCGGCAGCCAAGGCACTCATGCACTCATCGTGGTTGGCAGTGTTGTCGACCGTGTACACACGAACAGTGTTGATCCCAAGCTTCTGGAACTCCTGGATATCCCTCTTGCAGCTGTTGATATCTGCAATAGGGTCGGATGCGCCTGAGGAGCCACCGGGTTGGTAATCCACACCACGGATGTAGAAGCGGTTGCTGCCGGCAAAGAAGGCTACAGGACGTTAGCAAGCACTTCAGACGTACCAGAAGTCCACGTCCTGCGACTCACCATTGCCCTTGACAGTAACCGTAGGCAAAGACCCAGAACTAGTACCAGAAGCAGCCGCCGAGGAAGAAGCAGAAGCCCTCGCCTGAATCTGAGCCGGTGTCGCCGCCACCAAAGCCGCCGACGCAGCCATCATTGCAATAGCACCCTTCATCTTGTAGAACGACCACGTGTATCTCCTGTAAAATGCCTCTTGAGAGCCACACAGAGGGGAATCCGAAGAGGTAGATAGAGTAGAAGACGAGGAAACAACAACCCCCTTCTTGAAAATTCCCTGAAAGAGTGATGGGGAAAACGATATATCAGAAATGGTAAGAACGACAGACAAGCACACAAGAAATGGCGAAGATATTCTAAGCAAGAGGAACAAGAAACAGCAAGAGAGAGTTGTTGAACATAGGAATGGAAAGTAGGCACGTGCCGTAGCGCCGCACGTCTCCCAACTCCTTTTTCCCACCCGCATGCAGGGTCTCGCAGCCACTCAAGCCTTTATGGTGGAGCAGGCGATCCCCACAAAACGCGCGTTCGGGGCTTGCTATAGGGTAGAGCTGGCCTTATAACGATATTCGGCAGATTAGTATAGCGAAAACGCGTTATTGGATGATCGCAATGCTGGCTGAGACTGAGGCTATGTTTCGAAGCTGGGTTTGTGCAGGCCAGTCGATAACAAGACGGCGGGAAAAGTGCACATGACTGGATTTGGTGCTAGTATGCCATGCTCTCATATTCGATAAGTCGTCTCTATAGGATATACAGAAAAACCCCCTGCCCTCCTCTTCACTCTTCACAAGGTAAGAAGAAGAAGAAGAAGAAGAAGAAAAAAGGGCAGGGTGTGTGGATGGGAGAAGCATATGTCGTACCCGGAATCCCACCATGCCCCGTCTCGCTCGCGCTCCTCATGCAGTGGAAGGAAGCAATGCCCATCCCACCCAGACCACAACATCTGCAGGCTGACCGACTGGACCGACCTAAATCTCACGTCGTCCTCCCCTCTCTCTTCTCATGCCCCTCCCATCTATGATCGCATCCCAACGTCCCAACGGCAAAGCTCGAACCACCCAGATTAAAAAGTGCGCTCCCCAAAATGCTTCTCCGTTTCGCCCTATGTTCTCTTCGAAATGGTGTATATCCCATCCCATCGCAGCCCCGTCACGCCTTCAGACCTGACGATCTCCCAGATCTCCTCGTGGAAGCAGGAGGAAAATGGCAATGCTCGCATAAACGCTCATGTCACCCTGCCGGCCCGCAACAGATGAATTAAAGACTTCGGATCGTTAGTCAATGCACGCTCGAAGCCCATGTCTCGATGGAGCTTTCCAGTGCTCAGCTGATAGAGTTCAAAGACTGCTTGCTCTTCGATCGCCAGAACATGAGCTTCTTCAGTCGGTGTTCCTTCTTAGGTGCATTGCCGTTCATTGAGACAACAGCAGTCTGGGGTCTCGGATCATCCACGGCTTTAGTTTTACCGCTGAAGGAGTTGCCCACGAGCTGGGATAGGCTTTGGATACTGGCACGTTTCCGTCTGCGCTCGGCCGCGACAACAGCACTCAGGCCTTCGGCAGGAAGCGGCGGGGCATTCTCCATGTTGAACTCGCGATGCGAGCTGTTCGGATGCATCGTGCTCATCATCGTGGAGCGGCTGCTGGTTAGAGATGGGACATCATCGACCGACACTCGATTCGGGTTGTCGCCCGCGCACGAGCTTATGGTCCGATTGTCCGTGATCGAAGAAGCTGCTGTGCCGACTCGTGAATTATCGAAAGAGCCTTGTCGGCGTGTGAAGTCCGGTGAGGAGAAGGTCGACGTCTGGTAAGTATCGGGTGTCATGAGGGAGTGAACACCGTCAGGGACTAGGAGTGAAGCTGCCTGCGGGGCCATCACCGTAGGCGTCTCACTCGAGTCTGACGACTTTGTCAACGACGACGCCCTCGGCTCATCTTCAGCGGGCACGATCTCCACGGCTTGGACTGGCTCAACCGGGCTGGTCTCCTCGAAGATGGTCTCGGCCACAATCGATGAAGGTCGCCTGTCGCCACCAGGTGTGGAAAGTCGGGAACCAACATGACCGTATGAAGTTGTCGGCCTCTCGAGCTCCCATTCGCCTGACCTGATGCGCAAGCCATTTTCAGAGAATCCGGTTTCGGAAGCGTGCTCAGCAGTGTCCACCACATGCACGCCCGTACCGAAAGACTCGAATTTCGAGGATTCAGAGCTCACAGGTCGCTCATCATCCGTTTCCTCCTCGGCTTCGTCCTCGAACACATCCTGCAGCGAATGTGTCGAGATCACGCTTCCGCGAGAAAACGGTGGCAATTCGGGGGCACTTTCAGCACGGCGATGGTAGTGCATGCCAAGACCACTAAAGTCCTTGGTTCCACGACTGCTGTGGAGTTCTCTGCGAGGTTTCTGAGATCCGAGTGGCGGTGTCATCATTGGACCAAGAGCGGCATCCAGATCTACGACTGCGTTTTCGCTATCTGCTTCGTCGAAGAATACGTTAGACCGAAAGTCTGATTGAGTCGAGCCCATTCCCATCCGCGGCTGTGGAGTCGTGTCAACACTTTCGGACTGCATGTCACCACCCAACACAGCGTCGAGATCAGTCTCTGCAGCAGGAGCCTCCGAAATAGGTACTCTGCCAGGAACGGAGAGGTCAGGAGAACTCATCGGCCGCACTGGTATCGAAGAGCGCTTGACTGAAGGAGCTTTATCCTTGCCCTTCTTGGAAAGCTTCGAGAATGCCCAGCTGCGAATTCTCTTGGTCGAGGGGCGGCGGTCCAGGCCGGGTGCATCGAAGTTTTCCGAATTGGACATTGTGACGGAGGTAGACGGGTCGTGCAGCGAGACACTGGAGACACGAGAGGCTGGATCCAGCTTCATGGCAATTGCTGGTTCACTCTTCCGGCGGTCGAAGCCAAGAGCATGAGAGAACGAGTGCTTTTTGTTGTGCACCTCTCGCTGCTTGGTTGGCTGTTCGGTGGCGGCGAACGACAGTCTTGGCTCCGAAAGTGGTCGTTTCAGGCTTTGACTTGACCCGCTTGTCAGCCACTCGCCTTCCTTCTCGATCCGCTTGCTGATCTCGACAGACGACCTAGCCCGTGGTTGGTTGTCATCTTCAAAGGTCGTGCTGAGCGGCGTCATGGGATGTCGTTTCGGTGGTGGGCTTGGCGCACTCAAACTAAGCACAGAGGAGATACTGTTGTTGACAGAGTGTCCTCGCGTCGTCGATAAAGAGCTTTCTGTTTCCGAGGATATAGTAGAAAGCGGCCGAGGTATGAACTCGACATTATCGGAGAAGCCAACTCGTGGTCGAGACACGGGTCTCGAGTCGCTGGAGTCGCTTGGTGGCCCAAAGGTATCAGCAGCATCCGTCTCCGCGGGTAGGACAGGCGCAGGAGACTCGAATGGCGGTGCAGTCTCGTCATGGCCAATAGGTGTCGTCGGCAAGCTTGAGCTCTTCCTAGGCTCCTCGGATACGACTGGTGGGTGCATGATCGCGCTGAGATCGTGATGGCTGTTAGCTCCCGAGCGCCTGTGCATGTGGCGTTTGGTGGTGGGTGGAGCAAGTGGTAGCGGTAGTGGAGGTGCGCTGGACTTTGTTGGGCTGGAGCTGATCGCAACGCCAAGCCTAGAGTCACCTCCCACAAACTCACTACCGCCACGCTTATGCCGATGTGATGAGCTAGGTGTATGTGGTGCCAACTCTTCTGGAGTCAAGGGCGGAGTGGACGCGTCTTTCCGGCCAGTGACGTCTTCAGCATTGAACGTGAAGGTGGGCAAGGCGGCAGGAGCAGCCGACATGTTCCTCCGGTGAGCGAGGGAGGTCGGTTGAGGAGCTTGTAGACCGCCGTGCATGGACTGTGGCCGTCGGTGCCGTGGAGGGGCATTCCGTGGATTCGAGGCCGTGCCAGGTGCAGGTAGAGCTGGAAATGAAAAGTCCGGGTTTGGCATCATTTCAATGGTTGGCGCGCTCCTCAGCAGAGCTCCAGTCTCAATCTGACTGATACTGCCAGTGTGCCTGTGAAGGCGTCCCGCAGGCATGGCTACCTCAGTCATGGTGGTGGTGGTAGTGTGTTGCTGGGCAGAACGCAGCAAATCCTCTCCCTCTCCTCAAACCATCGGGAGGATACCACGCGTCAAGATTGTATACGTCGTTTGCTGGTGTAGGTCGTGTGATGTGAGGTAATCGTGGTCGGTATGAGGTGTGGTCGTGGAAGTGATGCAAGTTGGAGTAGTGAAATGCAGCAAAAATGCCAACTTCGATTTCTATTATTGTCTGGTCACTCAATGTCAGTCAGTAATGATGTTTTAGAGCGGCACTCGCTTCGCCGGCGCCTATGCCATGCGTGTTGGAGGCGGAAGGGGTGAGCCATACATGAATAGAGGCAAGCAGGGCTACCAGAGCAAGAAAGAGGCACAGGCGAGAGTGGGCTTTGGCGATCCGTTGTCCTCCGCTACCAAATGAAGTACAACAATAACCAGCAAGATCTGAAAAGGAGCGGACAGCAACAAGACACGCCGCAGAGATACACAGCAACACAGATAACGAGGGTGCGTGCTGGTATTCGCCTGCAGATTCTTGAGCCAAAGGGTTAAATGAGGTTGTGAGAGAGGCGGTGGTGGTCGTCGTGAGAGTGGAGAATGATAGTTCGTACAGTACGTGAAGGAGTCGCGAGAGTTCGTGTGGGCAAGCGGCCTGGTGATCGACGCACAGATCATGAGCCAAAACGCACGAGCAGGGTTGACCTCGCTTGCCTGCAGCGGTCGCTAAGTAAATTAGGGCTTAGCTTAGATGAGACACCAGGATACGAGCACACGCTACTCTCCGCCCAAATTTGCCCGGTCGTGCGTGGTCGTGGATGATAATATAATAATAATAATAATAATGATGAATGCTAGTGTGTGCAGGAGGGAATGATAACCTTCTCACCTTGATCTAATGTAGACATGATGGTGCTGAGTCTGCTGACCACCACCCTACAAGTGCTTATGCTACTGGGTGGCGTGACGAGGGCTCACCACCCACGCGCCCACTCAAGGCTGGCCGGAAAGAAAGCAGGCAGGCCCATGAGCAGTAGCACCCACAAGACACGCGATATAGGAAGCGTCATCGCCTTCACCGCAAGATTCCCAGCTCTACCTCCCTGCAACCAACTCCACTACAAACCTTCTTTGCCATGCGCATGTGCAATGGCGACTATTGTGTGGCCGAGCTGGGATTGGCCGGCTGCAAGCTCTTTGCCTTCGCGCATGATTTTACATGCATGCATACCACGGAATAGGATGGGATGGGATGGGATGGGAAAAGTGTGGCGCGCTTTTTTTGATTGTGCTGCATGGACGTACCCTTTCGTGTTGCACGAAACTCTGAATTTCGTGATTTCTTTGCTTGCGGAGAGTGGCATATGCCAATGCTCCTATGCCGTTGAGAACCTGTAGCCAACATGTCGATTGTGTTGCTTCGCGGAAGCGTGCTCACGTCTTCCACATTTCGTATTACGCTTCCTAGCACGGACGAGCCGAGAAAAGTTGCCTGAGCGAACCTTTCCCAGCAAGTGCTGAAACACAGAGGCTTGCGAACGAATTGCCTGATCTCATTGTTGAATGCAGTCCATACACACACTAATTTTCACTTTGCTATCGAATCCGCCCCCTGCAGCACAACGCATGCAACATGCAACTTCGTCAGGCACAAGTGGGACTGCTAAGAGCAGCAATAGGTACGTACCGCCATCTGTCTCTCTCTCTCCGCCAGAAGGTACGGGTTGGCCGGGTTCCACTTATCTCGGCACGAAAGATCTGCGTGCCAGCGGATCGCAGAACCCACCTAGAGTTTGAGACTAGCGGATGATGTGCATGAATGCTGGGCCAAGATTAGGGATTCTCTTCTTCCACTCTCACAACGACTGCACGAGAAACATGGGCCGAACTGGAACTGCTTCCAGATTTCCGCCGCTGCCTTTGGTTGTCAAGCTGTATCTGGACGGATGAGCTGATGTATTGGGATTTGGGGCGAAGCTGCTTACTGTACCATGCAGCAGTGAGACGTGCTGCCGGCGGCAAATCCTCGCGTCACTGTCGCGTCTATCGCGCTCTCTTTCTGGCGTCTGTTACACAACACCCCAAGCAATAGGCAAACTCAGCTGCATGCGAAGGATGTAGTCTGCTTCCCACGAGCCGGCATCCCCTCCCACCCTTCTCCACACCGGAGCCATACCGGCGGCATCGAGGAGCCGGCGGCGCATCTTTTACAGTACAATACCAGCTTTCTGCTAACGGGTTGATCTGGACAATTCACACCAACAGGAGAAGGATGTTGGTATCGAAGCATGATGCTATAGTATAGTGCTCACCATAGACCCTGAAGTCGTTGTCAGACGGGACATCGAAGCATGTAATAATGAGATGCGAGACTTTCGGACCCCAAGACAAGAGCTCTGCGCAAACTCTCCTAACAGACAACACGCGAGCGTTGTGGAGGACCCTGGGATCAATCACAACCAACGGGCCTACCCTTCCCCTTCAATCACCATCGTATTTGTGTCTAGAACACACATATCATCGTCAACGTGGGCCGGGTCAGAAGTGCCTGCAGCTGAAACATTGGTGGACGCTGAACTTTGGAGGCGCATCAATTTCCTCTCCAACGGAGTCCAGTCCGGGTGCGGCATAGGACTGTCTCTTGGGGGGCGTATTAATGAATGTAGAGATGTGATTTGTCTAGGCCGTGTCCAACGAGACATTCTCGGACCATGTCATCAACATTCACCATGAATAATGCGAAGGTGAGGATGGTTCACACAGCCAAGTTCCCGACAGGGCGAGTACGATATCATGTCTTCACGGGCATGGCAACGCAGTGAGATGTCGACCTGCTCAACCAGGGCAACCGGGAACAGGCATGGTTGTCGCACGTCATCTGGCCTCTGATCTTTGCAAGCTCGTACTTGATCTGATCTGACGTGAAGATAGTCTCCATCATGGACCCATCCCTCTCGGCACACGACAAGTCGTAGCAGACCAACACACTGATGGCTGGATCACCTGCTTTTCCCAACTCGATAACAGATTGAGTGTCATGCGTACGAAGAGCAGAAAACGGACAGAGCGAAATGTACAGGCCGTTATATATGCACATCATAATTCCTCATCCCCCTTTCTCAGCATCATCATCACCATTACACACTCGCACCCATCAAACGCCACATCCCATAGCATCAAGGCCCACGCAATCATACAAACCATGCACAAAACATACACCCCTAATCCGACCCCTCCCATCGCAACATCGCATCCCTTCGTCACCTCAACCCCCCTCCCCTCCCCATCACCTCCCCATCACCTCCCACCTCTACTCCCCGGCCTCTCCCGATCCAAATTCAACCTAGCATTCCTCTGCCCCTCCAAAAACTCCTCCCAACCCCTCGGATCCTGCTCCTGCAAAAGCCTCAAATCATCATAATTCCCGCCCACTTTCCTTAACACCGTCTCCCACCCTTCCGTCTGCACGATCGTCTTCAGTTCCGCGCCGCTGAGCGCTTCGAGTTTCTCCCCTAGTCGTCTGATCCGCTCGGCTTCCATGTCCTTGTGGTTGCGGATGGGGTAAGTGGTGGTGGTGGTGGTGGTGGTGGTGGACGTAGGGGAATCGACGACTTCGCGCCGGAGTTCTTGGCCGAGACGATGCAAGCGGCCTTCCTCGAGCGATAAGGCGCGGCCGGCGAGCGAGACCTCGGAGCCGTGGCGTTTGAGACCTGGGGGTTTGATGGCGCGGGCGTCGTCCGCGTCTTCTTCGTCTGAGGCGTTGAGCGTGAAATCCGTGGCTGTAGTAGTAATACTCAGATCTGTTTTCCGATCCGTAGAGCCCTGGCTCGAGGCGATGGAGGTGGAAAGGTGGGGGCTCCCAGGCAGCACTTCGCGAGTCTCCGGGTACTCTTGCTCGAAGCGCTCGATCATGTTTTGTAGCGTCGAGTCGAGGAAGTTCAGCCGGCGGAAGGCGAGTTCGTCGCCGTTGCTGGATTCTTTCAGTAGCGCTGGTTGGAGACGGGCGCGGATCTTGCGCGCGCTGCCGAGGAGGTTGATGCTCATTTTCTTCGCTTTGCCTCTTTGCTCTTCCGTGGGTGGGAAGCCGGCTGATGAGCCCGGTCTTCCTTCGCGAGGCGTCATGGCGCCGGAGATGGGTGTGCCGGGGACACTCGTTCGTCTGAGATCGTCTGCTTTCTCGCCGAGGACGTATTGTAGAGCCTTGACCACGCCTGTGCCTCCAACAATATAATCCTCATCTGGCGCAGGATCGTCACCGTCGTGGTTCTCGGAATTCCCATCCACATGGCCAACAAGATGCATGAGGACGTCAGGGACCGTAATCTCCTTCACCACCCTCTCACCACCATGAGGCTCCGTCAGCTTAGCAGTCGCATTAGCCGTCGTCAGCGCACCCGTCGCTTCCGCAATAGCAAACTGCTCCATATTCCTCAAACTATACGCGACAACCTGCTTCGCCAACGCCTTGACAACCTCGCTATTCTCCGGACTCGGCACCTAAATCACACATATTAGCACCACTTCATCGCATCCCCCGATGTATGATGGAAAATACTCACATCAATATCAATACAAATAAGCGTACTCGACACCCGAACCGCCGCCATCAAACTCGCATAAACGGCACAAGCCTCCTCCTGCATCCCCTCATCCCTCGCATGCGCCAAGGCACTCAACATCGGGTTCTCCAAAATATTCAGATGCGCCAACTTGGGCCCGTCGGGGAGACAATCCGCCAGCGCAATAGCCTGCTTAGGACTCATCCCCACGTCGCTGAGATGGATCCGTTTCAAGTCTTTGAATTGCGACATGTAGCGGCGGAAGAGGGAGATGGTGCCGTTGTCGTGGGTGCAGAGGTTGCGGTTGTGGGAGAAGTCTACAAAGCGGAAATCGGGGAGTTTGGCTAGGGCGGGTAAGAGGGCTTTGAGGTCTTGGGTGTCGAGGTTGCAGCCTGCGAAGCTGAGGCCCCAGCAGGGGAGGTGCATTTTGCTGTTGATGGCTTCGGCGAAGATGGAGGTTTTGTTGTGCAGGTCGTTGCCGCCGAGGTCGAGACCTTGGCAGATTCCGGAGCGGATGTAGCGGAGGACGTGGCCGAGTCCTTCGTCGTCGAGATGGTTGCCCGCCAGGCCGAGACGGGAGACGCCTGCCATGATGGCGCCGTCTACGACTTTGCGGACTTGATTGGTGGAGAGGCCACATTCGGACATCTGAAGTTCTTCCAGTTTTGACCCTCCTGGACGCTCGCTGAGGCATTTGAAAAAAATCTCCGCTGCTTCGGTATCCGAGCCATCACCTCGAGGCGCGCCTTGCGGACTTTTAGTTTGCGTGACGTGAGGCGAGGCCGGGAGAGTGTCGGGAAAGTGGTTCATGCTGAGCTCGATGGCTTTGAGCGAACGACACATGTAGATGAACAAGCTGATGTGCTTCCAGCCGTGCCGGGAAATGCGAGGGTTGTGCTTGAGGTTCAGCTTCTCCACCACGCCGGCACGTTCTTGGACTTGCGGCACGCGGAGAGGTTCGCGGTGTCGTGGCTCCTTGGACTTGCGTTTCGTGGGCTCTGGTCGCTTGGCCGCGAGAAGTCCGGCGAGCACACATCTTACGCCTTCGTCGTTGAGATCAGCATCCTCCAGCTTGAGGACTCGGACAGGTACTACTGCCAACCAGTCGCCGAGCGTGACCACATCCGCGAGCTGTAGTCGCGAGCTTGTCAAGTCCAGGCAATTGACCACGCCAGGCTCTGCAGGAAGAGTGCAGTTTGGTGCCATGAGCTGTTCAGTAATGCGCTTGAGGATCGGCGTCTCTCGAAGCTGACAACATCTCCTGTATATCCTCACAGGATCAGTCGTAGGTCTATCCGCCCTGGGTGGCGGCGCAGAACCGGTCACAGGTATATCTGGTAAAGAGCCGACGGGAGGTGGGGTATCCATAGCATTGTTGGCGTTTGCCGTAGACAACGACGCTCCAGACATCGGCCTCGGTACGGACTCGTTCGACCCATCACCCAGTTGCATCTCAACCGGTAGCTGACCATTCTCCTCTGCTCTCCGTCTCCGCTTCTCCTTTCGCTCCTTACGCTCCGCCTCAGACCTCTGCTTCTTCTCTCTCTTCCTCGCCGCCGACTCCAGACTACCATCGTCCGGTGGGCTAGCACCAGCTTCGGCATCATCATCCTCTCTGCTTATCTTCCGGGATATCTTACCCATATCCAAAGCCTTGGCCGACCTCGCATCCAACTTGACCTCACCCTCTCGATCCTTCTCCTCCTCAATCGCCTGTGGTCGCTTCAATGCTTCTCCCTCCGCCCGCTCCTTCATCTTCGCATCCTGCTTTTTCTGCTGTTGATTTTCGGGCCCGTTGTCGTCCTCGTTGGTGTATTGTGGTCGCCCGGCAATCTCCACATCGACACAGAACGACACTTTCCGCAGCTTCCCTGGGTCCATCTCCGGCACAAGACATCGCTGCCGGTTCGGGTCTACATTCAGCACCCTCCTCGCACACACTCCACCACTTCCGGTCTGGCCTCTGGGCACGCTAGCTGTACTCGCCGAGCTCAATCGTCTGGTGATGCTGGAGAAGAAGCTCGAGTCCTTTGGTCTGCTGGGAATATATGGACTCGGTTCTTCCGCCTCTTCAGTCTGCGGACTCAAGCCTGGCGACGGCGCACCGGATACTGGCGGCGTCTGACCATTGGATAGAGTCTGTTGTAGTGGTACTGTCGCGGAACGATCTGTAGTAGCTTGCTGAGAGGAGAACTTGGAGCTGATATTGTTCAACCATGAGCTCCGCCGACCTTCACTCTCCTTCCCTTTCGAGCTCACCCGACTAAGCATCGCCGGCCGTTTAGCCTGTGGCTTCGCGCCATTCTGAATAGCTGCTGGCGTCGGCGTGGAAGGTGCGGCGGGCGTGGTATCCTTGGCAGGATGGGCGGGTGTCGGTGGCGTCACCACAGCAGGAGACTGATTCAGTCGGTTCGGTGTTCTGTCGGTGGATGGCTGTGGACTGGGTCGTCGTGGTGGCATGGGCGAAGTGCTCGCGTGAGGGAGAGGTTTGCGCTCGGCAACAGCGGCTTTCTGTGATGGCGGGGCAGCATGCTTACGGTGGAGTTCTGGTATCCCATCTGTATCAGTATACATAGGCGCCAGCGACCACTAGCATTCGTAGCATATCCCATGACCACAACTATACATACCTTGTTGCTGCTGGTGCTGCTGCTGCTGCTTCCCAGGCTTATGCAACCACGAAACGTCCACCCCATGAACCTCCTCCATACTGCGCTGTCTGACCCCAGCACTCAGCGCCGTTGGCCTCTGCTGATGATGACTAAAATGATCCTCCTGCTGCTTCCTTCTCCATCGCGCGGCGTTGCCGGAATGATAGAGTGCCGACAGCTGTGCGTTGTGACTTGATCCTGTGGCGGCGGAGGCGTCGGTGGTGGTGTGGTCGTGGAGCATGCAAGTCGTGCCGTCGTGTGCACATGGCTTCACAAAGCCAAGCATAATTCCGTCGGGCCTACCTGGCGAATTGCGGAGTCGTTGATGCAGGCAGGCTTCGGATAGTATCGGATAACAGTTCGGATGCCGATACTGGGGATAACATTATTATTCGGCCTCGGAACTCTTTATCAATCCCAGTCAGTAGTCACTTGTCTGGTTAAATCGGCGACGTCTGAACAATGTTGGAATTATTTACATCGCCTCACGAAGGAGGGGCGGTGGAGTTGTATTACTCAAATCTAGCCGACCGGGATCTATACATCAGCACTGACTACTCTTGGTCACTTCTTGACATCCCTTGCTCTCGAGCGAAAAGTGAGATAAGCTCGAATTGGCATGGGACTAGTATGTATGCGCCTTCCATCAGATCTACCCTCAGCCGCCACCCCCATGCAAAACTATCACAACGAATTGCCATCATCATCTTCAAGACGTGAGTAAGTGCATGATGACCAGGGCATCCACATGTCCACCACCGCTACCACAACTCCGCCATATCCTCCGCCTCTGCAGGACAAAAGTACCCACGTATATCGTTCTCCGCATCCATCTAGACGCTTGAGCAACGCCATGGTGCGAGCTCTTGCGCCCAACGGCCACATCTATCTTTAACATACACCACGCCATCCAGCGCCACCATCATCGAATCCCGGTCTGCACGCTATTCCCTACCTGGACACCACAGAGAGCACACCTCACCTGAATGATGAAAGCGGTCCCGAAACCATATGCCATTGCTGACATGAAATCTGGTACTTCTGCTCTAGGACTGAATCTCATGCTCGATTCTACATCCACAACGGAACACATGCGCGTTACATTGCTTAGCTAGAGCCAGGTGAGAAGCGCGACAAGACACATCATAGCATATTTATTAGTTGAACACCAGGAGTTTAACGAGGCCAGACTGGCAGGCCTTGCAGGCAGACACTGCAGTCAGTCTCTGCGAGCTCCGTGGTCGACCCTGCCCATCGTTCCCGCCAGGGAGCTCCACGCACATCTCATATCCTACTAGAAGCACTGCGACGAGCTCTTCGAGGCGGGCCGTGACGTACGAGCATGCCTATTCGCCATGACGAAGGTCAATATTCGGACGATCTATGGGCGAAGCTGATCTTCGGGGTTGTAGACTACGCCTGACCTTTGGTGCTGGTGGCGAGCTGGTGGCGAGCATGTGCCTTCTTGCGAGCTTGCCATGCTGTGCTTTTGAGGTCGGAGAACGACGATAGTGCAGCTCAGGCCTGTGCGCGCGCCAGCTACAGCTCTGGAAATCACTGTTTGTACTCCAGACGCCATGTCGATGCGTAGAAACAGTCTGCATGTTTTTGAGAGGGATGGTCCCACAGCAGTCATTTCTCAAAGAGCGAGCGGCAATGTTCGGCAGTCGTCGACATCCACGTCGCAAGGCTCGTTGAAAGTGTGGCTGTCGTGGCTGTTCTTGAGCAGAGGCGCTGTTTAGAATCCAAGGGGAAGTTTGCGATGCGAGGCGTGCATGCAAGTAAGGTAGACGTTACGCATCCCCTCAATCAAAAGGCAGCCTCCTCAACCCGGGCTCCTGCCCATGCTTCTTCGCCTCCGTCCTCGCCCCGACAGCAGAAGGCACTTTAATCCCACAGCAATCGCCCCAGCTATTAGCACTATGCATATGCTTCATCCCATCGACCGTCACCTCTACCTCCCCTACATCCTCCTCCCCAACTCTACTCTCAGCATCTTGACTCATTCCCTCGGCCGCGGGGAGCAAGCTGCCGAAGAGGAAATGCTGTGCCACTGGTAGCTTTCCCAAGACTTCCGCAAGGAACATCTTACGCATACCCGCTTCCACTTTACTCCATGATTTCGCCGAGGAGATGTCGTCGAGCATTGGACTATGCCAGCGTAGTCCCTGTACCGTTTTCGTCGCATTGACCCATTTGATTTGATCCAGGTAGAGATAGTCTCCCGCGCACTCATCGACAATCATCTCATTATGAATACTCAAAGGTCGAATATGCCTATGATCGACCAACTGACTGGCTCCGATCAAGAAGGGCAGGAATTGGTAATCGTCTAGACCCCAGACGCCGTGGGAGCCGGCCGGTTCGAGGTAGTATGTACTCTGCACGTCGCGCATGAGTTTCAGGTAGCGCGGGAAGATTAGGAGGGCGAGGGCGGGGAAGATGGAGTCCGGGAGGATGGAGAGTTGGCGCAGGCAGAGCAGCCAGAGGATGAAGTTTAGTTCGTGGCCGGAGCCGTAGTCGATGCGTGTGCCGTTGCCGAAGCTTTGGGCGAGGTAGGCGGAGATTTCGTTGATGGCGCCGTCGTTGGTAATACCTAGTTTCTTGTGCCATGCTGGGGAAGATTCTTCTACTAGCTGTAAGAAGTCGCGGAAGGCTGGGTTGCCGAAGCGTGATCCTGTGTCTTGTGCTGGGCATTGCTTGAGTCTTTCTTCTGCTTCGTCCAAAACTGCCAGTAGAGCGACGATGGCTGGGTCCTTGGCGATTGGTAGCTGCTTCACCCCGCTGACCGTCTGATCTCCAGCTGCATCGGAGAGGTGGAAGACGAAGCTGACGATTAGGTCGTGGGTGGGCGATGCGAGGAATAGCTTGTGATCGCGCTCTGACAGGATCCGGCGGGTTGGGTGGCTGTATACATGGCTGTCGAGTGGTGGTGGTAAGGGCAGTGAGGGTGTGCTTGGTGGTGGGTTGACTGGTTGGTCAGCGGTTTGAGGTTTCCGTCTGGGAATCAGCTTTGGAATTGCTTTTGCGGTTGTTTGGGGTCCTCCTTGGTCGTTGGCGGTAAGAACAGCAGAAGGCATACTGATATGTATATGACTTCGTGGTCTTCTTGGACAAAGATTGAGGGTGACGAGTTGACGAGGCAGATGCAGGTGAATGCATGGAGAAGCGGGATGTGGTGGGGCTACGCACGTGAACTTCACCACACCTCATGCTTCACCACACCAGCATACACGACTGCTCTGATCTCGCCACAACAACGGGACAAGACTATCAGACTCCTGGGTGCCTCTCTGAGCGTAGATGCAAGTTTCCCTCATGCTATCGTGGCAACGATCCCATAGTATGGCTGGGTGGCTACCAGCGGCGAATTCCATCAATCAAGCACAATTCACGAACTCATGAATGCATGCACCCCTGTTCTACGATCTCGGTCTCGACCAGGACAGCGCAAAGCGATATTGGACGTGAAGGTGTACGAGTCTACAATGTCGACGCATCCCAGGTCTTCATCCTCAGATCTTGCTTGTCCGTCGCCTCGATAGCTTTTCATATTAGTATCATCTAGTTGCCTCACTGCGCCGTCACGATCTGCTGCAGTCGATGCTTTGCTTGACGCAGCCATCAGTAGTTTCTCGAGCAGAGCATGATGTGGATTATGAATGAGCCGTTTGCATGTGGATGAAGCTGAATGAGCTCTGCAGCAATGCCGCAGCCCGCTACAGCAAACTCCTTGGTCTTCTGTTTATAAAGAAAGTAATGAAAGCTGATGATCTTAGTCGTTTTTCCTGCTCACATGGGAGAAGGACAGCAAATCAGGGATAAGTAGCCATTGAGATCCAGATTATATTCTTCAGCACTACTCACACTCTCACTGGACCCACGAAGTCATCATGTCCGACCTCAAGCCAACGACGTCGTTACTGACTTGTGACGGCAACAACGAAACAGCCGAGCCTCATTCTAGCCGCAAAGGCAAGGCAGACCTGACTTCCAGCAGTTCCGGCACGAGCAAAGCCGCCCACGCCTCGACACTGCGCGCACCAACCACAGAAGGCGACAACATCCCCTCAGAAGTAACAGCAAACCCGCCACCGTCTCCACCGGAAGCAGGTAGCCCAAGCTTCACAGCCCACAGCTTCGACTTCTCCCCCGCCATCGCCCACATCAACGCCATGACGCCCTCTCAATTAGCAGACTTCACGGCCAACGGCTCCCTAGCCATCTACTGCACCTTCGACCGCACAGCACGTGGAGACCTCACCGACGGCTTGATGATCTGGTTCCGCTTCCTCGTGAACAAGACCCTCTTCCTCCAAAACTCCACCACCCGGTACGCCGACAAACGCCTCGTCTACATTTTACACAGTGGCTATATCCCCTCGCTCGCGAAGAAGTCCGACTGGATCCGGGGAATGTGGAGCGAGATCAAGACCATTCTCGACAAGTCGTCTATCGCGACTTACGCATGCAGCCAATCCCTTCCCCACCAGGAATTCCAGAAGATCCAAATCGCACGGCAGTACGGTCTGGATTCGCAGGAATGGCAACGTGGAGGGAGGGTGGCGAGCGAGGAGGAGAAGGATGTGTATCAGCGTCTGAAGGATTTGTTGGAGGGGGAGGAGGCTGTGATGTTGGTTACGAGGAGGAAGAAGGAGGATCTTGAGATGCATGTTCGGGATGATCTTGAGCCGAATGAGGTGGCTACGATGGAGACGCATTTGCAGGAATTGATGGAGAGGTTGGAGGCGGAGGAGGGGGCGGTGTGGGAGGCGAAGTGTGCTTTGTTTCAGAAGAGTGTCGAGATTAGGCGTGGTGCGCGCCAGTAGTGCTGATGCGACTGGTCTTGTGTGGTGTGGTCCATGGAGCTCTTGCGAACGTTGGATGTTGATGTGGTGAAGAGGGCTGGAGAGGATAGGCTGAATGGGGCTCATGGGATGGCCGTCTTTCCGTGTTGAGGTAGTGATTGGCGAGGCTTTGCATCATCGAGTCCCCTCATTTAGCGAGCTCATAGTGTCGTCGTACAAATGCTGTTCGTGCCGTGTAGTGGTATATTGGTTATCGTCTAACGATGGAGTCACGAAGGAAGACCGTGAAGGACATGAGTTTCGTCGAGCCGTTCCTATGATATCGTCAACCTAGCAGAGATGCTCCTTTCTATCATGTCACTGCTTATAGGCTCCCCTCAGCACGAGTATGACTCCGATATGTGTTGGATGGCGGGAAAGAAGGAAGGTGCAAAGTTGTGGGTGAATGTGGCTAGTGAAACTTGTGGTACGGATCTGATCCGGGCACGCGAGACAGCTGTTTCATGCTACAACTACCCCTTGGACTCGATAGCTTTCGCTCAGAACTTGGCAACTACAACAACTGTCTCCCCATACGACCACAATCACAATGGCGGACGCCGAGGCTGAGAAAGCCGAGAAGCTTGCTGCGGCCAAGAAGCGTGTATGAGCAGCTTAGGATACCCCTGTTACTAGAATAATCACTGATATGAGAGACAGTTCGAACAGCTAAAGAAGGAACAGGCGAAGAAGACGAAAAAGACGGGCAAGAAGAAGAGCGACAAGGAAGCTGCCGGCGATGCCAAGCCAGACGATGTGGTGGGTTCGGCGCAAGTGGAGGATGCTGGCGACGCAACCACGACTGTCGACGACAAGACGACAGTTGCAGATGATGCGCAAGCAGATGGCGAGGAGGATGTGAGCGAGAAGTCTGAGCTCGAGCGGCAACCATCCCTGCCTATCCAGTCCAAACAGCGATCCGAATCATTCAGACAAGGCGGTGCAGGTCCAGGAGCAGAAGTCCAAGATCTGTACAAGAAGCAGGCTGCGCGGATCGAGGAGCTAGAGAAGGAGAGCAAGGCGTACAGAGAGCAACAGGAGGAAGGCGCGACCCGATTGGCAAAGGTCGAGGAGGAGCTGGAGAGCGTGCGAGAGGAAGGCAGTGATGCGGCGGAGCTGAGGAGCAAGGCCAAGGAGGCAGACAAGCTGAAGGATGAGCTTGCTGGTGTGCAGAGACAGCTGGCTCAGGCTCAGACGGCGGCCAAGGGTAGTAATAGACGGATGTCCACCGTCACACCGAACCACAGCCAGGAACTCGCTTCGAAAACATCAGCCATGGAGTCGCTTGAGCTAGAGCTAAGCACAATCCGTAATCAGCTTCTTAGCCTACAGTCGACTATGAGCGAACGCGATACTGCTATCAAGGACCTCGAGGAGCGCTCCAAGATGGCCGATTCAACAACCGAGACATATCGGCAAGAATTGGAGCAGCTTAAGGTCTCTATGGCTTTCCCCAGCGACGAGACGATAGCCGCGAAGGAAGATCCCGAGGCTCTTACCAAGCGTATTACGGTACTCGAATCGGATCTGCGGACAGCGAACAGCAATCTAGACACCGCCCAGCAGCGCGCCATCACTCTCGAGCAGAAGATCGAGGCCCTAACAAAACTGCATCGCGATGCGACAAACACCAGCAATGTAAAGGACAAAGAGCTCACCGACCTACGTAACCAGCTGCGGAGAAGAGAACGCGGCTCCCACGTCCGGGACGCCTCGGAATTCGAGCTCTTGGAGGAAGAGACGGAGACGGGTGCCCTACAAGCCCGTATCAGAGCTTTAGAGGCCGAGACATTTGATCTTCGCCGCGGTGTCTGGCGTGATAAGCGGGTGGAAATACAACCTGGTATGGAGGATCAAGGGCAAGACTACGAGGATGTGGATCTGACCAATGGGTCTTATAACGGCTCTGCGAGCACGCGGAATCGATTGGGAAGCATACCGCGCCAACATTCCAACTTCCAGGATATCATCACCTCGGGCATCAGTGCTTTTACTGGTCGGCCGCGGGAAGCGAGTTCAACACAGCAGCAGAGGGAGAGGGGCCAGAGTCTGGGGTTGTTGGATGATGATAATGATGAGGTTTTCGATGCGGATGCTTTTCGTTTGGCGCAGGAGCAGGAGGCGAAGAGGAGGCTTGAGAGGGTTAGGGAGGCGAAGAGGGGGTTGGAGGGGTGGAGGGGGTGGAGGGTTGATTTGATGGAGGGGAGGGAGGTAGATGGTGGTTACGGTGGGGGTGGGGCGGTGTTTGAGGTGTGATGAGTTTCACGATATATTCTTACTTGTTAGACCACGGAATACTCGGTGACCAGGGCAGGATGTGGTTGTTCGAGACAAAGAAACACGCCTAGTATCGAGCTGCCTATGTATGCCTATCCCGGTTCTATGCTTGACGTCCTTGTATGAGCTTTCTGCCGCGGGACCTGACAGATCCACGTGTCCCTTGCCGTGATCGCAGCTATGTCGTATGCCACTTCGTTAAAGAACAATTGCACCATGATCTCGGACAGGGGCATTTTATCGGGCAAGAAGCTCCGGATTTCGGCCGGATGATCGCCGCTAGGATCTAACAATTTGTGGGAGGAGCTTCTTGCCCTTGCGCCTACACGAGCGTCGCCAAAACAATGGATGGCCATGACGAACGATGATAGTGAACAATTCCCTGGTACCACCAAGCAGCAGGATGCCAGAACTTCGATCTCCGCGATCTGGGATTCCCTCTTCCGCCTCCCACCACCTCTGAAGCGCATCTTTGACCAAACTCCTCTGGTCACATATCCGGAGAACGCGGCACCACTGCGCTCGGGGAAGATTGAGCGGCGGAGGAATGCCCTATATATCTTCACCACGGACGAGGCGGCGTACAGGGGACAACCGAGCTTCAACCCTAGCTGCTTGAAATGGCAGGCTTTTTTGAGATTCGAAGGGTTGGAGTTCGTTACTGTTCCGAGCAGTAATCATGCTTCGCCTTCTGGGAGTTTGCCGTTTTTACTGCCGACTTCGGATGCGAAGAAGGGGAGGGGTGCGCCGGTGGTGGGTGGGAAGTTGAAGCGGTGGGTTGCTGTGCAGCAGAAGGAGAAGGTGAAGAGCAAAGAGGTACAGGAGGACGTACGGTATGAGGCTTATGCGAGCCTGGTTGATCATGTGATACGACGGGCTTGGGTGAGTGGCTTCATACGAAGATGTTGGAATGTGATTGGCGACTAATACGAATGGCAGCTCTACCAACTCTATCTCGATTCAGCCAACTACCCCCTCCTGCATCGCTTGTACATTGCTCCCTGCTCAAGCAACTCATTTGTCCAACTCGCTATGGCCCATCAGCTTCACACATCCGCCTCCGCCGAGATCATCAAGTCAAACTCCTCCTCCTCACCATCAAATACAATCGACGAAGATGAGATTTTCCGGGGAGCAGAGGAAGCTCTTGCTGCATTGGCAGAGCTACTGGGTGATGAGCAATGGTTCTTTGATCAAGACAAACCCGGATTGTTCGACGCAGGCTTGTACGCTTATACGGAGCTGCTGCTTGACAATGACTTCGGGTGGGCGGAGAACAGATTAGGCGGTATGCTCAGGTCTCACGCTGGGATAGTGAAGCACCGTGAGACGATACGAGAGATGTACTTTTAGTGTTCTTCGGGGAAGATATGTGCATAGCGATGGCGTCCAGGTATGTGGTTGTATAATAGATCTTCTGCTTACTTGTAGCACACCTGGAGTGGTGATTCACTTCATATGGGCGCCATTGCTGCCTGGCCGACTTTTCTGTCATGTGATGTGATGTTGAGCATCGGAGCTAGCTCGTCAATGGACTCGACGGCCTATAAGGCGCGGTCCCTTCGCATAGTTTGCTGTCCTCGCACTCGACGTTCGCAGTCCTCTCTTGCACTCACGCTTCGCACACACTCTTCGCACTCACTCTCCACAACAAATCAACAGCCACACCAACAAGCAATTAGCTATAGCCAACATGCCAACCTCCTTTCTCAGCCTCTCGGCGGAGCTCCGCATTACCATCTACGACATGGCCATCGGCAAAGTCACCGAAACGTGGATGAACACTCAAGGCGAACATATACGTGGACCTGCCATCCTCGCCGCCACACGGGACAATCCGCTCGGAGACCCTACCGATGTACGAGGCACGATGCCAGGCTGCGTCAGGGCAACAGCACTATCACGTGCACAACTTCGACTTCGCCTATATGCTGCCGATCTTTGATAGTGCTCGTCAACAGGAGTACCTGGCTCCCAAAGCGCTCAAGGTGAAAATCCATCTCAGCGTCGACCCGGACTTCGACATGGCGAGCGCGCGGGTTACGATCGAGCCGTGGCTACGTCTTTGCGGCACGCACATCGATGTCGACGCCTATAGCAGTCGCTCATCTTACAGAAATCGTTGCGTCTACTTGGTCAAGCAGTACGGCAAGCCACCGCGACTCCCGAAAGAGCTGAGCGAGGCTTTTGGCAAGAAGAGTGCGCTTGAAGGTGGGGATCAGGGGTCGGCGATGTTGAGTGCAGTTCAGCATTGCCACTGGGCCGAAATCTTGAGGGCTTGGCTCGTAGGTTGCAGCTGGTATTGTAGGAGGCTGGAGGAGCAGGACGGGGGAAAGAAGGGGAAGGTACTGTTCACCTTGAAGTAGAATGCCTTGGTCGGTGGTGAGAGAGGTGCTTGTGGAGGTGAGAAGCTTGCGATATATCGAACGATGCGGCTGCAGACGGTCAGATTGCCTGCAACTATGTTATTCGGTCGTGAGCAATGCGCATTATCAACTTTTAGCTGAGCTTGACCGGCATCTCCATAGGTTCAGGGAGAATACAGCCCATACGATTAGAGGTACATATCCCAGCTTGTTGGTAGATGCTGTAAACTGCGCTGCCCACTATCAACTCATGCCACTGTTCATGATTCCCACAATTGATTAGCTGTGGATTCTGCCGGGCACGGGTATCGTCCACCGTACAGCGACGGGTGACGTTGTTCGGCCGCATCCGCATAAGAGCTCCGACGTGCTGGCGTGGTACTGCGTCCTCGTAGCGGTGCTGCTTATTGGCGGTCCTTCACGGACTTTCATTATATCGGAACACGCCGTGTCGACTAGCGGCCAGCCCTTGTATTGCAGGAAGGACAAGATCATCAGATTACGATCGATGACGGACTTGGCACGCTCGGAGGCGGCTTTTGCTGGCGATATATCTATGCGAAACAAATGGTATGCGGAGACTTCTCGTTTTTTTCATCGGTGGCACTGATAGGCATTCACCCAGAGAGTATGATGACCCTGGTAATGTTGACAAGCGAGTCGTTCCACACATCAGAATCTAAATTTAGAAAGAAAGTAAGGTGGGCATCCATGTCCAATCGTAGTTATAGCTGTATGATAGAGCCTAGTTGTGTAATCTCCAACCAAATGTCGTGAAAGCCAAGTTGGCCAGAGCTTACTTCCAGTTGCCCTGACTCAAGGACAAAAGACCCTGCACGCAGTCCATGTCCTCTTCAGACGACATACTGTTACTCTGCCGTCCACTACGCATGAAAGCTGCCAGCTCTGGGTCAGCCTCCGGGTCCGCGTTCTCGTCAAGCGTTTTGCGTCCAAGATTCGATTTGCTCCTACGCCGACTGCCTGCATTGCCAGATGTCCTTGACAGTGCTGAAGGGTGAGCGAGCGGACGATCTCCTTCAGGCGACCAATTCTCCTTGTCAGAATCGTTGGCCGGTATGGATGTTGACACCGCAGACTTAGCGTGCTTGAGTCCTGGCCCGCCCTTGACACTTTTGAGAGTGTGCTTATCACCCTGCAGCCGTCGGAGGGAAGTGCTAGACCTTTTCAAACGTGGCCGGTTCTCATCCAATAGCTTCGACCGCTTCGCATCCGAAGGTCTGCCATAGAGCAGTGAGTTTCGCTTCGACGGAATGGTGCCCAGAACACTTCTTCCAGAAGCAGACCTCAACAGACCAATGGCGTCAGCAGCTGAACCACTCGAGTCTTTCTCAGCTTGGGTCTCCAGCTCCGTCCGCGAGTCCTTGTCGCACCAGAACTCCCATGCACGGCTATCACGAGATCGTCCGCTGCTTGATCGCTGCAGGGCTGAGTGACTGACGAATGGTGAGCTCTGGCCACCTTCGGGAATATGTGCGCTTTGCTGCTGTTTACGGCTGGAGTCGACCAGATGCACCTGGGGACGTGGTCGTGGTGGCGACGGTGATAGCGTGTTCTGGGTGGAGATGGATGCTCTTCCATCCGAGGACATAGACAGCCTCACAAAGGATCGCGACTTCTTTAGTCGTTTGCTGGATTCTATCGTAGATGGGAGGGCTGCAGTGAATATGCTCTGCGGAGGTCCGGGTGTAGCACGTGGCACGGCTGAAATGCTGACAGGGTGCTCAACATGCTGAAGAATTGCCGGCAACTGATTCGTGGGTGAAGCATCCTTTGCAGATGCAATCAAGCTGACCTCAGTAGTGTGTTCGACACTGCCGGACAAGCTGATAGCAGGGGAGTTGTTACCCACAGACTGTTTTGGTACGGACTCAGCAGTGGCAGGGCTTGGCACGTTTGCTGCTAAGCCTGTGTTGTAAATTTCGCCCTCGACTTGAAGCTGGCGCTGAGCATTGTCTTCTACCACCTCGCTCTCGTCCTCCACGCTCACAGACTGCGAGCTCATGAAGCTCATGTTTGGATCTTGAGAGAAAGACCCTTGTCGAGCAAGCTGATACTGGACAATCTCGTGTGGTAAGAGTGGCCGTGACTTCCGCCTAGAGCTTTGACGTCGATTTTGAAACCATATCTAGAGCTCGCACTTAGTATCTGCCACACATGACCAAATGTAAATGCTCACCTGCACTTCCTTCTCGCCCAATGCCACCCTCTTTACCAGTTCCAGACGTGCTGCCTTATCGGGCTTCGGGTCAAGCTTGTAAGCAGCCTCAAGAGCTGCTTGGTCATCGGGACTGGGCTGGGTCAGCATATGCCATATCTGTGGTAATTTGAGGCCTACCTAGTCCTCTTCCGCTTCTGGCGGCCCAGCGGCCTGTCGTCGAGGTCTGGTGGTAGATTGTGTGGTAGTGTGTTGGGTGAATGGTTAAGGAATGCATAGTGATTCGCACTGCTTGGTAGGCCGTCCATTGAACCGTTTGCTGGCTGGAGAAGAGGTGAAGTCGGACGCGGTGTTGTTATCCATTATTCGATGAGACGAATGACGCGCCGAAAACGCGCTGAGCACGGACTTTAATGTTCGGCTCCATTCCGAGAACAACTCCGCGTATTTCTGACATCTTCGCACTTCTCAACATGTTCACCAGCCTGTCCTTATCCTTCGTGCTGTCGACAAGGATGAGCAGCATTGACCGCGCCTTCCAGACAACGCGCCAGACATCTTTTGCTCGACTGCTGGCCATGGTATGCTGACAATAGACCTTCGAAGCTCTCCACGAATCACGACAAGACCCTTGCACAATCGCGAAACTGGATCCAGATCACGTGACCAAGAATTGCCGTCAGATACCGATGACTCTGGAAGGAGCCCAGCATCGCAGTAGGGCTGAATCCTTCAGGTGTATGGCGTACACCTTACCGATGTGATCGTCGCATCTGCATCATCTTGCAGCTGCTCACGTTTATCACGCAACTCACCATCGGCCAGTCCATGCCGATCGCTCCGGAGCTCGAAAGACCGCATACGTCCGCTGCGATCACGGATACTTGGATCGACCACGGTATGGCCGTCTTATGGCACTTCTAGCATTGGGCAACGGCCAAAGGTGCTTCCTGTGGATAAGTCATGTGTACGGCCTGCAATAAGCATCCATATCCTGCTACCCCACGATCTGTAGCCCGGCCTCGTTGGACGACGATCTATTGCCCAAGGGGTCTTCGCTCCTGCCGTATGCGACAGTGTCTAAACCCCACAGATTTCATCGGAGTGGCCGCAGCCACGCTATCTGGTGAGCGAATGCATGGCATACTGAAGTATCACGTCCACGTGCGCATAATTCACCTTGCTGTAGGGCTGTAGCGGATGCTGCCTCTGCACAAGCCCGTCCATAGGCTTGGAACGACGAGGAATATGCTTTATTCATTGCGCTCTAGTAGTGGTCGCACCTCCAGCTGCTGAAAACAGATCTAGCAAACGGTAAGCACTGGACAGCTGGACTCCGATAGTTGCACCATGCTTGCGCTTTTTCGGCACGAAACTCAATGCCGAGCTAAAAACATATCTGTATCCACTACTGGTCACGTTCGCTTGTGCTAGGATACAGACCGGTGAAGGTGCAATAAGAGCCATGAACGGCGCTCGAATCACATCGATTGCAACGATACCTCCCATCGGCCTCCGCTACGTGCGATGCCGTGGCCCCATGCAGGGAACAGCACTCTTCGACTGTGACTACACAGATTACGAACGTGAACCTCAGATTCTGTGGTACTGATGGCCTTAGTTTGCAAGCGTCATCCTCAGTATCAATTAATTGTCATCATTGACCATGCCTAGAAGGAATCATGTTGACGGCGACTTCGCTCGGTCATCTGTGTACAACTACATTCCGGTTTGGCTACTTTCGATCTCCTTTTTCTTTTATTATTGTTCGCTCGCCTATTTGTTTGTTGACGCACGGCCTCCGATTTTCTCCTCGCCCAAGCACGGTTGACTTGGTGCACCAACAGACAGATAACGCTGATTGAGCGACGACGACGACGGACAGCTCGATTCTGACTCACAATAGGCTACAGTCTCAATCTCGGCAAGCCACTCTTAGATCCAAGGGTTGCATCCTAGCTGACGGGTCACGGCAGCCTGACCAAACTATCTTCCCTGATCCGTACTCCACGTGCTGCGGCATCCTCCTACCTACGAGCGAGGCACCTAACTCAAACCATTGGTCAAGTCAATGCTATACTGTCATCCTTCGACGATCCCCGCTGCCTGTTAGATTCGGAAGCCACGATACACCGATGCTCCTGCCGCAGCTTACAACATTCACTGCAAGCTTACCAACAGGTGGCGACTGCCCGTTTCGGTTCACGAAAAAGGCAACAAGGACGACTGTTGGCAAGGGCTTGACTACCTCTATCACTCTTGACCCCTGGACCAACATGCAGACGACTGCGGTCGAGAGCAGCAAGAAGTCACCACTGTGCGGCTCACCGTGCGGCTTGGGGCCTACAATCTGCATTGTAACCTGGAGGCCACGTGTACTGGGCATGTGTCATCGATACATCGTTACACAAGACAGACAACGGCTATAATGGCGAGAGATCGAAGGCCCATTCTTGCAGACCATCGATCACGACAAGCTTCCGGCTTTGCTGAGCACGACATGTCAGGATCCATGATGCGGATCGCTGTGGCCGGTACAGGTGGCCTTGCACGCTTCATCGCACACTTCGTCCAGCAGGACACGGCTCATCATGTCGTCCTGCTCTCAAGAGAAGTAAAAGCATCATCATCGGCCAGCCTGGCCTTCATAATGTTAACATGCTGACGATACCAAGGAGAAACCTGAACTCAGTCGTGATCATCAGGTCATCGTCGTCGACTACGCTAACATACAAACATTACAATTCGCCCTACGAGGCATCGACACCGTCATATCCACCGTGACAGGTCAGAACCAGATCGAGCTCATCAGAGCTGCCATCTCAGTTCGTGTCCGGCGCTTTGCACCAGCGGAGTTCGAAGGCCCACCGTCGTTACGACCAGAGACCAGCCCACTCGATCGTGGTCGGACGGCTGCTGGACGCTGGATGGCATACTACGGTCAACACATCGAGACCACTGTCTTCGTATGCGGCATTCTGTATGAGCGGTTCCAGCCAAATGGTCTTCGGCAGACCCGTATGGGACTGGGATCTGGTCTTAGCAACGAAGGAGACTACATCATGAACTGTCGCACCATGAGTGCTCAAGCACCAGCCTTCGATGCGAACAACCTGCCTAACGTGACCATCTGCATGACTTCAGCGCAGGACGTTGCCAAGTTTGTTACGAAAGCACTGGACATGCCACGATGGCCCTCTGAGCTGCGGATGTGCGGTGAACGCATCACTGTCAAGGATCTCATCGCTACAGTACAGCAGATGAAGGGTACGTCGGCATGTTACACAGTACACATGGCAAATCCACTAATATCGGTACAGGTCAACCGTTCAATCCCATCTCATGGCACAATCCAGCAACATTACGTGCAGCACTAGAAGTTGCTACAGCTCGTCGTGATCCAGCTCTACAGATCCGACTGCATGCCCTGATCGCTACAACAGAAGGTCAGTACGACTTTCCAGAGCCGGCGAACATGAACGAGGCATTCCCAGATGTGCGGCCCGTCTCGTTCCAGACATGGTTCGCTGCGAAATGGAACTTGCAGCGCCGCTGATGTGGCTGTGCTGTTCGCATCTGTTGATCGAGATTTGGGCGCTATGTGTACGATTAAGGAAGGGGATATAGAAGATCACAATCCGCTGCTGGTTCAGCGGTTCGCAAGCATGAGAGGACACAAGACAGGCATGGGAGGACACAAGACAGGCATGGGAGGATACAGGACAAGCATGGATGACCAGAGGAACGCATCGGGAACTCGGCAGTACATTAGATTTTGTTTCAGTCACACCTTTGTCTCGGCACGTACTCGTTTAGACTTGCTCAAACCCTCGTGCGCGGAAGCACAGTCATTTGCCACCGTACCCAATCGAGAGGCGCTGTCGGGTTCGTGATAGCCTGAGGCTCTGCAACATGCAAGGGCCTCTACCTAAGGTTCCTGGAAGGCTGCGCCTTGGATATAGGGGCCAAGAGTGGCGATCCATACAGAGCTCGCGAGCACGTCTTGCCTATTTGGTAGTGGTATACGATTAGTCACTACGAGGATGAGCATATCTGTCTCCTTCGCGGGGAGCCATGCCACAATATGCCAGCTGTGGTGTTGGTTGTGCGCCAACAGCGTCGTCTTGTTGTGTTGCAATATTGAGTTTCCGCAAAGCCACCATCGCGTGACTGGGAGTTGGATTCGTTTGACGGGCCTCGGACATGGCTCCAGATGTGGTAGACTCTCCAGATGACATGAGCTGGATGTGGAAGGGTCACATTAGCCGTCGCGATGTGGAACTGCACTGGCCGCTTTGGGTTGCACGAAGACATGTATAGAAAATAACGTCGTTGATGTGTGCATCTTCAAGGCTGTGGCCCCAGCCATTCTTATGGATGGAGTTGTGTAGGATCAATGGCATTGAGTATTGCTGTTTGATTCGACAGTGGTGTAGAAGACGAAGATCTGTGTAGAACCTCATCATAGCGATGTTGAGATTGAAGCGTGAAGAATTTATGGATGTGAGGTCAAACAAAGCTTCGACCTCGCGCTGTCTCCGCAGACTCTTTCCCGACGACCACGACAATAGTGAATAGGCAGCATCTTCATCATGGCCAATAACGGCACCGGAATGATACAGAGCGGTGTTTTCGAGAGTCTACAGCGTAAGATAGACGAAGATACAGCCGTCAAAGACGTAGGGCTTCGTCCCATGGCCATTGGATTTGATCTGTGCTGATGCGAGCAAACGGCATAGGCGCTTCGTGATATTGTGCAAGAACTCGAGAAGCAAGGTATACATAGCATCCTCTCGCGAATAGGATTATTGGTTGATAGCATCTAGATCGCGTCACCCAAGCAATTCTATCAAGATCACATTCGACCGCCACAGCAGACTGTACGATGGACTATTCATCAAGAGTTTCCCTTGCCAGGATTGACAGCTGACAACGATGCACAGTACCAAGCGTCCTCAGCGCAGCGCAAACCAATATTGAGAAAGAAGTTGTCACGATACAGAGGCTGTCTGAAGTCGCTTCGAAACATCCTTACTACAAGTTCAACTATGCCTGGACGAGACATGTTCAGGACGCTGTGGGTACCTCCCATAGCCATATCGCGTCGTTCCACTAACGAATGTAGTGCTTCTCTATCCTCTTCTGTGGATGGCTAGGTGGCTTCGGTAAGGGTGACACCGGACAGTTACTGAACATGGAAGAAGTGGGCAGCATCATGGGTGGTATGGCATGACCTAACGCTCGACCGCATCTAAATGTTTGACAAAGCTGAGCTGACGAGGTGCATAGTACCTGTCAATGTCAAGGACCGCGACACTTTCCATCTCACAATCGAAGAGTACCTCCTTGCACTGATATCTTTGGCCGATGAGCTCGTACGTTCCCTAGCCTGGCATGCACACCTGCGAAGCATACACTGATTGTCCACTAGGCTCGCCTAGCCCGTAACTCAGTCACACTTGGGGACCACCGCCGTCCGCTTCAGATCTCTCAGTTCATCAAGGATGTCCATGCCGGCTTCCAAATTCTCAATCTCAAGAACGACACCTTGAGGAAGCGTAGTGATGGGTAAGCCATCTATGGCTTCTCTCCTTATGACGAAGATATAGCTTCGCTGACCCTCGCACAGGCTGAAGTACAAAAGCAGAGAAGTCGAAGACGTGGTCTACGATCTCAGCTTGCGTGGGCTACTGCCCAAAGACTAAAAGGCCGAGAGCGAATGTGGCAATTCAAAGGACGAAGATAAAAGTGCACGTGTCGATAGAAAGTCGCGCAGCGCTGAGAGTGCCAGCAGATCAGGCTTTCACGACCAGATGGCAATGGGATTGCCCAAGCAAGTCTATTAATTCAGGGATCGTGGAAAACGACTCATAGCTTTTATTTACCTCAGGTAGGGATGCAGGGCAACGGCATCAGCTCGTGCTTGTCCCGACATAGTTCCTAACGCCATAGATGCAAAGAAATGCTCTCAACCCAGTACTCAATGCAAGTCATATCTCATCATTATGTCGCGGCTTCAACAATCCACCCATGCTTGAGCCATAGCCTCGTAAACTTTTCCTACTTCACCTGCATAGACAGGTCCACGCCTGCACCAGCACTTGGTGCTAAGCTCCCCTCGATTCTTCGTCGCGCTTCCTGCTTTTCCTCCTGAGTCGGGTTGTCCTTCTTCATATCCGGCATGTATGCCGCAACGCTCGGCGAGTGACCAATTGACATGCCAACACGAACCTGATCAAGTTGTTAGCATGTAGGGTACGACACAGCAAAAGCAGCGCGACGTACCAAGGTCTCCAAAGCACTATTGCTGTTGCCAACTAAGTCATCATCAAATTTGACAACACCGGGCTCAAAGAGCAGTAGCAAAGTACTTCCACCAAACTTGAAATAGCCCAGCTCCTCGGCTCGCCTGACTCTGTCACCCTTCTTCCGCGTGATGACGGTGGAACCGACCATCATAGCACCGACGCATACCACCATCACTCTTCCATGCACTTCAGAATCAATCGGTACAATGACACGGATGTTCTCGCCGTAGACATCCAAGGTACTGCGGATAGCCATCGGATTGACAGTGTAGTACTCACCATCAATCAGCTTCGGCTCGCCCATGATGCCATCCACCGGGATGTGAAAGCGATGGTAGTCCTGCGGCGCCAGGCGCATGATGCCTAGCGCACCGCTGTGATAACGCTTGGCGTCTTGTGGGTAGGCATCACCTAGCAGGTTCTCGATACTGAACTCGCGCCCCTTCACCCAGATGCGTTGTGCTTCCTCCATGCGGTTGAACACGACGGAGCGGCAATCGGCAGGAGCGACGATAATGTGCGGGTTGTCTGGTGCGGAGCAAGGGCGTGCTGTAGGCTTGAGCTTACGGTAGAAGAACTCGTTGAAGTTCTTGAACTCTTCCGCCTTCTGCAAGACCTCGGCCATGTTAAGCTGATGGAAGTTGATAAAGCCTGGAATCTGTGAGGCAGAGCTCGGGTCGTCATACTTGCGGCCCTGCTTGAATGACAAAGACCGCAGCAGTTTTCGAATCCGCTTTTTCTCCATGTCTCTACTCTTCAGACCTTTGTAAAGCAGTCGTATTCCAAGTCGGACATAGACACTCATGCGCTCTTCATTGATCATACCCGTAAGTCGGTCTTGCACCAGGATATTTGCGCTGTTCGCACCCAGCTTGTACCCACCGTAAGATACCTTCGTGATCACCTTGCTGTACCACTTGCGCTGTGCTTGACTGCTTGTGACGAAGCCAGCCATGACTAGATTGTTGACAGCTCGCCAATCGCTGCTTGCACATGTAGCAATGTGAGTGATGATGTCGGCATCAGTAGTCCTTTTACCGCGTGAGAGACGTGGCAGGTGGCAGATCGGGCACTCGTGAATTTCGACGACGTGCTCTACCTTGCTCTCATTGTCGTCGTCGAATCCTTCGCCGTCGAAGGACGAAGTGCTAAGTTCCGGCGACCGCGTAGCTGGAGCGGCACTAGGTTGTGAGGCTGTATTGGCCAGATCGTCCTCGGGTAACCTGTCGCCACGCTCGCCAGCATCGCCAAGATCGGAGACTTCGAGCGTCGGTATCGAGTGGGTGCTTTGGCTTAGGTTACTTGGACCATTGTCGGAGCCTCCAAGGTATGGTGTGCCACCGCCAGGACTTTCCTCGGGTGAGCTATTATTCACCACACCAAGATGAGCAGTCGAGGTCGACGCATCAGACTTCTTCTTGTGCCAGTGCGGCATGTGCATGGTATCGTGAGTCTCCTGACTGATCCTGAGCTGTCGTTCCAGGCAAATGACAGCTTGATTCACTGTCAGCACGTCCTCGCCACCATTATCAGCTTGAAAGCGCTTGAAGAAGCCGTCAATGGTGCTGTTGTGCAGTGTGCTGCCCAAAGTGTCTAGCATAGTCACAAGCTCAACCTTGTCGATCTTGCCACTCTCGTCTGCGTCGTACTGGCGAAGCATGACTCGCCAGAATTGTTGGCGAAGAGCATCGTATGGCAGATACTTGCATCTGATGTACAGCACAGGGCTGTGCTTGGTCTCCCACCTTGACTTGTTCTTGAGCTCAAGTGGTAGCTCGTAATAGAGCAAGCCAGTCTCATCTGTGTCAGATTGCTCATGCGCCGAGCCAAGACCAGACTGTCCGTTCGTGGAGCTGAAGGATGCGGGATGACTGGTAGGCGCAGGGCGTCTTGCTGGCGGGATCTCCATCAAACTCGAGTCGCTATCTTGTCGCTTCAGACCAGCTTTGTTAGGACCGACATCACCAGCCGCTGCCAGATTGCTCAGACTTGAATTAGAAGTTGTTTTTGTCAACCTTGAGAGGTTCGTTTGGGAGCTATTCCTGCTACTTTTGCCGAGCCCAGTCTGCGATGTACTCCTAGACATCGGCACTCGCCACTTCCGCCGTCTCGTGTCTGCATCTGTGATGGCGTCCGGATCAGGTAGCTTGTATAGACCAGTCTTGGGATCAGCTTCGGGTGCTAGGGTCCTCACCTTCTCTACAGGAAAGAGTGCTGTGCCAACGAAATCGTTGCCCGAGAATTTGTCTCGATCTACGACGGCGAAACTCAAGCTGTAGTTTAATTCGTGCCTCTGCACCTGGAAGACAAGTTTCTCGTCATATACAGGGTTGAGGTTGTGGTTCACGACTTTGGTTCGGTATGTCTTTTTGCCCAGACTCGTGACAACGAAAGGATCCATATCAAAGCTCGTGCGAGTCATATTGCGCTCCGGAGGTAGATCTGTAATCCTGCTGATTTCGAGGAAGAGTACGCCAGCCACATCTGACGCACCGCTGAACTCGTACGTCTTGAGCTTGCTCTTACGCTTCAGCCTCTTGATCTTCTGCCGCCGCTGGCGCTGCTGCTTCTCGTTGCTGTCTAGAATCATAGTCCCACCAGGTGTTCGTGTACCTTCGTCGTCTGGTGTCTCATCTGATCGCTCCTTATCGTCGCCGTCCTCTTCCTCTTCGCTCAGGTCGTCGAGATCACGGCTGTTCATCTTGCTGAGTAAGTCATCCTCATCCTCGTCATCATCATCTCCGATATCTGCCACCACACCATAGAACTTCTGCAAAACCTGCTGGGCGGTGGCCGCAGTATTGAGTGGATCGAACAGTGTGAACTTCAGCATGACTTCGCCAGTCACGTTCTGATCCTTCTTCTTCCGTCGACCACTTCTTCTGCTCTCGAGCTTGAACCACCTCGGCTCTGTGATGTTGTGCCCAGACCCAAACATTTCATCAAGCATGACGTCAAATTCGCCCATGTAGTCCTTCTTGAAGCGGTCCTTGTCCCAGCATACTGCTTCCAGTAGTGTACTATCGGCACCCACCACCGGGAACTCGAAAGTCTGATTCCATTCTGGATGCAACGTCTTGCTCACCACACTCGTTGCTTCTTTGGCGTCTCCTATGGAAAGAACAAGATATGGATCCGACGTGCCACTCTTATCCTTGGGTGCAAGATTTCGTGCCTTGACCACATGTACCCTGATCACCAGACCCATTCCTTTGTGGTCGCCTCTCTGGTCGGCCGCCGGCGTGGCTGAGGTACCGACTGCATCTTTGTGCTTCTTCGGTAAGTGCATGCTGCCAACTTCTACCGCCGCTGGTGTGCGCGCTGGACTCTCATTGCGGCTCTGAGGCTGGGGAGTGGACAATCCGGAGTTGCTCTGTTGATGGGTGGAAGAGGATGACTTGAGACGGTTCAGAGACAGGTGATGAGGTATGTGTGGCCGCGGCATGGTGCCAAGAGGAGGGTATAGGGCCAAGGAAGACGAGCCGCTGCGTGTTCAGTATGCCACTATGTATGCCGACCCGCGGCAAGTGGGTTATGGACAGCACAGCCGGCTTGCCAATGCCAATCGTGAAGCTATCTTAGCCGGAGTTATGACGTTGGACAGCTCAAGCAATGAACGTTTCCATCAGCAGAAGGACGAGCTGGAACACACATTGACTCTATGCCGCGGGTGAGCGACAGTACTGTGTTAGGGGCTCCTCCAGGATCCCAATAACAATAGAGAGATGCAGCAAAGGATTGCCGAGGCGGTTGTTGGCGGGAGGCGTTTCACGGACGTTGGCTGCTGTTTTGTGCTCGTTATGCCCCGCAGCATTGCGTGGAGGGCATTTATATTACTTGGATCGGAAGGTGCTGTCTGTTGCCTCTGGTTCGGCAGAAGTTGCCGAGTGGTATCAGATCTGGACCTCCCATTCCAGACAATCACCACACATGCATCCGGTGAGCTTTCATGGATTCGGTGCTCGTGTATCGAAACTCTCACACCGCATGTGTTTCAGCAACGTGCTTCAGCTCGGCGTCATCGTCGGCTCTCCCGCGGACCGAAAGCTGCCATACTACAGTAATGTATCACATCACAAAGTTACCTCATCACAGGCTCATGTCAGGCACGCAGATCCTCTATATAACAGACTCGTAAGGACCGATGCAGACTTCGCAAGCTGTTCGGAGAGGGCCAATATACCTCCATCACTTCATCCGTAGGAGGTCTGCTGAGATCTACACCAAAGCCTTTCGACGCTCCTACGGAACAGTGCTCTAAGTAGATCCCACTTGCGGTGACCTTATAAAAAGACCAAGGGCTACTTCGCCACTTCATAACCCTTTACGATCCTCTCGGCCACAGCCTCACCACTCCAGTACGCTCCCGTACTTGTGCCCAATGCCACGAAAGATGCAGTATGTTCTCCAGCAAACCACAAACCTCGTTCCGGCATCCCATGCCGCATCACCTCAATGTCCTCGTTACCTCGTTCTAGACCAACCTGGAAGTTGGAGTAGCTCCCATAGCCAGCAAACTTGTCATTCGCCCACGCGGTGGCCAGAATCGCTTTTGGCTTGCATGCCGGATTTGTGCTTGAGTAGTTGGGTAAGCGCGAAAAGTAAGGTTGGAAGAAGGCGATCAGTCTTGCATCTCGATCTGCATCTGACTGGGCTGTACTGACGATGGATGCGATGTGTTCACTGCAAGGTCCGTAGACGTAGAATAACAAGGTGGGATGAGCAGCGTCACTGGGTAGTGCAGCCAAGTTCATGGCCTGCGGATCCCAGCCTTCAGGATTCGTGTCTGAAGCGTACGAAGGTGATAGCCAGTGGATGAAACCTACCTTGCCCTCTTCTCTAACTGCGCCAACATCAGCTGGCTGGTGCAGTGGGGCCGTTGTCGCTGTAAAGTTCGGTGTCGTGCCTACGCGATCAAGCGAGGTATTGGTATGGTTTGATGTGGCGCCGTTGGTACTTGTGCTTTCATCCCAAAATGCTGATGGGAAGGTAATATATACTTTGTCCAGCGTACCGTAACCTATGCTGTCGATAGCCTGTGACAGGCGAATCGGTAATGGCGGACTGAACATCTCCTTGTTCCTCTTCAGAAAGCCCAGCGGCACGGTCACCACAACCTCATCGAAATCAAGAGCTTGGCCATCTGCAAGTCGAACTGTCGTCGTCTTGCTTGTTGAATCTGCACCTGGTGACAAGCCAACTACCTCCGCTTCCAGTCGAAGATCGGCTTTCTCTCGTGCTGGTCTCGCCACAGCTTCCAAAATCTTGGCATATGTTCCTGCCACAAAAGGATTTTCACCTTGTATGCATTCTTCAAGCCAGAAGAACTTTAAACTCTGCCTCGTGACCGGGCTACCAATGTATGCTCCCCACATGCGCGTGGTGAGCAGAAGCATCCTTCGTTTACGTTCAGCCTCGTCCTTCGGTAGATCCTGGAACAGCTTTGCGGCCTTCTCAGCGAAGAAGTCTTGGAGACTGCGGCTTGAGTCGATATCGCTATGCTGCTCGTTGCTGTAGCGAAAGGCGTCGGCTATTAGACCATCATTCCACAGGAGTGACGAATACTCAGCAATTTCCTGGTCATCCAGAAGCTTGCCGTCTGGTCCATATGACAATGCTGCTTCATCCTCATCCCAGGCATGTAACAAAGTGTCCGTCTGCTTCGCAAGCTGCAGCATTGGATTCTGGTGCGTTCCATGGATCCAGTTGGGTCCCCTAACGATGAGCATAAGTACAGCAACGCAAGGTGGTGGTCAGAATATGGCAAGCTGACCTACAGATCCACCTGGTGCCCAAGCTGATTGCTTTGTGCTACCCTGCCACCAACTCTGTTCCGAGCCTCAAGGATTGTGACCTTGAAACCACGCTGCAGCAAGACGTCGGCACATCGAAGACCTGCGAACCCGGCGCCTACGATGCCGACGTGCGTTGGCCTACTCGCAGCTGTGGCAACGCGTAGCATGTTTCTGTCGTCACTTGGAGCTGGCAACGAGGTGCCCCGTTTCTGTAGATCGTCTTGGATTCGTGATGTGCCGTTGATATCCTGTGTACACCATCAGCGGCAGGAACACATTTTGAACACTTACGGAGAGTTGGTACCAGATAGCCGCAGTGCTCAGTGATTTCCATTTCTTGTTGCAAAATACGTCATACGAGACCAAACAATGTTGTCGAGTTGAGCGCGCAATCAGAAGTGGTTGCAATCTGTGCTGGATGAAGATCAATGAACAATGATGGTGACCCACGAGCAGTATCTGTCCATCCACTTATCGTAGCGCAGAATCGCAGAAAGGAGTGGCGAAACAAAGCAGGTCAAGATGTCGAGCTACAGCATTGGCTCAGCAGCCGTACGCCGCTGTGCGACCCAAGCTATGTCACCTGTGCCGTGCACCTATGTCAGTGAAGTAAGGATAAGAAGTGAGGACTGCATCATGCCTCGATAAAGCTATGGCCCAGACTGTCTCACGTCAAAGCGTGCAGACAGATCTCCGAGATGCCAAAACTGGACGATAATGATGCGGGATTGAAAGAGATCAGGTAGCTCATATCTCTGCTCGCGCAGTCTGTTTCAGCACGATTACATGTCTACATCTGTCTCAAAACAAATCCACCCTCGGTCGTCCTGTCAACGCCGCCCTGTCCAATTCGCTATGCCCGTCTAGATAGACCAAAGAGAGTCGTCCATCATAATAGCACATCCTTCATATATACAAACTGCCACTGCCCGTTCGTCTCGCAAGACAGTAGTCTAAAGCATTACAGCAGCCATGCCGATCACGCCACCAACCATGGCAGCGACCTCACCCACATATCTGCCTGTTGGTGCTGCGAGGCCGGACTGCAGGTGGTGAGTGCCACTGCTGCTTGCGCTACCACCCGCGGCAGCTTGTGTGGAGGTCGCGGCACCGCCACCGCCAACGACGGCAAAAGAGGTGATGGTTGAGCGTTGACCATTAGGCAATTGTGTGGTCTGCAAGACAAGCTCGCTGACTGCACCGCCACCTGGTGTGTATGTAAGAACGACAGTGCGGCCTTTAGCATCAGTCGTCGTAACGACCTGGCCAGCGGACATGCCAGTGATGACCACGCTGTCACCGAACTGATCGGTCGTAGTCTCGGCAGACATTCCGGACGATGCTCCACGGGTGGCAGAGGCACCGAGAGCGGCTGCAGAGGTGACGATACGGCCGCCAGATGCGATCTGCACACTTGCTAGCGGTGAAGTGCTAGTGAATGCTTGACCATTGGAATTGGTGCCGCTGATGACGGCGGCTGGCACGAGTGTAGAGGTGGTGATGGTGCTGCCCTGCGCGTTCGTAGTCGTAATCGGGACCTCGATGCTGGTTGGCGCGGTGGACTGGAAGGCAGAAGTCGTGATAGCGATTGAGCTTCCAGCTGAGTTCGTGGTCGAGATCACGATGGGGACCAAGACACCACTTGCTGTGCCGCCGCTCGAGCCGCCGCTGACAGTGCCTGCGGTGATAGCAGCTGGTGTACTGACAACAGTGCTTCCAGCTTGGTTCGTGGTGGTGACTGGGGACGGCGTGCTGGCCTCGATCGTAGATTGTGCGACGATGGAAGACACGACAGTGCTTCCGGCGTTATTCGTGGTGGTGATGTCGATGGTACTGCCGCCTTGAGTGCTACCTATTAAAGATGATGAGCCCTGCCCTTGAGAAACAACCGAGCCATCAGAAGCAGTGGAAATAGTAGAAGTCTGACCCGAGCCACTAACGACAATCACTTCTGTGCTACCGCCAGAAGTCAGGGTAGTCGACTGAAGTATCACGGAAGAGTCACCGTTAGTAGACTGGGCACTAGATACAACACTTGTCGCACCGCTACCTGCAGAGGTAGTCTGACCTTGTGCACTACTTTGAGCGGAGCTGCCAGCGGATGAACCACCAGCCGGTGACTGCGCCGAGGAAGCAGCAGACGAACCTGCCGTCTGCTGGACAGAAGAACTTGCAGGCGTACCTTGTTGGGTAGAGGAGACCACAGATGTCAATGTGGTCCCGCCTTGCGTCTCGACTGTGCTTGATACCACGACCACGGGCGAAGAAGAAGCCTGAGTAGACTGACCTTGAGAAGTAGAGCTTGGAGCTTGGGAGGAGCTCTGTTGGGTTGTACTTTGAGCCGTGCTGCTCGGTGCCTGGGTGGAGCTCGGTGTGGAACTCACGGGTACGGTACTCGTTTGGGTAGTGAAGCTCACCACGGTCGTGGTAGGGTCGGTCACGATTACCGCGCTGGTCGAGGTGACCACAGTGGACGATTCGGTGCTGTTGCTAGCTTGGCGCTTTCGGAGGAGCTCCTTGACGGCCGCCTCCTGCACAGCAATATCCACTAATCTTGTCGCAAGCTCCGGGTCATCGTTGTGAATCTGCTCCAGTCCAGTCTGCGCATCCTCGAACACGCCGTCTCGATAGTGCGACAAATGATCCCGCAGCGCCGCATGTAGCGACTCTATGGGAACTTTCTCGACAGCCCTTTGGAGGTCCACCAGGTCCGCACTGGCGCCGTCGCGCACAACTTGCTCTTGCGCAATGCCGAGAAGTGGCAGAGCCAGCAGGCATATCGTTCGTAAGGAAAACATGTCGTCCAAACAAGATCCAATCCACGTCTCCGTCCCTCTGTAGGTCACAACTCAAACAAATAACAAGAATTGGCTCAAGAAGCGCTCAGCGCCGAAAAGCTACCAAAGGATTCATGGTCAGTCAGAAGACCTCGAGATGTAAGAAAAGGATCGATGAGAAACTCGTGTCCGTTAGAGGAGACTCACCAGTCAGCGTTAAGCCGTTTAAAGTGGCTGGCCGCTATTCCTTCGCCTACGCAATAACCGTCCAATCCCAATCCCGGCTGCAATATCGACTTTCAATCACCGCCCGTATGCTTGTCCTCCTTCCACTAAACGCTTGTAGTCGTCGTCACAATGAAACGAATGTACAGCGATACCAAGATACAAGGAGATGGTATGGAACGAAAGAATAGAAACACCCCTTCGGAAAGTGTAGATGTCGCTGGGGGGCGCGTTAAAACACGGCATGACTGTGGAGCACAAACCTTCGACCTACTATGTGCCAAGTCTCGCAAGTCGCTCTCGCCACGCTGATCCCGACGGTTTTAGCACCATCGCCAGCAGTTTTGGGGTGTATGGAAAACCTTTACGTTGCAGTTCGTGTTGCATGTGGGCCACTGGATAGCAGCAAGACCGTGACGTGTGTTGAGTGCCGGGAGTCGTATAGGCCGTGTCGCGGATGAAGCATTGATATGCAATGTTAAACACGGCAGAAAAGTCCATATGGGTGATTAGCAACACTCTAGCTATCGAGGTACGGTCCCGTCCATCTGCACCAGTCCAGCCTGCCCTCATTATTCTGCAGGTCACCACGACGAACAACTCCGAGCCCGGCCATTGCCAAAAGGCTGGAAGAAATGGAATGTCTCGAACTCTGCCATACCACACACAAACACACGCAGCATGCCCGCGGCGAACGAAACTCCACCTCTTGCAAGCAAGCAAGCCCATCCCAGCAAAACTGTTTCTATCTTTGGCCACTTGTAGAACCGCGCATTGACCAATGATGTAAGAGCAGAAGCTCGACCTCGATACGTACACGACTAATTATGTGAAACGAGATGACATGTATATGTGCTCGAGCTATGGGTATATGGACGTATCTACTAGTGCACTACGAGGTGCGACGCTGCATCGGTTGTCGAAAGGCGCAGTGTGAGAGGATATTATTCTCGATAATCACAGTCTTCATGCTACTTTGATGGCCCTCTTTACCTACCCCGGCCTGCTACATATGAAAAGTTCTTTTGCACGAAGACACTAAAGGAATGTTTTCTATATCGCCTGCCCCGGCGCACTCGAGGTCGGAGCAGTTTGCATGTTGCTTTCGGAATGCCGTTGTTCTCCTTGCACTGGTGCTGCTGAAGGTATGGTACTCGTTGTTGGAGCGTGTCCTATTGCAACCTGTTGCACTTGTGCATGCTGCGGAGGCGGTAGTTGTAAAGCTGGTTGAAGCTGCGGATTCGCCTGCTGCTGCTGCTGCTGCTGCTGCTGACCTTGCGGCGGTGCATACGCCATATACTGCACCTGCTGAGGCGCCTCGATCTTCTGAACCGGAACCTGCGTCTGGACCTGCGCAAGCGGAGGGCCCTGGAGCTGAGTCGGAGGCTGATGCAGTACCTGGGCTGATAGGTGACCTTGGCCAGACATCTGCGTAGGCATTGGTGCAGCACCGACACCGACACTCGTGGGGCTATGATTCCCACTCGTACTGGCCGGACCAGCCGCCACTGCCGCGCTAGCTCTCTGCACATCCAACGACTTCCCTCTCGCAGGAATAGCGTCAGAAGGCAACCTCAAATCCTGCTTACTCGCCGTCCTCACTTCCCTCTCCTTGCCCCTCTCTGGCGTCTTCGCTCTCTCCCTTTTCTCCGCATCCCTTTCTTTCCTCTCCTGGATTTTACTCCGAATCCACGACATGGGACCTTTCTTCTCACGCTCCGAGTCAGAGAATACCTGCGGCTCCGTCGATGAAGATTGTAGGGAGCCGGTAGGTATCGGCGTGCCAGCCGCCGGGTCCGTGGCCGAGGGCATGAGTGCTGTTGGCTCTTGGAAGCTTCTTCGGGCTTGTCCTCCTCCTACACTGCTACCGACAGTTGAGCGGGAAGTCTGCAATTCTCGCGCTGCCATGTTGCCCATCGGATTTTCTCTATTGTTAGCGTTGGGAGTCTGTGGCGTGTCAAGCTTATTCTGTGATCTTGACAGCCGCCACCTGTGTCGCTTCTTCTCGCGCTGATCTGGCTGCTCTGCACCGGGCGTCGGCATGTCATCGCCAACCATGTCGGCATCGGACAGATCTGTCGAGTGATAAGACTGCGTGGGTGAGGTCGTCGGCCGCAGTGTAGCGTCTGTAGGATTGCGTTGCGGCGTGGGCTGGACAGGTGTTGTCTGGGCTGTAGCGTATGCCGACTTGGTACCTGCCTCATCACCATTACCCTCCCCTACAGCCTGTGGAAAGTTAGGTGGCGTGACTGGAGGCCGCTGATGGAAGTTCTCCTGCTGTGTAACATGCTCCAGCGACTGGGTTGACGACTGAGCACTCGAGAGTGAAGATCCCGGGATCCGCTTCTTCTGGAGCTTGTTCGGCTTTCGTCCTTCGCCATCACTAATCGGCGACTGCTTGAAGATATCCAGGAAGCCACGAGAGGAGGCAGTTGATGGCGTGTTTGAGGTCGACCTGTCCCTGGTCTGGTCCATACTGCCAGGAGGAGCAAGGAGCGGTGTAGTGTCCTTCTTTGGTGTCGTGTAGTCGCTCTTTACAGTGGAAGCAGTATCACTGCCAACACCAGCCAATGGTGTGGTCGCTTCACTGGACGAAGCAGACAATACTTGTGGTGATGGGATGTCTGGAAAAGTCGGGGCAATGGTCGCCACCGGCGTGCTTTGCATGGACCCTAGTGCAAGGTCTCTTCGTTCTTCCGTGATCGTGGCAGCGCCTGGGCTTGGTGTTGGCGGGTCTGACGTTTTGTCACGAGAAAATCGAGGGGACTGATTCGAACCGCCTTTTCTGCGAGATGGCGCAGTGTTGCTGCGGTATACGCCGCTGGTAGGGGTGGATGGTGTTGTTCCAATCGCGGGTGTCACTGGTGTTGGCCCGGATTCTGACCGTCTGCTGTGCCTGCTCGAGACGGAGACATTCCGCCTGATGTTCCCAAACTTTCGTACACTTTCAGCTCCAGCACTTGCACTGGAGCTCGATCGCCCAATGCCAGTCTTTACTCGACTCGGAGTCGTGGGAGTTGTGGGCTGCTGAGCTGGCGTTCCACTCTGGACATCCCGAACAGTCTCTGGATCTGCTTCAGTACCTGACATACCAATCAAGAAGCTGTCTTGGTTCTCGATCAGGAAGATGAGAACGTCTTGGCTGAGTCGATATTCCTGGGGCGCCATGTCGTGCTGTGGATGACTCAAGATACCAGGTTGAAAGATGGCGGCGAGGTTAGCAGTCGTCATCTTGTTAAGGTCCGACTTGCTCGCGAAGACAGCCAAGAGGTCCAGGATGTACAGCAGTAGTTGCCGATTCAGCGGTGGTAGCTCCGTGATGAGATTCTGAAACACCTTGATTGCGGACTCCTGGTCGAAGTTGCCCACGCTCGGGCTCTGTGCCTCAATATGACCCACTGCCTGTGCCTGATGGTTCCGTAGTGGTTCTCGGAATCGCTCGTAAAAGTTCAGCGGTATGATAGGCTCCGGCAGCTGGTTGAAGTATCGTCGGAGGATGTTTGCAGCATCGTGAACTGTATAGCCCGTCCAGTCCAGACCTTTGCCATAGCGGTCGGGAGAGTCGAAAGCCACCTTGAGCTCTTTTATCCGCTTCTCGCTGCCCGCTAAGCGGAAGATGCCCTCGACGTCGGTTGCTGGGATATTGTCAGTATATACCTAAATATTATGCATGCAAGCCGGGTGACCTCACCTTTCTCTTTCAGGTACACGCCGCACTTTGCTACCACAATTGGCACGTAACCGTATATGTAGCTTTGCCCCTCATCATTGTATAGCGAGATGGCAACATTCGCGTATCGTATGGATTGCGGGAGAGGAATGCCGAAGATCCCATGTGGGACAGTGCCTAGGGAGTGTCAGTAATGCTCAAACTCCACTCCGCTCCTTCCTCAATCACAAAGCCGCACCTTGCTGCTCCTGCGCCTTCTTATCACTACGCTTGAAGTTCCTCCACCAGCTCGCCAAGTCCTTCTTCTGTTGCGCCGACTCGGGCTGCTGCGCGGACAATGGCAGAGGTTTCGGTCCAGGCCCAGCGGCCTGCGCGATCGAGGCCCCACCGTTGGCCATGTCGCGCGCGCCTCTACTACCTCACACGCGCGGTCGTGTGACTTGTCTGCCTGCCTGCTGATGTTCACGTGCTACAGCATCCAGATGCGTGCAGCGCGTCGCCGAGTATCAATGCTAGGTGTTGTCGCGAAAGTGTCGCGCAATTAAGCCTTCAGTCGCTTCAGTCGTCGGCGGTGACGCGACTTCGAAAGCAGGTGCTGAACGTCGCACGCCCACCAAGCAGCCACGACACTTGCCGCCGCGTGCTTGCAGTGAAGAGGAGGACAGCAGAAAGTAACTGGAGAGGTGTCGTGTCGTGTCGTGTATGCAGTGTGGCTGATCGCATGCGCAGGTGACCAGCAAAGAAGCTAAGCTATTCTTGCCCCGTCACAGGCAATGATGAGCGCGGGAGGCCGCTGAGTGGAGTGGACCGAAAGTGGTGTTTTCGTGTGGAGACAGCAGTAGTTCTGGTGAGCAGAGATTGGCAATTGTGAACAAGGCAATCCGCAGCGAGGAAGCAATAATATTAATGCAATCGAAGCTCGGCGTGCGTATGTCAACAACGGCGATGCAGCAAGCCCGTAATGTCTTGGATGCGTGTGGTGAGCACAAAGTTGCACAACAGAATATAATCACGGGCGGCCAGCGTAGGCGAGGGTAAAGTCAGCGGAGGAGGATCCCTGGCGGCTCTGCTTTGCTTTGGTGGTTTTGCTTTCTCTTACGCGAGTGGCAGTAGGGGTTGGGATCAGGAAGGAATTCAATCTAATAGAATTATTGCTTGCAGCTACAGAAGACTACTATGACACGAGCCGTTGGCCTCGTTGGGATCAGTACGACATGCATGGGCGTGTGATATCTTTGCACCTAATAATGCTGGATGACGTGGGAGTCTCGTGTGAGCAGCAGCGTGATCGTGATGCTTGTGATGGGTGGGCCGCAACGTGATCTGGAGAGACGAAACGAGGCTGGTACTGGGGACGACCAACCCATCCTAAAAATACCATCCATCTCTTCTCCCTCCCTCGCTTCCTCGGATGACGTAAGGTGGTTTACCAGGTGTGCCTATAATTCTTCCGTCTTATCGAGTCCGAGACGGCAGGATTTCATGCTGAAGCAGACACATGAAACGTGTTATGCGGCCAGCAGAGAGCATCTTGACCCGAAACGAGCTTCGAGATGGCTGATCTGATCCGTCCAAGTGGTTGCGGAAAGGCGGCCTAGCACGGCTGTATCCGAGATGCCGTCTGCCGGGCTTCATGAAAGCTGATTTGGAGCTCTTACGACGAGAGGGTGCTTCTACGATCGCATTATCGTGACAGCCACCATCGAAGGACTTCCCGCATCTTGCATACGACGAAGCACGATCGCTCTGGATATTACCTATCGAATCTATCTACGAATAGATACTGCGCCACAATGAGCGGCATGGACATGTACGTAAAGGGTCACATGAGCAGTCAGGAAGAGAGATCAGGAATAGTAGAATCTAACATACCTATCCCAGGTTGAACGCGGCGGAGCAGCGCGAACTGCAGGGCCGTATGGAGCGCAAGCAGATGAAAGATTTCATGAATGTACGTCCAGGCCATTAATCAATCAAACCATCAATCAATCAATTATGTGACATCCATACACCTGGACTATTCTCTGATATGTTTCTAGATGTACTCCAACCTCGTCCAGCGCTGCTTCAACGACTGCGTCAATGACTTTACTTCAAAATCTCTGCTTACGAAGGAGGAGGGGTGTGTGATGCGGTGTGTGGATAAGTTCTTGAAGAGCTCCGAGAGGCTGGGGGAGAGGTTCCAGGAGCAGAATGCGCAGATGGCGCAGCAGGGTGGGATGGGGGTGGGGAGGTAGAGGACTTGGTGTTGGGAGGGTTTCTCAATGGTTGAGAGTTGTGATGTATACGTGGTTGGAGGGCCTCACTGCCAACATAGCGTGGCAGCAGATACTGTAAGATATGGCTTGATGAGAGACTGCGAGGGAAGGACGAGCGCATTAGGGTCCTGGAGTGTACATTGACCGGCATTGCATGGTGTTCTGTGGCCTTGATATATTGTCCGCAGTCCGAAGGAAAGGACCGCTACATATCCAACCTGACAGCTTCAGTAGCGATGCCAAGCGTATGAGAGGGTATCTCATCTCTACTACTGTACTATATCGTCAGAACCTCCATCTCCCTCCGGCTCGGCAGATCCCATACCCGTCGCGCATATTAGTCGAGCGTCTCCAGTCGGCCACAGCTCACACACCTGCTCGCAACCCAGCAGTGACTCTGCCCCTCGCCATACTGACGATACCATCTCCAGGCTACCTACATACCAGGTTTACGCCGCACACACAGTCGTCTTACGCTGTATACACACCAGCCTTACGCCGCATGCACACCAGTCTTAGGATCTGGTAGGGCGAAATGCCCGCTATCGTCCGAAAGCTCTCTCTCCTCCACCGTCGACGCCAGCACAAAAGGATTAGCGTCACCGAAGCGCTCCGCTACCAGACCAGCGTAGCCAGGACGCTTGAAGCCGCGAGCTAGTTGTCGCTCGTACGACACTTGACGCAGACGTTCGGATTCGGCAGGTGTGAGACGGAGCTGAACGCGGGTATATCAGCTTCCATTCTGAATCTGTATGAGGGATGATGTGGTCAAGGACTCACGTAGAGTTCGACGATGATGGCATGGATCACGAAGGCCAACCATCCTGCTGTACCGAAGGCGACGCCCAAAGCAGCAGCAACCTCCATCGGATCTGCGCCGTTGAAGTTGGGCGTCACTATTACCCGTTGGTCCTTTACGCTGCCGTCGTAGTAGGGTGTGCAGCCCGGGTAGAACTTGAGGGTTCCCTTTTCTCCCATCACGAAGTTTATCTGCTCGCACGGGTAGACGGCGAAGAAGGTGTGCATGCTGCTGAAGATGTTGACGGAGATGATCATTATCAGGCGGATCGTGATGATGGTGGAGAACTATCGTGCTCGTTAGCTTGGAGGCTTCGTACATCCGAGGTCCTTGGCGGTGGTGAGTGACGCACGTAAGCCCAGGCTCGCATCATCCATGCTCGGTGTTGGTCGATTTGGAGCAGCTTGATGTTGATGTATGCCATAATATATGATACCGTGGTGGAAATGACTAGCGTCCCTCCCCAGACTCTTGTCGTGAAGTCGCCACCAAAGGCGTGTTCAAGAACAATGAGTGCACCGGCATTGGCAATGAGAGACAGTGTGATCACGGCATAGCCATTGAGACGATGGAACAGGATCGCTTTGTGCCTGATGGCCGGGATGAACTGTAGCACCACCAGTACGGCGGCAGGAAGGATGCAGAACAGGTGGAGCATCATGCCGATCTTGAACGGGTTCCGGAGGTAGTAGAAGCATTCTCCTGGAGCTGCACCTGTGCCTCCGGATGCAGTGGGCGAGCAGAAGACGCCGTAGAAGGAGAGGTACTGGAGACGTGCAAGGGTGAATCCGAAGAGGTAGCTGTGATGGTCAGCGATTGTAGTGGTCTGAGTATGTGGTCGGAGACCAACCCCATGCTGATGAACCAGAAGATGAAGTTGTAGCCTTTGGAGAAGCCTAGAGGATTATAGAGGCGGCGCATCATGGCTACGAAGCCGTTGGCTGGGGGTCTGGTTGCCTTGACCATGTTCGCTGAAAGTATCTGAGAGGGAAGAGTGTATGGATGGGGACAAGCTGATCGAATGGAGAGTGTGGTTTGGAGGGAATGGTGTGGAGGTCAGATGGGTAGCAAAAGCAGTAATTCATCAATCGTCTCTCCCATGCCATCTATATAACCACCAGGCACAGATCACCTACCTCCTCCCACTATCGACCGATGCTGCCTATACGGCTCGACAACGGCCGATATGCAGCTCCCAGAACAGCGCCATCCTGCGCCCTTTCCAGGATACCCAGGAGTCTTTATATTGGGGAAGCGGGACGTACGAGGCTCCCAAATGAGATACAAGCTCCGATCTCAGTCGAAGCAATCCGGGAAGAGTGGCTGTGGCATGTCCATCTACGAGATTGCTGCAGTTGGTCATCATGTCGACCATTGAGCTGATTTGGGCACGAGGATGTAGACCAACCACCAGCCTACGGTTGTTGTCGCCGCGGATGCGTTGTTTGCGTCGAGATGAAGCACGTATATGCAGAGGCGCAAAAATCACCTGCTTCGGGCGTAGAGGCTGGCCGAAGTGGAACGAAGGGGTCTACCGTCCGTAGCGAGATCGGATGAACAATGCTCCCGCCTCAGATCGCTAGCGTGACTTCCCATTGGCCTTGCTAACTCCATACCACTTCTTCTCTCGGCCGTTTGGCTTCATGTCCTTCAGTACGCTGTAGCCTGGCTGTGATGAAACCTCAGCTTGTTACTCATCTGCGATGGCAGTGCTACGGCCCTCGCCTTCGCCGGCGTGCTGTGTGCCTGTGTCAATGCCTCTCTCAATCAAGAATGGTGATGCGAGGCCGTGTCGATCTGTATTCGCATCATCAGCAAACATGTGGCATAAGTCTCCTGATAGACCAGTTGACCATTGTACAGCAGCACCTAAGAAATTCGAGTCTTCGAACCCTCCCATTCCAGGATTATGGTTGGAGTCAAACGATCCGAACGATGTCGAAATTGCCGGGACAGGAAGAAAGCTTGTGATCTCGCACGACCAATGTGTGCACGATGCCGAAGGATAGGCACGAGATGCATCTACGACGATAAGACCTGGACGTTTGTGGATCAGGCAGCACCGTCCGATCCGACCCCGTCATCAAGTCGATCATCAGAGCTGGAGCTCGCCATACAAGCTTATCAGCTGCCTGGAGACGTTTACTATCCTACCCTACGTCAAGCTTCTGAACGATTCCAGATCGATGCCGACTTCTGGGCAGCATACTTGCCGAACGATGATCATAGCAGAGATGCTGGACGAGGGGGAGTATCCGTGGTACCCTGGGTTCCCACAATCCGCTACCTCGCCAGCCAAGATAACAAAGCACGTCTCGCACTGGACAGCTGTGCTCTCATGGCACTTGGCCGCATCAGGAACAACCCGCAGTACGTCCAAGAAGGACTGACCCTCTACTCCCAAGCTCTCGCGGCGACAAACCAGGCTCTGCGACATCCGGTCTGTGTTTTGAACGATTCCGTTCTGGCATGCTGTCGAATACTGGCCCTCTGTGAGTTCTTCCGTCCCCACGTAGGAACTGGCCTTTCGACACAAGGCACGGACTGGCAGCGCCATATCGAAGGGACTGTGCAGCTGATGGAACTCCGAGGGCCGGAGAAGCACGTCGATGAGCATGGCTTCGTGCTCTTCGCAGATGCAAGGGCGAGTGCGGCGATCGCTGGGATCACGAGACGTACGAAAGCGCTTTTCTCCGACCCTAGGTGGCAAGAAGTCCCGTGGAGTGGACGAGAGACGAGGCGTAGCCCCTCAGATGAGCTCGCGGATATCATGGCTGCTGTTTCGGAAGCATTAGAACAGCAGGATGCCGCACTGGACCGCCTGACGACAGATTCCGGCCCAATTTCAGCGGCTCAATGCCATGCTGTGTTGGACCTATCGGAGAGGATCATGGCCATGTTCCGGGACTGGGAGGTGAGAATGCTGGGCACGCAGCAGCAGCAGCCGCCATCTCCGCAGCTTGATGAGGTCTGTATGAATCTAGGCTATGGCTCTTTCCACCTGGTCATGCAATACTGGGCGACCTCACTCATCATGTGCTCACGATATTGGGTCACGCTGCGCCGCCTACCACCTGCAGTAATCGCAAGCCGAGAAGCGATCCACGTTCCTGATCCCCAAGCCTATGCCGATCACATCGCCAAGAACGCGCATCATTGCTTCTTGCCAGAAGCAGGGCTGTATGGACCACAGAAGGCTTCTTTCCCGCTCGGGGCAGCACTCCATTACTATGCTGCTGCCAATCAACATGGGTCGGTGGGGATGCAGGAGATTCGACGACTTTTTCGAGAATCGGAGACTGCGAGCTTCACGGCTGGCTTTCTCCGCAGTATGGCGGCTGATCCGGCGCCGGTGGGGATCAAGGCCGATCCCGAGGATGAGGCGAAGCATGCTATAATGGCTGCGGAGTGGGTCGGGTTGAAACGAGAGCTGGAGAGCGATCAGGCGTGATCAGTGGGAGCTGTTGTGGTGGAACGAGGATGATCATCTTGCTTACACCACCGGATGCCACCATTCTGCATTGCGGTGACGACTGACACACCCCCTGCCCGACTTACTGCACACGAGATATAGATATAGATTAGACATTGTCAGATCAAGCGGACATAGATAGGCTACATATATAGAGCGCCGTGACCCTCCGGACCACTGTGCGCCGAGCTCTCGTTCCTCCCTTGACGCCTTGAATTTCCATGTTCACAAGTGCATATGGCGCAAGGAGTACCAAGGTGCCTCCGATGAATGACCCGCTCTCGACATCATCTGGATGGCAACCGTGCTTAGAACACCATCAGATGGAGCGTCTTGCCCTCTTGGTCATGCTCATGGTATGCACAAACCCAGTGCGGAGGAAGTAGGGGGAGCTCCACGAGCAGTTGTGCAGTCCATCTTGTAGTCCTTGACCCATTCATTGCCGCCTACACAGGGAATAGCCACCGTCTCGCCAACCGGTCCCCGTCTTGTCGCAAATCCAGGATGTTTGGCTATCTACGCCAACGAGTCAGGAGATGTGCTTTTGGATATTAGCGCGCGCCACCTGGTGTGCGAGGCGGATATGTGCACAGGAGAAGGGGCTCGTCGGGATGACGGTCCTCGTGGCGCCTGCAAGATCTCTGAATCCCTTGCAGGGACGCGGCCGCTGTGGGAAGGTGGTGTTGCGGTGTTAGTTGGTGCCATTTCGACTCCGGAGCCATGAATATGGCGATGGTGATATTTCTTTTGGTTAAAGAATTGTTGGGAAGCTTGAGGCCCAGATGTGGTACGCTTTTATCGCCTTGCGGTACTCGTTGACATCTCATGATGTGCTCCGCTTAGTGTGAAGCGAGTGAATGTGACTTCTGCTCAGAGTCGTACTTTGCGCCCTGGCGTCCGCAGACGGACCATTACACGGGTCACTGATCTTACCCACCGGCACTACATGTTACGTTCCTCTCGACTGGATCGATGCTTGGCCTGCGAGCCTGGCTACGAGGACATGGGCGTTTCGTTAGTACTAAGGTGGATCAAGTACGGTCATGGAAACCAGGCAGGCGGCACAGAATGAACTGTAAGCGTGAGTGCGTACTGTACTCTGTCACTCAAGAAATATACACCTTCCTTAATTCCCCCTCACCCCACTCCGTTCCCCTCAGCCCCTCCGTCGGATCCCTGATCTTGCCTAGGGGCACCCCCAACTTCTCACATAACGCCCTCAACCTCTCCCTTCCAAAGACACGATCATTCGGCAAAACAACCAGATCCTCTTCGACAAAACTTTTCGTGTGATGGGCGTACGGTACACCTCGGGCTAGCTCGTTGAGTTCCGTGCTGCAGATTGGACAGAGCGGACTGCCGGTTAAGGTGGCGATGGAGGATGAGAGGTGGCTTCTGCCACGATTGGGGTTGTGGAGACTGTGGCAGGTTGGGGTCTTCAGTGCTGAGAGGCCGGCACTTAGGGCTGTGTGCAGGAGGGGTTGTGATGGGAGTAAGAAGAGGGTGTGGTGAGTTTGGAGGAAGAGGGTGGCGAGGTAGTCGGAGCGAGTGGAGGAGTAGATTGTCTGTACAGTTCCAATCAGTATCACTTCAGCATTAAAGATGTGGGAGAGCATACCGCATAAGGCTCTACCATGGTATCAGGCGGATGCGCCAATAACCCTCCCGCTTTCAACCCAAATTCCAGATCCTGCCCGCCACCCAGATGCTTCCGCGCATGCACCAGCGCCTCCGTCAGCTTCCCCATCTCGCCTGTTCTTCGCAAAGCAATGAATTGCTGTAATCTCAACTCCAATTCCAGATTACTACTGATCTTCTTTAATGCCTGCTTGTTCTCGCCACACCAGGCTAATGCCTCCTTCACATCTCCCCCACGTAAGGCGGCTTCGACCCGACTGCTTTCTTCAAAGACGGAGATGTCGACTAGATCTTCTACATTCTTTGCTGAGGCTAGGGCACGAGCGCTGGAGGTGTAGCCTTGGCGGAGGAGATAATCTACAAGTAGTCTGTCTAGACGGACTTCGGACCAGTCGTCGAACTTGACATCGCCGACGCTTTGCACGTCGTGTAAGTCTTGGAGATGGGCGATCCGTGCTTTCTGCTGACGATGGAGATTCCGTTCCTCTTCATGCAGGGCTTCCAATTTCCGCTTGAGTGTCTGGGCTTTGGCGAGTGTGGCGTCGAGGGCGGCGAGGGTGTCGGCGGGTCTGCTGCTGGGCTTGACGGGGTCGAGACTGCTGTCGATGGCTTTGTGGGAGACTTCGATCTGGCGCTGGGCGGATTTGAGGTTCTTGCGGAGGAGTTCGTGGGGCAGGCGGAGGAGTGGTTGGTCGAGGATGAGATGGCTGTCGGTGTCGAGCTTGGATAGTGTCACTTCGGTCATCTTGTCTGTGTTTGTTGATTTGAGGTTGAGGAGATATGGGTGTTATACATATCATATATACAGGCTTGCATGTGAAGGCGGCGATAGCTGATGACTTGTCCCGGGTGATTTCTCTAGATGGTGGGGTTTGGCATTAATCAAATTCATTGGTAAGTTACCAGCCGAACATTGCTTGATCGTCCACGTCACCAACCTTCAGCTCAAGTCCACTCACTCCCCATATCTCCCTCCCCCTTCTACACTCCAGGCACGAATGACATGTCCATCCGTAACGTATACACGAATAGGCGTTCGTGCTGGGCGAAGCATGGCAAGCGTCTCGAAACTTCCTCGTCGCTGTGCTCTCGCAGCTTGCGTGCATGCACATGCTTACGATCCAATCAGCGACATCAGTATGCATGCGGCGCAGGATGTACCGTGATCTCGTGCCGATATCAGGCTTCGAAGATTGTCTCACATGTCGCTTGCTTGGCTCCTGATGCACTCGTACATTGTCGTCGACCTCTCTGAAAGCAGTGCCGGAATCCCCAAGTCAATGGCAATACTCTGCAGAGCAAGAAGCTCAGGTATTCTTCCTGGCGCTGGCAGCACGTTATCACCAACAGCAGCAAAAACCAATATCGAAGTCTTCTGAGAGTAGTAACGACAACGAGGACGAGGAAGACGAACTCGATTCATACGAGGAAGATGCTAGTATCGTCAACGGCGCGCTGAACCGGGCAACCGACCAGGACGGCCTGAAAAGATTGGTTCTCGACCGCTTTGCCGAGCTCGTTGCCTGTCGAAAGGATCCTCGCTACGTGTCCTCCGTCTCCTTGACCATTGGCCTTGCGAATCCTGAACTTGACACCTGCGATGGTCGTGAGGGTCCTTGGACTCTGTGTGTGACTAGGAATTCAGGACTCTCAGAGGATGACAAGGATTTCTTCGGGAACTTCACACGAGCTGTTAAAGAATTGGCTGTAAGTATGCAGCCAGCTACCATTGACAGAGACCGTGCTTATGGGTGCTGGTCAGACCACACAAAATGTTACTCCTTTCCTTGACCTCATGCTTCAGTATTACGAACCTCGATTGAAATTTCATGCTACAGAATTAGCAAAGCACCCACGAGCCTTGCTACCTAGAGTCGGTCCAGAAGAACTCAAGGCGGCTAAGGAGCAAGATAGTTTTCTTGCACAATACTACGCCCTGCGTGAGAGATTTTGCTCCCTTGCAAATAGCACAGGCGCCTGTCCGATTGCCAAGTGGCGAAGAGCTACACTCGCAGCCCAGTGCTTGAAGCGTTCCGCGGGTTTGATGCATGCGCTTGAGACGATCTGCAGCAGGACCGAAGCATTGAGGACGCAGAAGTACCTGGGTCTCTTAGCAAGAATTCCGGATCTTCTGAAGACGATCCTGGATTGCCATGAGACTTTTCCGGGCTTTAGAAACATCAGCATCCAACCAATACCTAACCCACCGGAATTTGTATGTACGGACGCTCCTTTCGAACAATCAATGCTGCAAGCTACAGAAAAGCTCAAACAGGCAGGGATGGTTCGTCCTCCCTGGCTGAAACACAAGAAGACTATAGTTGCTATGGAGAGAGAATGGCGGAAGAAGCTGATCATACACGCGGAAATGCAGATGCTTGGGTTCCTGTTATCTGCAGATGCTAAAGAAGCTGCACAGTTCCCATAAATCGGGATCAGTAAGAAGACCTGCTTTCTGTGCGGCCAGATTCTCGCTCAGTTCAAACACTATCGCTGTAGACCCAATCATGGAAGGATATACCCTCACTGGACCCTGCCGGAGATTGATCTCACAAAAAGACAGCTTCCGACTTTGGAGAAGCGGTACAGACGCTGCTCCCTGTGCTTGTCCGGATCATCAGTACATCATCTACCGTTGTCATGAACCTAGTGCCAGAGTCAACCGTGGCCAGTTCCGGTCAGTACCAGCAGCGATATGTGCCATATCAATATGGTTTGAGAAGGCTGCCGCGCTGTCTCTACGCTGTCGGAACATCCCGCGAGGATCATGCCACAGGTATCGCCACCGATGACTACGACAGCGAGTTCGTGGCACCTAGCGGAGAACAGCCGGACCTGAGACAAAAGACCGTTTTGGAGACAATCAGAGCTGCTGGTCAAATCAGTACAGTGCCTGACCCCACAGATCCCGTACCCATGCCCGACCCTCCGGAGAACGATAAGCGCGAAAGAGGAACCTGCTGGTCGCCTGATTGCGAGCTGAAGGACATTCGTGGCCACAGCTCAGCATACCTCCGCTGTGTTTCTTGCAAAGCTGCATGGTACTGCTGTCGCGAATGCAAGCGCAGTCATTGGCCGTGGCACAAATTTCACTGCGGGCATAAGACCATAGATACCGCTGATCTCCTCGTCCTCGATTGTCTAAGCGACCGTCTCCCCGAAGATCCTGATGTCAGGGCGGACTTTGGCTTCAGTAGGCTGATTACTGGTCAAGATCATGGCTCGCTTCTGGGGCTCTATATCGGGCTTGTACATCCTAGGCTTCTGCACGTCAGCTCTAGGGCTTTGCATCGATGGCGTAGATCTGGCACACTTGTTAAGAATATTCGTCGCAAGTACGAGACACGACCACTGGGAAGACGGGGCAGGTATTATCTTTGGTTTCTTCGCAACACCTGGATTCTTGAGGACACGGCTGAGGGGCCTCGCAACAATCCGAGAGTGCCCGAGAGACATGTCGAGGCTTATATCGAGGTTGTCAGGCCTTACATGCCTCCCGCTTATCGGGTCCGTGACGTTCAAAATCTCGATGCCGACCTTCGCAGAGTGATGTTGTTCTACGGCCTCATACTGGGCGACTGGCACCCGATTCCTGACTTCCCACCTATGTGGATGGACTTCGGGTTCTGCACCTGCGGAGACGAGTACTCGGAGAATTGACTGGTGGTCTATACAAAGAGCTGCTTGACCGCTACAAATTCGACGAGTTCCTTGATGCATTCAAGCGCCGGGAACTGGTGGCTGTGTTCTCAAGTTATGGCCTAGGGATGATTCGAGAGTCGCATCCCTTTTCCGAGACTTATTCTGCTAAGGATCGCTGTGCGACCGTGTGGTGGCTGCGTCTGTACTGCGAGACTGAGAATCCTCATGCTCGAGAGATAGTATGGAAGTCTTACGGCTTTGAGCAGTGTCGTGCTGATACTGTCCTGCGATTTCGTCTCAGGCAGACATATACTGACTTATTTGCCCGAGGAGGTAATTCGTTCCGGTTGCACAGTGCTTGCGCGTCGGGAAAGCTCTACGACGTCGTCAGCCAGACTGTGAGGTTGGATGCTAGCTTGCGGGCGCTCTTGCTAGGACTCAAGGGACGAGAGTGGCTCTAGCACTGATATCAGTATTTGCAAGCGAGTGACAGGCGGCCGCTGCTCATATTTTGCCTACTATCGCAAGGCAAACGTCGTTACTCGAAAATGGCCCTCGTCGAGAACGGAGAGAGCGGATATCAGAAGTCAGTACTCAGCCAATGAACCCTCTTCCACGACAACACGTATACACAAGACATGGTGAAGGTCTAAGAAGGGGCAGCAACGAAGACAGATAGAGCCCGTGTACGGTATGGTGACCGCTGCAAACCATGCCATTCAGCTCAGAAGCCTGCATTACCTATCTTCATAACTGACCGTCCAACTCCTCATCGCCTCGATCCCACCGCTGTCACCAGACGGTCCTGCCTTGATCTTCGACTTCGGCTTCCCTCCAGCAGCAATGGCTTCGCTCCAAGTCTCTCCCTCATCCGGACGCATTGCTACTCCCGCATTATGTCTGTGATGGGGTTGCACAAGATCCACCTCATCACTAGCATCGTCTCTTGATTCACGGACATGAGACAGTGGCTGTTTGCGTTCTCGCTCGGCGCGACTGGCGCCTCCACTGAGTTCGTAGTACGCTTCTCGACTGCTGCTGTTGGCTCCGGGGCGGTTTGTGTAGCCTGTGACTGCGAGGTTCGGGTTTGCTGTTGCGAAGAAGCCCGGATGGAAGGGCTGGAAAAGCGGCTTGAGGCAGGTCACTGAGGCGAGGACGAATATGAGCTCGAGTTCGGCTTCGGTGAGCAGGGTTGCTGCTGTGTTGAACTTTGGTGGTGTGCCGTTGGTTGAGGGTTGGAGTTGGGCTAATCTGGCTGCCACGACGGGCAATATGCTAGGTAGGCTTAGCATTATGATCTCTTTTTGGTACTGACACGGACTTATGGTTGAGGGTACGTACAGCAAACGGATCGCAAACAGCCCGCAGACCGCTACACGCTTTCCGATTGACATCTGTAGTCGCCAGATGATGATGATCGAGAAAGCCACAATGCTAGCATCATTGACTAACCCCACGACTTCGACAATGATCCAGCGCACGAACTGGAAGCATTTTGATCAGCGATCGGCTTGTCAAGTCACATGTGGGAGATCTCACCATTTCCTGCGATCCTTCCAAAGCGTCCCAGGGCTGTAATAGTGGCGACCTGATAGCGACAACGAGTATGAGGGCTGGCGTCGAAGTGGCGCACAAGGTAATCATGGTATTTGCTAGCCGTCGATGCTGCTCTCCCAACGTCAAGATCCGAGCCGTGAAAAGCGCAGTTGACGTTCGTGTAAGACCGACGGAGGCAACGAAGAGGAGCTGTGCTGCGTATAACGACTGCCGGCAGGGTGTTAGTACGGGTTCTCAGTCGCATTCCTGTCTCTGACCTACCTTCTTCGCAGCCGACAGGTCCTCCGATCTCGATCTCTCCTCCCATCCATCTCGGTAGCCGCGATGCCAGGCGTAGTATATCGATATCACATGCGCGATGGAGGCGAGCTTGGTTGGTAGAGCGTTAGACCAATCCATACCGTGTTCGGTGCGATCTTGTTGCTACTCACCATCGCCATTGAAATGACTGTTCCATCTTGCCCCCATGAATCGGTCTTGCCAAATTTACTCCACAGCCTGGCGAGGTAGAACAGGAATGCCCAGACCAGGAATAGGACTGCCACCGTTGGCAGTCCTGGCATCGATGAACCCGGACTTGCTGTTAACGACATCCTTTCTGACAGCGGGGGAGGTTTGACGGAGACTTCACGAGCGGTGGTACGACAGAGTTTACCCACAGCATCTACCTACCACAGGCCAAGAGTGCTCACCGGCAACATGTATGCTCCCCCGGCATATCGTAGCGTGGGAGATGATAAGCCCACCGTACCTGCACCAGACTAACAGCACCAGTCTCCTCCGTGCCCGCGAGGAGCAAGCATCGGACTGTGTCGACCATCCTTCGACGCATATAGTGATGGTATCGCCTTATCTCGCTTACAGATCCAGACACCATGAGTGATGAAGTCTAGTCTCGTCTTTTGGCCTCGGATAGATTAGTCTATCACAAGCTCCACCCTTGGCCTCTTGTTTCGGCTGGTGTTGAGCTTGTTGCTTGGTTGGTATAGTGCTAGTGCCCGTGCGGTGAAGAGTAGTTCGATGCCGAGCGCAACGATTGGTGGACGTTAGATGTCGTATGACTCGCTCGAAGATGACTAACAAGGTATCGAAGTCAAAGTCGCGAGGTGCGAAGCATAAGGGCCACTATCAAAGCTTCGCAAGACGACTACACTTCTGCCAAGTCATCGCCGGAAAAAGATTGTACTATCTCGCCAGTATGGAGTACACATGGGCCCACACTGAGCCGTGATGTTTCCATGTCGACTTTACCAGCGGCATCGTACGCATCCGAAGAACACCTCCGAGCTGTTACCAGGGACCGGCAGTGCGCTAGCCCTCACCAATGCAATATGCGGATGGTAGTAACATCTCGCTTCTACGCTCCTCTGAATCAAGTACACAACCACGTGGCTCGCTTTTGGTTTGAACGCCATGTATGCACACTCCTCCGACCTTCCTCATACGGCTGCTACATGCCGTTGTCGGGTCGAAATGCCGCGAGAACCTGCAGCCATGGTCGATGCTTAGTGATTTTAGCATCTCCTAGCACGTCTGCAATATCATGCTACTCCCGCCAGCCTTCCGTGTGAGCCGAACTATCATGCTGGAGATGGTCTTGTATCGTTGCTGCTGTTGCTCTTTTGCGCCTTGTGTTCGCAACCCAACCATTGTCTTTCCTTGGCACCACTGAACACCCGTGTGCGACGGCTTGTGGCAGAATGACGACCAGTATGAGTGCTCAGGATCCTCAGTCGTCCATGTTCCGGGGCGCTTCCATGGAGTTGTCAAGTCGTCCTCAGAAGACGACTGCTTTCACTGGTGTCACTGCCGAGGAGGGATTGGACGATAAGAACGACTTGCAAGATGAAGTAGAAGGCTCGAAGAAATCCAGTCTGAAAGATGCGGTCGATATGCGCCGTATGGGCAAGCAACAACTTCTCGTCAGACGGTTTCGACAGCTCACGATCGCTGCGTTCATTGGTACTACCACTGCAGCATGGGAGTACGCCTTGTTCTTAGTCTCACCTGGCTTGGTCGATGGAGGAACAGCTGGTCTACTGTACAACGTGATTTGGAGTTTCTTTGGCTTCGGTGCTATCTACTTGAGCTTGGCGGAGATGGCCAGTATGGCTCCAATTGCTGGGTCGCTATACCATTGGGTATCGGAGTTCGCGCCCGAGAACGTTCAAGGCATAATGAGTTACTTCACTGGGTGAGTCTTGTATCATCACCATATATGCCACAGAGTGCTAAGATCATGTCGCAGATGGATATCAACAATCGCATGGCAGGCTGGTTATGCTCAGGGTATACTGCTTGCTGGTACCCAAATTCAGACCATCATCCTCGTTATGAACGACAATTACGAGGCACCAGCGTGGCAGGGCACTCTCTTGAGTTTCGCCGCCATACTGATCTCATACGGAGTCAACGTATATGGAGTGCGGTCATTGCCGTATTGGCAAGTACCAGTCTTCGCAATCGGGACCATGGCATACTTTGCCTATATCGTGCCCGTGTGGTGTAATGCACCGACAGCTACTCATGAGCAGGTGTGGTCCGGATTCTCAAACACTGGCGGATGGTCAAGCATGACTCTTGCAGTACTGGTTGGCCAGCTTTCTGGTATCAGCATGCAGACTGGAGTCGATACAGGTGAGCTTCTGACCTGCGAGTGGTGGCGATAATCTATACGACTGGCTGACTATGATCGATAGCGGCACACATGGCAGAAGAAGTGAAAGATGCTGCTGTAGCAGTACCTCGTGCCATGATGACCATCTTCTTGATCGATTTCGCGCTGGTCTTCCCACTCCTTGTCACAATCTGCTATCACCTGCCAGACATTGATGCAGCACTGAACGACACTACAGCGTATCCTGGCATCTACATCATGCGTCAAGCCATGTCCGACACGTGGATTGCCGTCATCATGGCAGTCATAACATTCATCTGCATGGCTTCCAACATTACATACCTTGCCGGTGTCTCGCGAGATCTCTTCGCCTTTGCTCGTGACAAGGGACTGCCATTTTCACCATGGTTCAGCAAAGTTGACCCCAAGCGGAGCATCCCTGTTAATGCGAACCTCTTCTCCTGCGTCCTTTCGGCAATCCTCGCCCTGATATACATCGGCAGTCCGGTCGCCTTCTACGCCATCACATCCCTCAACACTGTCTCGCTACTACAGTGTTACGTCTTCGCCATCGGCTGTGTACTATGGCGGCGGATCAAGCACCCGGAGACATTGCCTCCTGCTCGCTTCTCGCTCGGCAGGTTCGGAGTACCCGTCAACATTGCGGCAGTGGTTTACTCGGCCTGGAGTTGCTTTTGGTGCTTCTGGCCACAGTCAACCCCGGTGGATGCTGGTGGCTTCAACTGGGCTTCGCCATTGTACATTCTGGCACTGATTGTCTCGGCTCTGTACTATCTCAAGGCCAGACATCGTTACGAAGGACCTGTTGTGGCTGTGGAGGGAAGAAACGTTCATGCTCATTGATTGCGTTGAGTGTGCTGTGTAGCTACATCATTTGGTAAGCCGGACTAGCCTGCAAAGTTTTAGCGGGAATCTAGCAGGTTTGAAACATCGTATCCCACGCACGTGGTTCCCAGCTTACCCGGACGAGGGTCCACGTTGTCCGCAAATGATCTGGCTCATTCACATCCAGCCTTGGCTCCGAGTGTCTTTTGCCAGTCGCCAAAAGCGTTCCGCAGCACGACAATTCGTAAAGCACATCGTTCTGCGCAAATGTTGTGTGTCAGAATGTAACCGCTTTCAGACGGAGCGACGGGACTGAATCATGTTGTAAGCTTGTTATGCGTCGCGCTTGGCCTTTGTAGGTAGTTCATTTTGTGCCGTTTTGGATGCGCGTATGAATTCTGCCAGATCGGCAACAGGTCCGGTGATAGGTCCACCCAGAAAGACCGCTGCAGTCTGGTCCATCGCCTCAAAAGTCGCTCCGACCATAAGGCCACCAGCTCCGTATGCTGAACATGGTCCCGTATTCGTTCCGCAAGAAGCGATATCGGTTGACCCTTGACCGTCTTCCTCGATTTCAGGACCGCCCACAGGCACATGAAGATCAAGGTCATGAACATCGTGATTCCTGGTCTGTTTGCATAAGCATATTGCCAGGACATTAGGATGTTGGTTGATAGTCGATCTTCGTCGGCTGAGAACTTTGTCATAGTGGTGTCATCCTCGCATTCACCTAGAACGACCAGCCTGTAAAGCCGGACCATTAGGAGGCGAGCCTCCCAGTATCTCACGGCCAATGAAACTTCTTCCGGCTTGCGAAAGACGTAGCAATATGGCGTGAGCTGTCTATCAGCGGGACTGATAGTCCGTTCGAGACACACGCGGTCGAGCATCCAGTCTTCAGCGTCATGACTGGTCTCGTCCATAAGACTACAAGCCAGATCTATAGAGCTTTGGCGATCAGGACGTTGCGAAGATCGTGTCAGCTCCCTGATCTCATGGATCAAACGTGGCTGTCGTATTGATAGCCGCATGGTAGTTCTCTGCAGATCTCTCAGTTCCCACAGACCATCGGTGCGCCCGGGAAAGACAGCATCGAGCCATCGTGGTTGATCGTATGGCGATATTGTGTCTGTCAAGCACGAATCGACAAACATACTTCTGTCAGCGCAAATAATGGTCATACCCAGCTGCGCCAGACTAGGCTCGTCACACAGAATAGCACTCGCACCAGCCCGATGCAGAAAGCTCCCCCTGAAACGGTCATGTCCAGAGTCCAGTGTGACAGTGTCGACATATCCTAGTATCGTAGCCGCTATAAGAGCAGGGCCAAGAGATTGCCCATAAAGGGTAAGGAGATCGTGTCGCAGATGTAGGATGGCTTTGCCGTAGCTGTCCAGAGAAACCTCTGAGGCCTGTAGTGACGATGCTGCAGGATCGGAGTAGGCGAAAGTCTTGATGAAGTAGTCTGCTGCGTAGTCAAGTGACGGGCAGGCTCCAAGCACTGAGTTTTGAAGAAGAATATGTTAGTAGGAGTGACGCAGCTATGGATCGTGTCCGTCGAGATAGAGTAGATGGCTGAACTGGATTGCTGACTTACTATCGTCCGGTTAGCATGGCTGAGTATCGAGGATGGTCGTCCAACTTGCCTGTTGATTGCCCGGAAGCATGGCACATGGTCCAGCCTCAAGTCAATAGCGCACCAGATGAACCGAGCTCGCAACAGATCGAGCGGGCTCGTCAGAGAAGGTTCAGGTACAGGCCATCGCTGCCTAGATCTAAACAGACTCGTACGCCGTGTTGTTGAGGCTGGTATAAGACCGCCAGTCGCAGTGCCGTTCGGGTATGTTGGTTGCACGCGCAGTCATTCGTTGTCTGTCTGCTCCGCGCACACGCATGCATACTTTTCCGTAGGCATAATCGGGTCTGGGAGGTCTGAGATCCAAGTGAGCGGGGTATATCAAGGTTTCACTTACTGATCTAGGCGAAGGATGGCGGTCCACGTGATAGAGAAGCTTAGTCAGAAGTTCGGAAACCTCTACCGTCTCGGCAGTCTTCGACTGTTGATAGCCGGACCAAACGTCAACACCGACTCCTCACCGCACCTCAGCGCGGGGTTGAAAACCAGCACGCAATCGGAATTCCGCCCGCGGAGCACAAGTCGCCGAGGACAGCAACTTCCCATATCCCAAGCCACACCAAAGACCCAGAGCATCATGAGCACTCGCAGGCCAACCCGTGCTGCGACAATAGTGCTCAGCTTGACCAGATGGCCTGGGATTACGCAATCTCTACAGGCTTGCATAAATTCACACCACTGTCCGAGCGTGTGCAGAGTGATAATACAGAGCTCCAGGAATGACATCAGCAAGTGCTTTGGTCACTCCTCTTTCTGACCATGTGCGGAGACGATGTCGTATTGAGCCTGCCGTGTTCCATATATTCCCTTCACCTTGGTCGATTTCATTGGCGATGGGCCTATACTTGCACATCATGCTGTTCACATACCTAATCAGCAGCCTACTGGCAGCACTCGTGTACGGGCAGGCAACTCAAGTAGTCGATAGTGTCCCTTCCGGGGCACCTGTTGTCGACCTAGGCTATGCAACTTATCTTGGCTATGTCAACGAGACATCCGAGATTACATACTACAGAGGCATCCAGTATGCTCAGGCACCCATAGGACCGTTGAGATGGCAGAAACCTCATGCTATCGAAGCCAGCAACGAGTATGACGGCGCTACCTTGAATGCAACTACTGTAGCACCGATCTGTTATGGTAGCCTCCCACGAAGTATCGTCCCTGCTAACTTCCCAGGTGTAAGTATCTATCTATACTGTCAAAATCACATGTCTCGAATTGCTGATCTTCCACAGATTCCTGGAGGCTCAGAAGACTGTCTAATCCTGGATGTTCTGGTGCCGAATCGACCTCGATCGACTCGACTGCCTGTTATAGTTCAGATTCATGGCGGCGGCTATACATTCGGCAGTGCGCAGAGCTATCCCGGAGATGCCTTAGTGCATTCGGCCAACGGCAGCGTTGTCTATGTATCTATACAGTATCGTCTCGGGCTCTTCGGCTTTCTAGGCGGGAGCCAAGTCGCTGAGAATGGCGTCCTCAATGCTGGGCTTCTGGACCAACGAGCGGCGCTGGAGTGGGTGCAGAGAAACGTCCGGTCATTTGGCGGCGATCCAGCACGAGTCACTATCGTGAGTATAGTCCACGTCTTTGTTGATGACCGCTGATGTGCTCTCCAGTGGGGCGGCTCCGCAGGGGGAGGAAGCGTTACTCTCCAATTGATGGCTGCTGGTGCTGTTGATACTCCACCTTTCTCTGCAGCCATCGCTGAGTACCCATGGTGGCAACCACTTCTCAACGTCTCCCAGCAAGAGTCACAGTACTACAACACTTTACGACTTTCGAACTGCTCTTCCATCGATTGTCTCCGCAGCCTCTCCTCACAGACGCTCGAAACGCTCAATCAGCAAGTGCAGGACGCAGCCTACCCAAGCCTGGTGGGCTACGGATCTTTCTACTTTGGACCCGTCGTGGATGGCAGGTTTGTAAAGGAACTTCCAGATACCGCATTCAAGCTGGGCCACTTCTACGATGTGCCCCTCCTGGTTGACCACGAAGCCTACGAAGGCAATAGCTTCACTAACGTTTCGTTGATGTCGCAGGTTGTGGAAACAATGGACGCAAAGAATCTCTTTCCATTTGCTGGTCCGGCTTTCTTCTCCAGGTTATATCAGCTATACCCTCGATCGGACTTCAACTCGACCTTTTATCAGCGGGCACAATGGTTCGGAGACTTTTCGATCGACTGTCCGACGTACTTCATGGCGTCGCAGGCTGTAAACCACAACAGCAATTCTTCGGCCGTCTTCAAGCTTACCTTCGCCGCCGGAGCGCAGACTCATGCCAGTACAGCACCGTTCTTGGCGAACGCAGACATCGACTACTCCGGTGCTAATAATCGAACGCTCGCTGACATCATGACTGCATACTGGGTCTCGTTTGCGGTGAACCATGATCCCAATCCTGGTCGGTCAGACAATGCTCCATACTGGCCAAGCTATCACAGTGGTGGAGAGGGTGACGTTGAGAACGGAGAGAGCGTTGGTTTCACGGATCTAGCGGTCACATACACAACCATCGGGCCACAAGTGGATCCAGACGCTAACCCGAGATGTGAATTCTTGGGTAATAATGGTTATGTTATTAGGAACTAGCTGTAGGGTAAGCTGATGTACGTAGGGGCAACAGTCGATTCTGAACCGAATAAGCGGCTCGAGGATGCCATACTGACGCAGCCTTGTTCTACTGTTCCTATGTCTATCATGCCCCTGATTCATGGCAATGGTTTTATGAGATATAGACCAAAATATCTTGATGTGTGCCGCGCTTATGCAGTCTGCCACAGCTTGTGGGAGTGTAGCTGGTAACTACATCGACGTCTTTGAATCTGGACGAGCGTGACTGTATCACTATCCCAGCAAAGTCGTAGCCTAGGGTGGTGTCTGTGACGCCTAGCTCAGTGGTGTGCTTGATGTCGGCTGGGTTGGCACCAGAGTAGGAAACTCGGACCTGGACCTCGCCTAGATCAGGCTCCGATACTGGTGTGTTATTGCGGAGGGAGAAGTTGCCTAAGCTGTCTGCAATGATGGCTGTGTCCTTAGCTGAGGCCATGATGCGGGACATTGTCTTGGATTTGACTATCATGCAAGATACAGCTTCTCTCACGCTTACTCCAAGGGCTCAGCACACATGAAAGAGGATGTATTTCTCAATACCGTCGGGTGCATTATGGATTTGCTTATGTCCACGGAAGGCATGTCCCAGGACTCCGCAGGGCTTGAGGCCATATCTGAAGACCATGACCAATATCCCTTTGGGTAGATGGCTCGTCGGCATACTGTAAAGCAAACCGTACACGCTCTGAATCATATAATCCGGAAAGAGTAAGATCCGCCAGCCCTCTTAATGGACCGCCTGCCTCAGCAATCTATGCCGGCCATTATACTCTGGAGTCCCTAAGACGAAGGCGCTGCCGAGACAGGGCCTCAAAACTACAACATCATGGGCCCGTTTCGAATGGGTATACCGTATCAGCGGCTCTCAGGCTACGAGACTTTTCAAGGTCTCAATCCACCCGAATGGGCTGGACGCGGCTACGCTATCATGGATGTGGATGCTCGTGGTGCGCAGAAGTCTGAAGGTGATATCCATTTCTGGGGCCAGCAAGAAGCAGAAGATATCTACGATACTGTCGAGTGGCTCAGCAAGCAAGGCTAGTGTAATGGCTCGGTCATTATTGCCGGTAATTCATGGCTGTCTATATCACAGACGAGTTTTGCGTCGTGGCATAAGCATCCAGCGCTGGAAGCTATTGCGCCTTGGGAGGGAGTGAGCGATGCGTACTTGGATTCTTTTGCCAGAGGTGGCCAACCACCAGACCCAACATTCAACGCTGTTATAAAAAAAGCTCTCGCAGGTAGAGGGACTGTTTTAGCCGTTCTCTCCTACGCAATCTGATAGGTCCCATCACTGAGGTTCTGACAACGTCCTGGGAGGGTCGAGAACATGGGTGCGATGCTCCGGAGCCATCCGCTCTACGACGAGTATTGGGCGAGCAAAGCTGTTGCTGTCGAGAAGATCACCATTCCGACCTACTTGACTGCATCATACTCGTATTACACCTGGATCCATTCACACTGCCTCCATTCGAGTACTGACATCCGCGTAGAACTAGCATACACTGCCGAGGATCCTTCGACGCCTTTGCGCATCTCGGAATCGACAAGAAGTGGTTGAGAGTACACCACACGCAGGAGTGTAAGCACCATGAAGTTCATTCGCGAGCTTATCTAGTATACTAATGTGGGATGCAGGGTACGACATCTACCGTCCGGAGCGAACGATTTCCTCCAAGGATTCTTCGACAGACACGCGAAGGGTGTGGCGAATGACTGGAGGCAGACGCCACCTATCCGTCTAAGTCTGATCGGTTTCCACGAAGGTCCATCTAGGACGATCGTCGAGCGGCCGGAGTTTGATACCACGTTCCCATTGAGTCGGATGAGGTATCAGAAGCTCTCTCGACCATTACTTTGACCGTTACGACGAGCTGAGTAGCACTTTTTGGATATCTCTCACCGTGTCTTGCGACTCGCATAACGAACTGGACGTCGTTGTCATCATCCGCAAGATCTCCTCCCAAGGCCAACTCCTCACGCACGCCAATTTACCAGCTCTTGTCCGTGTTACCGAGATTCCTTATCGGAACACGACTATATACCTTGGCCAGACCGGTATCCTGCGAGCCTTACATCAAATCAGTCAAGTCCCACGGACGAACTCTTGGGATCCGCCGGTGTATACTCATCGTGAGGCGAAGCCTTTGACGCCTGGTGAGCGGGTCATGCTTGATGTTCCGATTCGGCCTATGGATATGGTCTTTGAGGAAGGCGAGAGTCATTGTGGCTGGGCATGATCTGCCACCTACGGAACTCCCTCCACCTCCGAGCCGAGGGCTATCGATGAAAATATCGGTATGCACGAGATCCTTTCGGGGCCCGGGGTGGAGTGCTATGTTATGTTACCTGTGATCTATTGAGCTGTTTACAGTTGTAGGCGATCGGATTCATAAGATAGCCCTGTCAATTATATTGCGTGCCCGTCAGGTTAGGCATTATCCAACAGTGGCGCGGATTAGTGGACCTTGTCGTCGGCATCTGGCACATCATGGTCTGACTCGCTGCTTCTACATCGTTGACATCGACACACAAGTAAGAGCATATCAGCATCGCAGCCTTGCGACGTTGTTGGGAGTCTATGCCTTGGATCCAGGCATCTGACTACCGTGGTTGAACGCCACATCGCCGACGGACTATTCAAGCGGGCCAAGAGCGCCGATGAGACACCACCTTGTCTCATGCCAGAACGCTTGACATTGTTTCCCACACACATCAGGAAGTCACGGTACAACATGCTGATACCTCAACGGCAAATTCAATCGCGCATTTCCGGACTGGTTGCACAAGCACGTCCAAAAGTGGCCATTGATGCAGACACGACGGACCACAGAACTCATCACACGATTCACGCTGTACAAACGAGTCGGCGAAATCCATTAAACATTGGACATTTTAAAATTGACCCATATGTTTCGTCCATCTTGGCGGATCTTGGTTGCTGTTGTTTGCTACATTCGGCATGGCCGCAAGACCTTGGCTGATTCCTGTCCAGAAGGATGCTCTTGGCGCCCAGCGACGTTGAAGTCGAAGATATAGTGCCACTGGGGCTCAAGACAGCTTGGCAGTCTCGGAACCTCACGATGGTAAGCGAAGTACGAAGGCTGTCTTATAGCTAGGCTCTGGAAGGCTTCAAGGTCGGTAGCCATCACAGCCTACTATCCCACCATTGTCACTCGTTACACTCCACATTCTCTACTGGCTTCGTTGATCGAAGCAGTACTATTGATTGCCTGGTGCATTCACACGCTCACTTCGTAGCTTCGACCATCATGCAGCACTTCCTCTACGCCGCAGTAGCGCTGTCTGCCTTAGCTAGCGCCCACTATACCTTCACTGGCATTGAGCTCAATGGTGTCAAGAAAGGTTCAGACTGGACGTACTTCCGCGAGCACACACGCGGTTACATGCCAACGTACGGCCCAGACATCGCTTCCAATGACTTTCGTTGCCAGCCCGGGGGTGACTCTGGTGCTAAGACGGATGTTTTGACTGTGAAGGGTGGCGATAAGTTACACTTCACGCTAGGCTTTGGCAAAACTGGTATGGACCATCCTGGTGAGTATCCTTCCACACCTGTCTTGCGCCAGCATCATACTAATACGTTTGTCAGGCCCAGCAGCAGTCTTCATGTCCAAGGCCCCCAGCGATGTCAAGTCCTACGATGGTTCCGGTGACTGGTTCAAGGCTTTCGACTCTACACTCTGCTCTTCTCCCAGCGCCATCACGACCACGGCATGGTGCAGTTACAAACAGCCTGGTGTCGAGTTTGTGGTGCCTGACCGCCTACCAGCAGGCGAGTACCTCATCCGCCCTCAGCATATCGGTCTCCACGAATCTCAGGGCGACGGTAAAGGAGCACAGTACTTCTACTCTTGCGCCCAGGTCAAGATTGAGGCTAGCTCGGCCAACGCATGGCTGCCTACTAGGACTGTCAAGATCCCAGGTATGATCAAAGAACAAGACGATGGTGTCAAATTCAACATCTGGTACCCTCAGCCGACAGCCTACCCGTACACGCCTGGTGGTCCACTCATCGTTGGTGGACAGACGCAAGGTGACTCCAAGGGCGTGAGCAAGTCGATCGTGACGGTCGCGCAGAAGCGAAGCATTGGTGGCAGTATGATCGCGAGGGCAAGGGATCTCGTTAGCTCTTGAGCTACATGCGTTCCCGAGCGGAGGATGGAGATAGCCAGAAGGTAGTAGGCGATCTCATCGCTGCAAATCGCTTGGCAGGATTGTTGCATCAGTAGACAGGGTCCTCTTCGTGTACATATGTTAGACTTCAAAGATAGGTTTAAAGACTTCTGGACTGGAGTAAGGGAAATGCAAAGTGTCTTCTTTGCGGTTTGTCACGAAACCTCAACCTAACATACCCCTCACATCAATCTAGCAGACGTTTTGTGAGCAAGGAAGCACAACTCTGAACAACGACAGAGTGTCAGCTCAGAGCTGGGTCTCTTGGTTGCTTGTCGTCCAGGAGTGGGATCGTCCAATATATGTCTATTTGGCTTTTTTCACTACTTTCCCTGACCTGGATGACCTGATATGAGCAGATCAAGCCGCCTCACAGCTTGGCAAAATACTCTGCTGTCCCAATCAACCCCTCAATCCCCAACTCCTCCTTTCCCAACACCACCTGCGCATTCGCAGAGAACGCTTTGTCGCCAAAAGTCTCCCAATACACATGCGAAGCATGCATCACCTCGGCCCACTGAGGCCAAACTTCAAAATACTCTTCACGACTGACCTCCAGAATCCTACCCTTCTTCCCGTCCCGCTTCGCCCAAGCGGCGACCACCCCTTCTGCAGTCATGACATCTGCAGCTGCGAGTACGATTCTCCCTGGCAGCGTTCTCTCAGATTGTGTCAATATGGCGGTAACAAAGAGACCAATGTTGTTGTTCACATCGCCAGCGAGCTTCCATCTTGTAGTAGGAGAAGTCGCTTGCAGCTGGTACAGGGTCAATCCATCTCCTGGAAGTGCGAAAGGCTGATAACATGGGTAGTGTATATTTTGAGCGTAGGAGGGAATCCAGAGGAAAGTCGTCTTCTTGATCAGGTCGGTGCCGCGGATGTAGACATCGACCTGATTCTTTCCTTCGTAATGTGGGATAGCGATGGTTCCACCACTGACTTCACGGCTGTCTGGCAATGTCGACCAGATATAATGCTGCAGTGTTGATGTTGCCAAAGCGGCTTTAGCAAGGTCGTCCCCATTTGCACTTCTATCTTGACGGCTTCCTCCTTCCCAACACTTGGAAAAGCCTCGAAGAAGTTGGTCACGACGAAAATGGCGTAGGAGCCTTCAAAGGCTTTCTTCAGTGATGAAACGGACTTGATGTTGGCTTCGACGACCTCGACGCCCTCTTGAGATAGTGCTTTGGCCTTCTCGCTTTGAATATTACGGGTCAGGCCGCGGACGTGGTAGCTGGGATCCTTGAGGAGGGCGCGGACTACGGAGCCGCCTTGTGTGCCTGTCGCTCCTACTACCGTTATTGTACGAGTCATGGTACGAGAAGAGTTGTTGCTGTGGTGAGGCTGATCAAGGAAAGAGGGGATGTGAGCGTGGTTGTGTAGCTCCTCCATTCTTGTGCTGGCATCTAGCCATCTTTATACTCGGTGCTCGCCATGAATGTCTGGCGAAGCTCCAAAATCAGCAGGTATGATTTGTAATGTTCTCGAGCAGGACAATAAGGTGCTCCAGAATAGTGTCCGGGTAGCGCGTCCGATTGCTGATAGGATGATCGCCTGCTTGATCTTGCCGCCAACAGGTACCATAGCGCTATCGACGAAAGACCCATAGTATTACGCATCATGCATCCTGTTTATTCCGAACATTGTAGGGTTCAGCCGATCGACATCGTCCGACGTAGATAGTGGAAATCAAACCATGCAGTACGACTGTCGAGCCCTCAAGTCAATTCTGGCCCCCAAGTCTTGGCGGCACTTTACTATCTCTCTCCCTCACACCAGCCATCTTGGCTGGCTCGACCGCATCACCCGAACCCAGGCAGCCCAGACTGGCCGGTAAGTCCTACCAGCCTAACACAGACCCACCTCCCTCCAAACTCCTCAATTCCCACCTTTCCCTCGGCGAAAGAGCCCCACCATCGCCAATCCAGTCTCGCCACCCATTCCCTACCAAGTCTTGCCGCTTCCTCGCCTGCGTGAAAGCCGCGAGCTGTAGCTGTCACGAACACGCTGCCGTTGCCACGAGTCGATTCCATGATTGTGTGCGTGGCTTCTTCCGCGAGTCCGAGGTGGTATAGATAGTTGGTTTTGCTGCTTGCTTCTATGCTGGCGAAGAGTTCCTGCCGCGAGCACATATGGCCTGTATGTGGTCCATTGCAAATCATTCGCGGGGATGTGTGTCGTAGGAGCCATGGGGATTTGACGTTCTTCCTATTCGCCAGTGTTTCCAGAAGTCGTAGCGAATGTTCTCGGAGTGCCACTTCCAGTGTATCAGTGCTACATGTCGTCGTGTTGTAAGTGCATGGGTCTTGGGATGCTTCGAGGACCGCCGTATGATGTGGTAGTATGATGTCAAGTGACATGTTTCATGACTGCAACAAGCTCATGGTGATCGAAGGACTGCGATACGTTGTGACTTTGAACTTTGAGCTTGGGCAGATCCGCCAGATAGAACGGAGCCTGACTAAGCGATGTACCCGACTCCGCCCTACTACTTGCTATACAATGGGACATACAGAGATGTTGTCTTGGCCCGGGAGATTCATGCTATTGCATACTCCTATGAGCTTTGGCACGCCATCACATTCGTCCGTATACAGTCTTGCCACTCAGATCGCTCGCCATTATAGTAAGAGGGCTCTCATGAAATCCGCCGTCTCCTCTCCAATGCGTCGCGGATGATCCTCCTGTAGATAATGCACTCCGTCGCCCAGATCTACGAGACGAACATTCTCCATGTTCATTTCGTACCATCTAGCCTTCTCAGGTGTCACAAAGGCTCCGGGCGTCGTATAGAAGAGCAACTTCGGGATGTCTGTCTTCATAAGCCAGGAGCGGTAGTTTGAGACTATGTCCCACACGTCTGGAGGATGGTGGGAGATGGGTAGTTCGTTTGGCCAGCGATAGACTGGTTCACGAGACGATTGCGAAAGGAATGGGTGCCTATAGTATTCCTGTTCTTCTGCGCCGAGCTTTCGTATGATCCCGCCAGGGAGGATCTGGGTCAGGAAGACGTTGTCTTCAATCAACAGTTTCCTCCCGGTCTCCGGGGTACGAAAGGCTTTGAATATCCCTTGGGCCTCTTTGGAAGGCCCGACATCTTCCCATGTTGGGAAGGGTCGGATGAACTCCATGAGTACTATCCCTATCACTCGCTCCGAGTATCGGTGTGCCCAGTGCAGACCTAGTGCGGATCCCCAGTCCTGGACCACGAGGAACATTTCCCCGGTAGGTAGGACGGAGTCTAAAAAGGCATCGAGATAGCGAACGTGGTCCACGAAGCGATACTCAATCTTTGGATAACCGGAGTGGCCCATTCCGATCAGGTTTGGCGCAATGC